CACAATACTCGGAATTTAATGATTACTGACGGCAAAGCTACTTCAGACACTTCATTGTGATTGAAACATTGGGGCCTTTGATATCTGCCATTCATCCCCTTCTTGTGTTGAAACACACAAGTCGGCCGGATGCCATACACTGCGCCATTGAAGACGTTGCTCTCCGCGCAGCACATTGAATACTCCCAACCAGCCGAAGTGCCTTCTGAGCGGCCCGGTTTGGCTCGCTCCGTGTCGGCACGGGTTCAGAATTCCCGTTCATATTCCTCTACCTCATATACTCGTCGTCATCGGAGGAGCCCTTCGAACAGTAAACCGACAGTGCACTCCGCTCCAGAAACCCCGGCCCGGGCCTCGCCCTCCATTGATCCACATGCTAGTCTCCGTCAGTCCCCACCACCGATAAGCAATGGTATCATCCCTCCCGGGGCCGTAATCTCACCTCCTGAGTCTGGGCCGAATTCAAGTGATGAGGAATCACCACACCGGAGTGGTGAGGGTGTCAAGTTTGACGAGCTGGAGGCTGCCGTTAGATCGATTAGATTGATGAGGGAGAGTTCTCCGGAAAGAATGGGTCCATCAGACCAGCCAGAAACGCCGGCTCGGCCCTCATCGAGCGCACCGTCGGCCACCGAGGCAAAGCCCACTCGGCCCAAGCTCCCCCACCTACCGTTGTCCAAAGAAGCTCGCAAGATCAGTCACTCTCGATCATCCACTGAAACCGCCATTGATTTGGCTCGGGAATCGGCACTGACTAGCTCACCCGAAGAAAGTGACGCGGAGATGTCGTCCAAGCCTCCAATGGTCCGTAAGAAGTCAGGCGAGCTTGTTCGACCTGCTCTTCGCCCTTCTTCGTCACGGCGACGACCATCTAGCATGCCTGGTACCCCCGTCTATTCCAAGGCGGTTCACTTTGACTCTCACTTGGAGCATATCCGTCACTTCCTCCAACTCGACAGGCCATTAGCCGTCAGCACAGAGACATCACCAGTCGACAACCATGACGCCAAGGTTGAGTTTCCCTTTGGCTCTGCTGACTCGCGCGCTCCGTCGTGGGAATGGGAGATCAAGCTCTCCAATTGGCCTAAGGATCCCTCATCACGTGCCAACCTTCCGGTCCGCCTCGAGAGGTTGTTCCTATCGGCTGACAAGAGCACTTTGATCGGCACTGTGGCAGTGGCCAATCTTGCTTTCCACAAGAATGTAACCGCTCGTTTCACTCTGGATTATTGGAGGACTACCTCGGAGGTTTCAGCGGCATACTGCCATGATGTTCGCCGGCAGCAAGCTGCCGATGGGTTCGATCGCTTTTCGTTCGATCTCAAGCTGAATGATCAAGCCAACCTGGAGACCAAGACCATGTTCATGTGTATCCGCTATAACGTGGATGGACAGGAATATTGGGATAACAATAATTCGGTGAATTATCAGGTCGATTTCCACAAAGTGCCTAAGACCACGACCAAGCCTGCAAATGGCGGGTCTCGCCCTGCTCTTCCACGCAGCCGATCGTTCACCAGCTCTCACACCATGCGACCGCAGTCCATGCCGACTAACTATGATTTCCCCGACCTCGGCGAAAAGCCACCGTTCACGAACCCTTTCAATGATACGAATGGTGCACCCTTGGCTCGCATGCCCTCGGATGACATCGATACGGTCGCGCCGCCCAAACGCCGTGAAAACTCCAACCGCCAGGCATTCGGGAACCGGTACGACTTCGGAGCATCCTTGTCTGCTGCTATGCGGTCAAAGGCACCTCTGGATCGGACCGCTCTGGCTGCCCGTGCAAGATCCGGGGAGACTGTGGAGCCAGAAGTCTACAAGCCGACCAAGAAAACCCCCAGTTTTGAGCAGGGCCAGGGTTCTGCAGTGAGCGATAATTTCCGCACCGGAAGTCGTGTGGGAGATCTAAAACCTTCCTATTTGGTATCTAGCAAGCCACAGCTCGAGTCTTCCGTGTACCAGGAGTTGGTCGATAAGTACTGCTTTGTGAGTTTCTTAACGACAAATCACGCCATTGCAGTCAACTAACCTGTTATAGTATGGGTCTCCGCAAGGATCGAAGCTGAAGGCACACGCATCGGTCTCCAGCGGTCGCGAAGGCGAGGCCCCGAAGCATATCTATGCCCCAGCCTGTCCTTCGCCGCCGCTGTCTCCTCGGTCTCCTGCTCCTCTCGTTGCTCCTGTGGCCGAAGCATCCCGCGCTTCTGTTAGCCCACGCAGCTCCCCGCTGCCCTCAGCTTCTCCCATGGCTTTTCGCCATTCCTTCCACCACAATTTCATGAATGACCCTCACTCTCCACCGGTCATTAGAGGATGAGTAAGATAGACTTGTCATATACAGCGTCCAACCTGGCTGTGATCCTTCCGGTCGGCCTTTATAGCATATCGTTGACGACTTTCATGAAGGGAGTCTGATAGTCCCTGTGTGGAACTGGACAGATCCGTTGGCCCAATTTCGACTCCTTTGACCCCACGTATCGGCGCAATCTGATGGATCTTTTTTTCTTTTGACTCCTTCTCAGCATTACCCTGCTCTATCCGCGGGTGGTTTCGGCCAGCAGCACATGTGAGCGATTGTCTCTGCGATGCATAATAAACCGCGGACGTTTTCGTTGAATCATTCGTTGTGTGGCTCGTTTCCACCTGTCGTCGGTCCAAATTATCGAGTTGCCTGTCCCATCTTTTGTCTGGCGCAGTCATTCTCACGATTTCTTTGTTTACCTCTGCGTGCCGCTTTGGACACGCATGATGACGCTACGATTTCTTTTCCGAGGCTTTTTTCGATTCTTTGCTGTTCTTTTCTGGATGGCCCTTCATTTTCAACGCAAAAAGTTTTTAGTATGCCCGCCTCTTTTGATCTCGATGCATTGCACTTTATGGGGTTTCTTTGATTGCATGGTGTTCTGGCGTTCTTTCCTGTTTTTCCCACGATTGTTGTTTCGATTTCACCTCCACGATATTGTCTACCTTTCTGGTTGAACGTCGACAGGGAATGCGAAGATGTGATGCGAAGATAGCGATACATGACTGCCTACCAAATAGGCAACGCGACGTAGTTTTGAAATGACACATGATGAACGCGACCGGATCTTCCTTTTCACTGGTAGATTGTTAGAATAGATTGTAAAACCCAAAGGATTCTCCCTTTACTCATGAAAATATGCTAGCCACACGTTGAAAAGCTAAGGAGTAGAGTAGATGAAGCCCACATTCATTCGAGTGGTGGAGTCTTGGGGTATACTTCCCGATTTGGGCTAGCGCCATTACTATCTTATCACCACGTGATTAGTATCAATGTCGTTCGACGCAGCAAAATGCGGGCTGGTCGATGCCTGGTAGACGCGCTGGAAACCGGCCCTCCATAACGCCCTTTTTCTTTTCCCGCCGCCCGCCAATCACCGCCGCATTGCAGAATGATGGATAAATGTCTCGCTTACCTAAAATCCTTACTTTCCGGATCACGCGTAATTGGCTTTCTTATTTAAACCACCCTCCCCCCTCCATTTAGTCACTTTCTTATTTCTTCCCCTCTCCTATCCTCAACGTCAACTCGTTAAACGCGTGTTTTTCATCGTTTATCGACCACACAGACCTCGATTCATCTTCATTTCTACATATTTTCAATTCTTACTATCTGAACTATGTCTGGACGTAAGTATTTTTTATCTTTTTACGTGTTGTTGTCACTATATACCCTCATGTCTTCGTTGTTGGCGTTCCCAAAATAAGAGCTGGTGATGCCCCTGTCGACACGTGACTATGCCTCAGGCAGCAACTGCATCCCACCTTTCCTAATCAGGAAAGGCTATTCACCTTTACGCATCTTAACACAACCTCCAACTACCCTCAACTCCCTATACTCCCCTACTCTCCGTCCTGTTCTTCATTATACCCCCCCCCCCCTCCCAACCACATACTAAACCCTACTGTCCTCATACAACTCTTCGAACAATAACTAACAAACCAAAACAGGCGGCAAAGGCGGAAAGGGCCTCGGCAAAGGCGGTGCCAAGCGCCACCGCAAGATCTTGCGCGACAACATTCAGGGAATCACCAAGCCGGCCATCCGTCGTCTCGCCCGCCGTGGTGGTGTCAAGCGTATCTCCGCTATGATCTACGAAGAGACCCGCGGTGTGCTCAAGACCTTCCTTGAGTCCGTCATCCGTGATGCCGTCACCTACACCGAGCACGCCAAGCGCAAGACCGTCACCTCCCTCGACGTCGTCTACGCCCTCAAGCGCCAGGGCCGTACCCTGTACGGTTTCGGTGGTTAGATTCGTCTTGCGACAATTTATGGCCTCAACGACTCACCACTCACTCACTGTGAGGTGCTGTGCCGGGTCGGAGGCTTTTACTTAATGCGCTACGGTGTGATGGGTCTCTCTCTTTTTTTTGCGCGTCAAATGGTTATGGGGTTTAGGAATTTCTTTGGGACTGCTTTGGTGCCCTTTGGTTGGGATCTTTTCTTTTTTTCGCCTTGGTAATGGACGGTGTCCTTCATAACTAGTGATAGGCTCTCGGGTTGACTCCATCGAGTTCAATATAACGTCTGCTATCAGTAATTTTTTTTATGTAGTTTTATTTTGCTTTCGAAATAATTATTGTAGTTTCGGTAGTATACTTGACACTGTATGCCTTCAGTGAATGACGATGTCATTGTAAGGTGGAAAGTCACGGGCGGAGCGTAGTTCCCCGAAGTTTCCCCCAACTTTAAATTCCCTTCGAGCACAGAGCTCGCCGACAGAGCTATTGGCTTTTCCTTCCTAATCCAATCATTGGAAATATGGCCTCTTTATTAAAAGGAAGGTTTTTCTACCCCCCAGGAGACTGCCCGTCATGCTGCGACCATTATCGGATTCCCATCCAAAGTCTCCATCGCCTCGACGTACTACCAAAGCGCATGTGTCGACATTGCTAATTTGGCCTGTGTCATTTCGACCCATGAGCCGGTTCGACTATATGCTAGACCCGAAGATGTCAAGCAAGCAAAATCAATGATCAGCCAAGCTATTACTAAATATCCGAGTGACACCTCGAATATATCTGTCATCCCCTTCCTCACAAATCACCTTTGGGTCCGCGATACAGGCCCTGTCTATGTACGTGGAGTTGGCGAATCCATACACCAACGTTTTGCAATCAATTTCCGTTTCAGTGAATGGGGAAGGAAGCATGACCTTGGCGCCCACGACCGGGCTTCGGATGGGCATGATTGGCCTGTGATGACGCCTGAACAGATCGAAGAAAACAGAAGTTTCGCCCGTAGAGTTATCGAATCTGATATTCTCCCGTCTCAGGTGACTCTAGTGGAATCACAGATTTGTCTGGAAGGTGGTGCACTAGTTGTGGATGGCGAAGGCACACTTCTGGCCACTGAAAGCAGCATCATCAACGAAAATCGCAACCCGGGTCTTTCGAAGACTGTGATTGAGACAGAGCTCCGCCGTCTCCTAGGCGCCGAGAAAATTATCTGGTTTCCTGGGAGAAAGGGTCTGGATGTTACTGATGTGCATGCTGATGCTGAAGCCAACTTCGTCCGGCCTGGAGTTGTTGTCCTCTCCCGGCCCCATTCTAGTGCGCCAAAGCCATGGCTGGAGGTTTTCGAAGAGATTAAGGAAATTCTCGGGAAGTCAGTCGATGCCAAGGGTCGCCCTTTCGAGGTACATGTAGTAGACGAGCCGAACCCCAAGATCTTCGGGGTCTTGTCCTACGATGAACCAGCGACTAACTATGTGAATTTTTATTTTGTCAATGGCGGACTTATTGTTCCGCAGTTCGGCGATCGTCGGCGAGACCAAGAGGCCTTGGTACTGTTTCAAAAGCTGTGCCCTGACCGCGTGATTCGGCCAGTGTTTGTGTCTGCGCTTCCATTAGCCGGGGGTGTAATTCACTGCGCAACCCAACCAGTACTTTCCGTGGATGAATAGATCATCCATGAGTGTTGTGAAATAGTAAACTGGCCTACGGTTCTATGTATTAATATCATCTATTCAGGATCTCAAATGAGATCTGATCGCATTACCCGAAGAGGAAGTCTATACGCCGATCGACTCTGGGAAATCCTGGGGAGAGCGGGGAAGTCGCCGATCGTGCCGGGGCACCTCCCTGAATTCATACAACAACTCTGGCATCCATCTTGCAAACTGACCGGACTGCTCCCACTCTACTATACAGCTAGTCATCTCTTGCTATTTACATAGTGCATTCGGCCTAAGATGATGGCGAAGGCCTGCGACCACTGCAACTTCAGTAAAGAGAAAGAGACTTGTACCGCGGGTGCCAGTCCGACATGCCTCAAATGTAGTCGTCTGAAGATTGGCTCCGTCTCTCGTCGTACCAAACGAATGAGACATCGCTCTTCTGCCAAAGTCTTCCCACACGGGGATTTGCAGGTCTCCACGGTCGTGTCGCGACAGGGCACCAAATCCAAGGAAAGCGGGACCTATGCCTCACCTTCACCATCTTCCTCGTCTAATTCAGGCTCATCTTCGAGCTCGACTCTCGGAGATGATGAACCTTGGACACCAGAAAGCCCCAATGTCATGATAATGTCGCCAGAGAAATTACTCGCCGCCCCCACCAACTTCCAAACGACATCAGATGCATTCCGCACCGTTATGGACGTGGAGCAATTCTCAGTCATACATGCACCATTTACATTTGGAAACAGTTTTATTCCGCTCTCCCAAAAGGTTATTTACGTTATTTTGCAACTATCCGCCCCGGTGCTGACCGAAGGGTACCTGGCATTCCTAGGACTGATGACAAATTACCAAAAGTCCCCTATTATACGCCGGAGCGAGCCTGATGTGTTCAAGGCTGCAAAGGGCTTGCAACGTCTGAGAAGTGTGAAAATCACAAATGATTACGACGCAGCTTGCGCTCTCTTCCTGGGCCAGACTATGTATGTGTTCGATGTACTCACGACACCATACTCCCGCACCGCCCACGCTATCGTTCGGAGCTCCCTCATGTCGGCCAAAGCATGGCTTCCCAGAATGGTGCATACCCCAATCATGGACACAATAACCATGACCCCGATTCTGGTCGACACAGTCGAGTGTTTAGTGCACCGTGAGATCCCAATAATACGACTCGATCCTCAGCGTCGCGTCATTGTCGACCGCTATCTTGGCCTCTGTGCAACACTTCTCCCTCATATTTACGATATCTGTGTGTGCAGCAATGCAATGAAGAGAGAAGCTCCTGCTGTCGGATCTGAATGCTACTCAGCCTATCATGACCGACTGGACGAGATAGAGGAGACGATCCGTCGCTGGCGGCCTCAAACCCCTGCCGGACTGTTCGAAAGTTACGGCCAGCATGCGGTTTTAGCAATGGTGACTCAAGCAAATGTGTATCGTCTGGCGGCTTTATTGATCCTGCACCGACTGCGATATCCGCTAGGTATCGAGGATGAGGCAGCGTGGAAACTTGCAAATGGAATATTCTCGGAGTTGTCGTTCTTTGCCAAGTCGGCGGCCAATTTAAAGGATACTACCGCGTTGCCTGTTGTGTTTCCTTTGACGATGGCAATGTTTGAGATATATGGGCCTGGAGAAGATTTGGTGGAACGGTTGACCTCATTCACTGTTCAAAGTGTATGTGTAGGGCGGCTTCAGGAGTTTGTCAAGGTGGCCAGGGCGTCGAGGGAGTCTGGATTTGAGGGCATTTGGTTTGACTTGGTTGATACACATCTTCGTGTTGCCATGCCACCATAGCTCTGTGTTGGTTTCAGCAATGCTTTTATGTATAATATCATTTCAGGGGATGGCGGCTTGTTCCAACGGGTCAGGTGGTTCTGTGTCATTATGGTGTCAGCTTTTCGGTTCCTCTATTGAACAATTCGTCATTATATACGCTGAATTTAAGTGCATAGCCAGTGATATCGCGACTGGTACAATCTTCTATCTTGAAGATCTCAATAGGTATTAAAATAGTTGTAATATTTATGTATGATTCGTGGCAAGCGGGTACACATTATTTTGCTAGCAGAACATTTCATAAAACTAGTATTCGTGTGTTTTATTGACTATAGAAATTGACACCATAGAAATTTGAGATGTTGTAGAAGTTGAGATATCCAAGGTCATATATAGAAAAGCTCCCTTTATAAATCAAGCCTTTTTTGGCCCTTTTCTACTATCTACCTAATAAATTAAGAAGGGGAGAAAAATATCCATATGACTAGATATTAAAAAGTCTAACTAAGAAGTCTACTAAAAAAGACCACTAAAAAGACTAAGGCTGTATAAGCGGTCGGCTATCCTTGTCATAGAAACTGAGATATTACTAGAAATTGACCCTATAGAAGTTGATATCGTGGAATTAATCACTAGAATTTGTAGGTAATAGTAAATTGGCGGTATGATAGTCAAAATTCAATATAGAAAAGCACGATATGGCGTAGTACACATGAAGCCGGGGTAACAGCATTTCTCAGTGAAGTATTATCCATCAGTCTTCCATCTCTGATTCTTCAGGAGGAAGGCTGAGGCGTGGGATCTGATTGAATAGGCACCATTCCTCTCAACACCTCCCACTCATGCTCCAGCATAGACAAACTAACAATATCATGCCAAGCACGACGATGGTAAACTGCCTCACGTTCACGACCTTCATCCACAAATCCAAGCTTTCTGTAAAGCTTCAATGCATCGCGGTTGAACGAAAACGCGCCTATAGAGACTCTATGCAGTCCATGATGTTGAAATGCCCAGTCCAGTGCCCAGTTAATAGCTTCCCCGCCGTATCCTTTGCCCCGGAACCCGTCCGCAAGTGAGATTCCTATCATCGCATTGCGATGATGAGCGTAGCCTGGTCCAGTCACGCTGAAAAGGCTCAAGTGGCCGATTGGAACTGGCTTGGAACTCTGAACAGGCTGGCCCAAGACTTGGGTCTCAGTTGAAGAAGTTGTTTCTGCTTCGGCGGAATTCTGAGGGAGGCATATAACCACCCCTAGAATGGCGTCTTGGAGCATTTTGATGAACTCCTCTGCGGACTTTTTGTGAGATGGGCGCGGGAGACGTCCAGTGCTCAGTGTTTGGATTGTGGGGTCGTTAATAAGATCATAGAAAAATGCAATGTCCTCTTCAGAGTTCTCTGGGGCTCGGTAGATGAGTCTAGGCTTGGAAAGCCCCTGTAAGGTTTGGGTTGATGCCATATTGGGGAATTAGAGATCAGAAGTTAGTGAAATTTGAAGTCTGCCAGATTTCCTGGGGACTATGCCCTTTATATAGAAGTTGAGCGGGGAACGACCCTTTTGGCGATAGACCAATTAGCTTCCAATGCTGACGCCCTGTTGCATGGTGCCAAAGTGAGGTAAGCACTTGTCGGCCGAGGCCTAAGACGTAATATCGGGCTCCCGATTAGGAAATTATCATCTAGAGATTGCCCAGGTGAGATGTCCATGATTACATTATCGGGCTGGATTTGCTTTCTTATAAATACTCACCTTCAATCACCTTTTCTTTCTCCTCTCCCTTTCCCCTTCGAGACACCTTTTCAAAAGCCTGGTTTTCGAGTCCTGAGCCCTGCTTATCATTTAAGCACATATAATGTTGTCTTCCAACCTTGGTTATCCACTCTTACCTCGCACCATATGACGTTCGATGAAGTAAATGTGCGTGCCGTTGCTACAGCCTTCGACTCTCCCGTCAATTTTCACTCCAGCGCCTATGGTTTGATGGTAAAGAAGACCACTTCCGCCGTGAGTCTCATTGCCATTAATCAAAACACTTCACAGTGTACAACGTTTATTATTGGCTAGCTTGAACGTGATAACTTGACACTGAGCTGTGTAGCTGTCTGCAACAGGGAGCTATATCAGCTGGAGATGCTTGCGCTGTATGCTCATGTATCTCTGGGGGCTCCCCCTCATTACCGGAATTGGCCCGCGAATGACGCACTCTTTAGGAAACTGGGGCAGCAGTATGCTGCCCTCTTCTCCGTTCTCGGATGCGTCGGCCGTCTAGCCTACAGATTGGAGTTACTTCCCTCATGGAAGATGCATCCCGTTATCAGCGTGCAACATCTCAAACTGGTTCCGCCGTCGGACCCTTTTGGCAGAGAGCAGCAAGAGCCGCAAGGTACATTCGACAGATGTTTCCGAACGTTTCCCCAATGACACGGACCGCCATGATGTGGTCACCATCCTGGGCACCCGTTTCCGTTACCTAAGTCGTTATAAGACTCCAAAGAAGGAATACCTCATCCATGGGAAGAGTTACATACTATTTTTTGGTCGATACACTGATGTTGGCTCGAAGAATTTTAGCCAACTGATCCTGCTAGATGGAACTCTGGTTTCGAAGAGCCAGGTGATTGGGTGGACGCGTAGTTCTTGAGATGAACCCTTCCAGCAGAAGTCGTTCCTCAACTCACATCAGACCAATATATATACAAATCTCAGACCCTGACCCGTCTTGAACAATCATTTTATCGAAATGAACGAAGGACATACGAGCACCTGTATCTTCAGCCACTCAACCTAGCGGGTCTTGTTCATCTGAAGGAACTACGAATATCGGGCGGGTATCTTGTCCAGAGTGAAGGAAAATTGGGATCGCTTGAAGATCATCACTGGCGGCTATATGAGCCCGGGGAGAAGCATGGGGCAGTTTGCTACTTATGCACGAGCTGCTTCCAAAATCACTTGAGGAAGCTGCAAGTCTTTCAGCTCCATCGGAGCCTCAGCAACTCCAATCCCTCAATAAGATCATAGTTGAGGCCTCTTGCTCTCTCTTTCCATCTCTCACTTTTACCATTGATCTAACAACAACCACATGCCACACATCAATCATGCACTAACAAACTACCATTTACAGTCCTTTTACCACAACCACTACCATTGACAATGTCTTCTACTACCGAAAATCCCTCTGTGGAAGCGATTTTGGCCTGGGAGCGGGCTTACCATAACGCCTGGAGGCACTTCCAGGACCCCATCATCGACGTACTCACCAGGCTAAGCTGCCAGGACCCAACTCCTGAAGATCGTCAAGTGACGAATAACAGACTTGGCCAACTTACCATGGATCTCGACCACATCAGAAGCACGGCACAAATGATGTTCGAACATGTCCCGGGGTGCCAGACCGTGAGAGAACGGCCCCTCGCGTATTTTATCACCGATTTTACCCGAGATTGCCATGAGCTTAGCTACAGGCCAAGCATGTTGTGTTGGCGGCTAATGAATCGGCCTGGTAGTGAGGCGATAGTTTATAATCGCCTCGACAGCCCCCCGTCGACGACAAAGGTGTGTACTTATTTGATGCGCTCTCTGCGCTCACGAAGCAGCTTGGAGTGAAGTTAATGAGAATCGACAACTCCGCTGATTATGTCAGATCCTAGTTTACCGACACCTTGAGAGCATCATGTGCTGACAAGAAGATTGACTGGGGGTTTGACGGCGAGATCGAATGGGCACATCCTTTCATTCACCGAGGAGCATTGAATTTCGATCTCCATTATATGTTTGAGTTGAACGTGGGAGTATGAACCCCAAGAAGAAGGGGACTCTAAAGTGAGATATCAAGTGATGAAGTCTGTTGGGGACGGTTCCCTTCCTATTTGTATGCAAAGAGTATAGTTCAAGATCGATGTTGTGTAGAATTGACGAATTGACTGCCTTCTGGCCTGATATGTGCACGGACCATATGATCTACGTGACGTAATCCCTCCACATGGCCTCTGGGGGCAATGGACCTGGGCCTTGAACCAAGAGATCACCGTAGCTTATAATCTTCCCACTGGCTGTAATTATCATCATTTCAGATCACCTCGGAAATATCCCACACATGCACATCCTCCCTCAAACGGATATTAGAGGCTGAGAAGCCCGATCCGGAGCATAACAACCGCCAGAAGTGGATTTCGAACTTGAGAACAAGCAGAGCCATGGCTGAATACAAGCTATCCTACGAGTCTCAACTGGTGCGTTCTGAAGACCAGCTTGCTTCTGTTTCCTCACATCCGCATCACTATGCCGCATTAAACCATACTAACATGTTCACGCAATCAAGGACGTCTACCACCCCTCCTACCGCTACGAATCCCATGACCCGCGTGACTGGAAATCCGCCGCGCTTCGCGGACCAGCACTCCCCGCCTGCAGGGAATGCAACTGCTGGTGCAGTCGGCGCTGCCATCTCAAATGTGGTCGTCTACCCCCTCAATGTCATCGTCGCTCGTTTACAGACCCAAACCCAGAAGCGGAAAGGCAGCGACTCGGGCGAGAAGTCTGATGAAGACGAGGATTCCCAGGAAGGATATACCAGCGTGGTGGATGCTGCCTACAAGATATATGCACAACAAGGTATCGCCGGCTTTTACCCTGGTCTGGCGCAGGATACTTGGAAGACCGTCGCGGATTCGTTCCTTTTCTTTCTTGCATATAGTGCCATCCGCCAGAAGAGGATAGTGGCGCATGTAGGTGTAGAGCGAGCAGCCAAGAGCAAAAACATCGTCCTTCCGATAATCGACGAACTCGCCGTTGGTATCTTGGCTGGCTCGTTTGCAAAGCTGTTCACAACGCCACTGTCGAATATTGTCGCGCGCAAACAGACATCTGCGACACGCAAGGGCGGAAACGCGAAAAACCTGTCAACTAGTGACATTGCAGCTCGCATTCGCGCTGAAAAGGGTATCCCAGGCTTTTGGTCTGGATACTCGGCCACCCTGATACTCACCCTGAATCCATCTCTCACGTTCTTCCTGAATGAATTCTTCAAACGGACCCTCCTTCCACGCTCGAAGCGCGATAAACCCCCCTCCAGTTTTGACATTCCTTTTAGCGGCCTTGAGCAAAGTCGCCGCCTCATCAATCACATATCCCTTCTCCCTCGCGAAAACCAGAGCTCAAGTAATGGGCTCGGTCTCTAAGTCTGAGCCTGGAACTGCAGAAGAAAAGTCTCGGGCTTCTCTTCTCGCCTCCCTTACACCAGAAATACTTTCCACAGTCGCCACCATCGCCCGCACAGACGGTATATTAGGGCTCTACGCTGGCCTTCACGGTGAAGTGTTGAAAGGCTTCTTCTCGCATGGCTTTACGATGCTCGCCAAAGATGCCGTGTATTCATTTATAATCAAGAGCTATTATCTCCTTCTGATGCTGGGACGTCGCTATCCCACACCAGACGAACTCATCCAGCGTGCCCGCGAACAGGCGGAGGAATATACGGAGATTGCACGTGAAGGAGCGCGTGACCTTGCGGAGAGAACAAAGGAGGGCGCCGAGGAGGTACTGAATGCTAATTCTGGCGGTAATTCTGTCGATATGACATCGAACTCCACTAGCGCTGCTGATGCTGCTGGAAATGCGAATCATGGCATTGATGCTTCCTCGGGCCTCAAGGTTCCTGCTTCATCCGTTTCTGATGAAATCAATGAGACGGCTGAGCTGGTCGGTGATTATGTTGAGGATGAAGCGGCTGAGTGGAAGAGCCTTTATCATTGGTTCTGGGAGAAGGATCGTGGGCCGCATCGAGATTGATATGAGGGCTAGAATATACTGTTTGCGAGGTTTACATATTTAGGCATTCTTGTTACGTTTTCCTTGATTTTTTATTTTTTATTTACTTTTTAACCAAGTGGACAGGGTACCTAACTGTGACTGTATGTAGTGAACATCATTTTATTTACTGAGGACAGCTGTTGATGCTTGAGACAATGCGGAGTTTATTCGCAATCTATTTTATCACAATCCTGAACGGACGTTGCGACAATTTGCCAGCCTCATTCTGTACCGGCCGAAGAATAAAAAGAGAAGGCAAGAAAAGGCTTCAGGCATAAGTTCATCTAGGTGTTCCAGTAACACACACGCTCGGACCGAGCTCACTGGTTCTTCCTCTCATTTTGAGGCTCTGCTGCCACAAAGGCACCACGTAGCTCCTTGGCCGCCTCCCACAGCACCCACAGAGGGATAAAGACCCAAAGGGTGTTGAAGAAGAACAAGTACAGCCAAAGGTAAACCGGATCCTCCATAGCCAGCTGCGAGCTTCCAGTCAGCCACTCGGGCGCAAAGGTCATGAATCCACCGTACAATTCGGCCGTAGCAAGCATGGTCGAAACCAACCACAAGGTCGCCTTAACACCACCGCGGGACTTGGCACTGATCTTCTCATTCGACGACCGACACAGCAGATAGCAGATGTATATCGCAGCTGGGCCACCAAGAAAGACGGTCAACAACTCCAGCGAGACGACAGTCAAATCAGCGCCAGCCCAGCGGCGGTCAGCCTTGGCGTATTCCTGCCACAGACGCGAGCTAGGGCCAGTTCCGTAGGCGGGGCCGTAGATACGGGTGGGGTCATTGAGGAAGAAGGGTTCCACAGTATTGTTTCCAGCGGAAGTGGTGTAGCTGAAGAAGCATTCGTAGAGGAAGGAACCTTCGATGAAGATGTGGGTGAGGGCATCGTAGGCGTGCCAGAAGAAGAGGATACGATCACGTGTCCTGTTGGCTGGGACGAGTGTCTTGCTCAAGAGGTACGCGATTGGCATCATGGAAAGCGAGAATACGATGCAGAGGACTGTCGTGGCGTCCAAGGTGAAGGACGCGGTGGACGCCATGGTGGATTTGATATTTGGAGATCGTGTGACGGGGTCCGTGGTGGAAGGCGAGCTTGTAGGTGTCTCAGCTTGGTGATATAAACACTTTTAGGTGTGTTTCATGCTTCGTGGAATGATTGAAAGCTGAATGGGGTGTCTGATTAAGAAAGAAAATAAAAAAGAATTAGGGGCTGAGCTGTCGCGACGATCAAAAGTTGCCTCAGGCACAAAGTGGGTCACGGATGAGAGCAATTTCTATAGTTCGGAGAGTACAGAAGTAGTTACCTCCTAGGTATATCTATATTTACAGGGTTTCCTCCTTTGTGTCACTTGAAACAGGCAATATCCTTGCAGCTCGTTGCATATTGTGACTGTTTTATTTCGCTTGAACCACCTTGACAGCAAAATGCAGGGAATAAGTGGAGGCTTTCTACACGTTCAACTTCACGTCCTACCCAAGATGGGAAACATCGATCAGGGAGAGAATCTAATAATTCTCTAGCCTCTTAATTGTTTGCATAGTTCCCGTCCAGCTTGTCGTCACCCGACGCCACTTTTTTCTACGCTTCTTTGTTTGCCTGCAGCACCCATAGCCTAGTGGCGTGTGGTCAAAGAAACATGCGTTCTGGAGAGGCCGTCTGCATTCTCCACCAATACCCATTCATGCTGTTGATTCAGTTTGGCCAATATATATGCGTGAATGACTGACTTGAAGAGTACCTGTGGTTGGTTGCACCCATCGAATAGTCGAATCAACCCCGATCTCCATGTTGGCTCGGAATGCTTGGCGGGTTGTCCTTCGAGGCCGTCTCTTTCAGAGCTATTACTATAATGGTTAAGTGATCTGCAGCTTGTCTCTGGGTAATACTTTGTTATATTTCACTGCCTACCTCAGCTTGGACTCGTTGAAAGGCGTTATTTTTACTTAGTCCTCTTAGTCCTGTGGACTACGACTGTGGGGAAGATTGCGCGTCTCACAGCTTCTTGTCCTTCCTCTCTCGAACTATTCAGTATTCTTGACGGTGCACTCTGTTGTCCAAAATGCATTCAAGTCTCGGGATCGTTGAGATTCCCGCCTCGCCAAGGTGACATGGGACCTATACAACCAATGCCAGATAATCGCAAAGGATGTTCCCGCAGGATTCCAAAGGCTAGTAACTGAGCTGGGCTCGTTACAAGGCACTTTGCGCACCTTTGCTGACGATGTGAACTCTAATGCATCCTTCTTCGAGAAGATGGATCAGGATCGCAAACAGACCTTCGAACGATCCCTCGGTGCCTGTCTTGCCACCCTACAGCGACTAAAAGAGCTCCTTGCCCGGTTGAAAGGCTTCGAAACTGGTGATGGAAAAGGTTTCTGGCAAAAGATCAAATGGGCGACCCAACGAATTCAGATTGATGATATCAGGTCTAAGATCATGGTGCACACTTGCAATCTGAGCCTATGCATAAGCTCCATAGGGAAGTGAGTTAGCTTCTTTATCCCAAATCCATTGCCCATGAGCTAAACAGTTTAGTGCCTCGCTTGCTCGTTTAGAGAAAACAATGGTTCTGGCGATGGAAGAGGATGAACAGATTGTTCTCAGTGCGGAGGCATCACCTGTTCGGGATACAGACTCCGTTGTCTCACCAATGAGCCCGGACGTGGTGGAACTACCCGCTAATAATGAAGAATGCGAAATTGATATGATCCAAGAAGTTCGCCACAGAATGTCTGAGCTGGCTAATAACAGAAGCTCCGTGGGCAGCAGCAAGGTCAAACATACATCCACATCCTCCGAATCGGCGATAACGACATCCGACGATTCGCTCTTCGAAGCTATGTCGTCAACTTCTTGGTTGTCCTTGAACACGTCAGCATTGTTACCTACTAGGGGCCGAATAAACCATACGCGAAAGCGCAGTGAGCACCTTCTCTTTGGCGGCTCGATCGACGGTCGGACACTCGATGATGGAATATGGGCGAACGACTCCGATCTGGAGAAGAAACAAGTCGTACATCACAGTAGATCCTACTCTGATGCTGAATATGGTCATCCTCGCGTTATCGAGGCCGTGACCTCCGCTATGCAACATCTTCGTGATGTTCGGCACCAGGAGCATATCTCAAGGCCAATCCGTTTCGAGCCGCAGAATAAGCTACATAAACCAACTGCCGAAACGTTAAAGATATTCGAGGCATCAGTAAATGACGGGTTCCAGATCACAAGGCTAATCACAAGAGACTGGCTTCGCGTGGCGACTTGGTGGTTGTTGAAAGTGAGCTCTCAGTGCAAAACAGACAGGATACAGATTTACTAAACGTTTATCAAGGCACGCGCGACTTTGGCAAATTGCAACAGACACAATTATGTCAGTGCCCGAGGCAGTCTGAGTCCCTCCACAGGATCAAGGTCCACTAGTCACCAGGCTCATCTTGACCTCCTCAAGGCTTCATATATCCTGTACGATATCGTTCTCGAGGAAGAGGCCTCTCCTGGTCTTTTGAGTGATGAGGATCGCAAGTCAATTGTCGAACTTTCTGAAGTCAGTGCCTTCGTTTTTTTTTTACTCCAACTTGCGACTGATTCAATCTAGGGCATAAACGAGGAGCTTTCCCAGTATACTTCCATCGATATCCCCGAACCGTCAAATATACATGTCCAAAACCTCGCCATTTGGGAGCCCATGCAGCCGGAGGAAACTAGGGATGGCGGCATTGATCTAGACTTTGGCTTGGATAATTTGCGTTGGGTCGCCGTCGATCTAGAAGATGCAGGCAACGAGCAGGAAAAGGTCCTCTACCGCACATTTGTCAACGCCAGCGTTGGGGGCAAAAGGTCTCGCATGCGTACCAAGGGTGCTCCCTATATGCTCTTGTTGGCGACACGGGAAGGTGAAAGCGAACCAAAAATTGTGTTCTGCAACCAAAGTGGCACTCTGTGTCTTGAACGAGACTGTAAGTCACGATTCTTACAATACCCTCTCATAGAATTAACCGATGATGTTAGTCGTACTGGGTGATCTACCACCCTTGTCCAATTATCAAATGCCGCCTTGACTGGCTTCCCTGGAGCCCGAGTCTCGGAACCCGTGCCATTCAAATTTGATGATATGAGCGTTTCGATATCATTTCAGTTTGATGGAGATCTCGCACAATTCATCAATATTCCGAAAGCTTACTTTGACGCCGTATGGCAGAGAGAACCAGTTGATGCACCCGAATTTACCGAGAGCGTTATTTTCAAGAGCTCGGTGGATATGTTCGAGCAGCTGAACACGCCGACAATGAAATCAATGAACCCGCCTGTCGTGGTGAAATCCTGCGAGGTGCGCATTCTTGAACGGTCATTTGGGGAAGCCTGGCGGTCTATCCGACGCATGGTGATCACTTCCTCTGCTGCTGAGAAATCCCCACGAACTACAGAGCTCTTCATGCCTCTCAATGGAGTTCAGATCAACAGGGGAAATATGTCACGTCAGCTGGTCTTGCAGTGGTCTGACACATGCCAGGCGAGATCAGACAAGACCGATGGCAATTACAACACCCTGCATTCATACGTGTACGATGACACTGCACCAAATATTGGTGTCGGCCTGCAATTTCATTCACATCAAGAGGCGGAAGAATTTGAAAAAGCCGTGCTCGAATTGAACTTCCGTCCAGAGTTCTCCTGGTCACAGCCCAGTGGCTCCGGCCTCATCTACAATGTGGTTGATGCTGGAACCGAGCACAAGCAATACAAAGCTGTGCTAGTATTCCGAACTCGGGCATCGTGGCGATATTCAGACCTGTACTATATTTACCGTGACGCCGACTATACATACGACCACTCCTCATCCAGCATCCATTTCCCCGCATCTACTGCACAGACTACATCTCGACTCATGTTGACCAGCTCTACCATCCAGAAAGCCCTGTCACATTCTTCCATTGCGACAAAAAGACCAGCCAAACAACCATCGAGTTCGGCAACGATTCAGTAGCCCGCTCATTCCTCAGCTCCCTCTCTCCTCTGTACGAACTCCTCTACTCCCGTCGTATCCAGTCCCTATCAACAAAAAGCAATTCGGTCTTTGGTTTCCAAATGTCCGGCAAGCGCAGCGCCGATATCCAACTATGGCGTCGAGGAACGGATTTCCAACTCGCCGCGCGGTGGGATGATTCCGTGCCGGACAAGTGGCTTACCATGGCTGTCCCGTCAGAATTCATCGATTGCTCAAAAGAGAATACCCGAGTCACACTGCCGCGTCTTCCATACTTGCGTGGTATGACACTTGATATGATGAATGTTATGGCTCGCAGCCCTAAGAACTCCAATGCCAAGAACAAGGAGGGTGCCATGTCAATTTCTTTTCAAACAAGTAAAGGTCGGTCTGCCTCCTCCCTTTTGGTCCTAATTCTCTTAACTGTTCCTATTTTGCTAATTTATATCGGGATTGATCATAGACCGAGATGAGTTTCTGGCTGTGTTACAAGGGCAGCAGTTGCCGAAGTTCCTATAAAATCATCTACTCGGGTTCAATAGACAATTTCAAAATTGCCCTCCTTAAAGATCTTCCAATGGGGTCCAATAATATTGATCAAATCTCCAACCTTTTATAATGTGGTAGATGAAAGAACGGCTATACACACGGAGCGTTAGGGAAACTACATATCCATGGATGTTCCACGGTATGCCAGTTTGTTTGACCGTAAGTCGTACGCATGATCGTATAATCGCGCGGCTTGGTGCATTTACTAGCCTCTAGATGTAAGATTATTAAGCTTCAAATTTGTGTAGTAAACAAATTCAAATTAAATTCGATTAAAAAAAGATGACCAGGCACTGCCTGGTCATCTTTTAAGGAGACCCCAAGGAAATTGGGGAACCTGGTTCGCTCGCGGTTTGAACCGCGAGCTTTAGAGGGAATCCGCACTCCCGTATAGAGATAGAGGTTGTTACCCAGATGAGTGAGTTGCTTGAGCCACTCAGCCATATCTGCTGGATGGGATATAAGACGGTGAGGTCATATTTAACCATAACATCTGATCTTCCAGATCAGGATCCTGTATATAATGTAATGTTTGCCATTCTCTACATAGACCAGATGCAGTACCACCTGTGGACAGAGATACGTAGGTATCAACGACTTTCCCAGAACTGCGCATCAATAGCAACCAACCGATTGAACAGTTGATTCCGTGATCTCATACCAGTCAAATGGTATGACTGGCCCAGTTCATCACCGCTAACGACCAGCCCATCTGCAGCCTCCTTGCTCCCAGCCGTCAGTTCAACTATCAATTTCCCCTTCCAGCCTAGTCCTTCCGTCTTCTTCAGCTCTTTGATTTCGGTGACTGGGATCTGGAATAGAACAGATCCCTTTTTCCTACTTTCAATGCGTAAATCATCCAGTCCAGAGGATTGATATGTGGTGAAATACAAGATAGGAGGCTCCTTCGATGAGTCAATGACTGCCGCACCCCTCTTGCGTTCGTACTTTGCGTCAAACTTCAAAGGCCCGAAAGGCGTTGCAGCAAAGTGTCCATTTTGCAGCATTCCGATCAGATTCTTGGTATGTGCTGACCCTGCAATGGCCATGGCTCGGTCAAAGGCAATATGGCCCTTGATTGCTGTGGAAATAGTGCGCTTAAAGAACTTGAGGAGCTTGAACACAAATCTCTTCTTCGGCACCTTCGTTTCCGGGAGCGATTCGGTGGAGTTCGTTGACTGAAGGTCCACAGACGATCCCTGCCTGCTGACGTCTGTAGAGCTCGCTGCCTGTGACTTTTTGCGGCGGATGGGCCATACCGGCTCGTTGTCATCGGATGATGGGGCGGGAGGTAGTGGCGAAGAATTGATCTCGCCAATTCGGAGCAGGGTCAACGTGAGCTGCGCGTTTGTGGGAACGCCTGCCAAAAGTGTCCTGTATCTAGGGTCAGCAACGCAATAGAAGACCAGAAAGAGACGAGTGCTAGCATACTTCTGCAAATCGAGATGATCTTTCCAGTTTGGCACTTTAGCGTTCAGCAGGTCAAGGGTGTAGGTGAATATTGGGTCTCCGAAAAAGCCTAGTCCAAGTGCGAAGCCAACGAGCTTGATGATCCAATAACTAGATGTGAAAGGCACGATAACAGATACCAGGGTAAATATGCTTGCGAGGCGGAGTCTAGATGTAACCAAAAAGAACGGAGGTGTCGGGGAAAGGATACTGTTATATCGTTAGTACCGCGTGTTCATGAATCCTTCCAGAATGTACTCACTTGGCAAATTTCTCATAGATATCAGTAATATCGCTCAAAATACGCATGACATTATCAGTCGCGTGCGACACCTTCTTTTTCATGGGTTTCTTGGTCTTGTCTTCCGGGGAGTCGCCGGTCGGAGTGCCGGCTGTAGCCTCGGCAGCTTCTAAGCTTTCAATGAGCGCAGGTCTATCGGGGGCGTCCTCCGGAACTGTTTGACCATATTTGGCCGCTGCACTCTCCATAGCGACAGTGGCAAAGCTGTCAACCAGGTTCTTGGCTTCTTGTTCAGCGGCTTCACCCTTGTGGTTTTCGGGAGCGCCCGTGAGGCTATCCTCAGATTGAACTTCTCCTTCTGTAGGACCGATTCCATTTGAGTCGTCTGTCTTTACCAACCCAGGGAATAATAGTTGCCGAACAGGCGGAACCATTATCAAGGCTACGACAAGACCCGAAATAGTCGGAACCAAGAGATCCACCGCCCAAGCAGCAAAATAGCCCTGCAAATTATTAATATCGTATGTAAAGCCTGACCGTTCGTGATCCACATACCACGCAGAAGATTGTCGTCCTCACTGGTTCCTTCCATGAACGCAGGCGAGTGACATGGCGGAAAAATTCGGTCACTCCGACAACCACAGAGGTGTAAAACCTCTCAAGCGTAATGCGCAGTTTTTCGGGCGGAAATTGCTCATTTTCAGTGCGACTGAGATCCAAGTTCAAAGAAGCGGTATCATGAACCGCTTTCACATGGTAGATTTGCTGGTCACATGTCAGCGATCATTCTCGACACCTAGAGACCACACTAACCTTGTCAAATCGTCGGATCAACATCCATAAATCTTCATTGGACAGACCCTTTGCCAGAGTCTCGTCTACATTCCGTGACGACGCCTTCCATTGAGTGCTGGGCGGTCTCGGGCTCAGTGTCTGGAGGGGACCAGCCTCTGGGGCTTGAGTGAGGTCGTGGCTCTCATCGCCCAACTCTCCCGGCATTTGTGCTCCATGGCTCATCTTCAATAATTGTCGAAGAAAAATGCACTGAGTGAGAAGCTTGGTAATGCTTACGACCTGCCCAGGTGGGCAGTGGACGTTGGCCTAGCGCGTACCCCATGTTGACAGAGTGTGGGGGTTGACGTCATGGCTTGGCTATTTTTGGAGAGCTTGGACTCCCTTCTTCCAGATATGGAAGGCGGTACATAAAGGGACACCCACGTGGCACATGTTCTTCCCAACACATCTTCATGCAATGAACATCATTACTAGCCTAGCGTCTTTATCCTTTCTTCTTTAACATCTATAGACGCTCCATGAGTTAGCGCAGGTATCTCACTGTCGTTTCTTGCCTATCGCCGTACAACGTTCGGTAACCCCAACCCAAGTCGGTTTCTGAGGTCGCACATTGCACACATTTTTCACCAATTTTCCAGATTTCGATGCGAATACTTCTTAAACTTCCAGTATAAACCATTAAATAATGGTGAGCTCGGAGAGGAAATCTGATTTAACTTGGATAGACAAAAGAAAAAGCTACCAGGAAGACATGGATGAGTCGTCATGATTACATGCAGTCACTCACGCTTTAAATGTACCTAGGTAGGTACTCATCTGGCAGAGCCTCTTGCCTTTTGTTCTATATCTCCAGCTAAACACGGTCACCAACACGATGTCTTTAAAAGATCTTCTTCCTTCAACAACACGAAGATACAAATATGTGGGAATAAAGCAATGTATTATGATTATGTGTGAAGAGATATATCGATATGATCGTGAGGAACGTGGAGGCTCACCCAAGCCTCATTTTATCATAGAATGTGTTGATGAACGCTCCTTCCTTGAGTGCTTTGTGAATTCCGAAGAGAAAGTCCTCACGCTGTCATGGGAGACTTACGACCATGTTTCTCAGTTCGTTATTTTAGAAGTCGGGTCACTTATCCACGAAAATGCGAAAGACCGGTTTGATATGATTTTCTTTAGTTGGGCCAAAAGCTTCAGAGATACTGCAAGCGCCGAAGATGCCTTCATAGTGCCTACAAACAGACGGCATGTCCGCGGAGAGACGATGAGCAACAAAGGAGACATTTCCTGGATGCCTATCGGTCGGGAACGCGCAAACGTCGAGTGGCCAACTTTGGTTGGCGAAGTAGCGTGGTCTGAGCCACGACAAAAACTCCTGAAAGATATCGAATTCTGGCTCAAAAATTCCAACGGTCAAGTCAAGGTCGCGATCACAATCACCGTCCATGTGAATGGCCGAATTACCATCGAACAATGGACAACGAAGCTAAGGCCTGACGGGAGCATGAACCTTCAGACTACTCAAAAGATGGAGATCGTGCGCAACCCAGCGCCAAATTGCCCCAGGATCAGTGGCCAGTTTAAGCTGCAATTTTGTGACATTTTTCTTCGCGAGAAAAAGGGCGCGAAGACTGATTTTGTTCTCACCGAAAGCGACTTGGAAGATATTGCGGGTGTTGTATGGGCTAACCAGTTCCTGGGCAATAGTGCCTACAGGCGCAGCGGCACATTTAGCCACGGAGAATATGGAGTAACAGAAGGATGATCTTGAATCGGTCTGGCCAGCCGAAGTGTTAGGGTGGTCGATCGGCTTGTTTAGTGAGGCAGCTCTCGCCTTTTTGCACAATATATGGTGCTAATAATAGTCGCTTGCTTATACGGTCTTATCGTGTCTTTTTAGTCTTTCTATCGCAAATGTGGTTTACCACACCGGCAAGATCGACACAAAACGGCACTCAGATCAATTCAATTTGCGTGCCTGGTCCACATTGTAAGTATATCACCCCAGACTGCTAAGTCCCATGGCAAAAACCGAATTACCGAGCCATACCTAGGTAACACTGGAACACGCTGATGACTTAGAGAACAAATAAAGAACCGTGGACAAGTGTAGAATTCCAAAATCTTTACCAAAAAGAACTACGCAGTCTGGACCCAAAAAAAGAAGTGCAAAAAGAAATCTCTCCCTCGGGGAATCGAACCCCGGTCTCCCGCGCTTATCGGTGTTAATGACAAGCGGAAATCATCACCACTAGACCAAGGAAGATGGGATGGCTGAGTTACTGCTCGGCCACTTGGCTGGTTGATGAAAATATTTGCCCGTCTGGCCAGTATAAGCGAATTCTCCTCCAAGGTACTTTTCCGCCATCATCGTGTCCGATGAACACACAAGTCTGCATATAACATAGTATTCTTCTCATTCCCCTTCCTTTACTATAATTATTCTTTATTTTCTATTTCTTGACTTTAGGTTGGTGTATTGATTTTTGAGTACGAAATGGTCAAGACAGTAATCTTCTATGACAGCATAGCCAAACCGGATCGCATAGTCCCTAGGTGAATAGCCCTAATAAAAAACTCGTCATTCACGTGAGTTGTAGAGCGAGGACATACCCTGAAAATTTGCGGGCTGTAAGACCGTTTCTATAGGGGCAGCTAGGGCTATGAGCCTTAGATCCTACGTTACTTCTGTTCTGCAAGATGCGACTTCGCATATATATATATATATCATTTAATAGAATTTCAATAAAAGATGGCTGCTGAGTTGTTCCGATCATAATTAAACCGACCATATAACGGGAGAGAACCCAGTCGTGCGAACAACGAGATATCAGGCCTAACACAACTGAAGATGCGATGGGAATAATCAAATATTGAAGACTCGAGAGACCATAAGCAGCGACCGGTACAATTCAAGTACCGAGCGGCCACACTGATTGAGCCTAAAGACGGCCTGCAAACGAAGTCAGATCACGGACGATTCGTCAACGCATAGCAGACACTGTGGTTCACACTCGGTTCTGGGACCCTGAAGCAACACAGCTTTCAAATCGTGGCGGATTAGATATTAGTTCTCGCCGAATGGTCGGGATGGGCCTCATCAGGATGGATGTGAACCAAAGGGTAAGCCAGACAGAGTAGATCTGAAAGGGGTTCCACATGTTGGACGTATTCAAGATTGCGGGGCAGAAGCATTCATTCAGCTCTCCTTGTCGTGGCTACGGAGCTTATCAAGGCTATCACGAACAGTCTCCCGAACACTGAAGCCACCAAATAGCCAGTCGTTCGAGTGGCGGCCGTAGTGGTTGACAGTTCCACTGTAGCGCTTGTAGTCACCGCTGTTCTTGCGAGTGGGAGTAGATGTGCGCTTAGGGACGCCCGCCTTAAATGAATGGGGCGAACCCATGTTGGCAGACATCTCGGTGGGACTGCTTGAGATGTAGCCCTGATCCGGGAAGTACGAAGTTTTGGGGTTGCTCCGCGGGATATCTCGAGGCTGTGACATCGTGACTTGGCGGCTCTTGAGGATATCGATTGGTGCGGGAGTCTTGGATCGGAAGACCTTTGAGAGAGGGTTCGAAAATTTAGAATGCTTCTTCTCTTGAGAGAACTGGCTTGTCTGAGAGGAGGTTGAGGTAGCTGATGTTTGTGAGAGGGATCTCTTAGGATAGATGTTGGACTGAGTGTGCATCACTTGGAATATGAACTAGAGGATGAGAACCGGGAGTCAAGGAGCCTGCGGGATGGGTTTATTTATATTTGAGACACCGAAGTCACTTCCCAGTTTGGATCGTGGGGTCCTGTAGGGCAACCAACCAAAACGTAGCCCAAAGCGCAATATTGTCGCTATGATGTCGTCAAACACGGACAAAGGAACGCCCGCGGGAGAGAAAGGACCAATCAGCTTCATGGTAGACGACTTAGCTCCGAACCGGTCCACATTACAACCAATAAGAATCGAAAGGAGGAAGTTGGAAGATCCACTTGTAAGGTTTAGTGTGATTGTTTGTTGTCGGTGAGATTGGAGAGATTCCGAGGGTCAAATTGCCCAATCGCCCGCCCACCAGCCAATCAGCAATTGTTTCTGCCTTGGAGCCTCCTCTTCCCGCTCCCTGGACACCGCAGATTCACCGCATTTTGACATCTTGACGCGTCTGGGCTTCTTTTCTCACCTTTGGAATGACACGTCTACAAACAAAAATTTTCGCTCGTGCATAAACGTATACCATTTGAAATCCAGATACGAGAAAATCGTCCATCCCTGATTCCCCTCGGGATCGTGAGGTCCGCCCGAGTGGGTCACTCCGCGGGGTTGGCATATTATTCAACAAGAATACGAATTATGAAGCCTTGACGAGACATGCCGATACTCCAATTTTCATTTCTTTTTGCCAATCAAACTAGTTTTACCCCCCCCTTCTAGCGCCCTTCTAGAATGCCGTGCTAACCGAGGGACTCGACAGGGATGTCTGAGTCGCCTGGCCCCCACAATCCGTCAGCTCAGCTAGTACATAAAAGGATAGGATAGCTGGGGGCAATCGCCTGCGTGCCCACGCGAATATGCTGTACGTCAAGTGGAGATCATAGTGATGTCGGCCGGGTTGAAAAAAGCTATCATAAGAGATATTTGGTCGTTATAAGTCTTACACGGCAGTCTCCGAACTAATATTGATCATTCTTCTTGTTTAGGTGCGTACTCGGTCCCTTGAGAGAGCAAAAAGGGGTTTATCTAGAGGTTTAAGGTCTCTTTCTACACCATTGTCTCAAATCAAAGTAAGTGGTTGAATCTAACTACTCTTGATCAAGAAAGGAAATACTAAAGCGTAGTCAGCCATCTAGCAAAACCATTATGGGCCGATTCGATGTGACAGTAGACAGTAGCTCGTTGAAACACAGCTCTCGCCGAAGCACGCAACTCTAGGAATGAACATTGACCTTCCACTGTCTATTAGGCCATTGACCATCTCCTAGGTTCCGCGTGGTGATTATTTCCAGGAGAGATGGCTCATGACCTTCGAGCATTTCAGGCCGGTCTAAAGAAATCAGAAAGTAGCTCTTTTTGTGCCAACCAGTAAAGGCAGAGCCAGTCTCGTCGAAAAGCTTTCTGAGCCACTTCCCTATATCCCCGTGTGTCAGAGCTTTCGGATTTGCAAGGATCTGCGACAACGCCTTGTGATCCACGTATTGCATAACAAGTAATCACCCGTAAAGACTGGCTAGACTTATCGATCCAAAATGTTGTCGTGATGTGAATTTTGACAAGAGGATGTTGAGTGAAAGCACAATAATGATCCACATAAGCGCGGATGCGTATCAATCTCAGATTGTGGAACATGTAGTGGTGATCCTCTTGGCGATTGGGTAGCCCGTCCTTCTGTGACTTTACCATATCAATCAAGTGGCGTAAATCCGGAAATTTAATGCTGAAGCAAGGGCAGATATCGACCTCACTAGTGTAAAAGCATGGGCCTCGAGAAAGTGGCCAGTTAAGGCGAAAGTGCCATTTTGGAGGTGGGTATAGCTTCTGGTAACACTGGCAGTAGTAATGGCAATGTTTCCAGCGGCCATTCTTAAGTTGGTAAAGTTTGTTCTTACCCTTTGACCCTCGTACTCTGCCGGTGGTGTTTCATGTGGCACTAAATGAGGCTTCACAAAGAGTGGAGGTAAGTTTGGAGAATCTTCGCCTTACATGTTGGACATCCATTTTGTGGCCGTCTATCTGTGTGTCTGGAAGTCGACCGAGATGACCGATGAGTTGGGCTCAGATCTTATTTTGCGCGAGAATAGTGGTATCTCTCCCTAGGTAGCAATGACCGCATTTTTACGTCGACGATGCTGAAAGGTGCTTTCCTAAACTGGTTTAGTCCTTGAGCTACCTACGTAGGCTTGGCTGCTCGGGTATACCGGCATATCGACACCATCGTGCTGGCTATTCTCGCCCTCTCACCTCATCTCTATCGCAGAGCTATCCAAGCTGACTCATGCCCCACTATTTACCCCTATTTCACCCATCTACAACTTCATAATGGATAGTCTCACCTGGCTAGAGGTGGTCATGATATTGCTACAATTCTGCATCCTTGAACTCCAATGGGATGTAGGTCCCCAATGCCATGTTTCTAGAATGACGCTAATGATTCCGAAGCGTTGGTGCCTACGTAAACGCATCAGGGAGCTTGAAAAACACAAAGAATCTGGGTCGCCATCTGCCTAAGATTCAAGATATATCTTTGTCTGTTTTGTGTGTCTGAAGTCGGTCAAATGACGGAGAAGCTGGCTTAGCTAGGACTTGTGCTGCTTGCGCAAATTAAAATTCGGAGGTCGAAGTTTAACTTTGCACGAGAATATTGGTACCTAGTGGTGACCGTATTTGTACGTCGACCATCCTCATGCTATCCTTCTCACTTCATCCCTCGCGCAGAGCCACTCAAGCTGACTCCAGCCCGCCGTTTTCCTTGCCCTTAGCTATCTACAACTTTACGATGTCGGAAATTAGGATGAGCTTACTATTTTTAGGCATCGGCCTTATTGCTTCAGGCGCCGGCTTAGCGGCCCTACGACACGATGTAGGTCACCAGTACCGTGTTTCTAGAACGGTGCTAATGATTGTAAAGTGTTCGCAACAGGAGAAGCGCATCCAAATGCTTGAAAAACACGTCAGATTATGGTGGGAATCTGCCTAAGATTTGAGGTATCTCCTCAGCATCACGATTCTGGAATGAAGCTCACATAAAAGGAGTCCTAAGGTATGACTGCACCTGGACACCTTTTTCCCCGCGTCCCATAGGCGCTTGTGCTGGCATTTACCCTGCAAAGGAATATATCTATTCATTGGCCGTCGCGTGCTAGAAGTCCAGGAAGTGGATAGCGAAGCGATGTACAGCATTGACAGAACGTGCCAGTCGGGGAGGGACGTCATATGACCTTCACGATCTTGCAGTTACTGCAGTTTAAACCCCGTTTCCCAGCCTCCACTGGCAACTTGGATTTGCTCGTCGATCACTGGGATGGGAGGATTGAGGTACCCAGGGCGGTGGAATTCCACTAGATAATCCAGACCAATCGATAGTAGGTTGCTATACTATACCTGTCGAGATCATCCCATCTTATATGGATGTCTTGTTTGTTTTGCAGGCCTCTTTAAAAGGCCTTCCTCTGCTAGTTCGAGTGCAGAAGATTCTTCTTCCTCATTTTGATTCTATAGTAGTCAGTTGCTGTAGCCTCAACAATACCAAAAGGTATCCCCAACGATGGTTCGTTTCGAAGACTTCCAAGTCTTCTATCTGTGCGTTTTCCTGACTGGGTATTTTCTTAGGGCTGGCGGCGGTCAACAATGAATGCTCTTCTTTCACTATATCTCGAAACGATCTGGGAAGTTCAAAGAGGCGTAATGCAACTATAGAAAGCCAGCAATCTGACTGTCGCAATATTGGATAAATTCCGCTGCAATTCCAGTGCCTCCTTCTTCTTCTCCCTTCATCGCTCGCAACAAATCATCTCTTGGACACGGATGTATCCGCCCCCAGGGTAATATATACCTTCCCCCATCATCGATTTTTAGATCACCAGCAAAAGCCGACCAGATTGCAGTATATGCCCCGAACCTAGGTGCATAAAGGAACGGCCCAAGAAGAAAAGGAACAAAAGGTTGGCTATGGCGCATGATGTTTGTCTTGATATTCCCTGGGTTCTGCACCAAGCTTAATATCCCTTCTCCATGAACCTGGCTTGCGAGAGCATCTGCCAAAAACCAGTTTCCCACTTTAGTGTTCAGGTAATTGCGTGACTGGTCCGCGTCTTTTTGAAATAGTTCTGCAAGCTCTATCCCGGCCTCAAGCGCGAATGCATCAACGACAATCGACGCTGTCCAGATAACTCGCACACTAGCGACAGGTGTAGCGCCAGCCGTGCGCCGTAGCACTGGCAAAAGAAGTTGAGTGAAAAGATGCGGCCCGAGACAATTAGTTGCCAATTGCAGATCGTGGCCCTGGGGAGAAATCGCCCGTGGAGGGTTAGAGACACCAGCGTTGTTGAATAAAACATCCAGACGAGATTCAGCGGTGGTGAATCTCTTCACTGCGGGCTTGATGGTTGTCAGGTCATCTAGCGATAGAGGGAGGAAAACGATGTTTCCCTTTGGGGAGGTCGGGGTACACAAGCTTTTGATCTTCGCAATCGCATCCAAGGCCTTTTCTTCAGACCGACCGGCGAGATAGACTGTTCCCCCTACTCGATAAAGGATTCTGCATATCTCGAAGCCAACTCCCGAATAGCCTCCAGTTACGATGAACACTTTATCGTTCTGGCTGGGAAGATTGACTTCGGTCAGAGTAGGAGGGGGAGGGAAAATCTGCGACCAGGTAACTCCCATACTGTTGAATTGTTTATTGAATTGTTGATCTATGGAGGTTGGGACAAATATTGAAAGAATCAATAGTGACGAAGAGGAAATCCAGTTTCCCACCGAACCTCTTGCTCCGTTTCGCCCTCGATATTCACCGAAGAGATACAGATACCACCTTGTATGTACAATATCCATATATTAACGACTTGCTTGCCCTAATACCACCGTCCTCACTTTCAAACCCCCCGAATCATCCTGTTTATGCAAAGAACTCGTATAATAAGTCTCCCACTTCGCACAAGTTGATTCAAAATCAGCCGAAACAGAGGCCACCAGCTCCGGTATCTCCGACTGGTGCTCTACAAATTGCAGTGCTAAACTCTGGCTAGTATGCCAGGCAATGTGGCAATGCATGAGCCAGGATCTAAAAGTGCGTTAGTGAGTTCACAAGAGAACAGATTTTGATACGTACCCCGGATTGTCGTTCTCGAATGCAATGACGAGATACCCAGAACCAGCCATTGTGGCTGTATCCCGTCGAGGTGGATTCTTGCGATTTAGCTTGGTTAGAGGAGTGTAAAGCCCAAAACCTTGTGCTAGGATATAAAAGTCGTGCCCATGGAGATGGAAGGGGTGGTAGGCATTGACGAAGCCCAAATCTTGAATGACCCAGTATGTCCACTAAGACCGTTTCATCAGCCCAAAAAGCAGGGACAGCTAGTACTTTGTCCAAACTTACAGTCTTATCGGCAGGGATCTCGTATATATTGTAATCAGACGGGAAGACCGACTGATTACGGTATATGAGAAGGTCTGTCGGTCGCCGCCAATCAATTTCCAATGCCTTGGTGTTGATTGCCCAGTGGAAGACGAGGTCAGTCTCATAGAACCACCCAATATTCAAATTCTTCTGGCTGCCCGCGTTGCCGACGTCTTTCCTCACATAAGGAACTAGACTGCCGTAGGGCTCGTCGCCACACGAATTCGTGATTGATGACCATTGCTCCGTTGTAGGGTCAGCCTGACTAGCACCCTCATAGCGAATGATACCTTTTATATCGTTCCTGCCAATTGATACTCCATTGCATGCGGTCTGGTATATCACGCGCATCCAATAGTTATCAATGTCTTGGTTCGCCTCGAATATAACATCATATCGTTGACCAGAAGTGAGAATCACACTATCAGTTTGATAGGGTACAATAGGTACCAAGTCAGCTGCAATGACTGTGAGTTTGTGGCCGTCAATAGAGAATTTCATCCACCCGTCTGCCTGGGCGTCGAGCAGTCGAAGACGATATTTCTTGCCCTTCTGTATCACGGTCTCTGAGCGTTTTCCTGTTCCCAGACAGGCTGGATCGTTTGAATCATCGCAGGGAAATGTGTTCGTGCCATTTATGAGACCATTTGGCGCAACTGCATTGTGTCGCACCGGAAAACCACCATACATGCCACTCTGTGCCCAGAGAATGAAAGCACTTTGGTGGTACCACTCTGTCATAAAAATAGGCCCCAGGTCAACATCGTAGTCAGCAGTGGCAGGTCCATGAATAATGAGTGGTCCGTATAGGCCATCGGACAGCTGTAGACTCCAGTGAGAATGGTACCACGATGTCCCATATTGAGCTGCGCGGAATTTGTAGGTCATGCTTTCCCCTGGGGCAATGGGGCATTGGGTAACTCCAGGGACTCCTATTCGACATCAGCTTTCCTTCAGTGAGCGCACCCTAGGTTTGGTAGAATACCGTCGTATTGATTAGACCCTTGTTGTCTAATGCCATGCCAGTGAACAGCAGTACTAAAATTAAGGTTAGAGTTTCAGCCTTCACTTGCTTTTGGAGAACATCTTCATACCCGTTATTTGTAAGTTCATTGGTGACATGAATAACTAACATATCACCCCAGTTCGCCTCAAGTCGAGGACCAGGGTAGCTGCCATTGAAGACTAGCATCTGTCGCTCATAGCCATCTGGTGCAAGGGTCACATTTTGCACGGAGAGCCAGTTACTAGTTGGTATAGTGTAAGTTGAAGAAGTATCCAGGTAGGACTGCAGCAGACTTGCCTCTCTAGTAACACCAGTTTCCGGAGTGACACTCGAGTAATCGGTCGAGGAACTATACTCTCCCCAGCAGTCTCGCGAAATCGGTGTGTTCTCGCAAAATTCTGCATTGACCAAAGCGACACCAAAAAAGATAGCAGCCAACTTGACCAATTTTGGTAGGGGCTTCATTTCGTAAGCTCTACAGTCAAACCTGTTGGGCCTACTATGTCAGACCAAATGCAGGAGAGGGAGAGAGTTGTCTTGAGAAAGGAGACAAGCTCTTGACTGATAGTGTAATGCCTGAGGCACTGTCTGTAGCCTGAGGCACCAATTCCAACAAAAACTACATGTACATACAAACATAGGCAAGGACAGATGGGACTTGTGTAACCATCAATTTGCTTGTTTATGCTTTTTATTTCCGACGTAGTCGAGCTAAGATTACCTGGGCAACCTTGGAAGTCGAAGGTCATCATAGAAGAGTCCATTTCATATATTAAGCCTCCTGCCGCCCTCTTCTGCTGTCTAACAAGCTGAGAAGGCTGAAGAAATATCTATATGCCCAGGCATCTAAAAAGACTACCTGAGGAGACCCCCAAAAATGACCACTAAAAAGACGTATGAAATGACTATTGGAGAAGATCACTAAGAAGATGTTGTGGCTATGATGCAGATGCAGATGCAGATACTAGGAACTGGGAAAATCAAGAAGAAACTGATATTCAATCTATGAAGAAGGCTGTTTATAAAGCCTAATTAAACAAAGTAGCAAAGGCTCAGTCTGTATAAAGAGACATCCGATCTATGGGGATCCTCCAACAGAAGACTACGGCCGCATAAGCAGTCGAGTATTCCAAGATTCTTGTCTCTACAGATGCACATCCTATAACATTGAAGATATGCTCTTAGGCAGTGCATCCAGAAAACAGAATATACCAACAATTTCCTGGTTATGAGTGGAAAGCTCTATTCTGCTTATAAAATTTCCCGTCGAACTTTTAGGAAATACCTCAGATCTTCTCAGAATTCAAGCCTATAACTAGATCAACATGTCCACCTAAGAATTTCAATGCAAAGCCAGAAAAATAGCCTAGCAAACACAACCAGTGCCAATCATTCTTCGTGTTCCTGAAGTGTCCATAATGTAGAGCTCGGCTTCCTCCATGCACGTGGTTGTTCAGAATGACACCTCCGATGCTGTCTTTCGGCCATAAGTCTTGCTGCGTCAGCTCTAGCCAGAGACGACCTCACCCTGTCTGAATCCGAGAGAATAGCTTGCTTAGCCAAATCCCGGGGTGCTACCAAACCAGAAATTGGGTATGGATTACCGGCTCTCGTAATTGAAGGAACGACAACCAAGGAGCGAGTTTTGTTCAAGGGCGGCCGACGTGTCAACCGACGCAGAACACTCCGGTAAGCCAGTTTCGTCTGCCCCGACGATCCCGACAGGGAGATGTGATCATTTCTTTCCTTGATGGATGATCGGAACCAGAGTCGAGGCATTCGCTTTGGTTGACGGGAAAGTTCGGGCATTCCCATATCATCACAAAGCATCTCTTCTATGCTAAATGGAGCCGCCATAGCTTGTTGAAAAGACAGTGGAATGTAAGCTGTGGGGCCACCACCTGCCTTGGATACATGTATTTCCAGGCCCCGAGGTTCACGCATAAACAGTTCTGAGCCGCACTGCGGCCATGTGTGGTGCCTTCTGTGGTGACGGATATGTGGCATATTGGAGAAGAAGAGAAGATGGAATAACTAGGTAGGGTGAGAACAGATAGTAGCGAGTTTTATCCTGTATTCATGATTTATATTTTGAAGTGAGATGAAGACAAATTGGATTGAATAAACAAGGATATATATGCGCCCAGCAAAATGCAGCCTTATAAAGAGCGCGGGTAGTCCTATCCGGGTAACTTGCACGTGTAAAGCTGTACATTACTCACAGGCTTTTCCGGGTGACCATAGACTCATCTGCGAGTGAGAATGACCTAAGAACACCGAAGTGAACATGCCAGGAACTAGAAATTCAGGGGTTCAGATGTTGCCAGCAGATTGATGAGGTACCACAGAGAAAGGAAAAATGAATACTCTCATGTAAGTGCCGTATGAAGCAACTTCCTTCACAAATCTCGGCTGCTTATGCGGCCGTAGTCTTCTTGGTGATCTTCTCCAATAGTCTTTTCATATGTCTTTCTAGTGGTCTTTTTTTGGCGGTCTCCTCAGGTAGTATTTTTACATGATTTCTCATTTTGAAATAGAACGTCTTACAATGTCTTGCATAAAAGAATGACCTCCTAACCTGATGTGGTCAAGAGGACGGCAGATCGTCCCATGACAGCAACGGCCCGTCCAGAGCCAAGCGTCGTACTTCACATACATATTTTCAAAGTGTGGGAAATACAGATAATTTTGATATCTACGTTTTTGCCAAATCCATCTCGAACCATCCGATAGATGACGTGTACGATCGACCCAACCCGACTTCATCCGTTTTGGTTATGCACGTACTTAGGTGAGCTAAGTACTGAATACTTCGGTCTAAAAAGCAACCGGCGCAATAAAACCGTGTACTCGATACTGGTAAAGTGAACGGGAACTCAGACTCCGGAGTACAAAGATCGGCTTCCGCACCCCAGTGCGCACTGCAACTGATCAGACCATGTTAAATCAGATATTTATCTATCCGAAACCAGGCAGCAGTAAAGACAATCCTCATCTACCCCACTTAGACACCGTTTTCAGCAATAGGCGCAGGGGAAATATCCACACAAAAAATGATATCATTCGACACTAATATGTAGAAGGGTCCTGCCTCAATAGGTTAGGAAGTATTCTAGTGATAGAGACATATTATGTAGAAGGGTCCTGCCTCAATAGGTTAGGAAGTATTTGCCTAGTGGTAGAGACAGAGTATGTACAACATAGAAGGGTCCTACCTCAACAGGCTAGGAAACATCTGTCTAGCGGGTATAGACAGAGATGTATGAATGCCCTATTATGTGGGCTGGAGAACTAATCCGATTAGGCCTGCCGCATGTTCTTCGTGGCTTCTTTTGTTCTCTTCATAATTGGTCTCTTTGCTTCAGGAACCCAATGCCTGCTAGTAAATATGCATGTACATATCATATTGCGTACGTGCATTTGCCCCGCTCATTAATCTCCATTGTCCATGGATAGTTATATTAAGCTAAACAGTTGGGCCGCCAGGCTCCATTCCGTTCATTTGATTCCACTGAGCGGGGCCACTTGTTCTTCACAGAAAGAAAATGCTTAGAGAGATCTCAAGTCCTATTTTGAAGTTGATGCGTTGCAGTATGCCGTATGCTTCTCTCATGCCAGCCATTGTTCGAAGGGGAAGTATGATAACTGGAGTAATGAATCCACTCGAAAGAGAACACTCTGATTAGCGTGACCCGATGAAGACCTCGGGAAGTGTGAAGAGTCGGGTACTGCCAAAGCCCGATGATCCTGATTAGGCTAATTAAAAACTCTGCAGAGATTATGAGATTAATATATGGTTCGGCTTTTAGTGTATGCGCTAATAGATAACAGGAAAATTCTTCCGTGACCAGGAATATGCCTTAGAAACAATGCAATAGTGAGTATATATGGAGAAATTAACTGGGAGAAAGTGGACAATAATAGGCCGCACGCACTCGAGACTACTTGATAGATTTTAAAATGCATTCATTTGGAAGAACATTTGAGACCTAGTACCCCCCCTTCGCGGGGCAAATGAGAAACCCCCTTCTGGTACTGGTTCAACATTTATAACGCCGGAGATTGCCCGAACCACGGAAGAAAAAAAAATAGAAAATTAAAGAAAATTAAAGAATGCTACTCCATATATGTCCTTGAATCATGCACGCTGCCATGCCGCGATATCCGCAGCAGAAATGTCCAAGTTTTCCGTCGTGAGTCGCTGCAGTCGTGCCACCTGAGTGGGAGCTAGAGTTTTGGAGGTATCAGCAAGAGTCCGAAAGGGGCGAGCAGGAGGGGCTAAATAATTGGCACTAGAGGGGGAAACGTCATGGCGGAAGAGGGGCTGGTCAAAAAGGAACGGGAAAGAATATGAGAAATCGAAAAGAGGACCCGGAATCAAAGCACGACGGAAAGCAAGAAAGGGAATTGACCCACTTGGCCGTTGGGCAGCCGCACCGGCGTGCACATGGATGATCGTCGAATCAACATACTCCTTCGTTACAACACCATTGTACGAAGCTGCGCTAAGCATCACTCGCAGACGGAATTTGCCCGGCTGCGAGATAGTGAGCGGGCTGAGTTTTGCATATCCGCTCCTTGCGTTGTCGGTGCGGCTCCGCACGCTGGCCGTGAGATTCCCGCTCAGGCCTATGGCAGCTCCTGTGCCGGCTTCGTCGCGGAGGGAGGCGTTCACAACAAGATGCTGCACATTTTGTGCAGGTGTCCCAATTGGGTTCACAGCAATGACTACTGGGACTGTGAAGGGGGAACCGGGCTGGGCAGCTGTTGGGGGAGTAATCTCGAAGGACAGTGTGAATTCACGGCCGGCCATTTTCGCTTTTGGTGGATGGTATGGTGCTTTGGAACAGAGGTGTGTTGGACCACTTGATAAGAAAAGAGTTTGGAGATCGAAGATTATGCTTCAATCCAATCGAGAGGTAATAGGAGTGGAGAGACTGTGGAACTGTAGCCGTGAAGTATAATTCAATAAGATTTGGATGGGAGAAAAGGCAAGGAGAATAGGGAGAATGATTGGTGAGATGGATGAATACGAGAAGCAGATCAAGTATAGATGTGGCCGTACCCGGGGCTTCATATACCTCATGGCACTCGCCGAGAATCAATAACCGGCATACTTTGGACCCATAACCTCAATTGTTGGGTAAGTCCTGATGGGACCACGGAAATGTCGCCACCATCCAAAAGTACACGATTAGCCTGGGCGATGGTCGGCGACCAGGTACCTGGGACGGTCAAGGGAACCACTATGCCCGCAGAAACAACATTTGTGAGCTCAATAAAGGGTCCGCTCGGCATACTGCAGGATCCTTGCAGCACGTTCCGGCAACGGATTCGAACAGTGGGGCGAATGTGGACTCTGCACAGTACATTTTTCCATTTCTGGCTGATCGACGGGTACGCGTCCTAGTGAAATATCATGTGGCTAGTGAATATTAGGTGTGGAGCAAGTATGAGATCTATGAGATCGAAGATGCACTGCAGGAGATCGTGAAGCTAGTGTCAAGACCGACCCCGGGTTTCCCTCAAGACAACGGGTCCCACCATGATCTGTACAACGCAGAGCTTCTGGCTTGGCCATTTCCGCGTGTGCAAACCTGAAAGATCTGACAGAGAAACGTCTTGGCATGCATGATAGACGTTCATATACGAGGACCTGAGTTGCGAATTGAGGCACAACCTCAAGGTGATGTGGTGGTGCCTCGGGGCCTATCCTTTCAATAGTTCCGTGCACGGATCAAGCAGAGGGGTAATGCCAACATCCTTTGATCCAGTATCGCATCGTCGGCGTCTTGTCATTCGGCTGCTGGCATCTAGTGAGTCGCAAGTGTCATGGCTGGGCCCTTCTTGTTGGATGTGGCGCGCCACTAGTATGCAAGTATCTCATCTTGGCCATCATACCTATGAATGTAGTCACTTTGTTATGGAGATGCCTATCCCCACCTAGACTTGGGACACATGATCCACGAGCCGGATCAAAGGAGAACCTCAGACCGCAATTGCTGGCTTTGTCTAGCCCCTTCAATCAGCAAATTCAAGCCACACCCCCAACGGTGAACTGTGGCGTTTATGGAGTCAAGTGGACATTGCTTTCGCCACTCGGAAACACGGGCATATCCAGCTTTGAAGACGGAAAGCCTATTTTGTGCTGTGACCATTCCTCGCTCTTTTCCAACCTTGTAATTATGTTGCCTAGTGGGGATAGAGAAGAGGCGTTTAATTGGGCGATATTGTGACAGCTGGACAAATTAGCATTGGATATTCATGGATTCTTGCACAAAATGATAATCAGCCGCACTGACACCGGCCGGGACTCGGGATTTGATAGAGACCATGTGGAAATGCACGCTAAGGAACTGGTTCGGGATCTGAGATAAACTCCACAATAAGCTTTGGCCATCTCTGTATGATATCAGACTGCCATATGGCCCCTCTAGGCACTAAATAAAAACCTTGATCATTTTTTTTCTTGTTTTCTTGTGGTCTAGTGGTGTTAGACGGTGTATTATTCCCTCATGTGACCCTATCATATCCTTCAATCCTTCAAGTGATGGGTGATCGTCCTGACGATCTCAATAATGTAAATTGGTCAAGGCCCCGCCGCAGCGGCAAGATAAAAGCATGCCAGAAAATGCGAGATCCTTCGCTTTTGACGGTCCGGAACCACAGGCGCATGTACGGAGTAGAATAAAGTCTGATCCCAAGTGCTGGGAAGCGAGGCAGCTACGAGACACTGAACACTACCAGAAGAGAAAGCTAATCATCAAATTAGCCTAAAAGGAAACGTATCAGCACTGTAAATTACAATACCCGACAAGTGTGCGGAATATGCAAAACTCGAACCCCAACAAAAAGCAAAATATGGACCTTCATTTCAAAAGTCAATAGTTCGCACCGCCACCATGTCAGCCGTAAGTGGAGTGGCTCGAGTGTGGCTGAAATGTGGCTAGAACTGCAAGGAGTGGCGGGATTCATGTGGCTGTGGATCAGGTTCTTTCCTAATTGGGCAGGTATTCGTGATCCGAGAGTTCCTCACTCGAATTGCCGATCATTTCATAGGTTCATCTGAGATCTACATATTTTTGCGGATTTGCAAGATCTAATGCAAGGTCAAAGCGCGTCTGATAGGTCATTTTGGTACTAGGATTAGGAAGCAGTGTCGCGTCAATGCAAAGATATTTTGCCACTCAAGGGGACATTATATGTATCTGCCTAAAGCTGTATTGGAGTTGGACGGGACGGTAAATAAGTGCGCGTCTACTCCGTGTAGGGCTTCAGGAACTACCTAGGTATGCATAAATGTGAGTCAAACTACTATGTGCCCAGACAGCCAATAGATATTAGCATCTATATACGTAACCATCAGCGGGACCGAACTTAATGCCGGCCGAAAAGAAAAGATAAGTCGCATACACTAGAATCCCTGACTTATGGAACGTTGTCATTCGAACAGCAACCTTCCCCACAACTAATCGGGGGGGAGTCTTTAGAGGAAAATATGGATCACAGTTCAATTTGCACGTTCGACTTGCTTGGAACTTTCCAAAAGCCTGACTCTGATAGAATCTTTCACATTTAATCAGTTAATAGTAAACGTCCTCGCTCTTGCTCGTTCTGGATGGGCTGTGACTTGGGCGAATAAGCTCGGTGTAGATAGACATGGAATTCCAAGAATTATAGAACAATTCATGACTACCTTGTAGTATTTTCTATTACATTTCTATTACAGGAATGAACATTTTAAATAAATATCGCTGTGATGGATATATAGAGGAAACATCCAAGTAACCTTGGAAGATATGGTACGTATGTAGGAAAGTTCTAACTTGCTACTTCCTCATCTCTTCAACCTCTCCCATTTGCCCATTGCGAGAAGACAGTCTTGACGACATTTTGTGCTCTATATCCTTACTGATTCCTGGAGAGTATACCCAGGCTTCCACCCAATGGCGCCACTGGTCACTCGACAGAGCCACTCTTTGGTTCCCGGTATCCCACGTCTCCCAGCACGACCTCCAAACATACCGGTGAAAGTCCATAAGGAAATCGACCCGATGGTATTCTTCGAACTATTCATCGGAACCGTTGGAATATTCGTAATCGCAGTCTTGTTTTGGAAGCTTGGGAGATTCATCAGACGATTCAATCGAAACAAGGTGCTGAAAGCAGGCAAAAAGACGAACACCCGATACGCACGTACATGGTACGGCTGGGTCAAACGGCCGACACATGAGAGAAAATAAAAGGGTAATTCATGACTTCTTCGTTCGAACCTGGAAGTCAGTGACGTGGAAATCGACTCGAGACGACTATAGTTGGATTTGGTGGGATCCTGGCGATGTGAAAACGCAAAAGCACCGTCAAGAACCGAAAGGATTTCCTTGGGTACCAGACTGGCTCAAGAGTTATGATGACTTTCCCACTGCCGATGAAATCTGGAATCCTTGTTCGCGACCCAAGTGTCTTGGAGCTTTAAAGGACAATGTGTCAATACCCCAACCTATTCCGGCTCCAGGCTCTGTGCAGCGGCCGCAAGGGCAAGAAGACATGTTGGGAGAAATCCCACCACCACAACCCACGCTAGTCCATAATCAACCAGTCATTACTCGTTCAATTCTAGAGGAAATTCTCAGGGACCCACTGCAGCCCAAAGATGACAGTTCTGATCACCAGCCATGGTTCAATTCTTGCAATAATGCAGCAAGGCCAGCTACGCGCGCACCGATGCCGTTCCAAGTCCGATCATTACCATCTCGACAGAATCAATCCTACCAGATCCGGGGGTCGATTCCATGGCCGCGTGGTGAGGGATCCCAAGATATCTCATGTCAAATCCAATCTGTCGTGCAGCGTAAGGATATCGAATATGAACTGGCGGAGCCAAGTGGCCCAACGCACGCAAACGAGCCTAAACCACTTCATCATTTTCGTGATCCCCGCAGATACCGCAGATGGTCAGCACGTATGCAGATGGGGCCAAAAGAGCCAGTCTTTGACAACATAGGCGATTCATCTGGCCCTCCCGGGACGCCAAGGACCGAATTGTTGGTCAGCTATGCCTCTGATCACAGCTCTTCTCTTCGCGGTCACCTTAAGAGGCAGCGAAATAGCATCGAAGGGCGCCTGCGTATATCAGAAGATAGAACATCATTCACTTCCAGACTCCTCATCGGAGATCAAGTTTTGTTCTCGAATGAACGGCGGACATATACAAAAACCATCCAATGGAATTCAGCCCCAGCAAGAAGTCGTTTCCGAGGAAAAGGGACTAATTCGAAAGGGAGACCAGCATTGTCCAATGAATGGCGGTCTATGTGTGACCCAAAACATCCTGCCCTCTCCCGTCGTCAAGGGAAAAGCCTGGAAATAGACATCGATCGATACCCTGGGGATCAAATCCAGCTCAAAACAGGAAGTGCCGTCGAAGAGTTGAGTGATTGGGAGGTCAGGATGATGGAGAGGCTGGATCGGAAACTGTTATGGCTCTTCAATGAATTCACTCCTGGGAAAAGACCATACCATTTTGCCTTGCTAGCCAACCACTGGCTGAACAGAGAAACATGGTATGTCTACGATCCCGTATCCAGAATCCCCACCGATGCACGTCGAATGCGGGGAGACCCGCGATTCAACGTTCCTTATCCTCGGCCGGTTTTCAGCCCCAGACCAAAGTACCCTACGTCCAAAAGGAAACGCGCGCAGACTCCTCGGATCGACTCCTGGCGGGCCGCGGTGAACAAGCAGCGGAAGGTATCTGGCGTACGAGACGCCATTCGCACTATTACACTGTACGATGAATCGGCCGAGGAACCGCCAGATGGTCATATCGACCCAGGCTGTTGGGTTTTGCCGAAACCGCCTCAAGGGTTTGAGATGTCCACTGCGCAGAAGAACGCTTGGTATGAAGGAGGAGCAGGCTGGCAAGAGAAGCTTGATGATTGGCAGCAAGTTCCCCGGGATATCGAGTCCGCAAAGCCATCCACGAAGGCCGAGTCAACCGGAACAGGGTCAAGGAAGTCGCAGCTCAAGTCAACCAGCGCTGTCGTACTGCGTCCGAAAAATTGACCCCAAGCCATGATCTTGAGAAAACAAGAGCTCCAAACTTCCTTGTCTCGTGATTCTTCTCGGACCAATCACTTTTCATACCAGTCCCTTGTGTTCATTTTGTCCTGTCCTATCTGTAACTCGACCGGGTTTTGCGCTTCACACTCATTTGGAACACACTCAAGATATCCATCACTTCTGGTGCCATACACTCACTACCATGTCTGTCGTTGCGTCTATATCATTAGTATACCCCGGGAACCCCGAAACTGAACATAAATAAATATCCTTGCCAAAATGCATTTGAATTGAAAATCTGATCTAAGCGCTGGGGTAATCATGGAACATTGTAAGCCACCATCCTCTGCAGAGTGGCCGCGCTGCAAATTCCAAAAAGCCAAAACTCCGGTTGTCCATATGTTATTTTTCGCTCCGACAAGTGCCCCGCCAGAGTCGAGTTCGGATGTATAGTACATGTGCGGGGGAGAAAAATCCGTTTAGAAACCGGGAGGGTTGACACGTTGGCTGACACGAGTCCACTTCGGCAGCTCTGAAGGTACGGAAATTGGTTAGCTGAGCCGATCCAACAGTAGAATGCCAACGGGTGTGAGCATTGGAAGTAGAGGTAGGACAAGAACATACTGTGAATGCTCTTCCGGTAGCTCTTCTCCTTCTTATCGAAGAGAGTGTACTTGTCCTTCGGCAGCATTTCCTCCTCACGCGGCATCTCCGCAAACCACCGGCTCACAGCCTTGGAGGTCTGACCATTGCGCTCAAGTGCGGCGCTGACAGTGTCGACAACCCGGTCAACGGAGCGCAGGCGCTTGCGCTGGCGTGCCTTCTGGGGGGAGGAGACGCCACGGGGTCTTCCTATTATTCGGGAAGGAATGTTAGCTTGGGTTCGAATAATTGAGACTTTGGTCGAACGGCCAAGGACGCACCAGAGAAGACCGCCAAATAGTGCTTGGGTTGATTTGAACATGGTTGGTTGTTAGTGTCAGGGTGTAGCCGGGGAGAAAATCGTGCGAGGAGTCGGGAGTGTAATTGGTCCGTGCGCTGGATGTATACAAAAAGTTACTGATGGAATGGCCGAGTTCCTAATTGGTGCAATTGATAGTTATGAGGAGAGTGATTTATATAGTGAACTTAATTGTTCAGCCTAAACTACAAATAGTCTTATTATTAAAAAAACGGCATTGCTGGCCTTTGGTGATTTACTGTGAATGGTTACCCCAACCAAAATCATGTGATTCCCAAGTGTCTGTCGATTTCCAGGGACGCGACATTTTTTTAAAACTACACTCGAATCAATTACATCTGCTCTTCGGAGAATATACTCCTTTCCAAGTTCTATTAGCTTGTGCAAAGCTTTTCATGTTCATGGATTGTGTATAGCTTTTCTACACCATCCATCATGGACTCGAGCGCAACGGCAGAGGCCCCGTCCCTCCCTTGGAGGGCTCTGTCCAACACAACAATGTGGGGAGTGGCGGGTCTATGTCGTGGTTTTCTTTCTGTTTTCTGTCATGCAGAATGTCACGGGAAAGAAGCATTTACAGAGCTGTTGGACTCTCGACATGACGTTTCGCAACGGACAAGAGGATTGATTACAGGTATGCGGGGACACAGCAAAGTCTATTAGACCGGTGCAGTTGCTAATTGATTTATTTGAATAGTATCCAATCACATCAGCGTGTATGTGCCTCCAACAGTCTCGGATCGAGGCAATCCATACTCCAAATATGAAGATGGCTGACATTGCGCCGGAATACCAGAATGGATGACCCATTAGTATGGGGGATTTTGCCTGCGCGATTTTGGAATAAACGGTGGTCTTTTGGAAGCTACGATATTTGTTATCAGACAAGGTATTTACAAGCTTGTGCTAATCCTTCTTTCCATTTGTCTTACTGACTGGAGATAATCGCAGGCCACTGGCACTCTTCTTCACTATGGGACAGGTCCTGCCCACTCACCGTTCGGCCCATTCTACATTCGGTGGCCTAGCCCAACCCGCTATCACCGAGGCTATCCGCTTATTATCGAAGGGTCCTTTCCCCGTTGACCACCACCGCGCTGTACCCGAGCGTCAGCGCTGGAGTTGGCACAATATCTGTGTCGATCCTTTCTCGGACCTCTCAGTCGCCTACACAACCGATGGCAAGGACTCACACCTGGCGCCTACTGCATACTCCCTGCAACTCGAATTCGTGGGTCCATATCTTCCCCGAAGGCAAGATTCACCAGGCACCACGAAAGACCATGCGCTATTTCAAGTGGGGAATCGCACGGCTCATCTTAGAGCCCAAAGAGTGTCCGGATGTGGTTCCGATGTGGATCGAAGGCTTCGACGATGTCATGCATGAGAGTCGGGAATTCCCACGATTCCTTCCTCGGCCTGGCAAACGTGTTAGCGTTACCTTTGGCTCCAAGGTGGACTCGGATGCCGTATTTGGGGAAATGAGATCTCGATGGCAGAAGTTGAAAGCGAAAGTCGAAAAGAAATACCCGGAATCCCGAGATCTGCCTCTGGGTGTGCTAAGCGATGAGCTGTTGACTGATAAAGAAGCTGTCGAGCTGCGCAAAGAGGTCACCTTGAAGATCAGGAACCTTGTATTGGACGTTCGCCGATCGCGCGGATTGCCCGATGAGGACCCGAAGGAGGGCCTGGTGGAGACTTGGCTGGAGGAGGGTCCCCAGCGTGAGGGTCATATGAAGGATGATTCCTGGGTTCGGGATATCTAAGCCCGTGTGCATAGAGTGTATACCATTGTATAGATTTCATTATGAGTAACAGTGAGTCAGGAGCATTGCTCCACTTCTGTCAGTCATCTTATTGTTTCCCTTTTTAAGCCCTAAATGTCAGCCTCCTGCGTTATACTCCGTCAGGCAATAAGATCAAATGTGGGGGCGATAAGCAAATAAGCAACAAAGGCGGGAGAGCTTCCCGGACCGGTGGACTTCACCTTCGTCAACACTGCAGCTTGACCGCAGATGCCCAAAAAGCACCAGCGGTTTCACACGAAGCCGGCCAGCTTAGCACATCACAGCCTTGCATCATCTGGGTCTCGGCATGATGGCGGGTCGGGGTTACAGAGCTCCGCGTCAACGACGTCAGTCAACGACTTAATTAGCCACCTCCGCCGTACACAGATTCCTAGTGCTTCCTCGGATGATCCCCCAAGCTCTCAACGCCCTCAGCGCTCGTTTGTGGCCCAGCGCTCAGTTCATCCATCTCTTCGAGATGTACTTGAGCTCCCCGAAACTGCGCCACCGCGACCTCGCCCCGGTCCCCGTCGCACGATATTCGGGGTTCGTCCATCTCGACCAACTGTCGGGCCTCCGCCGCCTGCGAGTTGGCTCTCCCAAAATACGGATCGGGCTGGAGACCAGGGATTGCATGCCCGGATCCCGGGGGCGCCAGAAGAGGAAATCCACCGGCTGGCCCGCCTCCATGGGCCACTGTTTCCGGACCAAAGGAGTCTGGTACATCTATTGCTGAAATCCATGGCTTTGAACTGGTGCTGGCATGTTGAATATGACGGTCCTTTTCTGTCCCATCTCCCAAATCATATCAAGGAACTGCTGCTGAGTTATGTTGCTGTCTACGCAAGAGGCACGCCTCTGAGAGGGTACATGAAAGGGCTGAAACCGCTCTTTTTGACTCCGCAGGATCAGGATCAAATTGGCAATGAGATCCCCGGTTTTAATGAGTCAAGAGCTGTTGACAGGGATTTCAAGATCGTTAGATTAGATCTGGGGAATGCTTTGGGAAACTGGATAACTTTGAGGCAGCTCATGAACGAGGTTATCCTCTCTCCAGCTCCAGCCGTGGGTGTCTCAGGTCACGAAATGAAGGAGGCTGTCCCAGCTTCATGGGATGAAGTTGTTGACAATGGCGGAGAGGAAGCTATGCCTGATCATCTTCCAGCTCCATCCATGCCCAAGGCTATTACCCAGACTTTACGCTTCCCGGAACTCCGCGCCTTATCCCTAGCACATCCGGAACCTAGTGCTGCAAGCTGGACCGGTCTTCTCAACCTCCTAGCACATTTGCCAACACTCACTCATCTCTCGCTTGCCCATTGGCCTATACCGTGCCGGAATCCACGCACTGCCACTACTCGCATTCGCGGCCCAGTGGCCCGCTTCTTGACTGCAGACGCCCTCGACAACAACTGGGCCGAAGTCGCGAGTATCCTTCGTCAGCTCTCCCGCTCGACCTACTGCCTGAAATGGTTGGACCTCGAAGGATGCGGCGAATGGCTACCAGCCTTGAAATGGGTTGGGAAAGACCCGGATGGTTTTCCACAGAGTCCTGATTCTGTCGGCCCAGAATGGAACGGATCTTGGAGAGATGTCGAATGGCTTGGGATCGGCCCTGGTTTTCGCGATTTATCGAAGTCTGACGACTCGTCTCGTGTGCCGCCCCATGAACTCGCGGCCCCGGAAACAGATTCGTCGGATTCTATCCATGCATATCACCTTCAAAATGCGCGTGATGTGATGAGGCACATTCGCCAGATAAGGAAGGGGAGGAAATGGCTCGAAATCGAGCTCGGGTTAGGGCTGGAAGACGTTGAACCTGAGATCATCAGATCGCAGGATGGACAGGAATTATCGGTTTATCTATGACTCTGCTACGTGCGCAATGATCTATGTACAATGCACATCACTAAACCGAAAAAGAAAACATCCTACGCGTGTAAGCTGAAACGCAAATTGAAACTATTTTATTCATGGCTGACTATACAATGGTATCCGGACAAAACGCCCGCAGATTTTAAACTATGCAACTATTTTTTGGAACGATTAAATGTCTTTAGGGGATCAACCTTCCCACCAGACTTGCCACGAGCCCGGTTGCGATCTCTTGCCTTGCGGATGCGATTCTGCTTCGACTTCGAGAACCCAACGAACCCAACATTCTCCTTCGAGAGACCCTTGCGTCCCTTAGCAGGCATCAGGTAATCAGGCACATGCTTGAGATGCGCTTGGACACGCGCAGCGCGCAGTTCGCCGTCGTGGCGCAGCTGCCGCAATTCTTCGGGGTTTTCCTCGAAATGGCGCTTGAGCTTCTCGCTCTTGATCAGCTCCTGGCGGATCTCGCGTCCTCGTGCTTCTTGCACTGCGAGTCTGGTCACGGAGCGTAGGGCATCTGTCATACGGTACCGGAAGGCGTCGACTTGCGACATCTCGAAGTGGTAGGGCTTGACTTCGTGACCGAGCTTGGTTTGCTTCTTGATGATCTTGGCGAGCATGGTCTCGTCATGCTTTGTGCTGGGGATTGAGGTGGGCTTGTGCTTGCCGTGCTGGTCGGTGGGGATAACGAATGAGAGGGCCATTCCTGCCTTGCCAGCGCGGCCGGTACGTCCGATGCGGTGGGTGTAGGATTTGGAGCTGGTAGGGAGGTCGAAGTTGAGGACGCAGGCGACATTTTGGAAATCGATTCCGCGAGCAATGCTGTAGTCCTTCTCTTTGCTGGTCATCTTGCGACGCTTCTTGGTTTCCGGCTTCTTCCCCTTTCCGCTTTCATCAACTGCCTCTTCATCCTCGCTGCTTCCCATCTCTTCCTTTGCTTCTTCTTCTGCCTCTGCCTCCTTGTCTTCGCGCGACTTCTTCGATTTGGTCACTCCCATTACCTCTTGCTCGTCGGCTGCGACAATGATATCGTAGACGCCCTTATTAAATTCTTCGACAACGTGGATCCGCGAATTGATGGGAAGTTCTGAGTTGAGGACACAGCTCTTGAGACCGAACTGCTCGAGGAAGAGCTTCACACGGTAGCATCGGTCCACATCTGCTACGAAAATGATGACCTTGCCCTTAATCAGCTGCAGTTTGAAGATGACGTATGTGAGAAGGAATTTCTCGTCTTCCGCGCATCTGTGGGAGTTGAGTTAGCAACTGCTCAAATAGCGGTTGTAGCATATTGTCTTACCGGACAACAAACTGGCTGACACCAGCACCCTTCTCTTCCTTCTCCTCTAGCTTAAGAATCACAGGGTTCCGGCAGTACAAGTCTTTCAATGTATCCACCTCTGAAGTGAGAGTAGCACTCATCAAGAAAGTCTGTGCTCCTCGCGGGATAGCCTTGGAGAGAGCGTTGATTTCCTCGTCGTATCCGTATGACAAGACTAGATCGGCCTCATCGATAACCAAATGGGTGACTTTATCAAGCGACAAAGCGGAGTTGTTCACGTTGCTGTAAACTCGGGTAGGCGTTGACACAACGATATCCGGGAAATCGGCCAGCATTGAGCGCTGAACTTCATCTGACACCTTCTGTGTTAAGTTGACTGACCGAATATCCTTTCCGCAGAAACTGGCAAAAGACGTAATCACTTTCTGGACCTGTTCTGCAAGCTCGCGAGTGGGGACAAGGATAAGAGCGGTTGTGGCTTTTGAGGAGGGGTCGGCCTGTTTGCATACAGTTAGCATAGTTCCTATACAAAGTATACAGTCGAAAATAAGGAACGAACAGTCTTCTGCTGGAGGATGGCTTGCAGGATTGGGAGCACATAGGCGGCGGTTTTGCCAGAGCCAGTTTTCGCACGGGCTATTTCTGTCAGCACTGTCTTTTGGTTCGTCGATTCAAGAAGCTCGTCTCACCAAGAATATCCTTTCCTTCCAGAGCGAGCGGAATCGCCTTCGACTGTACAAGAGTGGGTTTGGTGAACTTTTCCTTGATCAGAGCCTGGCGCAATCGGGGATCGAGATTGAGGGCTTCAAAGTCTAGTTCTTGGTCCTCAGCCCCAGCAGCCTCGGGGGATGGGACATCGTTTGCGTCCAACTTGCGTTTCATCGTGACTGTGTTAGGCATTTGCTTGATCGAATCTGCGGAAGTTGAAACTTTTTTGGGAAATCTTGTCGGGCGGTGAGATTATTGCGGGCGGTGAATTGGAAGATTTTATGTTGACATAATCTTTACTGCCTCAGGCAGAACTCCATGAAACAACCTTTGAATAGATCACCTACAACTACAAATGATCGAGAGTCTGTGAGTTTGGAGATTTCGCTAGTCTAAATGCCCATGATAGTCCTGCATATATCTGCTCTACAATATCCCTACTGAATATTGATAGAAAATTCATTCTTAGCAATCTAGCCCCAGCCGAAAATATATCTCGATATTGGTGGTTTATTTAGATCGAGGTCGACGACAACGTATCTCTGAACTTCAAGAAATTTGCCGAGCAGCATTACACCAAGGAAGGCTTACAGTACACTGTATAATAGGACAAATACAGTTCTTTTCCATCCGCAGACCATCTTAGAGATCACCCATCCTCTGTGGAAGCTGGGATTAGGGCTCAAGATAGATGGTCTTGATTTGTACCCTAAAGATCTCGGGCCTGATAGGTCAAAACCAGCCTATACCTCGCCTCGAGTACCCCTAAACTCACTCGTTTTGAGACCTGCAGCAGCAGAGTGCGACTTTTCAACGACCGTGATCTTCCTTTTCCGGTTGGTATAAACCGTTGGCATCCCAGTTCACAGAGACATAGTTTTACGACATTCCTTATGTTACTCACTGTAAACGAAGCCCTTGTTTTCAAGATCGGAAACCAATGTCACAAAACCCAAAGAATAAGCGTTCATAATAACAATCACTATTCATTGCATCAAATACCCGCACATGTTACATACCCTCACGTATCGCCTTGCCTAATAAAACAAAACAAGAACAGAAACAATAATAATAACAACAAAACTGGAATTAGGTCTGGACATTGGGTTGTGGACGCGCATCTGCACACTGGTCATGTAAACCGACATCGAAGCATCTCGCATGTGAATCAATTTCCACGGTGCCTCACGCTTCATCCCTATCCGGCAAACTCACCCTGAGCGTATTCCAGGAATCTCGCCCTAGAGGCTTCTGTGATCTTGCCCACGGGGAGGACCTTGACATTGTGCTCGACGGTATAAACCTTGCCGAAGTTCACTCGGGACATGCAATCCAGCTTCTGATCAGGCCTGGCGGGATCAACCTCCAGGGGTTCTTTGGCCATCCGGGGCTCGGACCGCACAGCTCGAGGTCTATCACCTCGCATATGAATGACGGCATGCTTGCTACGGTCGATCCCGGCTTTGGCCACGCCTTGCCCACTATAAGTAGTGATGGGTCTGGAATGGTGGATTAGTATATGACGATGAAATCGACGTTGGATGCGAATGGTCACACGTACACACACCAGCAGCAGCCTCTCTGTTCCTTGACGACTACCATGCGTCGGATGCTACTGTATATGGGCTCTTGATACTTGCCCCTGGTGAAAGGGCTTGATGAAGGAGAAACTTTCTCGCTGCGTACAGTTCCATGCCAGCCTGCGTTCTCGTGCCATAGCATCGAAAAGACCTATATGATTGCAATAAATTATCAGCAGGGGGATTATAAATGACGGGTACTTGTCAGGTGAACAAACCCTGCCGACTCGGAAAAACCTTCGAGGATCGCTCTGCCTCTTGTAGCCTGGTTCATGTAAATTGTCGTCAGTTTATTGTTTCGGGTATGCATGAAGCGTGCCTAGGCCATTGCTTACGTGGATCCAGCATCTCACGTTCGCCGTTACTCCCGGGGATCACGTATGCTGGTTCCGATGACTCTCGCTACATGTCAAGATCAGCCAATTAGTCAAAGAGGAGGGAAAGAGTCGTCACTCACCACCTCCCTATCGTACTTTCGTTGGACATCTCCCAGAATGGGGTCATTGCGGTGACTGTGACTGCTGGCCCCATACGGCAGCACCATATGTGAGGCCGGATGATCCCCAAGACTCAACCCCTGCAAATCGTTGACGTGGACTCGTGGAATAGACACATCACTTCTCGACGAGGTGGTTGCTTCGCTGCGGTCGGAAATGCTTGCGCATCCTGTTCTGCGACCGGTTGTTTCTCTGGCTACCTCGTACTGCATTCCTGGGCTCCATTCAGGCGGACTGCTTGCCTCGTCACTTGTTGCTGTTCCCGCACCTGGGTATATGCCATCATCCATACGATGATTGGTGAGCTGCTGGTATCCAGTGGGCGGAGATCGGTGATTGAAATCAATTCGATCATCGGTATATGATTGGCCGTACTCGAGCGGGTCCTGCCGCTGTGCATGATCTAGGCGACTTGCATGGCGGTCTCAGCCCTGGGACAAATGGGACGTGATGTTCGTATGCATCTTCGGATTTGGGGAATGAGGACCCGGAGGTGCTTCGCTGGCGCGGCGCGACGCTTCTATTAAACGCATTACTTCCGCGGACTTCTCACACATGAAGAATGAACAACTAACCTTGAATCTTGACCTGCTGTCGCAGGAGTTAACGCGCCACCTGGGTAGTCCCATTCATAAAGAAACTCCCCTTTCGTTTTAGTCAGTACTGCAAACATTCTCCATGTAGCCAGTGATGCCCACCAGAATGGTTGTAGATGGAACGAACCCATCGGTTGCTCTCAGGGTGGAGAAGCCAGTTGGAAGCCATGACTTTTTACATATCTGAACAAGAAATAAGAAGTCGAGGAAGATCAGGCAGATCAAATATAAGCCTTGGGGTTTCTATATCTCTTGTCTATAACTCCTTAACCACCCGTACCATGCGGCTCGGACCGTTCACATCGACAGTCTCGAAATAAACATACATATGAGATATACTCACATGTAGTATATGCATGGCGCGTATGGCATGAATCGAGTTGGTTTGTTGGCAAGCGCTCACTCGCGGAAGAGAGACTTTGGCAACCACATGATCGCTGACCCGCACAAGGATCCCAATGACATCCCAGTTAAATGAGGAGAAATAATTTATTGGCTGATATACCTTGGATGCTTTGGCTCACGATTTGCCATTTCGCTCAGGGCGACCAACCGAACAGTGAAGCGCGGGCGCTAATGCAATGCAAGTCTACGGACTAACGGCCATTGGAGATTCCAACTTAGGCACCAAAACGCCAGGAACTGCGCCTTTGACCTCAGGAATCCTCAGTTATGCCGAGGACAAAGCTCCCCCATTTATTTCTCTTTAAAAATTATGCCGGTTTATCAATAGCATTCTTCCCAGCCCTGGAGGGCTGTTCAACCTTGCTTACCAATATTCGAATGCGTCCAAGGGTTGGTCTATAATCTCCTTCGCGAAATATGACCGGGAGGTACTGTGAAAGCCTTTGACAACGGCATCTTGGCCAGGGACCGGATGGGATCGTTTATCCCAGGTAAGTTGACCTATATCAATATGCATTATACCTGAGGCTCATCACAGTCTCGCTCTAGCCGCCGTCCACGGCAAGACTGCTATGCCAACACTACCTAGGTAGAAGTGGAGTCTGCCTTCCCGTCATTTCATTTGCTCCGACTGCACGGCTGGAGGAGTTGCAAAGGGTGCTCGAGCATCAACCTCCACAGCATGGGAAACTCTGCACCCTTTGTTGCTACTTCCGTCAGGTGGTTGTGCTCTAAAAGCGACATCAACAGCGCCAATATTCGGCCTCGCCGGACTAGACATGGTAGAAAAGGATGATGAAGCCACCAAAAGCGAGCCCTGGCCTCCACAGAATCCCCAACAATGGAATCAATATGATGCTTTGACCGAGTCACCTGTCCCGTCCTTCCATATTCAGTACTCCCCAGAAATAGATGAACCAACCAACTGGTATGGCGTGCCTGCGCCGCCCCCTGAATCAACCCGTGACACCAATGCACAGGTGGCGAAGCTTATTGGGATGTACTAAGCGCTATCGGAACCGTGAAATGCGGCATATACTTCGACAGAAACGTGATGAAGAAGAAGATGATGTGCGAATTGCACTACGAAGCAAGTTGAATCTCATAACTACTGAAAACGTACATGAGGATCTTGCTGCTATCAATCACCTCATCAACGACCTCCGGAGTGCCACAGCCTCTTATTTCATCCTTGAAAATGGTATCATAGACAGGAAGAGGAACTAGCGCAGCTAGAGTACGATTACAACGGACGCCTAGAAATATTGCAAACCATCATCAAATATCCAAGCGGCTGTTGGCGCAGGCCCGACCAATTAACTTGGACACCGAATCTTCATCAGCGGACTACGCCTCAGACTATGAAGACCAAAGGTTGCCCCAAGTGGCTGATTACCTCTCCATGGTTGGCGAGGCACGCATTCTCGCAGAACGGTTATCGGAGCTCAAGACAGAATACCTGGTCCTAATCGATCAACACGAGCTCCGCGAACGAGTCGACATCCCACTGGCCAGCGCAGCCCTCAATTCCCTCCTTCTCTACCAGGATGAAAAGACGAAGATCGAGACCGAGCTAAAGCTAGCCCGTCATACTTCGAGTCGCACCCGGGACATGCAAATTGCTCCGCCCGTATTACGGAAGAAGAAAACAACGAGGAGAAGGTTATACAGCATTTCATGCCTGAGAAACCAGAGGACCACACGTACAACGATCCGCTGCACTCGTCGAGATTTGAAGATTCATCGCCTTTCTTTGCGTCCGGACACCCACAGTCTGTCAACAAAGGCTCTTTTGTGAATCCATGGCTTCTTTATCGGTTGCGATACTCAAGGGTTAAGACCATGCGGTTTAAGTCTGCACCTGAACTGATAGATCTGGATAGCATGGGCTGGAGGTCCGATGATATTAGCAAGATGGCAATGATGCTCTGGTTCCAAGGGAGCATGGAGCATATTAGGAGTCATTCAGCTGGACAGTGCATATATCCTAGTAACATTATACCGGTAGCCAGAGTCATCTATAATTTTCTCTCTTTCTTTTTGGAGCAATCGAACTATATAGCACGACTTGATCTACTCCAACTCGAAAACAAACCCCTCAAGCTCCGCATAAGCCCTTTCTAGATCATCATTAACAATAACCCGATCAAAGACACCCCCAGTCTCAGCAAACTCAAGCTCCCTCCTCGCTTGCTCCAGTCTAGCCTGAATCTTTGGCTCGCTCTCCGTCCCTCGACCCCTAAGCCGCTGCTCAAGCACATCAAGATCCCGCGGTTTAATAAAAACGTAGCGGGCGTCAAACTCAGGGTTCGCTTTCACCTGCTTCACGCCAGTCACCTCGATATCAAGGATCGGGATGAGCCCTTTGGTGAGTATTGCTGCAAGTGCTGCTTTACTGGTACCGTAGAAGTCATCGGTGTACATTGCATCTTCTATTAAACCTCCGCTGGATTTGAGAGTGTTGTATGTCTGGACGGAAACAAAGTGGTAGGATATACCATCTTTTTCACCCGGACGTGGTTGCCGGGTTGTGTGGGAGACTGTTAGCTCGAATGTATTCGGGTGTGTGTCAATGAGCTTTTGGGTAAGAGTTCCTTTGCCTGCGCCTGAGGGACCGGAGATGACAAGAGGCCGCCGATCTGGAGGTGCTGCTGTGCGGGTTAGAGTGAATGGTGGGGAGGTAGAAGGTTGATGACGTACAGGAAGCCATGTTGTCAACAACGGGGTTCTTATCTTGACGATGGATAATCAGAATTTGGGATGGGTAGGTAGTATTTGGCTATGTGCAAGCAGCTGCCCAGCCATATGTCAAACTCAGGTTGTGGGTTGAGGGACGCTCATGGCGTAGAGCTAAAGTGTATGTCGGACAACCTTACCGCTCATCGGCTCATGCAAGCGATATGTCCAGGGAGCCTACATCAATTCACGTCTAAACATAGCCAAGTAATTCAATAAGAAGGTACCTATCTACACATAATATATTGCATCGAGATATTATCCATTTGCATCGTGATTCTGTTCATTATGTACATGACCCAAACAATCTCCCATATCCATATCCATAAGTTGATAGGCATTTGCCGTAAAAAGAAGACGCTATTTCCATAACCCAAAGAATTGTTGAACGTTCAAAATCAAATCCCACACATCAAGTTGGGTATTTCATACATCAAATCAAGCCCAAACTGAAGACGTAATTCAAGAGTACTGTGTCTCACCCTCGCTATCACTCAGACTATCGCGACGACGACTCCGGCCATCACGGCGGTATCCCTTCGTCAAGCCCGGAATAGGATGCTTGTAGCTTTTGGTACCAGAATCCTCGGTGTCAACGTTGGAGTATTGGTACTCGGAACGGGAGCCCGCAGATGAGAAATCCAGGGGTTCAGTGAAGTGGCCCTGGGGCGCGGAGCGGCGCTCACGGTGCTTTCGGGGGGCTGCTGGTACGAGATGAAGGCGCGGGAGGTGGGCCAGATGGGCCCACCTCACTGCGACGTTCGCGACGGCGGTTGTGGCGGCGGGTGGATGGATCGCGGACGCGAGGCTCTTCGGTTACTTGGCTGATAACATCCTCGCTGCCTTGGGTGAACGAGAAGCCAGAGGGATCGCGGCGCGGAGGGGGTGGTTGATCGTAGGCAAAATCATATGACTGGCTCATCTCGCTCTGGTAGGAGGTCGGCGGGGCAGATGTGTCGTAGTCGCTGCCGTGGTAGGTTCCGTCGGCCTCACGGTTCATGCCGCCAATGCGGGCGGGCTTTTCTTCTCGGTAGGCGCGTACGTCGGCATCCTCTGCGCCTTCCCACTGTTCATGCTTGTTGCGTCGGAGAAGCTTTTCTTTGGCGGTTTCTCTGAACTTCTTGCGCCGTGACTTCTTCTCTGTAACAGTCGTCGCTGTGTCGGTGTATGATCCTTCTGTAAACGAGTATCCGTTGTCGGTGTAGCCCTTGCCAACAACACTTCCGCCACCGAGCTTGGTACTCGCTGTGGCATTACTAAGAGTCTTCCCGTCGGGTCCCTTTCGTCGCAGAACAGTGGACTTGTAGTCATCCCAGTCGCCCTTTCGCCAGACGAATCCGCCATTCTTGGCCCAGAAGAAGAACCAGATTGCCCCCAAAACAAACGCGAGTCCAATAAGGGCAAACAAAGCCATTAGGCCTTGCATCTTTATGCTGTGCGGGTCGACCGTGCCTTGGCCGTATTTTGGCTTGGTGGTCTCTTCTGCTGAGGAGTCTGCCCGTGGGAGGAGGTGGTGGGGGGTATAAGGGTCGACGGAAGATAATGTATTGGCGATGTTCTCATCCCGAACATAGAGTCCGGCGACGGTCGATCCTGGAACGTCGGAGGAGTCCCCGAACGGCCAAACTGGAGGCATGATAGAATATTAGAGTGGTCAAGAGCACGCAGCTCAAGACTGGACTCACTACCAACTCATTAGTGTCAAGCGTTATTGAAATTTGGAAAGGAGGTATATGAACATACATTGAAGCAAGTGATCAACACCAAGTGTAGATTGAGATAGATCTTTGACAGTCTGGAATGTGGGTATGGAATATGGGTGCGGAATGTGGGCAAAAATGAAGCACAGTGCCTAGATAGGTATTAGTGGGAGGTTGAAGATAAGAAGATGGGAAAATCCCAAACCCAGATATGATTCAGCTTGACTTCCAGCACAAAATTGAGGAGGTTGGAGAAGAGGCTGGGGAGCTGTGTTTACATGGTGGTTGTCACGGGCAACCTGCTTACTTCATCCCCCACAATGCCTAGGCGTCCACGGGTCCATGGACGGGTAGAGTTGGGCCACCCGTGGGTCGATCTATAAAAAGAGTCGATCACAATTGAACTTCGATTTAGATCTGAAACATGGCGTTCTTTTTAAGGAAATGGGTTTAATTATGGATCAATTATATCAAGTCGACAAATGCCACCCGCTGGAAGCCTGCGAAAGAGGCATACACGGTCGAAAGCTGTGATCGCGCCCAGACAGCTTGCGGGGTATCATAACCAACTAAACAGCAAAAGCAGGAAAAAGCATCAAGACCAATGGACGATAAAAACAGACAAGGAGATCAGCGAGATTGCGAAAATCAACCGAATCGATACAAAGCCCAAGAACAACTACGAGGCTCCCAGTAGGGCCAAATAGCAACAAGACCAATAAAATCATAGATATGGCCAAAGAAAAAGATGACCTGTTGAGACATGACAAGTAAACAGATATGGGTATAATCTCTCTCCGCCACTCGGAGTCGCGAACAAGGTAACCAGGAGAAAGACATAGGCCCAACAAGAAAGGCTATACACGAAACGCTGACAAAAAGAAGACATCAGAAAGTAAAGCACATCAGACTTGTCATTGCAGGTCATCAGAATCGTACAATCATATCGCCATAACAAACACATCATCATGGGGTTCGTGCCCGACCATTTTGCCCAAGCACACAAACATAAAAAGAAAAATCGAGACAGCAGTTGCAAATGAAATCACACACAAAAAGTCCTCCCAGTCTAGCGAGGCTGTTGGGCAACAGGCAACTCTAGACTTCATGACAAAGTCTAGCCTGTTCCCCAAGTCTCCCAACAGAATCTCGCTTTAGGTAATCCCCATTGTTTTTTTGTTGCACAAGCACCCGATCCCGAAGGAAAAACCAAAAACGCATATGCAAAGCAATCGAAACTTTTGACAAACGGACAAGGCCAGCCACAAACGGCTATGCAGACACAAGATGGAATCACAACAAAAATACCTAACCCTGAAAAACGAAAAACTCAAAAAAAGGACAACATCTATAGGGTAACAAGATCAATGGTGGTAGCGAGTAGTCCCGTAGGCCGACTGGCTGTCTCGACGACTAGATCGTTCCGACCGCCTATCTTCCCGGGGACGCCGCACCACATCTTCAAGTTCCCGGCGGCTGGAGCCGCCCGTATAATCAGAGCTGGTACCGTTCACATGCTGCTTGGATGGTCGCGGGCCGCCGATGTTCAACCGAACGGCCCCGGTCTCCCCAGCACGAATGTTAATAGATTTGCCTGCAACTGCTTCAGATGTAAATCCAATTTGGAATCCGTTCAACGTGAGGGTCATGTTCTTGTCTTCCTCCTTCCGTGAGGCTGTGGCACTGCCGCGGCTGCTGTTCGATCGACTGTTCTGGCTGCCACTCTCGCTCCCGTTGCGGTGAGACGCTTTGGTAGGGAGCAAGGCCTCTGTGGAGAGAGGCAGTGCAGCTGTTGAGGTTCGGCCCGATCGAGCTGCCTGGTAGTTCTCAGCTTCGCGCTCGCGGTCCTCGAGGTCGTCAGCGGCGCTGGATGGTTCCTCATAGTAGTACTCGGTAGGCTTCCGCCGCCGAGAGCTCGCCACAGCCACCTGAGCAGTCCGTCGATCATCCTGGTAGGACGCTGATCGTCGGTGATCTCGTAGGCTATGGGTTCTCTCTGGCAGCGGGGCGTCCCTTGACATGCGACGATGGGAGCGATCCTGAATCACCGGCAAGGCAGCTGCAATTTCCGGCATGTCCATGCGGTCTATATCTCGGTCCATGCCTCTGTCCCTGTCCATGGCTCGTTCTCTGTCCATGCCTCTGGATGGGCGACGCTGGGACGGGACAATACCGGCAGAGGTATGAATCTTCCGTGGTGGATCTGGCCGCTCTGGTTGCTTCGCCTGGTGGATCTGCGGCCTGGGCCTGGGTCTGGGCTTTGCTACTGGGGGTGGCATCCGATAGTAGTCTTCATCATGTTCCTGGTGTCTTGGAGGAGGGCGGTCACGGAATTCTCGCGGAGGATAGTGTTCCATAGGTGGCTCTTCATCAAACCATGGCGAATACGCCCCAGAGTCCACGGGTGGGTTGGGGGCAGTATATATAGATGAGGACCGACGGCGTGATGGCTCCCGGGACAGGGACCGCTCTCGTGGATACTCCGACGGGGGGTAGTCCGAGGCTGATGGGGCGTAGTAGGATTGTGCATATGGGGATGATGAGTACTGGTGCATGTATGCTGAGTTGGATGGTGGAGGGCCATGATCATATGCGTGCTGTGGGTACATCGGAGATGCCATTCCAGAACCCATTCCAGAACTCATTCCATGTGGCATACCGTGGAAACTCATGGGTCGTCCGTCTGGGTGGTAGGTATGATACGAATTGGATCGGCCGGGTCGACCAGGGTGACTGACGTGAATGTTCTCTATGGCACCGCCTGGATATCGAGCATTGTGTGGGGACGACGAGTATTCAGGGACGGGTGGGCGTGGCTGGGTGTAGTAGGAATATTCGCTGTGTCGATGGCCAACCGGGGTTGACTGATGATACTGAGTACCGTAATCGTAGTAGCTGTCGTGATACTGGCGGGCATGGGAAGATTCTCGTCGACGAGACTTGGACGACGACCGGGGCACGTGAGCATGATGGGCAGCGCCCGGATAGGCACCAACCATCGTCTCTTCGTGCGAGGGTCGAGATCGTTCTTTGTCCTTGCGTTCTCTGGTTGAACTTTTCCTGGCGAGGTCGTTCCGTTTGGGGGTGTCCACCTTAAGAGGGATCGGGGGGGCTTTTTCCGCCTGACGGCCCAGATTGGGTGCTATTAACCGTAGCGGCGGTGCGACTAGAATAACCTGAGTCACTGGCGCCGTCGATCAGCGGCTCCTGGAATCTTTCCAACCTGGAGGATATTTTGGCAGCTGTATTGGCAGCAGCAATATTGGCAGAATGCCTAGTGTCGGGTAGGATGGCGTGGTGTTCTTCGTCGTAATCTTCGACGCAGGCAGGCCGGGGGCCCTTACTGGCCATTATGTGGTCTGCAAGGCGGGCGGGTGTCTGAAAAAAAAATTTAAAAAAACAGGGTTGGTCCCGTTTCCGACAAAGGCGACGTGGGTGGCTCCCACAGGGCTCCAGAGATGTCCCAACTTACAGCAAGCCACTGCTCCCCTTTGACGATGAGTCAGAATTGATCTTATTCTCCCCCTCTCAACCCCGTAAATCTGACGAAATGGGCTTCCTTTTTTTTTCTTCTCTTCTCCCCAGTGCCCAACCCAAGCGGGCCACTCGAACAAGTAAGCGGACCTGCCGATCGCAGCGGGCGATGGCAGGCGACGGGCGACGGGTTCTGTCAAGCGGAGAGAGCGATATGGTACTTTTCAGATCGCAACGTCTCCATCGAAGTGGGATGTTAGGCTAAGAGTCGGGCGGAAGTGTTGGGTCAAAGAAAGAAGGAAGAAAATAGAAAATGACCTCTTTGGCAGACGATGAGTGGTGGAGCGCACTGCAGCTGCAGAGGTTGGGTTGAGAATTTGGGATCCTCTGCCTGACGGTCTTAGAACCTAGTGGGGAGAGTGGAGTCGATGGGCAGCGATAGAAGAAAAAAAGAAGTGAGGGGTGATCTGATTGATATCTAAAGGAAGAGAGAGACAGAGAAAAGAGAGAGATCTAGGAAAAAGGAGAGGAGTATAGAGAATAGAAAGAGAAAGAGAAAGGAAGAGTAAACACCCGAAGGCACAGGGCACAAGGGTTAAAAAAAAAAAGAGAGAAAAATTAGAAAGTTTCACGAAGAGGCTCTCGGTACCCAACACAAAAGGAAGGGAAAAAAAAGAAGAAGAAAGTGGGGGATATCGTCATCAATTGTTTTATCTATTTATCTATTTATCTATTTATCTCGTATGTAGCTCACATATATTATTGTATAGTATTCCGTACAATATACTTGCAATACTTCTACGGATGTCTTCGAATTATTTACTTTTAAGGTCGGGACCCGCTGGGGAATCCTTGGTTTGACTGCTAGGATCCATGGTTGGCCTTTCCTTATTTTTATTTACTTGTTTTTACTTGTTTCCCTTTTTTCGTCCCTTCTGTGTTTGAACGGATTTTCGTGCTGGAATACCACGGAGATGTCGCATTCCTATTTCTCCCTAAAGTGCATCCCACCTAACGCCCAACCGGGTTTGCGGCCCAATGATCGCCTCCACCATAAAGGGTCTTCCCTGTCAATTGAAGACCTGTTCCTCTAGCAAAAATCGGCTATGGCTCGGTTCCCGGTCAACTCAGTTTATTCCGCTCGCCGATTGTTTGATTATTTCCTGATTTTCGTGTATATTGGCCAATGCAGGGCCTCGAAGTACAATGACAATGTATCCGGCACACGGGAAAAAGTCGGTGGGGATGACACCCTACAACCCAGGCTGCAATGCAGAACTGTTGAGGTGACCCCTACTACTCCGTCCTCCCTCAGAGCATGTACGATGTAGGCAGACACCTGTAGGCATCGACAACGAAGCCTGGCAGAATCGCCACTTGTGGAGTGAGGAAGTGAGTCAGGTTTACTTTTACCATAGAAACCACAGATGTCAAACGACACTAAAACAAAAAGAGGGACTGAGCACTGCATGGCATTCGTCGTCAGAGCCCCTCGTCCATGTGGCAGGATATCTTTGGACATTGTCTCTTCTCCGCCTGCATACTTCTCATTCGTGACTCACACTGGGGGAAAACCTTTGACAATCGGCCATCGCTTCAAGGGCAAGTATGTACTTGTACAAGTTTTGAAGTACTCCATACGTGGGACACTATATCGTACTAGTACTAATGAACTAAATGGGCGGAACCTTCTCTCGGGAGGCAGAAATGGCTAGTTCGGTATGACATGCAGCACGGACGGTCTATCATTGCCATTGTGGATTCCTTCACATCCCTTGCGTCCTTAGATTAGGAGGTTCGTGGAGTTTTCACTCCGCACGTGTGGGAATGGCAACATTCCAAGGTTGAAACTGGCGATGTCCGCTATAAACTACGTGTTGAGCGCAGCCGATAACATCCAAAACATTCTGTAGCCTGGGTATGTAGTCCGAGCTGAGCAAAATCCTATATTGGGCCGAAGTGGATATCTTCAGGCCAAGAGGCTAAGAAATCGAACCAGGAAAAGGGCTCCGCTCCAAATATAACCAAGGATCTCCATGCGGCTCCAGTGTGGTATTCCCCCTCCGTTTACAGTAATACCGTTGGTGGGCACCGGTATAGGTCTTTGCATTGGGCCCGGGGGTACTAGGAACATGTTGTACGCACGGGGAATATCTGAATTTGGATCGCATGGCAAAACAGCCAACAAGCTTTCCTCGCATATAAAATTCATGGTGGGATCACGTTGACATCCTTCCCCGGTGATTCATTAATTTATATCGGGGAACTAGAAAAACATCAAGGGGCCACCCCCTTGCTTTAATCTGCAAGATGGCATCAGCTCCCCGAGGTTGAGATCTTCACCGCTCTTTCGTGAGTACCGATAAATGGTGCCCCGGCGATGAAGATGAGGGGAAACCTGTCCAACTCTATTCCTTTCTCGGTTCTAGAGACTCCTATCGGGGCTTTGGGTGGAGGAGAAGAGGGCCTTAGAAACATTATAGAAGTTTCGTGTACATGGTACATCGGTATACATGACTTGCATGTTGATCGCATCACCCCGGGCTCCTTTGTAGATGACATGATTCGTTCGTTCCAGATAGCCTTTTTCATGGCGATGTATTTCTGGGTTAGTCTTCGTTCGGCACACGGTGGGTAATTAACATTGTCCGATGTCGTACGAAAAACAACAGTCAGGTAAGTCAAGTGTTCCCATGGCTACGCTTCAAGACCAGAGTGCTACTGAGGTGCTACGGAATCTACAGCAGCTTGCTCGATTGGGGACTGTGGCGCCTCTTTAGGGTATCGGGAAATAGGCGACTGCCATTCCGGATGAAGCTCCCCCGAACCTTGTACAGGTGGAAGCAAATGTGTTTTCAAAACAACAATTCCTTTTCTATCAATATGTCCACCAAACTGAATAATATCTACAAAGAAAATAAATATAATATCACACTCTTGTCTATACCCATCGCCCGATCAAACCCAGAGTATCGCTAGGCAGCATCAGCCCCTCGGCCTCCTAACTCCTGCGCAGATAGAGAGCAATCCATCCAAGGACTCGATATCCAGCAATGATGCCCAGAAGGATTCCAACCCACTTGCCCGTGCGACCAGTGGCATACCCATACGATTCTAGCACTCCAGTGCCCCGAATGAGACACTGATCCTCCAGGTCAGTAGCCCACATGCATCGACAATCGGCACCACACGAGTAGTTTCTCTCGGAGAATTCATTGACCATCATACCCTGAAAGACATAAGCCTATTCCAAGTACCCAGTGAGTTAGTGACCATCCTAACAAGAAAATAAACTTCGGATACCAGTGTATCGGCATACCTGGTAATCGATGTAGTGGAACACGTATTTCCAAAACGGATTGAGAATCTTCTGCGTGACCATAAACCCTCCGACACTCATCCAAAGGCCATTTGCGAATGCAACAAGCGCTAAGGAGATGACAAAGTTTGGGAATATCGATGTCATGAGGACCACTAGGGATTCGGCCGCCACAAGATCAAGGAATATCCACATCACCCAGGTAAAGAAGGCTTCTGCTGTTGGTTGGAAATTGGACAGCCAGTATGAGACGATCGAGAAGAGCAGAGATATCAAAACTGGAAACGTTAGAGAGCAGGAATATAGGAATATAGTAGGGGAGTACCTTGTACTTACACAGGTAGGGAAGCCCAATCAGAAAGTTTGAGACTATAAATGGTGTCACACCATATAGCCCGTTGGCTCGCTCTTTGGTGAAAGTTGCCCGGTCTTCAAGGAATGCGGGGACGTATGCTACAGCCATGAAAGACATGAATGCGGAGCCAAAGAACTATATCATATATTAGTATCGGCATCCCTTCAATTTTAGCCACATGTAAAACTCACAATAGCGTTGATAAACGGCTGGATAGAGTCTTGGGACGGATGAAGACGTAGCCACACTGTGCCCATCATGACAGCCAATCCTGCGCCGCGTTAGCTCCGGTAAGTTTTAAAAGAAGAATGATAATTCGTACCAAGATACATTGCGATCCGGATTCCATAAGCAATGACATCGCGGTAAGACTTAACAAATGAGCGATGCAGCAGAGCCATGGTAATTGAAATCGTTCCTGGTCGAGTCTCTTCTTCTGTAGAGGCTTTGTTGACAGGTTTCTCTGTCGATCCTATCCGCTCAGACACTTGTCTTTCCAGTGATTTTGCCTCGCTCGAGTTTGCCCAGGCAGTTTGAATGACACCGACTCGGTCCTCCTCCTTCGAGCTCGCAAAATCGGAACTGACGGTATCCAAAATGAATTCAGCAGGGTTGGTTTGTGCGGGGATTGGATATCCAATGCCACTAAAGTAGCTATCCACGGCTGAAATTGCCCCGAAATAACATGTTTTCCCTGCCGAGAGAAGCAGCAGCTTATCGAAGAGATTAAACGTGGTGGTTGATGGTTGGTGGATACTCGCAATGATGAGAAGCTATCATGGAAAATGTTAACAACAGCAGGGAACACATATGGTATGGACGTACGTTATTGGCCCGCGCGAGCTCCTTTGCATACGACATCACCTCAAAGCTGGCAGTCGAGTCTAGACCGCTTGTTGGCTCATCCAAGAACAAAATCTTTGGATTGGTGATGAGCTGGCTAGCCACACTCACACGTCGCTTCTGGCCACCACTGATGCCCTTCCGGATCGGGGTGCCGACCAACGTGTTCGCCTGGTTCTGGATACCAAATGCTTCCAAAAGTGTGCGGATCCGATCCATACGCTCACGCTTCGATACAGAGCTATAGATAAAAGCGGTAAGTACTGCGATATATAGGGGATGCATAGGTGAGATTGGCTGGACAGCTGTTATTCCAACTTTACATACCTGGGCAACGAGAGGTCCGCCGCGAACTTCAATGTCTCCTGCACTGTCAACGACCCGATCAACACGTCTTCCTGCTCGACGTAAGAGGTCACCCGCTGGAAATTCCGTGAGTCCATTTCCGCATCATTCACGTAGGTCTCCCCGAGAACCTTCGCACCAGCTGACGCGGCACGTCGAGCCAACACGTTGAGGAGGGTTGTCTTGCCGCAGCCTGACGGGCCCATTAGGGCAACGAGCTCCCCTGTAGAACCGGCATTAATATGATATGTTTATTATAGTCTATGGGCAAGGATACAAACCATGTTGCACATCACCGCTGATATCATTGATCAGATCGCGCGCCTTTTTTGTTTCACGATCCTTGACGGTGACCGTTAGACCTTGCCACGAGAAATTCTGAACAGTCTCGTTCATTAAAAAGTGCCCACTGTCATTGCGCTCCAGGTCCGGGGTACTAGATGCGCCCAAGGGGGAGGGATTGCCCATGCTGCAAGATAATGTAGACGGTTTGCGGCAGATACAAGAGAATTGGAATCCAACCCACGTCCAGGTTCGCGGGCCCAGGTTTTATAATTTTAAACACATTCATATTATCTGCACCTGGACCCACGGACTTACAAATCCCTGTCTAGCGTTGAGATAAAGTCCTTGTTACGTGTCCGAGGTGGTCCCCAAGGCTGAATATAGGGCTCAATCTTCAGGTGGAACCCGTAGACTCGAGCCCGAGCTGACATAAGACATCGATGGTCCCCAAACCCCCAGGGAGACGCCGTCCTCTACGGTGTACGGATAATGAACTTGGAGAAGAGTCATAAGCCTAGATCAAATTCCTTAGTGTAAGATCCCACAAGCAATAGCGCTTTTGCTATGTGGGGTGCGTCCAAACCCCGATCCCCATCGTGGATCGGATCATCCACATGCTTTCCTTAACAATACGACCTCCAAAAAAAGCAAAGAAAAAAAAAAAAAAAAAAAAAAAAAAAAAAAAAAAAACAAAACACTAAAAGAAAATAATAGGAAAAGACAGGAGAAATCTGAGTAGGATTTTGTTAAAGGAATAAGCATAATGCCATTTTTATTTGTCCCGCTCTTGGCGCCCAATGCAACTAAATTAATATCAAGGTATACGAAAGACACCAGTCTTTTGAGAAATACTGAGTGATATACCACGCAGAAAAGGAAGCAAAATCGAGCAAGCCGAATTTACATACTAGAATATATGAGTCAGTAATTGCTTCTTCAACGAGGCTGGGGAAAACTAACCGCTCGACAGGGCTGAGACCGAGAACCCGCATGCCGTTGTGCAGAACTTGGCGGGCCGATGCATACAACGCCATACGCGCCTGCTTGACATCTGGCTCGCTGCCGATCACCTTGAGCACATCGTAACTAGAGCTCAGCATGTGTGTCATCTTGAAGAGATAGCTGAGGACAGTGATGGGCTCAAGAGTCTTAGCAGTCTGCAGGAGTACATCGGGCCACTGGGCCAGCAGGCGGACCAAGTCGACAGCATGCTGCTCAGTCAAAAGGTCAAAGTTGGCGTTGACCAATTCATTAACATCCAACTCGGACTTGCGGGCCATCGAGCACAGACGAGCATGAGCGTACTGCAGGTATGGGCCGGTGTCACCCTCGAAGGATGTCATGGCATCCAGGTTGAAGTCATAGCCGTTAACGCTGAAATGAAACATGCAAATTAGTAAACAGATAGACGGAAGTAGCAGGAAAGAACACTATGCATACCGCTTTCCAGTCATGTCTTGTACCATAACGGAGGTGATACCCAGAATATCGGCAGTCTTCTCAGGATCCTCGACCTGTGAGTACTTGACTTCATTCTTCTTCATGACCTCGTGCATCTTGTCACCAACATCGCGCAGGATGTCATCCAAGAACTTGACGGTACCCTTACGGGTACTCATACCACGGACCATACCGAAGTTAATGTGCTGGCAACGGGACGCCAAGTCCTTGTGGCCCATAAGTTCAGTGACCTTGAAGAGCTGAGCCAGGTGGAGATCCTGCTGAGCGGCAACAACGTAGATCATCTTGTCGAAGTGGTACTCGTTGTCGCGCTCGGTGATGGCACCGATATCACGGGTCAGGTAGAGAGGAGTGCCGTCCTTGCGGACAATAATAGCCTTGCCCAGCTTCTTGGCACCGTGCTTGGTGAAGTCCACAATAACAGCACCCTCAGACTTCTCTGAGACACCGGCCTGCTCCATAAGCTTGTAGGCATCGGTCATGCTCTCAGACTTGATCTGAGATTCACCGGAGTAAACATCGAAGTCGATATTGAGACGGGCGTAGGTCTGCTTGTACTTCTCAATGCTGAGATCACGGAACTTGCGCCAGAGAGCAAGAGCCTCCGGGTCACCGTCCTCCATACTCTTGAAGTAGCGACGGGCCTTCTCATCCTCGCTCACGTCCACAAGCTTGGCAAGCTCTGCCTCGAGCTCAGCAACATCCTCGCTCTTCTCCTTCTTGGCCTTGATCTGTTCCTTCAGCTCCTTGATAGGTCCTTCCTGTTCACTGACTTGACGGTTGACCTTGACGTAGACATCGAACAGGTGGTTGATAGGGTCCTTGACAAGAGCTTCCTCATTGCCGAAGTACTTGAAGCCGTTGGCCAGCAGGCCATACTGCTTACCCCAGTCACCCAGGTAGTTCATTTTGATCACATCCCATCCCATTACAGTGTAGATATTGGCGAGGAAACCACCGATGATGGTACTGCGCAGATGACCAGCGTGGAAGGGCTTGGCGATGTTGGGCGACGAGAACTCGATGATGATCTTCTTCTGGCCCTTGGAGGGGTCAGAGGGGTCCTTCTGACCCTGGTTGCCATTTGTTCCATAGGCGGACTTCTCCTTCAGGATACGACCAAGAACATTATCGGTCAATGGCTTAGGCTTGCAGAAGAACTGGATGTGAGGACCAAGCGGAGTCGGGGGGTGAATAAGGTCGGAGGCGGGGAACTTGGAGGCAAGCTCCTTGGCAAGCTCCACGGGGTTTTTTTGCTTAATCTGAAGAGAAGCCACCTAATTGTATGCAACAAGACATTGTTAGTCCAGGGTCCCATGATCACGCGGAACATGCGAATTGCGCCTGCGGCTACATACCGGCAATGAAAGGTCACCCTTATCCAAAGTACTGGTCCAGGCAATGCGCGGGTAGATCTTCTGAGCATCGATATCAGCGGCTTTAGCCAACTCCTCCGCGATATGTTGGCGGTATATATCCATCGGGTTCAGTGTCGGGAAGCAGTTGGCGAACTGAGACTTCTGCGCCGTGGATTGGAGCGAGAGAGCCTCAACAGAGGCGGGGAGAGAAGCTGCGGACATGATTGAGAATCCTCGCGATGTACCGGATGCACGTATGGAAGTCAGAAATGTCGAAGGTTTAGAGGGGCAACGCAACGGAGAAAAAATGGCTGTGAACCGCAGAGCCCCGCTTAGACAATGACCCATAAAGAGGGGGGGAAATCTCTCGGGGATCTTTTTTTTTTTGCCCTTTTTCTTTTTCCGTTTCTTCCCCTTTTTGACTTGCTGTGACTCAAAGAGGGCGGTGAGTCACGTGGTGACCAGGTCTTATCGATTAAGCGTGACATCACTTTTGAGCGTGATCTGCCGAAACCCTATACAATATACGCTAAATATATAGACTACATGCTCATTAGGCCCTTATGCTACTATTCGCACATCCGTTATCTATAGCCCAGTCCATTGATTGTCATAGCAGACACACTCTATGGGCAAGACGATGGTCTGGGCGTCCAACAGTGGAAGATATAGGGCTTGAAAAGTGATCGGTGACACCTGGTCCATATCTCTTTTGCATTGGCTCCTCAGATGTGTCTATACCTGAGCCTACTACTAGTGTATGATCTACGTTTCTTCTTCTGTCCAAAGTCTGAGAAAGTCACTTTCTGTGTTTGTGTTTTCTCACTTTAGCCTCACTTGTAGCCTTCAATATCATAGAAGTGTCTCCGTATTTACCTGCAAGACAAGATATAAATAACTCCAGAATCCTTGGGAAAGTGCAGAACTCTCAAATGGAAGGATAGTTGAAGAAGAATGCATAACAGCACTTATCCTTCAGCCCGATAAAGTGCTGGGAATACACAAGCACCGTACTTGCTGTGAGTTGCATTAGACGTGGCAGTACGGGGGTAGGGGCACTAGGGACGCATTGCGCAAACGGCACTGGGATTCCTTGAGCACTTGCCCTTAGCACACGGTTTTCACAGTCAGTAGCCAGCTATCTCTTTTCATCCTTACCCCGATTCAAAGAGTACTCATCGCAAACCTCACCATCTCCAAAACACGTCGCGCACACTTTCTCTTCATTGTTTTTATCTGATCCAGCTCTGAGATAGTTTGCCCGACGGGTTGCTTTGTCAAAATGGACTTCCCTCTGCTCAGAGGACTTGTACGAAATGGAGTACAAAGCCATGGACTCCATGGAGTCCACGTGGGACCCAAATATCGATCCCGCTTTGGATCCCCAGCTTGGTCTGGTTAATGTTCCAACCCCAGTGCAAACTCAGCCTGGCGATGCCTCAAAGGCCCAGCCCGGTATTGCGACTGCTTTGACTGACAAATTGTTGTGGCCGTATGATGATTGCTGGAGAAGCGCCGTCCCATCGAGCCTACAGTCTGGGCGTAAGTATCGTGGATAACGGGCTAACAAAGTATCAGTCTCAACGCCAAGCTTTGTGACTGCCCTGAGCATTCTGAAACTACCTCGCCAGCCGAGCATGCTCTTCTAGTGAGACTGACGGGTGCTTGAAGCTTCTGTTTACTTGACTGACACGTCTCCTATCCAGTTCATTCCGGACAGTGCGAAGCGTTGCCATTACTGCCCATGGAAGACTGAGAGAGTGGCAAAGGTGGGAAACCCGGCACCAATATTGCGTCGCCACGACAGCGACAGCTATCCCGGTATTTCCGTAGGCCCGCTACGTGCGTATGTTTATCGGCCCTTCCTCTATGTATGGACCCGTGCTAACCCTGATATACTAGGTCTTTGAAGACAGAGTAGTGAGTCCACACACTCTGTCTGTTTCCATGAATCGTGCTGACATTTTATCTTTTCAGCGAATGATACGATCTCACCCGAGGCGGTCGTCCTACTCTTGAGACGGACACAGAGCAGACATAAAGGAAGCATGTGAGGGGCGAAGATGGGATACCTGTAGCCCATTCATTTGTCGATTCTTTCTTTTGTATCTCAGTGTCACTAGCTCTGCCCTCCAGTGCAACTCCGGAAGGGAGAACAACAATGCCTGGAGATTAAGCGGTTTGGTAGGATAGCAACAAAACAATGAACACCACAAATAAATTGAAAGCTTTGTTTCCCGATTCATACTCATCAAAGACTTGACAATGGGCTTGGAACATAATGCCTTTGTTCTCACCAAAGGGCCCAAGGTAGTAGGTCCCAGGGGAGCATTATCTTAGAGCCGGTGAGTGCCACATATTTATTGGGCTTCGACTCCCCCTGAGCAGCATCCAATTCACCGACGAAGCAACATTATCTCACGGCTAGCGCACTCGACAGGATTACTCTCCATAGGGGTCCCCAACTCGAAAATATTAGCACTTGAACAGCTAATGCGCTTCGAAAGCTAATCAATATGTCATATTACATTACCATCCACAATGGCTCAGGTGTGGATGAGAGCCCTGAAAACACGTGGATCAATATCACATTTACTATCAAGGACCATTTTTACCTTCGCACTGACGGAGCGTTGATTTGCTTTATCATTGAACGTATTCGGGAGAGGAAGTTCAGAGTTAGCACTGAGCCCATGGATCGAAAAGCTCGATGGTGTATATCGATACCAGTCTCCAAACTGCATAAAACCATGGATGGAGCTGTTGCGGACGCTTTACAACTGGCGGAGTGGTACAAGGTCCAAATCCTCAATGGGAATGCAAGTATCAACCGCAAACTTCTATTTGATCGGAAGCCCTTTAATGAAGGTAAGGAATGCTGTAGAGACAATGTGTGCGATCGGATACTGCATCCGGAGTGGTGGGAAGTTACTCGTCAAGAGTCTAAAGATGCCAGTGAAGACTCTAAAGATACTAGTGAAGATCCTAAAGATACTAGTACAGATTCTTAGTGCTTTGGTTGGCTGAAATGAATGCATATTCAATCTCCACCTCCGTGATATTTACTTCGTAAAGTGACTAGGGTGTCCACGGGTGTTCAAGCTTTAAGAGCTTCAGGAGCTCCCTAGATATTGTAAGCACATTTGTAGCTTAAAGTCCTTGTCTAATATAGCAACCTACCTACTAGCGTGGTTTCCAAACGCAGAAAGGGGGGAGACTGGAGTGCTACGACAGATGAAGTCTTTGGACCAACGTTGAGTGTCCACATATGACGAAGATTGGAGCGGTTGGCATGTAAATATGTAGGATTATACAGTTATTAACGTCGATTAAGAACATGGTATTAATACCGAAATCTAGGCGGATATTTCACGCGCCCAAGCCCCGGGGGGATCTTTTAATCACTTGTAGGCTGGGGTCTATTGACACATCTAACCACACACCAGACATCAAAATAAAATGGCTTCGCGGCCGGACCCGCTAATATTCTATAGCCGATTCACATATATAAAGGGCAGAGTCGAGTTCGAAAACAATAACTTTTCGTTGATCACAGCGAATCCCTTAGAAGCAGAAGACCTGGTCCTCCAGCTTGCTGACGGGGCGCGCCTTGGTGTATCCAAGAGCCTCGGTGGCCTTCTTCATGGCGCTGACCATGGGAGGAGGGCCACAGAGGAGAATCTTAACATCGGCAGCGGGGGCGGGTAGACGCTCCTGTGAGAAAGTTTAATTAATACCGAGGTAGCACAAGCACGGCACACAAACTTACCTTGATCATGTCGGGAGTCACGAAGCCGACACCGCCGGTCCAACCCTCGGGCGGGTTGTTGAGAACGTAGTAGACGCGGAATCCATCGTCCTCCTTCTCCAGCTCTTCGAGCTGGTCCTTGAGCAAGATGTCCTCGGGGTTGACGTTGGCGAAGATCAGGTCAACCTTGGTGGTGTCGTTACCACCGTTGCGAGGACGGTTGCGGATGATGGCCTTGATAACCTGCAGCATGGGGGTGATACCAGTGCCACCGGAGATCATACCGATGTGGCGGCACATGTTGGGAGTGTACACCATGGCGCCCTTGGGGCCGCGGACCTTCATGTTGTCGCCGATCTTCAGTTGGGTAAGATACTTAGAGATGTTACCCTGGGGGTAGGCCTTGATGAGCAGATCGAAGTAGCCGGCCTCGTTGTCGGAGGAGATGGGGGTGTAAGAGCGAACAACCTCCTTAGGCTGACCTTCAATCGTAGCGGCGAGAGAGATATGCTGACCGATGGGGAGACCGAGGATATCGGTGGAACGAGGGAGGGCAAAACGGTAGATGGCGACATTGTGAGAGATCTCATTCTTCTCCTTGAGGACGAAGTTCTGGAATTCAGTGGGGTTCAAGACCTTGCGAGGTTCTGCGATCAATGGGGTCAGTTCAGTTCCTCGGCGTTTCCCAGCGCTCCGATATTTGGATAAAAGAAATGCACGCACTGTTGCTGAGGACCAAATAACCGGCCAGAACTCCAGCGACAGCGATTGCATAGGCGACGAACTCGGGCTTAATGGCGTAAACACCCGCGATGAGCAGGGCCGAGGGCGCGAGGGCCGTGCCGATGGTGGCGAGACTTCGAGGAATCAGCCATTGATGTTATAGGTGAATAACATTAACTCACCTCATTATGACAAAACTCGGATACTGTAGTTTTTTTTTTTAAAAAGCAGCGATAAAAGCAGAAGAGAAAAGGGAAAAGAGGAGATAAAAAGAAATGAGGGGGGGCTAGTCCGCCCAACGGAATTTCCCACCTTTTGGGGTTACGATTTCCCCGACTTTTTACTTCGACTTGACTCGACTTACTCGACTTACTGGGGTTATTTGGCTTACTGAGGGGTTATTAGATCATTTGCACTGCTTTTATTTCTTCTTTTCAAACCCATCAAAATGCCCGAAGTACCAGAAGTCCCACAGGTCCCTGCCTTTAATCTAACGGAATTGGACCACAAGCTCCTGGCCATGACCGACGAGGAGTTCGTATATCACGACTGGGAAGACCTAAAAAGTATCATCGGTAAGTCCCCGCACGTCTCCGAATCTGCCCTAGGCAATCCCCCTCATGCCATGTCCCGTAACAGCGCGGAATGATCTCGGTGCACTCAAGCGGAAGCCTTCCGATCTCCGCCGATACCTGGCCTGGACACAAGAGACCAAAGCGAAGTATGGCACGATCATGAATTATATTTGCCAGCAGCGATTAAAGTGGCATTTGCCGCTAAACACTGCCAGCGGCAGTGACTCCGCGGTTATCAAGCAAAGCGGGCCCCCGGCGACCTTCAAAAACCCGCGTCCCTTTGCCGATCCCGAGGACTACAAGATCCTCCGAAAATGACTGGCCATATGGTGTCACCCCCGGAATCTCGCATCTGGTCGTGTGGTTGCGCACTCCCATCCCTGTTAAATCTGACGAGGGCCATCTGACCGATGAATCTCGTGCGATGATCGACACCTTTGTTCGAAAGACTTTCGTGGACCGATTGGCTAAGGATCCTCAAAATTTCCCGGACCCTGAGTCCCATGTGCTATGGTTTAAGAATTGGGTCGGTCTACAGAGCGTGAGGGCATTGGAGCATGTCCATATTTTGGTCCGTGATGTCCCCGAGGATATCTTATTCGAATGGACAAATGAGTGAGGTTGCTGGTGGGATTGTTGATAGATTTTTGCCTGGTTGATCGGGTCTGCATCGGCATCATAAAACGAAGCATTTTGCTCCTAGAATACTTATATTGGACATTTCACGTCATTAAGAAGAAAAGAGGAAAGAAGAAAATAGTTACAAGAGTTCTCGAAAGGCTGAAACCTTTGGTCAACCCGCAAAGAACACAGGCGGTACACTACACACCTTCTACCATGAAGGTCGTGGCTCGTGGTCGCCTTCAGGTCTTGTCCCATACTCAATCTTTACCTGATCCGTGCGATGAATCTTGCCGGCCATGTGGACCTCTGTTTGGAGTTGATCCGAATTCAAGATGCTTTCCTGGCTACCGCTCCCCGTAGCCCCAATATTGGTGGTCATAAGGATATCGTCGTCCTCGCGATTGTTGCTTGCCGATTTCTTTACGGGTCTATCCGTGTCCGAGCGCAACTTGCTGCTCTCATATCGCGCGTGAGAACTCCAGGAACGTTTGCCTCGGATCATTTCGTACATCGGACCCAGGGTTGGGATGCAGGACGCCATAATGATAATGTTTGATTCGACACTGAGACACGCGAGTCAGATGTTAGTCTAATTTCATATAAGGAGTGACTGAAAACATACCTCGTCCAGATAACAAGATCTGCTGTTCCATCTGTTATGCCGTGTCAGTGGTAGGTATCTCACTTCATGCACAAAAAGAACAACTTACATGTCGAGTCTTCTTTATTATATAAACCTGGTAGCTGTAGACACTTGACAATAGCCATTGCACAGGCTCTGTGTGGATGTTCAGCTACTCTCTCTAGACATTAATATCAATCAACTTACACGGCGCCCAAACCCAAAGCTGCGCACAGGGCCAACTTTTTCTTAAACGACATTTGGAGTCGTAGCAATATCACAGTCGGATAAATTGCAAGATACAGATCGACCACCGCGGACAGAACTGAGAAAGGTTCAGTTATTCGTTTGCAGAAGGCATCCAACCCACCAACATACCTCCAGTGAAGATTGCAAAGCCCACCAGGATCTTGGTCGGACGACATATTGCCCCTTCAGACACGAGACGAATTTTCCATAAAGCCTGGGGAGGATCACACATGGTGAAGAGAACGATGATACAGATGCTCGACGCCACGAACACCGAACCTGTCAATACCCATAGCCATATTCGGTGAAAGCGGGTGGGATTCATGATGCGATTCAGGAGAGCAGCGACTGCGAGTTTTGGAGTTGTAAAGGACATGATTCCTAGTGCAAAGTCGGCATAATTAATGACTAGAATGCGTTCGACCAAGTCCATGCCGCCTCTCTCCATCAAAACAGGTGTATGGCTCCCGTAGCCCAGAACGACATTCAACGTGGTGAGAATTGTATAACTGGCGACCATGATCTATAGAAATTGTTACTTGGAGTGGGCTGAAATGAATCGGGTCGTACACACCATGGCGAAAACGATGATATAGTCATCAAGTCCAATGTTCCTTAACATCCGGGCTCGGATATAAAGCCGCAAGGATACCATCACCACACTTACACTGAAGAACGCCCAGAAAACCCCTAGAATGCGTGGACCCTTTGTCTGGGTCATGTATTCAGCGTCCATGATTGCCATGATTCCGAGAGCGGCTGCTCTGTTCCTTGTAGGGGAATGACAATGTCCTCTATCTTCTCTGGCATCAGGAGGACTGGAAACTGTACGGAGTAGAACAGAGAATTATTATCACAGGCAAAAGTTAATTGAGATTAACTTCTAAAAACGCGAATATGCATGTTGTACTCCGTACTCCATAGGCACTATTGTTACAGCCCGTGCCGAGGGTGACGATCAGGCAGTTCGGGCCCAGTCTGGCGGGGGTCATACTTTGATGAATTGACCAATCACTTCTCTATATGACAAGAGGCCTCAAGCGCTAATATCGTGAGTGGCCTGGCAAGTGCTTAACTTTTTGGCCCCTAGCCACTGCCGCCTTAGCGCGTTTCCACGAAGTTATGCTATCCTCATTTGGTTTATATTATATTACGGAGTACGCATAATATAGTATGTTGTACATATGTAGAAAGCCCCCGTTCTATGAAAAACCTAGAAAAAAAGTCTCGTATATTATCCTACCTTTGGTTCCTTATCAGATTTTCCACGAACGAGTCAACGAATGAATCCTTGGACCTGATCGTCGTGCACCATGTGGAGCTATCAAGGGCCGCAGGATTCACTCGGTTAAGACAATGGCTCTATGCTGTACTGATTTAATATAACTCAAGGAGTTTGCCCCGATAAAATCAGCTTACCAACCAATTACTTTCAAAGGTCGCTTAACATGGGAATGGGATATGACACTAATGCACTACAACATAGGATACTGGATACTAGGATAGTGACCCTGTCAGGGGTTCGGCAATGTTACCGCATGTTAGCACCTAGAATTTAGTGTACCATGAGACAATGTCATCGCGAGGAGGTTCCTTTTAACCCCATTTGTTCCCCTACGTATGCATTGCAAACATATGTTGTAGTCCATCATGGCATCCAATTCCACCCATATAGAAGGTCTTGCTCTCAGCTCAAACCTACCAGATACAGTGCCCGGTCTCCTTCAAACGGTTGCGAGTCATGGCAAAGACCTCATTGCTCAGGATCCCGAAGCACGGTTGAAGCTGCTAGAAGCTGCCCGATCATTGACTTATGCATTGGAAACCCCCCCGAGAAGCCATTATTCGACACTGCTGGTCCGAGGTGGGTTGTCATATTCTATCCCGTGCTTTTTTTTTCGAGCGATTTGGGATTATCTAGACTAACGGGCATTGCATTTAATCAGTCTACGAGTTATGCTGCCTTAGAGACCGCCGTTGATATAAATCTATTCTCTGCGCTCGGCACAGATGACAAACCGAAGACTGTCGCAGAGCTTGCTGAGGCAACCAGCGTGGATCCAATCTTGCTCGGTTAGTAGTTTGCTTATACCAGCAAGCACGAGTGCCTGACAAATTTATGCAGGGCGATTAATGAAACATCTCGCTGCGATTGGAACAATAACCGAGACCGGCTACAACGAGTACTGCCCTACTGGCTTCTCAAAAGTTCTCACAGTTGAGAGATATAGCGATGCATTCCCGCTCATGTGAGTAGATAGCCAGGTCTTCTATCCCCCAAACCATGACTGACAAGTCCAGGACTCGCCGTTTCACCAAAGGCATCATGGCCCTACCGGCCTTCCTCAAGAAAAACAACTACCGAAACCCCACAAGTCCCACAGATACAGCTTTCCAGATGGGTTATGAGACAGACATGGGTTTCTTCGGCCATGTGCAACAGGAACCGCTCACGGCAAAGCAGTTTAATAACCACATGTCAGTCTACGCACAAGGCCGAGTCCGCTGGATGGATCCCGGTTTCTACCCGGTTCAAGAACAGCTTATAGATGGGGTCAGGATCGGCGAGGACGATGTCCTGCTCGTTGATGTTGGAGGCAGCTTTGGTCATGACCTATCCGATTTCCGTCGGAAATGGCCTGGCCTCCCCGGTCGTCTGGTGCTTCAGGATCTTCCTGAGGTGGTGGGTTCTGTCAAGGATTTGCATCCCTCTATTGAAGTTACTAGTCATGATTTCTTTACTGAGCAACCAGTCAGAGGTACGGAAATAGAACACTTTCCCATGTTCTTGCGAATAAATTTTGAGCACTTCGATTCTTGGAGTATACTAACATTATATCTGCATAGGAGCCCGCGCATACTATATGCACTCTGTTCTCCATGACTGGCCTGATGAGCTTTGTCGCAAGATCTTGGCTAATATTGTGGCCGCCATGCAGCCCGGCTATAGCAAGGTGTTAGTGAACGAGAATGTGATTCCGGACACGGGGGCCTACTGGGAAACTACAAGTTTGGACTTGATTATGATGGAGATTGGATCTGGCGAGCGTACAGAACGCCAATGGCATGCATTGTTGGAATCTGCTGGACTGAAAATCGTCAAGATTTGGACTGCCCAGAGGGGCGTGGAGAGTTTGATTGAGTGTGAGCTAGCTTGACCTGTGAAATGAATGCTGTACAGGTTGCCGAAGGAAATCAGTCTGCAAGCCCTCCTGTCTAATTTATATTATGATACTTCATCCCATTACCACAGGCACCGGCAAACAGCTGTCGTCTACAATTCATTGAGACATACAAAGAACTACGTTGCAAGAATCGGAATGAGAATAGAATAATAAAAGAGTTCGGTATCAGAATACGCCAGCCAGCTAGTCCATCGAAGCAAATGTTTATTACAATATACAAAGAGCGCACCTGGGAAATACGACGATCACGTCTTCTGCTCCTCCACGAACTTCAGAGCCTCCTCCCGCGAGACAACATCAATAGTACTGGCCTTTTGCCTGAAACTCACACCATAGCACTTCTCTGCCACATGCAACATTTCAGGCCTGAAGGTAGTGCAGATGAACTGCCCGTTGGTGGAATCTGAGATGGACTTGAGCATCTGAGCAACGGCCGTCCGGTACTGAGCGTCCAGATTGGCGTCGATCTCATCGAATAGGTAGAATGGTGCGGGATCGCAAGCCTGGATAGCGAAAACGAGTGCTAGAGCGCAAAGACCTATGGCAAGATAGTTAGCAATTGCAAAACAAAATACAGACTTGGAGTGGAAATGCTTACTCTTTTGTCCACCACTCAGCTGCTGAATACGCTGTTGATCGTCGTGCTTGCTATTAAAGCTCACACTGATGCCGACACCGACGTAGTTTTCGACGCTCTGCCGAGCTTCCTCATCATCTGAATCAACGTCGTCATCAAGTCGTGTAGCACGGTCTGTCTTTCTTTGAATGATAAGACGACCACGACCGGCGGGAACAAGCTTCTCGAACACGTTGTGGAACTCGCGTGAGACCTGCTTGAAGGTCCGTTCAATGGCCTCATCCTTGCGCTGATCAAGAACAGAAATGAGGTCGTCGATGGACTTCTGGGATGCATCCAGCTCGGAGCGACGCGTAGTAAGAGTCTCACGCTGCTTCGTAAAGCTATTATACTGTTCAAACGCTTTCTTGTTGACGTGGGAATATTTCTTCAGAGCCTCGTTGGTCTTGTGGAGCTTCTTCACAACAGTGTTGGAGTCAGTGTTTTGGTACTTGGTGAAAGCTTCATCCGGAAGAACGCCAAGGGAACGAATGTTAGCCGCGCATTCGGCACCCTGCTTAGTGAGTGCGGCCTTCTTTTGCATGCTCTTCTCCATACGACGCTGATGCTTTTCGATAGATCGAGCGAGGTCTTCAATTTCTCGTCGGGTATCCGCATTACGCTGTTGCAGATCCATCACGCGAGTATTGCCTTCTTCAATTGAGGTGTCAACCTCCTTTAGTCGCGCATTGAGCTTCTCCAACGTCTGGCCAATGCGCTTCACTTCACGTTGTGTCTCTTTCAGGTTACCCTGAACCTCCTCGTCAGCGATATCAATGTCTCTGTTGAGTAATTGGTCAAGGCGCGGGTTGAGGTTCTCCCGGAGCTCAACTTCCAGCACCGATTTGCGTGCCTCGAGCTCGCTGCGCTGACCTGAAAGCTCTTGGTATTGACCACGCAGATCTTGCACTGTGCTGCTTAAGGTCTCCAGTAGAGCTTCCTCCTCGCTAGTGAGAGCTTTCTGGAAAGGCGATGACAGTTCGGTTTGGAACGCATTGACTTGGTCGTTCAGTGCCGCAAGGTTAGACTCGACATTTCGAAGAGCGCGTCGTTTGGCATGAAGAGCATCCTTCTTGTTTTGAAGGAGATCACGCTTGGCCCTCAACTCGTGCCGTAAGGGTCCACTGCTGTTCTGGACCTGATGTCTCTGTTGCTCAAGCTTTTGCAGTTCACCAACAGCCTTGGTGATCATCTGGTCGAGTTTCTCTAGCTCTTTCCGTATTTCGGTACCGCGATTTCTCTTGGTCTCGTACTCATCGCGCCACTTAGCTGAGACCCTTGACAGCGTCCAGTCGTGACTGACGGGAGTCGTGGTATCCACCAGTCAAGGCACCGCGCTTGTCTGATCGATCACCCTCTGGAGTGATAGCATTGACACCATGGCTTCGTGCGTACTGTGATGCAACCTGCAGGTTGGGGCAAATGATAGTCTTGCCAAACACATGCTGGAAGGCTCTCTCATATGCGGGGTCGTATTGCAACTTGTCGATCATGGGTATCGTGTCGCTAGCACGGGGGATGTTCATCGGCCTAGAGCGAAGTCTGTTCAGAGGCATAAACGTCACACGACCAGCCTTTTCCTTTTGTAAGATCTCGAGAACGGTGGTAGCAGTTTCATCTGTGTCAACAACGTAGTGGAATAAACTCTGGCCGGCAGTGACTTCGACGGCGGTGCGATATCTGTCATTGACATCGAAAAGCTCCGCAAGTGTACCATAGACTCCTTCAAGGTTGTGCTGGCGCTTGATTCGCCGCACTGCGGCAATTCCACGACTAGTGTTGTTATCCATCATTTGCGAGAGATTGCGCTCGGCGCGGTCCACCTCCTGGGATGCATTTGAAAGCACAGAGTCGAGCTTTGCTTCTTCTCTCCAAAGTTCCCTGTGGAAACATTAGTACCTGTTCTAGCCAATTACTGATTCAAGGAAGCTTACTTTCTTTGATCCATGAGGCGGTCTCTTTCATCCTTAGCATCTTGGACTTGTTGATCCACATTATGCATTGTGTCACCGCGTCCATCGATTTGCTGGCGCAAGCTTTCAGTTTCCGGCTCCAAGGCAGCAATCTCGCCTTCTAGGTCTTGGATATCTTCTTGTGTCTGTGAGATCACACCCTGAACAGTGTTGATAGAATTATGGCTTTCGCGGACTTCCATGTTCAGCCACTTGTCACGCTCAGACTTATTCTTGAATCGCGAGTTCCGACCCTGCTTCGCATACAATCGCTGTCGCGATGTCTCGGCATCCGTCAACTGCGATTTAACGGAGTCCTCCTGGTCCTTCAGGGCATTGAACCGAGGGAGAATTTCACGGTGTTCGGCTTCACGCTCACTGATAGCAGACTGAACAGAGCGGAGGTCGGAGTCGTAGCGTGATTTCAGTGCTTGTGCGGCAGCCTGGTTGTCAGAAAGAGACTTGGCTCGGAGTTCATTTTGAGCCAGGGTCTTAGATGCTTCACGCCGTTCGTCCTCCAGTTGAGCCTTGTCAACCTTCAGGAACTCAATTTGTTGCCGGCACTCAGCGATCTCAGCATCGATCTGAGCAATGGCCTTCTCGCCTTCTATGAATTGGTCACGATTGTTGTCGGCATCCTCAACGCCGTTCTGGCGTCGCTCTTCGATCTCATTGAGAACCTTACCGATCTCCTGTTGTTCAAGAGAGTAAATGGTGTACTCCAGACAGCGGCGCTCCTTGTCCTTCTCCTGATAGCTTCGAAGCTCGTCCTTTTCTTCTTCGAGTTCCGCAAGACGTTCGTTGATGTAGTCGAGTAGCTCGTCGATCTTGGCGCGTTTACTGTTGGTCTCGTTCATAATCTTCAAAGACTCCGAACGACGAGCTTCGTAGACCTGGGTACCGGCGACCTCCTTAAGCAGAACTAGGCGCTCAGAATCCTTCATGTTGGTCAACGCAGTCACCCGGCCTTGGGGAACAATGTAGTAAGGGTTAGATCGAGAGAAGCCAGCCGACTCGAGCAGGTTCATAACATCGTTCTTGGTGGCATTCTTGCGGTCGAGAGTGTATTCGTCCTTCTTGATACCAATAGTTCGGCGGAGTACGACCTCGGACTTGCCGGTGGGGAATCGATCGTCGGAGTTGTCGAAGATAATCTCGACGTAGGCGGACATTACAGCGGAACCAGAACCTTCCTGCTTGGGGTCAACCTATGTAGATTTGAGTAGTAACAAGGTACATACGTGCAAGAGAGCTTGACGTTCCTCTCTGCCGAGATGAGTGTAGGCATCGCTGAGGACGAAGCGAATAGCCGCAAAGAAGTTACTCTTTCCGGAACCATTGCGGCCGACAATGACGTTGTGTTTCGGGGAGAATGGCTCAATGACCGTTTGATCTTTGTAGCTGAGTTTCGGGCGAAGTCAATAAAAGTTTCATAGAGTTATAGATATTGCGTATGGAGTTGAAAATACCTCTTGAAGCCTTGAATAATGATCTGCTTGACATACATCTTGAGAAGAAACGCGCGACGCGAGGATTAATCAAAATACCCTCAGCATAACGCGCCTGGCGCAAGAGTAAAAGAATGTGCTAACAAGGTCACACCAGCAGATCAATCTGGCAATGAACAGACAAAGACCGAGGGATATCGTGATTGTGTTGCGAAACCTTGGAGATTGACTACGCGAGGAACGAAATTAGCGCGTCTCGTTGGGCGCGGGGTTCTGCCGGGCGGTGACCCTAATTTGAGCCACAGAAAAAAAAAAACCTTGGGGACCGACGGAGATATTCAAATCTCTACATTCTCAACTTTGGAGATCCAGAATGGCTTCAAATGAGAATACCGCTCAGGCGGCTGGCATTGCCGATGGCCTCGCGCCGTCGCATACATACGTGCCTAACGAAGGTTACGTGAACACTGATACTGCAGACTCCGCCGAGGCGGGGCATGTTCTGCCCGAGGAGCTGGAGGATGGGGATGAGGAAGACGAGTACTACGACGACATTTTCGACGAAGAATTGGATCGTGAAGATATCCTGTCTTCTGACAACTCCGATCTTACCAAAGCATACAACCGCCAACGCAGAATCAACGACCTCGCTAGCGACTCCAATGTGCCGAAATGGACATACCCCAAGACGAACACCCAGAAGCCTACCGTGAACACCTCCGCGTTTGTCGATGACCAGGTCAAGTCTCTCACTCGCCATGCCGCAAAGATCAAGCTGGATGACCAGCAGGCCGGCATTGCGGGGCGCAATGACAAGGGTGGAGATAAAGCAGACCGAGCCACATCCGAACAGGTGTTGGATCCCCGTACACGGATGCTTCTGCTGCAGATGATCAACCGAGGCCTCGTCTCGGAAATCCACGGTTGTTTGTCAACCGGAAAGGAAGCGAATGTCTACCATGCCATGTCCATTTCACAGGAAGACGAGGATGCTGCCCCACTACACCGTGCGATCAAGGTTTACAAGACTAGCATCTTGGTATTCAAGGATCGTGATAAGTACGTGACTGGAGAGTTCCGTTTCCGTCAAGGATACAACAAGAGCAACAACCGCGCCATGGTCAAACTTTGGGCTGAGAAGGAGATGCGAAACCTGCGAAGAATTCATGCCGCTGGCATTCCCTGCCCCGAGCCTATCTTCCTACGTCTGCACGTCCTTGTTATGGGATTCATTGGTAGCTCAAAGGGCCTGGGTGCACCTCGCCTCAAGGATGTGGACTTCAAGATTCCCGAACCCGAGACTCGTTGGCGTGCACTGTATATCGAACTGTTGGGCTATATGCGTGTTATGTACCAGACATGCCGTCTGGTGCACGCTGATCTTAGCGAGTACAACATTCTGTATCATAAGGAACGCCTGTATATCATCGATGTCAGTCAAAGTGTTGAACACGACCACCCGCGCAGTCTCGAATTCCTGCGCATGGATATCAAGAACGTCAGCGACTTCTTCCGCCGAAAGAACATTTTGACTCTTCCCGAGCGGACTGTGTTCCAGTTCATCATCTCCCCAGAAGGACCGGTTGATGTAACCGCTGGCAATGAGGAGATGACGAATGCCATCGACAAGCTCCTCATTGCCCGTGAGGAGGGTGACGATGAGCAGCAGGAGGCTGAAGATGTCGACACCGCTGTCTTCCGTCAACAATATATTCCCCAGACCCTAGAGCAGGTGTATGATGTCGAGCGTGACGCCGAACGCATTCGTGATGGCCAAGGTGCTGACCTGGTTTACGGAGACCTCTTGGCCGGCGGCAAAAAGAAGGCCACTGCCACTGATGCTGTCGAGGAAGACGCTGAGTCTGACGCAAGCGGCGGTGTCTCCGTCTCGGGATCCGACTCAGAGGGAGAAGAAATAGACCCATTCGCGCCGAAGCCGCCACGAGGCAAGCGTTTCGAAGACAAAGACTCCAAGCGCGACCACAAGGCAAAGGTCAAAGAGCAAAAGCGTGAGCAACGGGCGAATAAGATGCCGAAGCACTTGAAGAAGAAGCTTGTTTCTGGCTCGTCGAAAAAGAAGAAATAAGCTCCCGTAGCTTTATGACCTTATCTTTCTTTGCATGTGCACAAGTTGCGAAGTACTCTGTGTCAATCTACCGCTTGGCATGATTTGATGATGAAATGCATATATGGATGGATGGAGCATTGGGCATTTGATACCTTGGTCTATACTTGATAGAAATGGCAAAACATAAATATATATTTAGTGCGGGCTCTTCAAAACTGAATTCCATTTAGAGGAAATCACTTATATTCATACATATATGGGGGTATTCACAAGTGATTCGGAATAAAATCAAAATCGAGACAACAACTTATCAGAGCTCTCTTTGGACGTCACTCCAATCCGTCCTCTCGCCATAAATTCCCCACAAGTGTCACCAAACAGTGCTTACATCCCGCGAAAAAGCGCAGGAGTATGCATCTAGAAAACGAGCATCGAGCAGGGAACATAAATGAAGAGCATGACGGAAGGTCAGACCTATTGTGTCTTCGTCATTTAAGTCGCGATCATCGTTGTCACGATGCAGTAGTTAGAAGCCGCATAGAGATGTCAAGATCCAATTTCCATCCTAGCAACATATGTAGTGGGAAGTTCAGGGCGAGGCCGAGCCGATGGAAATGGCGTAATACTCGGATGGTGACCGGACGCACATGTGCACTGGATGAAAGTAAAGAGCTGCCAGCGTCGAAGACTTCACGGGAGATCAAGCGGTGTGCAATTGGGACGCGACCTTGTTTCGTTCCTTTACCCTTGCAAAAGCTTCCTCGACAAGGTCTCTCGGCAGGTCAGGGATTTGTTCTCCTTCGGCACTTCCATCCGATACTCCTGCCTTGGCAGCTCCTGCGTACTCGCGCCCACTGGGTTCCTCGAGTGCTTTCTGCCCTATAGGACCACCATCCAACTGGCCGCCCGAGACGCGCGTGAACTGCACCTGCATTGGGGCTAAGCCAACGCCAGGCCATATGTCGGACGGAAGAAAGTCACCCTGTTCAGCACGGAAAGTTTCACGAGCAGCGGCATCTTCATCATGGAGCTGGTCCAGTTTATGCCGGGTATCTCGGAGCACCTTTTCCACACGTTGGCGAACATGCCGCCGACGTGCTACTTCCAGCATCAGGCTGTCGTAAGCATTAAGAAACCCGTCGTACAGAGAGTGCAGATCAGAGAGTTCGACGAGGCCAGAATTAATGCGGTCGTTTTCTTCAAGCCACACCCGCGTGAAGTTGTGTGCCTGAGAAATGTAACGGGGTAAGCGAGATGAGGCGAGAGAGGATAGGTGGCTGTGAACTTCAATCGTTGCCTTGGAGATGGACAGCAGGGCATCTCGCTGTGCTTGCACTTGTTCAAATATAGATTCCATCTCATTAATGCGATCTTGGATCTCCATAACAACATCATCCGCCTCGGGGGCATCTTTGATCAAAACAGCTACCACCTCCTGGTACTCGGCGTCAGTCATTGGGTCAAGAGGTGCATTCAAATTGGCGTTGATCTCTGCCCCGATGTTTGGCATTCCATCGTTGCTGCCGTCAACACCGGTTGGCATATCCCCCGTGATGGATCGTGCAACTGCTCCTCCACCATCTGTATGCTTGACGGCAGTGACACAGAGATCAAAATGCCGGACCAGGGCTTCCAAAAGAGTGGCCATTTCTTGGGCATGGGCCTCCAGCGATTGGATCTGGCCCGGCATAGACGACAAAGTGAGAAGGCCGGAATCGGACGCAGATGACGAGGAGGATGTGATTGATAATCGGGATGACGCCAACTTCGTGGCTGTGTGGTAGTGACGAAGCGACTTTCTGATGGCTTGAAGTTCGTCATCAAATTCATGATTTGAGGTGTCCAGTTCGGCACGCGCTGTATTAGTGCGGTCGATAGACGCCTTAAGAGAGGCATGTAGCTCTTCAACCCCCCCGCTCATCAACAAAGTCATGTAGGGACTTCTGCTCTTCTTCGCCAGGTCTGAATGACGCGTGAACGATAGTCCCGCGGAGCAGATCTAACGTGTGTTTAAGCCGAGCATCAGCCGCATCCAGGTTCTTTAGCGCTATTGAAAATTCATCACGACCTCGGTATGATATCTGTTCAACCTCGGAACGAACATCATATAAAAGACGAAGTTGCCCATTAAGGCCTCGGCGTAAGAAGCCTGTCCGGGAGCACAGGACAACACTCTTCTCCAATGCCGAGTGCGATGCAGTGACTATTTCATTGGCCCGCCAGACATGGGTAATGGAGGAGAGCGAACGTTTGGCACCCAGCAGATACGAGATCAGAGTGTCAAGCTGGGGTAGAAATTGGTGGTCCCCCTGGTTCAGTCCAGCCTGCGGACGAATAGATGATGAAGAGGACTGTGATGACGCCATTGAGAGAATAAATTAATCCTGTTAATGGCGCATTCGGACTAAGATAAGACTAGGTTGAAAAAAAAGATCAACCTCTCAGGGGCGAGGGTGAAATTGATTGACACAGCTACAAGGGAAAGGAGGTGATTGCACGACTTTCCCTTCACCAAAACCCTAGGACACTTCAGTATAGGCCTATATTTGCCAAATCAGACCGGTGTAAACTTGAACACAACCAGAGGAGAGAATGGCTACTTCATAGCCCATAGACCTAGGAGCTGGATGTCATGAGGACCTCGGGAGGTCGATACAATAAGCCGGGACCGTGCTTTACACGGCAGACAAGTGAAGCACGAGCTCCAGCCCCTAAATGACTTGCAAATAAAAGGGATAGAAAACAGCCTCTTACCAGTAGTTCTCGATCCGTTCTCGGTCGAGATCTGATGCCCTGGGTACAACTTAAATTGTGGGCACGGCAAGCCGTTCATAGAAGGTTTGGATAGACCACAGTAGGGTGTGTGGTAGTAACCGACAAAGCTGGGGATAGTAGTGGGTCTGACAAAGTGTGAGTGTCGGTGTGTGATGGCTGTGGGACTAGTCTCTATCATACAGAAGATAAAATGCCCCGTTTCACCCCAGTCAACCCAAGTGATAGCGAATCAGCCTGTCGGAAGCGTAGGAATGATCGATTGAGGTGCGATGGCGTGGAGATGGCGCCATGCGGATCATAGTCACGTGCGTCACCGCCCAGATCACGTATTTGCCGCTCTGCCTTGTCCCAGACTCATCGATGGCGATATCAAAGACACCTCCGGATTATGCAATTTTTCCCGTGGATGATTTTCTGATTTAAAAGCCTCTGTTGATCCATTTTTTATTTTCTCTTTAATATCCAACTCGATTTCAATTGTTGACCTTGGAAGCTCGATAACGCTCTTATCTCAATCTTCCTCAGGGTACTCATATCGCCCGAATCGATAACCCTTAACCCCCCTCCCTCTTGACTCCCTGATTCTGGATAATTTTTCAAGGACATCCATTGCGACACTGATCGTTATCTTTCCTCCGTGCTCCTCTCTCTAAACAACTCAACTCAGGAGAACCGGGATATCTGCAAACCGACTGGTTCTTATCACCGTACATCAAACGCGACCGTCCGTCACTTGCCCGAGTGGCCTTCCCCTCTCTCACGGCGCGAGAACAGATCAGCCACCATGGCCGATACGCCGGAACCCTCGTCCACACAGCAGAGCCTGGTTGTCCCAATTGCGGGGGTTAGTGCGAACGCCGACTCCAACCGCTCTCTGCCGCGCAAAGACACCGACAACACCACACAAACCTTGGAGGAACTAGCGAGGCAAAATGTGGCTCCGTTCCTCGCAAAATATCAGCCACGCCAATATGCGCCTCTGCGCTCGCAAGTTTCAACCCCATCCGAGCAACACCTGGTAAATGCCAGCTACTGCTATCGTCATCAACCGGACTCAAAATGTAGCAGACGCCAAGCCGATGAACAGTCGATGACCCAGCTGCAGTCCGAGCTGAATCTACTTCCTCAAAGTGATCAACAGGGTATTGCCCATGTGTGGTCGTTGTTCTCTGCTGCTCCAGCGAAGCAGCGGACTCTCATGCTCCAGGGAATTCTAGCGCAGTCCTGCTTCCCCCAACTATCCTACATCTCCGCCAGTGTCCGCGAACTCATCCGAATCGATTTCCTCGCTGCCCTTCCTCCAGAGCTGTCCTTTAAGATTCTCCGTTACCTCGACACGGCCTCCCTATGCCGAGCAGCACAAGTTTCTCCCCGCTGGAGAGCGCTCGCGGATGATGACGTGGTGTGGCACCGGATGTGCGAGCAGCACATCCGCCGAAAGTGTAACAAGTGCGGTTGGGGTCTTCCTCTTCTGGATCGCAAGCGTCTGCGTGAGGCCAAGCGTGAGATTGAATTGCGCGCCACCAACTGGGGCAACAACAAGCCTGCAGTTGGGTCCACTGAAGCCGCAATGGTCGAATCTTGCTCGACTGTTCAACCTCCAGTCAGTGGCAAACGTAAGCTGGAATCCGATGAAGAAGCCGCTGCCCTTGCAAAGCGCCATTGTGCCTCGTCTCCCCAGTCTCCTGAAGTGGACGAGAGTTACTTCAAAACTCGTTACCGTCCGTGGAAGGAAGTTTATCGGGATCGATTCGTTGTCGGTATGAATTGGAAACACAAGCGCTGCTCAGTCAAGGTCTTCAAGGGCCACAGAGACAGTGTCATGTGTCTGCAGTTCGAGGACAATATCTTGATGACTGGATCCTATGATGCTACAGTTAAAATCTGGGACACAGATACTGGCGAAGAATTGAGAACTCTCAAAGGCCACGTTGCTGGGGTGCGTTGCCTCCAGTTCGATGACACCAAATTGATTACTGGTAGTCTGGATCGCAGCATCAGAGTCTGGAACTGGCGTACAGGCGAATGTATCTCCAAGTACAATGGCCACGCTGAAGCGGTCATCGCCCTCCACTTTGATTGCACTCTTCTCGCATCCGCCTCTGTCGATCGCACTGTCAAAATCTGGAATTTCAAGGACAAGTCTACTTTCGTTCTTCCTCACCCACAGGGAGTCAACGCTGTCAAAATCGACTCAGTTTCGCGCACGGTTTTGACCGCTTGCGACGATGGTGCCGCACGACTTTGGGACTTGGACACCAAGACTTGCATCCGAGTCTTCCATAACCACATCGGAGCTGTTCAACAAGTCATTGCTTTACCTCGAGAAATTGAACTGGAGAATCACCTCGCTGACTGCGAGAACGACCACGTCGGCACATCTTCTCAAAGTGGCGACAACATCCTGAGCACACTTTCCCCTCTTCTCGAGGCCACGTCTCCATCTCACCCGAATTCACCCTTCGGCTCCTCTTTTGACCAGGATCAAGACCGCATCGAACCCCCGCGCTACATCCTCACGAGCGGTGTGGACACAACCATCCGACTGTGGGAGACCAGCACCGGAAGATGCCTTCGCACCTTCTTTGGACATCTGGAAGGTATTTGGGCTCTTTCTGCTGATACATTGCGGATTGCGTCTGGTGGCATGGATCGCATGGTCAAGATCTGGGATCCTCGTATTCCTACAGGCCAAGATACCTACGAAGGTCACAGCGCAGCTGTCAACTGCATCGGCCTGAGCGACAGCCGCTTCATCACTGGTGGGGATGACTACCAAGTTCGCATGTACGATTTCCGGGCCTAGCGTGGCCAACCCTTTTCTTCTTTTGTCTATCAAAAGTACCCTTCTTGGTAAAATATTTGCTATTGTCATGGGATGGGGCGTATAATTGCGGCGCTGCCATTTCTGTTTTGCTTTTTTTCCTGTCTTTATATTGCATCTCCGGTTGATGGATGGATACCCTGGCGCATTCAAGAACGGCTTTGGTTCAAACAAGGTGATTTGATCTCATATATTGCCACTGACTGCATCACAGGCGCTACTTTGTTTTACTCTTACTGCTTGTTCTTCTCGTCGGCTATCTGCTGGCTTCTTGTTAATAATATGTGCCCCTGTTTCCATAGGACCATCAAATGAATTTGAATGATTATTTTCGAACATGAAGACCTTCTGTATGAAATTATGAAATTGCTTTCAATGTAAAACTACTAGTCCTACTAATCGTTCTCCGCTATGTGATTTACAATCGTCACGAGTTCTCCTTATCCTTCTAGCTATAGCATTACGAAGAACTATCTATAAAATATAGATCAATGAAGTATCTAAGGGAAGACATCTAGAAGACTACTAAAAGACCACTAAAAAGATAAAATTTAGTTGTCATTATCATTGACAGAGCTTAGCCTGTTTCTTCCGTAGAATGGTCCTGGGCCGTGGACGAATGAAGTAGGTGGAAGCCATCCTAAGTGGACCGCTTGCAGAACTGGCCTGAGGACACAACAATAAAACTACATACATAGTTGGATCTACAATATACTTCGATTTCTTCTGCTCTCGAGCTACAGCATTGATCACATGCAAGTTTTGAACTTCTAAATTGATGGTATATTGGTGACATAGGTAATTTTGGGGTCATTTTGATGCTCCGCGACTGATGAAGACCGGACCATGTCCAGCAGATTGAGCACCATTTTGTCACATGCTACTATTCCCAAATAGGAGCCCACCGTCTACTATAGAGGACTGGTAGGATGTTGACGCGATGCATATTTCTAACCTACAAGCTTCTGCTATTCTGTTTCCAACTCTTGTCACCATCTATATCTCAATACAAGGAAGAAAAGCAAAACCCACTCGCTCACTCTAATCTAGTCTACCTATACTTACTATGGCGGATTCTCGACCCGATATTCGATCTGGCCGAGTGTGGTCTGATCAAATGGATGATCTTCCATACGGTTAGTGTGTCGAGCAAAACCAGAGAAATCGAAGCTAATATCACGCAGATCGAGATTCCGCTGGCATAGAAACAAAGCCAGATCTGGAAGCTGAATACACCTCAGCTTCTAGCTCCTCGAACTCTAGCCCCGATCTTCCCTCCTCGTCTAAGGCTCAGCCAGTTGCTGTGACTAAAGAGCCTCGAAGCGGTTACAGACAATGCTGGGGATTTTTGCCTCATTGGAAGCGACTCCCGATGGGAATGAAATGGCTTATGCTTGTATGCGGGTTGCTCGCCGTTGGAGCTGTTACAACTTGGTTCCTCGTCCCCCATCTGATAAGCAAGGCTCGCCTCGAAAAGGAAAGACTGGCAAAGCTCGAAGCCGCAAAGCTTAACACCGAGAATGCCGTGCACCGACGTGCCTCGATGGTGGCCCTGCCCGGCGACTCTTCCGAGACCTCTCTGTCTATTGTCATGCCGTCCCCTACCGTAACCACTCCGGTCTATATCTTCTCGGATCCTGCACAAACGACCTTTTTGACCAAGGCCCGTGTCGCTATGTCCACGGACGGCGTCGTCTCCCCAGTTTCCCCAGTTCCCTCTATGGGAGTAAACTAAATGCAAGTAACACATTGAATACTGTGGCGAATCTGTTGGTATAATGGATCCAGTGTGAGATTTCATGGATTTGACGGTCTGTGTGGGATGTGTATATTGATATGATTGCTATTTGCTATTGATTGTCAACTGGTGGTATTAATATGTATTATTATTGTGTGTCCCGAAAGCTATCGTCTCCTATTTTGCTGCAGTTCCCATCGAGAGAGACATGAATACAATCCAATTCAACTCTATTGTTCCTACTGTTGACACTTGAATACTGTTATCAACTATTATCTACAACCTCAATCGACCTACTCTATTTCATCTTCCTGTCTATGGACCGCCGCTTGGTATTTAAATCGCTATCATCTCACCTTCACTTTTAATTCACTTCCTGGTGTACAGCTCCAGCCTTTGAATGCTTGATATCAGCATTGCTTCTTCCCCATCACTTGAACATCTGACCATCTATCTTTCCTCATACATCTTTTCCACATCCCCCAAGCGCCACAGGGTGACTTTGCATTTATTGCAAGCCAACCCCATCACATGAGCGACAGAGACCCTCAATTGATTTAGTCTGAACAAAGTGTAATTATTGACTGCTTGAGACTGTTCCGATTTAGACAGTTTCTAACCGAACTTGTTTCTTCGCAGCTCGCAGCTATTCAGCCTTTCACCATGGCATACTCTCTCGAAAGACTTGAGCAGGCCCAACACCTCTTTGACCGTACCGCGGGCGAGTTCTGCATGCTCCCACACCTCGCTGGCCCATATCAGTTGAGACAGCGTGCCTCCAAGCGCGCCGCTGTCATTGCGTCGTGGCATGACAATGACGAAGATAAAGACTACAGCCCTTCAAGCAAGCGAACACCGACCAAGCGCAAGTTATCTCTTTTACATGAGAGTGACCAAGATCTTCAATCCGACAAAAAGGCCAAGAGCTTGTCTCCGACTTCTACATTCCGTTCAAGACTGAGTCCGGACCCGGAAAGAGAAGCTTCTGTCCCTCCTTCGACACCCTCACACAGTGAGCCCGACAGCTGGGACAGATACTGGGCCGTCAATCCTGAGACAGACACACCAAGTTCACGATACAGCCTTCGACGCCGCAACAAGGAATCGGCGTCAGAATCACCACAAAAGAAAAATATTCCAGTCGAAGCTGAGACATCAAACCCGACTGGGGATGTGCCCGCTGAGAATCAACCTCCCGTTAGAGGGTGCGCTGCCTGTCAAGAACTAGGCATGGAATGCTCGCTTGCATCTGACCCTAACCCGTTCGCCTATCCTTGCACAACATGTGAAATCGATGATGTCTTTTGTGTTGTGAGCCCCCCCGCCCAAATGGAAGCGATCATGCGAGAATTGCAAAGGTCGGAAGAACAATACTTGCTCATATCGCTACGCTGACTACGACCATTCCCAACCCTGCCTCTCATGCCGGAATCATGGCTTCGAATGTATTGCTGGACCAGCTAGATACCCACCCTTTGCACTCTTTTCCACGAGTGAACCAAGCGAGCCAAGCAGTCCTCCAAGGATTGATTCTCCAGCAACCTCCAACTCACCCCATGGTACCCTAGAGCTCGACGTTTCTGAGGGATCTGAGACGATTGAGCAAACCATCTCTCCTAAAATCGATTCTCCAGAAAGCTTCAACTTACCACTTGGCACCCAAGAAACAGAGGTCTCTGAGGTATTCAAGCCAAGTGAGCAAGTCAGTTCCCCAGCTATCCAATCAAACATCCAGCTTCCAGAGAGCAATCCCGCAAAGAACGACTCTTGGGAGCCCTCTTCTCCTCCATTCAGCGACGCACAGCCCCCCGTTGTTCAGGCCCCGAAGCCACATGAGGTGATTGTAATCTCTGATTCAGACGATGACACCCCAAACATCCCGGAGAGACAGCCCTCGCCGATTTGCATTCCTAACTCCCTTGAGTCACCTAATCAAGACACGGTCTCAAATACCATTGCTTTGCAGTCCACGAACACCCAACGAATCTGGACTGAACTTGTTCATCCCGTGCAGTTTCTTGCAGATGACCGAGAAGGATGCCCTCCTTGCAACTGGTGCAACAACTTTGCATTTGGCATCAATGGCCTCGGCCCTCGTAACCCAGAGGTCTTGATCTTTGGTGACGGCACGATTGTTGAGCTTCAAGATGGCCACACTGCTGAAGGAAAAGAACAGAGCCGGATGTGTACCTCCTGTACAATCAATCGGGTTAAGATCATACAATGCTCCCACAACACTCTCGATCTACTACCTGTGCCTACGGCAGTGAAAGAAGATTTACGAGCTGATGCTTTGAGACTCCTAAATGAAGCAAACAAGGTTCTGATTGACCCCGAGACTGGGAAAGCTGGCCCTTTCCACCCATCTACCCCTTACCAATGGTGCAGTCTGTGCCGAGAGCCTGCATTCGGGACTTGCCAGACGATTCAGCCAGTCGATGTCTACGCAGATGTGGTGAACTGTGATGAAGAATCCCGTGGCTGTGGACTGATGCTCTGTGAGAGCTGTCTCCACCTCACCAATAGATTCCAAGGCGACCTCAATGCTGTCGTTGCCTGGGGTCGCAATGGCTCTAGCCCCGTAATCTATCGGGCTGATGTGGAGTTCCTGCTCTCCGGAGCAGAGAACAACAACATGTACCGGCGTTACCTGGTGGACCCTTGATTTGCAGCCTTGGAGGTTTTTTTTTTTTTTTTTTTTCTTTTTTTTTTCTTTTTTTCCTTTTTTTTTCTTTTTTTTCGTTTTGTTTTCTTTTCTGTCTTTTCTTTTCTTTTAATGTACATATCTCACCATAGTGAGAAGAAATAATAGTTTTCAGTTGTGTTTCTGAATTCTATGCTAGCAAATTCATTGTTTGAATACTCTACAGGGCTCCAGGGCTACAGGGCTAACATGTTTGATTACAGTGAGTGGGCGTTGTGCCCTAATTCATTGTTCACAATAGCTCAATAGCATAGGATGGCAATAGCACTACAATAAGAACAGAACTAGAATCCCAACCCTAAGAACACAATAGCTATTTTGACAATCAATCCCATTCACGAGTCCCATTGAACTACTCTGAATAGTCCACCTTCAAGTATAAGTAAGAGCTGTAAGAGCTGTGAAGCTCCAACTTTCATTTCTTCTCTTCCCATACACATCTTTCATTTCTTTTCATAACTTCTCGTACTCTTACTTTTTTTGTTTCACTAATTGTCTTAACTTTGCCTTCATCTCCAAGGCGCTGGTCGTCTGTATGTGGATAGCCCTGGGTTTCGTTTCCGCTCCGGAAAAAAAAAATTACTAAACTTCAGATTTTCTGCCAGTCGAACTCGTTCACATCTCAAATCCCCTTGTACTTCCACCAAAAGGAAGTAAGGGTGCTGCTTTGATCCCATTTTCTATTTTCCCCTGGTTGCCCCGAGCTGCGACACGAGGTGCGCAGCTCATCGCCACGACGTCTTCACCAAAGAGACGAAAAGTTTCCCCAGAGCCTCGCACCAGTCCAGGCCTTCGGGCTCGACGTCACGGCCGCTCCGAACATCACTCTCGCCACACATCTTCCTCTTCTTCCCGCGGCCAGAGTTCGTCGTTGTCCCCGCCTCGCTACGTGCCTGCGCATCTGCAGTTTCAGTCCGGAAGCCCGCCTGGCCGCTCGCTCACCCCCGCGACCGCGACCGCCGGACTCTCCCTCTCCAGTGACCATTCCGATATGCCCTCCGATACTCGAGAGGGTACACCTCCAACTCATGGACGATCCCCTTCTCCCGGCGAGAAGCGCCCGGCATCCGAGATTACAGACTCCGACCCCGAAGGGGGTGTGAGCACTGTCCCCAATAACACACGCACATACATTATTCCCCGCACATGCGACGGCACCAACGATGAATCCACGAATCCCACCACTTCGAGCAATGGCAAGACAGAAACCGTACCCTCAGCCGACGAGCAGTCCAGACCAGCATCGCCCAAATCAGATGGTACTCCTACAATCGATGAGCAGGTTGCGGAGGTGAATGCGCTGATGACGGCGCCGTTGAAAGAAGGACAAAAGGGCTTTGTTGTTTCCATGGCTTGGCTGAAGAAGGTGCTTGCACGCACTACGGCCCATGCGGATCACACTGACAAAGGATCATTGGAGGGCGACATTGGTCCCGTCAACAACCTGAACATAATGCTCGACACCGACCCAGCCACGCCCAACTTCAAAGACGAAACCGGTGAAACGTTTGTGCCCATGCGCCCTGGTTTGCACGACGCTCTGGATTTCGCGATAATCCCACAACATGGCTGGGACCTGATCCAGAAATGGTACGGCCTTGCTGATCAGTCACCTGTGATCACTCGCTACGCTCACAACATCAGCCAACCTGGTGATACCGAAAACATCCAATATGAGATTTACCCTCCAATTTTCACCATTTTCAAATTGGCCAACCCCGCCGCGGGTACCACCCCGACAATCTTGAGACAAGCCGTCAAGCAGTCTGTCAAGATTCTGGCCAGTCGCCAGACAAACTACCAAAAATGGTTGAAGGAAGCCAAAGAACAGGCCGGTATCGAGATGTCCACCAAGGTTCGAGTTTGGAAGATTCTTCAGCTTCCTAGTAGCACCGCTGCATCAGCCACGGCAACCCCAGCTGTCTCTCGCAGCCAATCGCCAGCTCCTCCGTTGGCTCTGATCTCGAACCCCAATGATAAGCTCCTTTTCGATTTGAACACTTTCCTCGATCTTCCAGAGGGAAGCCACCGGGTGTTGCTTGAAAATGTCAAGGATCAGACCCAGAATGCAAACTACAACGGTCGTATGACCTTGGATATGGCTGGTCTCAGTGTGACGAATTGTGTTATTCTTGAGGAACAGGTCGGCGGCTCCAGAGGTGGAGAATGGGTGTCCGAAGCCTCTGCCAAAACTCTGAAGAGTCTGGGTATCCCTGTGGATCAGCCGAAGACCGATGCTGCTACCAAAGCATCTGCCGCTAAAGTCGCACTGAAGAGCCCACAACCGAGTGGCAGATCTACCCCTACCCTGCCACCCGATCCAATTAGGGGACTCATCTCTCGTGGTCGGAAGGGCAAACAGATCATTGTTGGATTGCAGAATCTTGGCAACACTTGTTACATGAACTCTGCATTGCAATGTGTGCGAAGCATTGAGGAGTTGTCTTATTACTTCCTGAGTGAGTATACACATCTTACTGTTGGATACTGCAAACGAGGTCTTTCGATGCTAATCTTAACCTACAGGTGGATTGTACAAACCAGAGCTGAACCCTACCAATGTCCTTGGATGCGGCGGCACCATTGCCAAGCAATGGGCCAACTTGCTTCAGGAGCTCTACAAGTCGGACCCTCAGCCGAGATCTGTCAACCCCTATCGGTTCCGTACTGCCGCTGGTCGGCAACGTGAAGACTTTGCTGGCTACGAACAACATGACAGCCAGGAATTTGTGATGTTCCTTCTTGACGCACTGTCGGAAGATCTAAGCCGGATTGTTGGCAGCAAGCCAGCCACTGTCATCCCCGATTCCACTGATGAGATGATTCACGATCGCAAGGCTCTTGAGGAATTCGGAAAGAAGTGCTGGGATCTCTATGAGGCCCGCAATGCCTCCGTTATCACCGATCTGTTTGCCGGAATGTACAAGTCCACACTGATTTGCCACAATTGTGAGAAGACCAGCATCATCATGGACCCTTTCACAATGGTCACTGTGCCCATCCCAACGGCTCCGACGCTCGTCAATCGAACAATTATCTTTTACCCTCTTGACGGACCACCCGTATCTCTGAAAGTTCGGCTTGATGAGAACGATACTTTGAAGGTCTGGAAGGACTTCGTTGCCGGGAAGATGGGAATTGATGGGGACCAAATCTTTGCAGCAGAAACTTTGCACAATTCTTTCTGGCAAACCTTCTGCGACGATGACGATACTTTTGGCAGTCTACGCATTGGACAAGAAGACACTATTGTGTTCTTTGATCTTGGTCCTCTTCCAGAACCTGCTAATTCCGCTGACTCCACTTCCGACGACGATGCAGTCCTTGTACCCGTCTTCCACCGCAAACTTGTGCCGCGCAAGAACAAAGAGGCCACTCGTGAACTTTTCGGAATCCCCTCCTTCATACGTCTTTCTAGTGGAGAAACTCAAGATCTTGAGGCGATCTACCGCAAGCTCCTGAACCAGGCCAATAACATGACTACACACGACCTTCTAGCTGCCGAAGAAAACAGCAACGACGACAATGCAACTGATGACTCTGATACTGTGGTTACGAACGAGGATGATGCACGATCAGCAGATTCCCGAATCAAAACAACTTCTGTTGACGGCGAAGACAGCATCGTCGACATTTCCATGCAAGCTGAGCAAGCGCCCAAGCCTGCAGAGGACGCCGATGAGTCGGATTCCGACTCTGAATCTGTCAAGGCTCCCCAGCATCCTCTTGCTGGCAAGATCCCCGCCAGGTTGCTGTCACTCTTTGATGTAACGGTTATGAGCACAAATGCCACTCTGCCTGATGGGCGCAACATCTCCACGATTAAGAACTACCCCTCTATTTCCTCTCGGATCCCATCTCCTCCCACTTCTACTAAGGTTTGATTATTCTGTCTTGTCCGTTCAGATTCAGCCGGCTAATCTTTTCAGGGATCCGATGATGCTTCCTCCAAAAGCTCCGCAGATGACAATGTCGATGATGACGTCGATACAGACGAATCAGATGTGACACCAAACTCGACACGATCGCTCCTTCACCAAGGTGACGCCATCTTGCTTGACTGGACTCCTGATGCCTTTGATTCGCTTTTCGGCGGCAAGCCCCGTGACTCCGAGGAGCTCCGTGGTCGCCCTACCTACATGAACATCAGGAATGTCTTTGATCACACCATGACGGTAAGCCAGAAGAAGCCAAAGCAAGCAAATGTCTCTCTCGACCAATGCCTGGACGAGTTCAGCAAGGAGGAAATTCTTTCTCGGGCAGATAGCTGGTTCTGTCCTCAGTGCAAGACCCACGTTTCAGCCACCAAGAAGTTTGAGCTGTGGAGAACCCCGGATATTATGGTCGTCCAACTCAAGCGGTTTAGCCAATTCCGCGGCAGAAACGGGCACAAGATCAGCACTGTCATCGACTTCCCCTTCGAGGGACTGGATCTGAGCAGCCGAGTGGAAGGCCCCATGGATGGAAAGAGTGCGGTGTACGATTTGATTGCCGTCGACAACCACATTGGTGGAATGGGTGGTGGTCACTACACTGCCTTCATCAAGGACTTTGTGTCTGGTGCCTGGGTCTACTGCAACGGTCCGATCCCCTCCCCTGATATGCTAATTTGAAGTTTTACTGACATATATCTCAGATACGTCTGCGAAGACTGTTACAAACTTGCAGTCGATCATCTCGTCGGGTGCCTACCTCCTGTTCTACCGCCGTCGCTCCGATCGTGCATTGGGCAACCAGGAGCTGCGGGAGCTGGTTGAAGGATACCGGAACCAGGCCAGTGATTCTGGCAGTTCCTCCGGCTCCCGCAGCCCCGGTGGTTCCCAATCACCTTCGGAGGACGGCGGTCGTGTCCTCGGCGGCGCACCCCGCAAGGGGTCGTCTGCCTTGGCCGGGGCAGGAGTGGCACCCCGAGTGAGTCGGGGGCAAGACTCCCTCGGCAATGACCTGTACTCTTCTGCCGAGGAGAGTACTTCGGGCTCGGAGGACGGTGGCAGCGAAGGTAAGAAAATCGGCTTCGAGCACGAGAATGGGGGATCGCAGGTCGACTCCCTCAGCAAGCTCACGGAACCCTCTTGGTCGTTCGACGCCGCTCACGACATCTCACAGATTACCGGTGGTAATGCTGCCACCGAAGATGGCATCTTCGAGGGTCGGTGTCCATGGGGTGGCATGGACATCGACCCTCAGTTTCAGCTTGGTCTCACTTCTGGGGGTGAGGGGGAGGATTCCTCCGATGATCTCCCAGTCGTGGAGCTGCAGGGTGGGGTCCGAGGACGTAATGTCCTCGGACCCATGAATAATACGAACATAAAAAAATTTAAAAAAACCAAAAAAAAAAAGGGGGGGAGTGGGTGGATGGGGGGGATGGGCGTGTTTTTCTACATAGAGGGAGGGGGATGGGCAGGTGGCCCATACAAAATAAAATGTTTCTTGCTTCACTTTCAATCACTTTCTCAAAGAAAAGTAAGAGTAAGGCCAAACTGAGGTTAATGTAGGTCCACTGAACGTCGTTGAGAAGTAAGACTTCTACCACTTCTTCATTACTTCTTCATCACTTCTTCATCACTTAACTACCTCACCAAGGTCTTATAATCTATACATAAGAAACAGGCCGTCAATGAACTCCTATCTTCGTACCAGATCACACCGGAATATGTCCAGGCTCTAGGCTCAGTCTTCGTCGGCAACGGCTACTACCAATGTGTGTCCACAAGGTGACCTCATTCTGTACAGTTTGCTGGCCTTTTTCTTTACTCTCCCATCTTTGTGCACATATAGCGGTCCAGTTCACTACCAGAGATTGTTTCAAGGACCTAAGTTGATGTTAATGTGGATATAGTCGATTCAAGGTTGATGACTTGCTTCGCAAGTAGTATTTCAGTACTAACCTTGGAAGCGATCAAGCCTCACCTATAACTTACATAATTGTTCCTGCAATGGATGGATCATTCAGAAGCGCATGCTGCACTATATAAAAGGCTGACCATTGGTTTCTTAGACCTATAGCAATTGGGCGCTGTATATGCGCCGGTGCTCATCTTATGTTTGTAGTGAAATTCCCTAACTTGTACAAGTCGTGCAGCAAATTAAAGATTGACAAGCATCTATAGTATTCTTGGCATTACTTGCATCGAATCTTAGCGCATACATGTGCTTTGAAAAGACTCATATTAACTCACCTATCAAAATACACGGTATCCAAAGTCACTAGTGGTCTGGACCAAGGAAATCCTCCGTTTAGTAACTCCATATAGGAAGCAGACACACATGTAGTATGGAAGGGATAATATATGTATGCATAGCTTCCAATGTTCAATAAGATGTTCAATACGAAGATGTAGCAAATAGGAAGTTACCTATGTATGTGGCCAGGAAGAGGAAGGTGCCAGCAGACTCCCTCCTTCCATATTAGGGCTATGTGCGTGCGAGTATTCCCCTCTCCGTGCATCTGGCTTCCTCATTTCCACGCTCCTCTCAATCTACTCACTCAACCTCCATACATCCACGCACTTATGCCAAAGATGAAACGCACCGCGCCTTCTCCGAAACGTCGGGGACTGTTCAGGCATGAGCCACGCCAACTCAATCCCCAGCTATCTGAATTATGTCCAGAGGCTATCAACGTCAGCCCTGCCAGTGCCACGTCTATGATTGCAGATATCAACTCCGACCACGCTCATAGACACTTGGCTTTCCAGACCCCCAGTGACCAACTCGAGCTTCTGAGGCTCGAGGCCTTGCGTCTCAAGATAACGGAGACCACACGTTCCAAGTCTAATCCAGCAAATGAGATGTCTTATCAACGCGCGACCGCCGTCCCAGCTCAAGACCTCAGTTCCAATGGAGAACCTGGTCCCACCGTCCCAAACTCGACACGAACCTCAATCCGATCCCGTGCTGCAGTCCTGAGCGAGAGTGAGATCAGTGTCCTTGATCTTGGCCCCAGTCTGCACTCTACCCACATTTCAGCTGGAGTCTCTCGCCGCAACTCATCCTCTACGAGTTCTCCCATCGGAGTCGACCTCACCCGTACCACTGCTCCCAACTTTGTCCCGGGCCCAGGAAGTGACGCTTCGGACCAACCACTTGAGCATCGCCTCAGGATAGACGAGCTCGAATCTGAGGCTCTCACTTCTGCTAGTGGCTCCGTCAACGAGTTTCCTCTAAACCTACGTCAACGCCGCCAGAACCGACCCAACGCCAATCTGCCCAGCGCCCAGGAGCTGCGAGCTAGTCGCGTAAACCGTTCATCCAGCATCAGTGGAGCTCATGCTTTGAGAGATGGATCTGGCTTCGAGCGCAGCCCTACTTCCTTCTCTGATGAGCCTGTTCGCCGGGTTTTCTCGCTCTCTGTTCCGCAATCTCCGCAGTCTCCTGTCCTGCCGCCCCAGCCAATTCTACGACGTGCTCAGAGCTCGTTTAACGGAATGGACCCGGCCTTTTCAGCCATGCGCAATGCAGAGCGGGCGAAACGAAGTGCACGCGAGGCTGCGAGCTCTCGGGATGCCGATCGGGAATGAGACACAGGCGTTGAAACTGATGTATGGCATGTGAGGGTCATTTCATGGAAAGGGAAAGCTTTATGGGCGTTGAGACTTGTTCATGGCACGGGGGAACAATATCTGATGCTTTGGGATGTGGGGAATCAGTTATGGGTTCTAGGACCTGCAAATGTTCGCATTCGAGGCTCTTTACTTTCAGCCTTTTGCCATACATGCAACCTTCGGCATGCATCACCTGTTTATTAGTTGATTACCCTCAAATGAAGGTTGTTTCAGAATCCTTGCGGTGTAGAGTATCTTTTTTGTTTCGGATTATATTAATCTTTACCAACCCCCCCGAGAAAAATATCATGGTTTAGTCGTTTAGGGCTGCAACATTATATACATCGGCCACTTTTAGATCACTTGCGAGGGAAGTCTGGGTCAAGCTGGAACCATCACGACTATTATATTCTGGGCGGAAAAGACATCTATTGTCTTTCAAGTTTTCTCCCAGCTGTCCTTTGTACGGTGTGTCTTGCCCATATTCCATCCATGAACATTGAAGTTCAAGCCTCTTTCATGACGTAATCGCCAACACCGCCCTGCACCAGCCACACCACGACTTCCCCCCCGCAGATCCCCAAGGCACAGCTTCTCCAACTCTGTTTCCGGTGCTAGTTGGCCTTGTCAAGCCTCCATACCTTCATAATGTGGAACGACGAAGATAACAATCCCTACGGGGCCTTTGACCAACATCAGTCTGGCCTATCCGACTCCCTACATTCAGCCGCACTCTCTCCCCGTAAGATCTCCGCTCGGTTCCCACCCTAATGTTTCTGCCTTTGGAACAGTATCTCACAGCAGCTAGCTCTCTACGAACACGACTCAACTCCTCCATCTAGCCGCGATTCCAACAGCGAGCCTCCCGATTATATCACCCATGCCGAAGACCTCAGCGATCCTGAGGATGAGGCCGAGTATGGTGCCGCCAGCCAACAATACCCTCGGAAGAGCGTCTATGACAGCCGGATTGAACAGATCCTTTATGAAAATCCCGAGATGCCAATCTTGATCACAGATGCCGGGAAAAATCATGAGGGCGGTGGTAGCTTTATTGTTTACACAATCCGGACTGCGGTATGAGAACGGTGCCCGGCGGATAACTGTACAATGCTGAGTGTTGATAGGACCTGGAAGTGCGCCGTCGATATTCCGAGTTTGCGTCGTTGCGACAAACTCTGGTCAATTTGCATCCCACCTTGGTCGTTCCGCCGATTCCCGAGAAGCATAGCATGGCGGACTATGCAGCCAAACCCACCAGAGCTAAAGATGATATGGCCATTATAGATCTCCGAAAGCGGATGCTCAGTGTGTTCCTCAACCGCTGTAGGCGTATGAAGGAGATCCGCGAGGATGGAGTGTGGTGGAGATTCCTTGACCCCAACGTTAGCTGGGTGGGTTCGACCCGGATGTTCCTGGGTACGAGTTTATTAACTAACGTTTTGCTCAGAGTGAGGTTTTGAGCTCCCATCCTGCATCATCGGTCCCGAAGAATAACCTCAAAGCGCCACCTCTTGACCCCGCAAATCCCACACCAGCCCATGGCTGGCTCCCGATTCCGTCTACATCCGCAAAGCTCAAGCCCAGCGGTGGGACTACCACAGCTGGCGGAAACGCAGTGTCACCCACATCACCGAGTGAACAAGAGCCACCCTCGTTTCCAGGACCTGAGATCCTCGGGCGGTTCCCTCCCGAGTCACGCAAGCTTAGCGAGCAAGAACTGGATCCTTACTTTATTAATTTTGAAGCGTCTACGCGGGAGCTGGAATTACTCTTGCAGGGCAACATTGAGAAAGTCAATCGACGAACTCTCTCGCATTTGTCTGGGCTCTCAGCCGACCTCATGGAGTTGGGAGCGCGGTACAACGGATTTTCCCTTTCTGAGCAGTCACCAACGGTGGCTGCCGCCATTGAGCGGATCGGCCAGGCCGCGGATACCTCTTATATCGAAACCGAAGAACTATCCTCGGCTTTAAGCGCAAGTTTTGCGGAACCTATGCGGGAGAGTGCTCAGTTTGCTAGTGTGGTTCGCGGAGTGCTACGATACCGAGTGCTCAAGCGGGTACAACAAGAAATGACTCGCGATGAGTTGTCGAAGAAGAAAACCTTACTAGACTCCCTTGAGCGCAGTGAACTCGAAGCCAAGCGCATCGAGCAGTACCTCAACCGGACCAACCCTCAATCTGGAGGGACGAAGCCTCGTTCCCTGTCAACCTCATCTGCCATCAGCAGCGAATCCGGCAACGGTCCAGTCATGTCAGCTGACTCAGGCTTCCCGTCTACTCACGACGATTCCATGAGCTCTCCGCCTGCATCGCAGGTCGGAGGACAAAAGAGGTCTGACCCGTCAGTAGCAGGCTCCCCCGCTCATCGGAAGTCATCTAGTGGGACCTTTGTGGCGAACAAAATCTTCGGTCGCATCAGCCATGCTATCCACGGGTTCGCGGATGTAGATCCCGAACGAACGCGTCGGGACCAGATCGGAAAGACCAAAGAAAGTTTGATTCAGGTATGTGGACAGTGAAACATGTTTCAGGTGATTCTAAAACTAATTTCGATTTTTAGTTGGAGCAAGCATTAGAAGTGTCTGAAAAGGACGTCAAGGATGCGAGCGCCGGTGTGCTGAATGACCTCAAGCGCTTCCAGAAGGACAAAGAAGCTGACCTGCGGCGATACATGGTATGAATGTCACCCTACATGATTCAGAACTCGGACTAAATATGAATTTCTAGGTCGCATATGCTCGTTGCCACTTGGACTGGGCTCGCAAGAACCTGGAGACATGGACGGAAGCCAAAGATGAGGTGGACAAGATCGTTGCTCGATAGAAGATCATCTTCAGCCTGATGGAGCTCGGCGCTGGCGTTCGGTGGATATCTTTAACTTTTTTTCTGTTCTTTTTTAATTTGTCACTATGGACCTCGCTGAAAATGCAAATCCGATATATCCAAGTCTCTTGAGTCTAGGCTTCTAGGCTACACTGTATAGAAAGTAATAGGGTAGCCTTCAGGGGAGACAGGGTTTTTGTCTTACCTGCGGCTTCGTACCCTGCAACCCTACAGGGCTTATATTGTAAGGTCTCAATTAACACGAGCAAAGGGTCTCCTAGATGTGTTTATAACTGTTTTCATCCTTGAAGTGAATGTGTTTGCAAGGTAAAGGCCACATTCCGATGTCATGTACTCCGTAGACCCATCACTTCCCCGTGACTTGAAAGGGAGATCGACACTGCAACCGATCGATTTCAAAAGTCAGACATCTCCCTTGCTTGTCAAGTTCAATGTACAAAAGTTACGGTGTATAATCTCGGAGCTCAATATTGTCAATATTGTCTAGGATAGAGTAGTTGGGTCTGACAGTGATCTATCGTGTCTATCATTTGTGCCACGAATCCTTCCACGAATCCTTCCGCTTCCATCACGCCAAGACGAACTACCCATCTGTATCTCCCACACAACTTACTCCGTATTCTATCCAGGCATTCCGAAAACCCTGCAGGCATGTCCAATTGTGGGCCCCGATTGAGTAACCAGTGGACCGTGTCGCAGTTCCTTCACCCCTCTGTCTCCTGCATCACCAACTCCACCCTACTAGGGTGACAACGCCGTGCGTCGACCGAAAACGATGAGTGCCTGGATCCATCATGATGATCGCCAGGGCCCGGCACTTATCACGGTCGATGTCGCCGTCTGGCCATCGCGATGAATTTCGACATCGGTCTTTTTGGAAATTCCCTCGACGCTGGGTTAGAATGCTTTCCTTCCTCGCCTTAGTATGCTTCTTCTCCATCGGTCTGGCCTTGAGTATCAAAAGAGATCAGAACTTTGCAAATGGCCAGAAGCTGCAAGATCTCGGAAAGGACCAGGCTGTAAGCCGCTTTCCTCCTTCTCGTCAGACACAGCAACATACACATGATCCTTCTATTCTCCGCGTGGGCGATGAATATTATCTTTATCATGTCGGTGAACACATCTTCATCCACACTGCGCCTAGCATGGCCGGCCCGTGGAAGCGTGTCGGAAGTGTGCTGGATGCCAAGAGTGTGATCCCGAAGGGTGATCGTGCCGTGCCCTGGGCCCCGGACGTCATCGTTGTCGACGGCACATACTATTGCTATTACAGTGTTAGTAAGGCCGGTTGCCGCGACAGTGCTATTGGTGTGGCCACCTCTAACTCTCCCGGTCCGGGCAACTGGTATGACCATGGCGCTGTCATTGAGACCGGCACGGGTAATGGATCGGACATCTATCCTTACACCAAGTCAAATGCAATTGACCCCAGCACATTGGTCACTCCCGATGGACATGCTTATTTGACTTATGGAAGCTACTGGAACGGAATTTTCCAAATCCCGCTGAGCAACGACCTCCTCTCTCCAGCCAGCACTACGGAACCCGATGCGCGGCAGCTGGCGTGGGAGCCGGACTCTCTCGGCATGCCGAATCGGATGGCCAACAACATTTGTGGTGACCCGAGCGGTCCCCATCCCATTGAGGGTGCTTACATCTCCTACAACGATGGATGGTACTATCTCTGGTTTAGCCATGGATTCTGCTGTAATCTGAAGGAAGACAACCTGCCACCCGCTGGTCAAGAGTAAGTCTTGCTGACCCAGTGACTTGTTGCTTCGTACTCACGTACTTCAGATATTCCATCCGTGTCGGACGCTCGCAGAGTCCCCGAGGGCCGTTCACAGACAAGTCCGGCAAGGATCTCGTCAAAGGCGGCGGTGAACTTATCTACGGCTCGAACGGAGAGACCTATGCCCCAGGCGGGCAAGCTGTGCTCCGTGATGGCGATACTGATGTGCTCTACTACCACTACTGTGCGTTTACCCCTAGACCCCTATTTTTGAACTTCTTACTGACCTGATTACAGTGAACACGAGCGTTGGTCTTGCATTCCAGGTGAGCTCACACTTAATTATTGGCAGGCTTGTGGACCACGATTGTCGTGGTTCCTGCACCCCTGTCGATCCTCCTTCGTCACCCCTTGCACCATACGCGCGAACGTCATCAAGATCTGATCTAACACATGCAACCCCAGGACGCCTTCCTTGGATTTAATCCTCTCAAATATGTTGACGGATGGCCCGTCGCTCAGGCCTGATCTCCCTTTCGCACGTCATGCATTTCACTATCCATCCCATCCTCGAATTTCCGTTTCACATATAAACATCCGAAATTAATCTCGAACAAAGTCCGCCCCTTTCTGCATCCGCGTTCACCTCATCCCTTTTCTTTCGAGAATGGATCTCAAATTCTGCACATCTCCGCGTCCTCGCTTGCGAACATACTTGACATACTCGCGTCGTCATTCTTTTGCGCTGATAGACCTGTTTTCATCACCCTCTCGCGACTCCATTGCTTATACGCATTACCCGTTCTGTTCAAGGTTCCGTCTGCATTATGTGGCGTACAGGTTCTGGGATATACAACTCTTTAGTATCCGTATATTTGATAGTTGTGGTGTGAATTGTGATTTACCTTGCCAATACATATCTTTCTGCGAAAACGAAAGCGATCTCACTGGTTCTGTCATATTTATGAAGTCAAAGAAAATATGTTCCAACGTTGCGAGTGTGAACCTGACAGAGTATAGTCTAATGGGGCTCTCCGTTTAGGTAAATGTACTACTTAGCTCACTGTATACGTCTAAGGCTGGAAATGGGTGCAAATCGAAAGAACGAAAGTGAATTGACATGCGCCGTTCCAATCCATAACCAAAAGTACATGCGTAACGAAAATCATATATCCCAGCCCATATTCATCAGCCGACACGTCCTATTCCCATCTCATACAAAGGCTCTTCCTATATTTCCATCCGCTTTCATAGACTTGCTGCGCAAGACCCCTAAGAGTTCCGGCGCCTCTTCCATGGCCTCCATCCATGATTTAGCAACCCTTCTAGACGTGAACGAAATCTCTTGCGACCTCCGGGCTCTTGTGGTCGACTGTCCATCAAGAAGTCTGCTGCATCCTCCATAGTCTCTAGCTGTGACTGCTTCGAACACTCGGGAATCTCTGACTCCGGCTGCGGTTCTCCCTGGCTCTGGAGTAGGTCTGGTGTTCCATCCGCTACCTCCAGTTGTTCTTTTCCAAGGTTCTTAGAGATATCAGACGACGCCGGCTGATGCTCATGATTATCACTCGACAGATCCAATTCACCTGTTTGCACCTCTGACTGGGATTTATTGGTGTCTTGACAAACATCTGATGCCTCTGGCTGCGGTTCTTCCTGATTGTGGAATAGGTCCGATGTCCCGTCCACTGCCTCCAGCTTATCTTTTTTAGAGATTTCTGGTGAAGCGGACTGATCCTCATGGTGGTCGCTCAGTAGGCCCGGTGTTCCCGGTGTCCCTGTTTGCGTCCCTGACTGGTCTTTCTCGGCACTTTGACAAGCCTGTGCCTGCTGTACTTCATGACCGACAAGTAGCTCGGATGACCCTGCTGGGGCCTCTGGTTGTACCTGTCGAGGATTCTGAGATAGGTGCGATAGTTCTTGCGGTTGGTGGCCCTGCTCATCCGGTGAATTTGTTACTTCATCTTGGTCTGGCAGCTGTTGTTGCTCATGATTCCCTGGCAAGCCTGAAGCATCTTCTGGAGCCTCAAATTGCGGCCGCTCAGAGGCCTCCTGAACCTCAGGTATCTCAAGATGTGGTCGTTCACTACTGTTCGGAAGCTCTTGTTCGCGTTGAGTTCGAATTTCCAGTGGATAATCGTCTATGAATCCCCGTCTACTTGAGTCTGTTGGCGTTGTCTGCGCATGGAGTGGCAAGCGATCAGACGGCCGAAATCGTAGCAGCCTGTCAATTATCGGCAGCAAGCGAGCCATTGTCGGGTCACTTGCCTTTTCGACAAAAGCGTCCTTTAGGCGCGGTACTAAGGGTAGGATTAAAAGCGTTCTTCCTGTGGAGTAGAAATAATGTGCTAACCTTGAATTGATACGCCTTTGGCTACGTATTCTTCCCCTGCTGGACCCTCTTGAACTGACACTAGAGAACCTGCTGAGGTTGGAGCTTCTGCATGTGGCTGTTAGGTCTGTTGTTTGTTCTTCCGTTGCCCGGGCCCTTTCCAGTGCAGATGTTTGCTCGGAAATCAATCGTAGCTCGTCTAGCTTTGACTCCCACTCTGTTGGTAAGTCTTCCACAAACCCAATCATGCTCCTTATGTATTCATAATCGTTGAGCGGAATAGGGAACGGAGGTTCCAGTGTTGCAAGTTGATATAGCTGTCGCGTATAGTTTAGTAAAAGTCATTTGAACTGCAGTTAATTTTGAAGACGTACGAAGCATCCCGTATGCCACAGATCAAGACGATAGTCGACCTTGTCCCCAATGATAGACTCGGGGCATCGAAGATGCACTGGTTGCTTGAGGTTATCAGGTTCCTCTCCGCGGAGGAAACTCTTTCCAAAGCCAATGAGACGGGCGCTATCCGAAATGCTCTCGGCATATCCTGGCCATTTGGCAGTTTCTATAAGTTCTTTTGGAAGCCCGGGATCCAGGAGCATCCCGTCACGGCGCTCTAAGGGGACCGCCTGCGGCGATCCGAGAATCTCAAAGAATCCTCCTCTAGAGGTATACGCTAACCTGGATCTATAGTCGATGATAATGTGTGAACCACTGATACCTACTGCCATGTAAGTAACATTGCCAATACGCCGCAACTCTTCACTGGACTTTAGACTGTTCATGGGAAAAACAAACTCACCTCCGTGACACATTTCCAAGCGTTGCATCAGTTTCACGGCCACCAAAACCTTCTGAGCAATTCGATGTATAGTCGAAGCTTCCATTGCGTCACAATGAGTCGAGTTACTGAACTTAGTATTGGCAAATTCGAGATAGTGACCGTAGTTGTTGAAGTCAATAAAGGACTGTTGAATCAATTCAATGGTGGGACCAAAGGATGCAAATACCAAGCAATGATGCGTTCCGTTCGGACCAACGACCAGAAAGGTGTCAAGCAAGTTAGCGATACCCTTGCTGGAGGGGTAGTCTCTTGTCTTTTCTTTCAAATATCGCAGGTTTCGAATTTCCCTCGGCTCCTTGATGTGCGCGGCCAATATCTTCAAAGCGACCCATGGACCATGAGAATGCCACACATAGCTTGGTCTTGAGGAGGTTAGCTTCTGTGTGAATTTTGAGATGAAGAAGAGGAAGTGTACTGGTTATCCTCTGCAAGCCACACTGTACAAGATTCACCAAAGCCTAACTTATGGCGCACTGTGTACCGGCCATTGTTGAATTCGTCACCGAGACTGACAGGGTGAAACGCACCCCGACAATACCTGTGAATCCCTTCCTCCGCGAAAAGGAGAGGATTATCTTTAAACTCGGTTATGTCAAAGTTGGGGTCTGTGTTAATCTCCATGACAGATATGTGGGATCGCAAGTGTAAAGGAGAGAGAGAGAGAAGTGGACGATGGTAGAAATATAAAGACTGAGGGATTCTTTGTTTGGATAGCCCGAAGTATTGGCTACAACTGTAGTGATTCTCTTTGTTGACTTGAGTCATCTCACTTTAATTCGATTTCATTGATGCTATAGCCATGGACATATACTTGCAATTCTCACCTCTACCTTGCCTATTTGAAGGATTTAAAAAAAAGTATAGAAGCCTTTAATTCTCCTATAAGATATAGATTGTTCGAGGTGACAGATGATAAAATCATCAACTACACATTGTAACATGTGTGGATGAACGCAAATCCATAATACCTGGAAAACTCCCCTCCAATCCACGCGGAAAAGACTGTGAATTCACCATTCCTGTGTCTCTTTCCAGTTGGAACGCTGGCTGCGCTTGTCACATCCTGCAACCGAGCGTTCCCGCGAGGGGCTTCGACTACGACCCCTCTTCGCATTTTCCTCCAATTCAATCTCCCAGCGCTCCTTTTTCTTCTTTTTGTCCCGGTGCACATTGCTGTCTTGCCCCCAAGTTGGACTGCCACCGCCACGGTGTGCTTCTTCACGTCCCCAGGAGTTAGGCCTGGATCTGTTGGGGCTGTTGTTGCCCCAATCACGGCTGGGGCTTGGTCGGCCTCTCGACTTTCGCTCCGGGGACCCATACCGGCTACCATTCCTTTTCTTGTAACTCTTCGTATCATCATCCCCCCATCCAGAGTATCGGTTATGGTCTTCATTGGAATGGTTGCTCCGTGATGGGCTGTTTTGCCGTGTGCCGCTGCCACTCTGCCCCCAATCACCACCGGTATCCGCTTCGGTTCTTGAATTTCGCCCTGGGGACGCATGACGGTTGCCTTTGTTTTCCTTGTAACTCTTCGTATGATCGTCGCCCCTTCCACGGTAGCGGTTACGGTTTTCGATAGAATGATTGCTCCGTGGGTAGCCAGTTTCCTGTCGGCCATGGTCACTCTGACCCCAACCACCCCCGAAAGCTGCTTCGCTTCTTGAAACTTGATCCGGGGAGGCAGGGCGACTGTTGGGCCATCCATGATGGTGCTGCTGTTGTTCATCACTTTCCCGTCTTCCATCGCTGCGTCTGTGATCATCATCATGTCGATTTCCCCATTGAGAATTCTTTTCCCGTGGGCTATTGTGAATATCTCGTGAGCCTCGTCGTGGGCCTCGTCGTGGGGAACATGATCCACCATTTCTCAACCCCCCCTTGGTCATCGTTGAAAGTGCTGCCCCAACCGTCGTTGTTCTCCTTCTGCCCAGCACTGTGTTGATTATCCTGCGGACCTTCATCATTTCCCCAGCCATCACCACCATGGCTGCTGGTTTGGTAATTCTGGCCTTCGGCATTTCCCCATCGATGATATTGCTCGTTTTGTGCACCCTGGGGATTGGGAGAATGGGCATTAGGGGACTTCTGGCTGTTCTGGCCTTGCTTCTTGAACTTCTGTTTGCGCTGGTTTTGTCGGTTCTGCTTGCTCGGTTGCTCATTCTGGCATTGTTGTTGCTGCCTCTGTTTGTTTTGTAGCGCTCGTTGTTTCCTTTGCTGCCGTTTGGATAATGGGTTCGGCTGCTGGTTCGCCCGCTGGGGACTACGCGAGCTCGCTTGGGTTGGGCCTTGGAAATGTTGGTCAGAATTCGGGTTACCGGTAAATACGGGCTGCCGGGTGTGAACATACTGTGGCGGACGCAGGACATGGGATAATCCTCGGGTCTTTGGCCGAACCCACCCACGAGGGGTAAAGTAGGGTCCAAATATGGGGTTTTGGGCTCCGTTCGCGGGTTCATAATTGGCCTGGGCACGATCTCGGTTCCTTCTGTGGAAGATTTGGCCTTGTTGGTGCATTTGGGTCACATGTGATCGATACCAAAGGTAGAACAACCATGCGAAGACTGGAGTGACGAACGTCACCGACAGAAGGACGGCGACCAGAATATTGTCCTGCATGGTGCAACGGGGCGGAGAAAGAGTGATCTGAAGTGATGGGTTTGGAGTCGTGCAGCTGGAGAGCAGGAAGTGAATATTTGCGTGGTGCGCGTGTGATAATGATAAAATAGCGCAGAGTGCAAGAGAATGAAGAAAGTGAAGAGGACGAAGAGTCTAGAGAGTGGGATGGATTGAAGGCCTTTTGTAGGATTATCGATCTCGATATCAAGTGAAGGCAAAGAAAAGAGGAAAGACAAGGCAAAGTGAGGAAATGGGGAAAGAGCAGACTCGCAAACATGGCAAACGAGATATTCTCCAATATTTCTATCTGATTTATATACGTTATCTTTTCACTTTCGATTCACATTATAACTCACATTTCCAGTGCAGTCTGGATTCTTGACAACCAGTCCCCATGGACTGATGACGATTTGCCAGCGACCAAGAGGGATTCGAGCGATCCCCGGAAGGCAGTTGGCTGCACTCGCAGACTCTCTGAGACTGGAAAGACTTGTGAGCCTAGAGCAGACGATATGGCAATAACCCGGAGACCGAGGGTGAATATCTCAGGCTTCGAGACCCAACCAAGAAGTCCATCTGGCTCTTTCTCAGGGCCAGCCAGAGAACAGAGATATGTTAACCCGTCAAAGGCCCAGGCAGAGATTTCATCCAACGACAGCTTAGCGTACGCCGAGCCGGTCAACCGCAACAGAGCTCGCGACCAGACCTCGACCTCACGCACATCATCGACAAACAGATTCTGCTTCTCCTCCACGAATAGGACGGTACTATCTTGGCGATGCTCTGCGATCTGGTCTGACACAGCGACTAAGTGACTGCGTTCGTCAGATCCACTGACCCTTGGCTCTTGGCCAGTCAAATATCGAAGAACCCGTTGTCCTAGCAGTGCAGAGTCCGAATAGTTATCGATAATGAAGTCGGCAAGCAGGGCACTTGCATTGAGAGGTGCTAGGGTCACATCGGCGTCAGGTGAGACGGACGAGTGTGACAAGGTCCAAGAGGCTGCTGATGCAGCCACATCACGAATTTCATCGTCGTCATCATTGAGCATGTCATACAAGACCAGGTAGACATCTAGTAGCATCCCATCCACGCGTGGCTGGGAACCAGGTGATCTAAGAGCCCGCGAAAAGCTACCAACAGATACGGCTGCAGCAAACCGGGTTGTGAATTCCTGGGAAACGAAAATGATTAGAGTGACTCGACTCAAATGTGCCTTCGGGAACTCACCGTCTCCTCGCTCAAGGCAGAGCGAAGCTTGATAGTCCAACTGTGGACATCGCCTTCAAATGAGGACGAAGCTGCCTGATCAACGAATGACCGAATTGCCAGTAGACAGCCTCGAAGTCGGAGCTCAGCATCTGTTGCCTCTCGGTTCCAGGCTGTGATGTCTGTTTCAGGGCGGAAGCTGTTTGCAATAGCATCCCATGGAAGGCCAATGCTTGACACAGAATCGAACTGTGATGATATTAAGCTCTCCGCAATAGAAGCCAAATTGGATGCAGCCATTGTTTTCACATCGGGTCGACTATCCCCCAATACCACCGATGAATACAAGCCAGCCAAGGGCTGTCTGTACCTCTTGTCTTCGCCAAGTGACTCATGGAGCTGCTCCATAATCCAACGAGCGACATCTGCATCGAATTTTGATACTCCAATGAAGAATGCCGGGAGCTGTTCCCACTGTTGTGAGGTAAGCATTTTCAACGTAGTGCACCAAGCAAGCGCTCTTCTAAGGAGGGCAGATGCTCGGCTAGTGCTTGAAAGGTTCCATCCTGCCTGAGAAGCGTCAAAAGCAAATCTCAAAATCCCGTCGAGGTCGTGAACCTGGAACATCTCATTGATAAAAGAAATAATTTGATCTATAGATCGTTAGTTCGGTTCTTTCTGCCCAGGTGAATTCAAAAATGTCGACTTACTTTCGTTCTGTGCTTGGATCGCCCGCTCCAGCGTGCCGTTGAGAATTTCAACAAGCTCACTTGCTACCGTCGGCGATTTCCCAACACGGAACAGGAATTCCAATACGGTGCGCAATGTCGTGAAAAGTACATCCAAGTGCGCTGCCAAATGGTTAGCTCGAGTAAGAATGGGGAGTGTTCAGTGCACTCACACGTCCAGAAATCATCGGTGGTGAAGGAGTATCGACGAAGGGCATATCGCGCACATAAAGCAACGCCATGAACATAATTTTCGGTGATCTTTGACGGAAGCGTAATAAGCGTGCGCAATTCTTCCGGGATATTTTGTCGAGTGAGCAATGACGCATATACACGGGCCGCATGCTCTCTAACACCCCAAACCGGGCTGCTCAGGTGCTCAAGAACCAATCCACGTAGCATCTCGTCAGTGGGATCATCCAAGCTGGGGACTTTGTCACCAACGAGTTCCAGTGCAGGGAACACACGCTCGGTAATGATTTCAGTGCCCTCCGCTGCTTCACCCTGCGTCGTTGTGAGAAGACCAGAGAGCAGTTCAAGCAGACCAGGGTACTTGGGGAATGTTATCCGGGACCCTGGTTCTGAGCCAGAGTTTCCTCCAAAGCCAGGCCCAGCGCCTGGAATGACCCGACACATTTTTGTGAGAAGGGCACGGAAGAGCATCAGTCCTGAATTACGAAGGGCCCAGATTGGAGACCCCAGGCGTTCGGCGGACAGTGTCAGTGCTTTCATTATGAATGGCTCGGTATGGGGGCCAAGCTTCGCGTTAGTGAAGATATCTTTCAGGCAATTCATTGCATGAACCTGGGGCAGTTCCAAGTACTGCTTCTCTTTGTCATACTTCACGGCAAGGGATGAAATCTCGTGGAGTTCATTAATGGCCTCGTTGAAGAATGGCGTTCCAGGATCAGAGCCAACAATTCCTGTCACCAACGCAGGCAGGCCAGCAGACCGACGGGTGAGCTGAGATGCCGAGCCAAATATAGTCGACTTGGCTTCCTGGTACCAGTTCCTAGGAAGTTCTCGGATTGATGGATCCTTTGAGGAGCTGCATCGTTGACAGCAGGTTGCAAATGTCTGTGAGACGTTGGAAAATGCACCTCTATGGCGCAGTTCAGCCAGCTGTGTGAAGCTGATACCTCCGATGTTGCAAAATCCGCCAAATTGAGTCCGTCACTACCGCTTGGTCCGTAACTGGTGTTTACCATAGTGGCATGGAGCAAAAGGCTACTGCAGTCAGCGACGACGCATAATTAACAAAGGGATCGAATTTACCTTGCTTCGCGAAGAGATCGCCAGGAATATGAAAGGGCGTCCTTTGGTCCCACGTTGAGATCCTCGATGGGCTCGTCCGAGTGACCTTCGGGTGAGTCGATGCACAGCAGAGGCTTCGCCTCAATCCAGATCTTATCGCAAATTGAAACAATGCGGTCATGGATAGACCGCCAAGCAGCGGATCCCGACCCGTCAGATACTAGGGAGTGGAAGCTTGGCATAAGGACAATATACCTGGAACTTTAATCAGCATATCGTCTCATGTACAGACTAAGACAACATACCTCAGGCCGGACGTATATCCATGAAGTGGCGCCTCGCGCATAGTGGAGTTGAAAAGGGTCTTTGACCCTAGGAGACGTTCCTCAAGCTTTTTCAAAATTGTGTCGACTACTGATGCCTTGGTTGTCCACCAATCAGAAACCGGTTGACCGGAGTTGGCTGGCAGGGCTGCGCAAAAGATGATGTGGTACAGACGAGCAACAGTATCAGCATGATCAGCCCTGCTCGTGTTACTTGCAAGGCTTTCCGCTCGGGTAATTGCATCTGTCAACCGCATGCCTACGGCCGACTGCTGATCTGTCTTGTCGTGCAAGCCGTTGAGCAGGATCTCTCGAGGGCACAAACTCAGGATCGAAAGCGCTGTTTGCCGCACCTCCTCGAATGGATCTAGCAGGAGATCAATCAATAATCGGAGTAGTTGAGAATCAAACACTTCGACATGGACTTTCCAAATATTTTCCATCTCTGATTTTTGAAGCTTGGCCTCTATCCGTGGGTCAAGGCCGGAGTCCAGCAAGAGCTTTAGAGCCTTGAGAGCTGTGATATGGCGCGGATATGAGGCTGCCAGACGCAAATCATTACCCAATAGCTTAAGGTATGCCCTTAGGAACTCTGTGGTTTCGGTTTCATTTCTGGCCTGGCCTTGGGCTGGCTTGTTGGCTGTTTTCTCTGTCTTCAAGGCAACATCTTCATTTTTGACAATACCACCTCTCAGACGAACAAAGAATTTGCGTGTCAGACTCAGAATTTCTCCTCGAGTATATGCGTCGGATTCAGCATGCATCGAGGGTAGTCCACGAAGGATAACATTCGTGGCCTCCACCGTAAATGGCTTTACAGTGGAAAATGCCGTGATCAGCAGCGAGAGGGCCGCTATACGGATATTGGCCTCGCGGTGCAAGAGAAAGTTGCCGATCACGTCGCTCTTCATGACCAAAACTTCATTTTCGTCGAGTTTCATTTTGCCAACGTTAAAAATATCTATGCATATTAGCAAATTGCGGATGAATCCAGGTGGACACAGCTACTCACAATCTTCATGAACCAAGTTGATTTTCTTGCCGATCTGTAGAGCAGCGAAAAGTACCATATACTCTGCCTCAGGCGCATCGGTCATATCACCTTTGAGAAGGCTCTTGACTGGGAGGGTGTCAAGGAAGGTCTTAAAGCCATTGGGGTCAATGCTGAATAGAGGTTGCAGGAGCCTATTGGACAAATCTTCCAACCCTTCCATGTTTTGTAAGACCATGCGTCTCACTGGCATTACCCACATTGCTGACAGCTTTTCCGCTGAGGTTTCAGGCTTCATCTTCTGTATCAAAATTGCCAGCAAGTTACCAGCTGGCACCGCCATCGTTCTGTTGTTGGTTTGGATCAAGAGCCCCAGAACAAACATCCTTGCTGCTAATTCATCGGACAGGCTGCCAGATGCAGAGTCAAAAGCGGGGCCTGTTTCCCCTAGAGAAAGAGCTTCATGATCTTTGGCGAAGAGAGTTGCCCATTTATCTGTGTTCTTCAAAAGCCACTGGCGAGTCAATGGGATAAACTCGCTGGGTAGCAGGGCATCCCTTCTGATGAATGTCTCCAAAAACACCAGGCACCCCTTCAGTCGTGATTGAGGCTCCCCAATCACAATGCTAGGAATGATGGCATCAATAATTGCAGTTTGAAGTTCTGCTCTTGTCGTTGCTTGATGCCTTTTAGCTAGGATGGTAGTAATTGAGGCAAGGAGTTTCTTAATGGGCTTTGGCTTGGCGTCTTCATATCGAGTCAGACAAATATCGAATATTGACAGCCACACTTCCTGTGAGAAAATCAATTGTCGAGTCGTATCACATTGTGACTTTGTCGCAGCATCAATGAAAGCAGATGTAGCATTGCATGCCTCTGCAGAATGAGGTGGCGAGATAGATGCTGTCGATAACGTCTGAACCAACGACTGCCATACCCGGTTGACCTTTCTTTTGAATATTAGTACAATTTATTCTTATAAATTCGAACATACGCTTCACTTACTCAGTGTCTTGGCATGTCAGTGTTAATTTCACCAATGGGCCTTTCGCGATATCTCGGAGAGTTTTCTCCGAGTACAATTGCACGTTCTGCGCAAGGTCATCCATTTCAGTTGATACAACCCGGTGCACCTGACTTGAATCAACAGTCAGACCCCTAATTGTATAACCCTCGGTATCTTGGATAACGGTTCTCGTGAAAGGTCTCCCCGTTAAATTTTTATGCTCCCCGCGATGCCTCAGGCCGCCGAGTGATAAAAGTGGGGTTCCCAATCGGGTAAAGCGTATCTCCTTCGGCCAAACTCTTCTCCGTTCGATCGCCGGAAGTCACGGGACCGAAGTTTTTGCTGTTCCGATGCCAGTGGAGCTGCGAACCCAGGGTCATCACTTCTTTTCCAGTCATCCGCCCTTGCCCTCCAAGGTTATCCTTAGGTTATTGTAATTTTATCTTCTATCCCTCTATCTTTCCATACCTCTTTCACAATGTCCATCTGGGACTCCCTCAGCGGCCGCAAGCAAACCGGGCCCGATGCCTTCGACCCTTCAACCGCGCAAGATGCCACATCCTTCCTCTCCGAGGTCGCTATTCCCGATCCTTCTCGCCTCCATCCCCTGGCTGGTCTGAATCAAGATACCCTCGACTACCTCTCCCTCGACGACACTGCCCTCGATGAACTCCCCGGCTCGCGATCAGTCTTGCCATCCCGTGGATGGTCAGACGATCTTTGTTACGGTGCCGGCACTACCTATCTCGTTGCGCTCACTACTGGAGGCGTTTGGGGACTTGTAGAAGGATTGAAGAAGACACCACCTACGGCAGCACCGAAAATTCGTCTTAACGGTGTACTCAACTCGGTTACCCGTCGCGGTCCGTTCCTCGGAAACTCGGCCGGTGTTGTGGCTATGGTTTACAACGGAATCAACTCGAGCCTCGGATATGTGCGAGGCAAGCACGATGCCTCTAACAGCATCGTGGCCGGCGCATTGAGCGGCATGGTCTTCAAGAGCACACGTGGAATTAAGCCTATGATGATCTCTGGCGGCATTGTGGCTTCCATTGCTGGTGCTTGGGCTGTATGTATATTGTTCTGATGTTTCGTGCGACATTTGCTAACTGCAACTCTACAGGTTACGCGAAAGGCCTTCTTCTAGATTGCTAGCATGGCCAGTTTTATCCTACTCCGCTTCTCGGTTATCCAATACTCCATACCCTCCACGCCACACTTAAACGACATTGGCGGTTGACGATTAGCCGCCTCGCTTTGTCTTTCCACCTGCGATGTATTACAACTATTTTTTTTATTCCCCCCCTGTGGGTCTCTTCACTCCGGCGCTTCAAGCTTCATGTTTCGCATTTATGCGTGGGTTGGGAATGGGATGTGCAACTGGGTTTGTACTTTGTATTTGTTCTGTGTACATAGAAAAGTCTCTTGCATACCTGCGACTCATTGGCTATGGCGCTTGCAGTGCCTGTCAGTTACGTATTCTAATGCTGCTAGTGACTTCCAATAGACAATTTCTCACACTTTCGGATTAGTCTAATAAGTGAACTTCACATTCCAACCGACATTTCACCGGAGAAACCAAACAATATTCGGTGGACTTGGAGATTCATCTCAATGCCACATGAGCTATGACGGTGAGTCTCGGGCTGGTGGCTCGTGGACAGCTTCTTGGACAACTTCTTATTGTCTTTGTCTAGCCCCGTGGTATCCCGCGTGGCTCCCGGTTATGGAAATTTATGCTGCCCTATGGTCATTTGCTAATCTCAAAGGGATAGACTTGCCGCATTGTCTGCCATCAAAATGTTGTGTCAACAACCAGTTTGGATGGGAAATGGCACCACCATTCCAGCCAGATACTACACATGGGCTATGCACCAAAGATAAAAACGGAAGGGAACTTTCTATACATTTGATCCCTTCACCGACGCAGCGGAACTTGGTAGTTCTTCCAATGCTCTGCGGGCGATCGCGTGATATTCCCTCCATCTGCTCGGAATGGGATAGTGTCGAGATTATCTCACTTTTGCCGTACACTTGCTACAAGATCAAAATTATCGCGGAGCACTGCTAAAGGCCTGGCTACATTCTACCGCTCTATGTAGCCATATAGCGAAAATTCATGCGGCGAATCGGATGTGCTAACAGGGGAAGGTTGGATGAAGGAGTTTTCTTCGAAACGAAAACATTGAACTCCCAGTTAGGAGGAGGTACGATATTACTTTGACGCATTACAACTTCATATCAAATTTCCGGTCAATTCAATCTAGTGAAGAAGAAATCCGAAATTTGGCTCACGGAAACATATATATTACTTGAATTACATGCGCTACACGCGTGTAGTAAATGATCATCAGTGTAAACCCATCCTCCTTATACATAAGTAAATATGTCTAAACGCAGCTGTATTTAATGGCACAAGAGCACTCAGCTGTCTTTTCCAAAATCTTTGCCGCCAACTCCCGCGCTCATGTGGCGTCGATCAGGGACCGGCAATTGCCGACGGGCAAATGGGGAATAATTTTATTCACCCATGCCACAGCCTTCACCCTCCTCCAGACCTTTGGCAATGCCAGATATATCATCAAATAATGCGAAAGTCGCAAAACAACGCACTAAGACTTTCACTGGATGTTGGACTTGTCGAGACCGTCGAGTGAAGTGCGACGAAGAACACCCTCACTGTCGGCGGTGCCAGCGAAGTGGTTGGGTGTGCAAGGGGTATGGTTTGCGCCTAGGATGGTCTCAAACCCCCCGGGGGCCGCTCTCATCGGCGCCAGTTGCGATCCCCACTACCAGATGCGGACCACGGGTTGTCATCTGCCGCTGTCACCGCACTGCTGGTTGAGCTGGATGGATGTTCGGCGGACGACTGTGCCCAACAACGGGGACCATTCTCGGTGTTCTCCGTTTCTTCAAGCCCTGACATGCAAGATTCAGGCCATCCTAATCTCCCCGACTCGGAATATGCACCTTCAACCCCAAATGCGGAAGATACACAGGGTATCTCGTTGGACTTGATTAACTCGTCAGTTGGCGACAGAGATAGCGATTTGGCTGCTTCACCGAGACCGACTTGGGATGGATTATCATCTGCTATCGCACCGTCCACGTCTGAATTCCACGAGGATTCCTGCCCGGTATTAACAATGCCTAACAATCGGGTTGATGACATCTCTATCAACGCAATTCCTGATGTCCTTAATCATAAAAAGCCCCAAAATAGGCTGTCAGGTCAGAGCAACTACGGCAGACCTGCATCAAGTATCCAGAGACATGGGACTGAGATCTCTCTCTGGGACTCCATGAGTCCATTAATTCTCCCAAGACCAGAGACAGAGCTCGTTCATCACTGGGTTGTTTTTCTCAGCGGAAATATGCTCCTAATCGACACCCCGGACAACGCCTGCCGGACAGTGTTCCTGCCTCTGGCCCTGAAAGGCCTCGATGCCTCCCCAACAGAGCCGAACATCCATCTATCAATCTTCCACGCCATTTGTGCCTCCTCCGCCTTCAGTCTTTCTCTCCTCCGCCACGATTCGCGATACCACTCCATCGCTGTCCACCATGACCAGCTGGCTCTGCGTCATTTGCGAGGAAGTCTACAGCGGGCCAGCTGCCTAGATGAGCCCACATTAGCTGCTGTTCTCACTTGTATCACGGCTGAAGCTATGTCCGGTCGCCGCAGCCGATGGAGAGCACATGTCTCTGGATGCCTTCGTCTCCTGGAGAACGAGGTCCATGGCGACTGGATTCGAAGTCCGACTGCTGCTAAATTGATCCAAAGTTACTTGTCCCTTTCGTCACTATGCAGTCTTCCTGTGCCTGGACGGCTCATGTCGCTTCTCAATGGCCCCTCCCATTTACATAACTACCTAGAACGATCACATGGAGTCACAACACCACTGGTCCAATGCCTCGCTCAAATTACCTCGCTTGTTGAGTCCCGCACACCGTTATCCATCGAAGAACTAGACCGACTTGAACTTCAGCTCTACCTGAACTTCCCATCCCTGTCCAACCCAGACGCCGCGGGATCGATCATCGTCCAACACGCTCTGAACTCATTCTACTACGCGACGATTGTATACTTCCGTCGCAGTTTGCGTGGCGCACGCTTGTGCGACGTACAGGATCTGATTGAGAAAGCAATACACGAGCTTGAATCTGTCGATGCGCTCACGCGTGACAAGGGCGGCTGTTCCTATAATTGGGCAAGTTTTGTGGTTGCAGCTGACTGCCAGCGGCCTGACTTGCAAGATCGAATGTTGGCATTCTTTCACCAGAAAAGTCGGCACGGAATCCAGAGTATCAATGTATTATCTGAAATCGTTCAAGCTCTGTGGAACCGGCGGGCAACGGCTGGACCGCACGCCGATATACAGTGGCAGGATATTGCAAGGGAAGCTGACTTTGACTTCATGCTTGTTTGAATATAGATAGAGATATCGGAAGCCAACTTGATATGGTCCATTGGTCTAGGGCAACAATCTTTCTTCGGGTGTAAACCATCTAAGAGGTAGCGCTCAGGGCCCCGATGGGATGGTACGTCTATAAATACCCGGGGCCCACAGAAAAACCTTGGGACAAGCTAAGCCATGTGGAGTCCAAAGTGGATACTCGAACCGTTTCCCAGAGTCGAGGTACCTCCAGGGATAGGTGAGTACATATGTACTTAATGAACTTCGATGTTTCAAGTCCTTGATAGAAATCAGGAGCATTTCCACTAAACCCTGCGACCTATTAGTGGAACAATTAGTGCGTTGTAAAATATATCCACTTCTTCACATAATGGCCAGTGCGTCAGCATGGCTAGCAACCTTGGAACAGCCCCAGGAAAATTGTGCGGGGACGAAGTAAGCAAGAGGAATACTGCCTACTAGCTCTACAAGCATGAGCCAGCGCTTTCAGATCCCGAAGCTCATCAAGCGGAATACCCAACTAACTAAGACACCACTGATGCAACACAAGCTCAGGGTAGGTTGCTCAACCCCATCAATGATAGGAGACATAGCCTCAACAGCCATATTATCACTAGCAACAGCAGCGAAATGTCGATCCCGAAGCCAACGCGCCATTTCCTTACTCCCATCTAGCCCGCACATCGTGCCGCCTGTCATCGCAGCGGCCTTCTCGGCTCCAGTCATCTGGCCCAGCGTCTCGAATCGGATAAGGAGGATATCTCCTGCTTGGAAGGTTATACCCTGCGAGGCGGCCACTGCTTGTAGCTCGATAACCCCGATATGGAAGCTGGAGAATTGGTCATAGCTTATCCCGTGGCTATGCGCGTAACTCTTGAAGTCGATTAGTACGCCTCGGCCTGTCACGCAGCCGCTTTGGTTGCAGTCTGATTTTCTCCGTTAGCCTTTTCAGGTTGGTTTCGAGTTTGGATGGAACCCATGAGCAGGCTCGGAGGCAATCCACGGCATAATAAAAAAGAATATTGCTGTCACTATTGGAGCTGCCAGATTCAGATCTACCCCAGCATCCCCCCGGAGTAGGGTGCGGAGAAAAGGAGGACGACGTGAAATCAGCCTGTGCGAGAACAGACTCACAATCGACATAGGTATGAGGTCTGCGATATGAGTGACTGCGACCGACATGTGAGGTAGAATTCTAGTTCGATCCGTCTGCAAACATCCGAGTTAGAGAAGCATGATTTGCGCAAACGAATATAGAGAGTTCGTAGACAATCACTTGGCAAATTATAAGGACACCCAAAAAGCCAATGGATTCTGTGCCCTTGACATCGATATTTGATATCAGATCGCGTCCTTCTTTGGCTGAAGGTCAGGGTTCACCATGTCAAGCCCCACCACGGTCGGGTTCGTACGTGCCGATCCCTTCCCAGCCACTTCTTCAACCAGCAAATGGGCACAGTGTTGGGATGCACGACATGGCGCTAATCGACGACTTTGTTCGGAAACTTGGAAATCTCTGTCTCTTGGGTTGGTCTTTATCTGTACTCCGTACGGAGTATTTGACCTTGGCCTCGATGGTGGAGAGGCTGCAAGGGATCTCCAACCCCAAAAACCCTGAAAATTTCCCCCACTAACTTTGGAACCCGCCATATCACCCCTTCAATTCATTGAACGGATGTACATAGTGCCCCTTGCTGTTCGACGCCTCTCCCGCAGAAGCCGCAAAGATGGCCGAAGCGACATTATGCGGCTGATTTATCCGGAGAATGGGCCATAACTAGATGCCACGTCAACTCCCAGGAATGGAGAATAGGTTTGTCATTTTATATTTACCGAGTCAAAATTTGACCTCAAAAAGGTTAAGGACATTTGAGCGTCGTCATACAACATACAGCCAGTATGCCAAGGTGGAGGATCACATACTCAACGATTTTGGGTTCGGGGGCAAGCCACCGCGAAGGCTAAAATTAGGTATAGTGGCGCACAGGACGCGTTTGGTCCTTTTGAACCCGCCGGACTATCGTGCGTCAGACAGCAAGGGTTGAACACTAAGGTATGTATGAAAGAGAATGACATGTAGAACGTACTATGTAGAGAGTGTAGAAATGATCTTCAGTTTGAAGAAGATATCATGTTACTAGTTACGAGGTATAATCTATACCTGAGGCCTGAGGCCCAGGAAACTGCAGATGATAGGCATATCACCTTCCCTTTCGGGAACTACACTCGGAGCAAACATCTTCGGTCGTCACAGTAGAAAGACAGTATGAAAAAGATATATACCAAGGTCAGGTCAAACGGGATTATTTTAAAATGTGTAGGCCCATATGAAACTTAATAATATAATCCCCCATCTTCTATTACATCCAACATCTCCATAGTTACCATATTAAAATTGCAGTATAAACTCAAGTAAACACTTGCGGGGAACACATGGGGAGCTAACCATATTAGGATCGTCAGCTGACTAGCCCCGATTAATCCTGCCCAGGTGATTTCTTGTTTTTTTTTTTCCTTCTTCTTTTCGCTGCATCGCCCAGCCATGTCGCTTTTCCTTCCTTTCTAATTGAATTTACTCTTGGTCCTTCATTTTCCCCTTTTCTTCTGTTCCCCTTTATAATCAATCTTGCATGCGGTTTGAACTTCCGCTATACCTACGGAGTAGAGAGGTGACCCTTAACGGGTCTTCCCACGCTAAGGCCATTTAGGCCTGGAGGCTTAGCTGGGGGTTCCAAGACTCTTATCTTCGGCCGTTTTATATCTGGTGACTCTGACACCCCCCACACCCCGGAGGATAGAACTTAACGCTTCCGGCCTTCCGTTTGCGTTCGAGTCATCCTCCCTCTCAACACCTTTTTCGATAAATGATACACGAGTCCGGTCTATCGACCATGTCATCCATGTTTCAAGATGCAAGCGACAATGAAAATACAAAGAAAGAGGAGGTGAATGGCCCTCTTTCGGTAGACGACCTCGTACCTTCCATACTTAATCCCGAGTCGCCACTACCATCTCTTCAGATTCGCACCGATCTACCCAATATTCGACCATCTAGCTCGCGAGACTCCGATCCTTATGCATCGGCCAGTTTGTCCGGAAGTTATCCACACCGTACTCCGAGTCTTCGTGCCCTCATCGCACCGCCTATTTACAGTGCAGGCTCTTTGTCCCCGGCATCCATCATGTCCTCACCTCAGTTGAATGCGATGGGTGACATAACTCCATTGCCGTCGCCAATTGGAGGAGCGTCGCCGTGGCGGAGAGCTGATTTGCCGTCATTGTCTCGTTCTTCGTCAATAACGTCGCGCAACGGTTCCAGCCTTCGCTTGAGCGATTCATCACAAATGCTTGGGCCACCCGCCACGCCCCGCTCGCGCGCCAAACCATACACTGGCATTGATGGCCAGGGGGAAAAGTCATCTGTGAACAATTGGCGTCGCCGCGACTCGTCCTCAAAGCATTCTCATTCTCGGAACCGCAGTTTGAGTGACTATGCACCACCCGGCCGGGTGTCTGTTCCTTCCCGTCCGATTGCAGTGTCAGGAAATGCCGGACTCGGCATTGCCTCGTCGTCGAGCATAGATTCGAAGTCCAATGGACTTCATCGTGAGCAATATCTCGCTGTTCACCGAGGTATCGCATTGCCGACCATTCGTCCGCCCAGCCCGCCTCGCAGCAGTGGTGGTGGATATAGTGACAATGACCCCGTCATCCATCACCCTGCCCCTCTCTCCACGCCACAGGAGATATATTCTGTCCGGTCGGTCCGCACGGAGCAGGCCCGTATTTACCAGAAAGTCCGGGCATTGGGACAGGGTACGTTCAGTCAGGTCAGTCTGGCAGCACGTGTGGAACCTATTCCCGACATGCCTTTGTCGCCGGATGGTGATGGAGCTGGCACATTCCACGGTTTTGTCAACAACCAAAAGCTGGTCGCCGTCAAAATCATCGAACATGGACCCGCTGGAGGCGCGGACGAGGGCCGACTGGAGGTGTCACTCAAACGCGAAGTAGAAATCTTGAAGTCGGTAAACCATCCGTCCCTTGTCCAACTGAAAGCATTCGGCAGCGACGAAAAGCGTGCTTTGTTGGTTTTGGACTATTGTCCTGGTGGAGATTTATTCGAGTTTGCCACGTCAGGAGCCCCTCGTATGTCCGTGGATTTGATCCGACGAATTTTTGCGGAATTGGTTGATGCTGTGCGTTATCTGCATGGGAATTACATCGTTCACCGGGACATTAAGTTAGAAAGTGAGCCAGCGTTGTTTGCCAAAATACTGCAGACCTCATACTGACCATCTTTCTAGATGTTCTACTTACTATGCCCGCTCATGTCATGGATGATGTGCAAGACTGGCGTACCTATGACCGCGCTGTGGTAACCCTCAGCGATCTCGGCCTGTCACGACGTATTCCCGAACCGCCCGAGAGCCCACTTCTGCAGACCCGATGTGGCAGTGAAGACTACGCAGCTCCCGAGATTCTGATGGGTCAGGCTTACGACGGTCGCTCCACCGACGCTTGGGCACTCGGTGTTCTACTCTATGCTATCATGGAGAATCGGTTACCCTTCGATGTTCTGCCTGGCACTAGAGGAGATCCTGCCAAGCTTCGTGCCCGGACTCCGCATCGTATCGCACGTTGCGAATGGGCCTGGTATAGATATGCCGACGAGGACGAGGAATGGGATCCCGAGAAGGGCAAAGGACTTGAAGGGGCCCGTGACTGCGTGGAGGGTCTTCTCAAGCGCAACACAAAGCGCAAGACCCTTGATGAGATTGCTGCTATGGATTGGGTGCGCGATGCTATCGATGTGCCTGGTGGTCTGAAACGAGGCGATAAAGAAGTGCCATAGAGCCGGTCTCCCATGTGCCTTTTTGTCCCGAATATTGTTCTTTTTTCTTCCTTTCTCCTTCTCCTTTTTCTCCCCTTCTCTGTTGTTCGTTCATTCTTCCCTTTTCTTTCTTGACTCACATACCTTTTCTCTCATGTCTTTTTTTTTCACTCATCATTATTATTCACGAGACACGATGACTGGATGGGTCATTATGTGGATTGAATGTTATGATTTTATGGCTAGACCGGTTCTTTATACCCTTTTTTACATACAACTACCTCTAGGAGGCAAGAAACGGAAATACAAGACCCATTTTCCTTTGCGCTACCCTCATCCCTCATCCCTCATGTTGGCCATGTCACATTTCAAATACAAAGATCCTTGCTCCAGACATCGCAGCTAGCGATGGTCAAGGTATTGTGAACAGATTAGCCAACGACAATCTTGTTGAATTCCGCACCCATATTACAGGCAGAGCTGGAAAGATAGCCACTTCAATGATTACATATGTACTTCAACTGGCATAGGTATCAATGCTGCGCGGTCTTCTATTTGCGAAACACTATTCCCGTTGCTTGATAGGACCTTTTGCTCCTAAGCCCTCGTTCGCACGGGTGACGAATGAATATATCGGAGGACTCACATATAAAATACTATCCTAGACAATCTGGCTCGACATTGCCCTCGAATAAAACCACTAACATAATGACCCAAGGCAAGGTCAAAACAAACAAGAATCCGCTCTCCTTTCAGCGTAGATGATTGTATAGTTTCTGGACTTGATCTACCATTGTTTTTATCTCGTCTCTTCTCGTTTTTATACTTATGCTTCATATGTGCCGAGGTTCATTCACTTTTATTCCAAATCTCATGACGTCAAAAGATCAACAAAATGATACTCTCAGCTGAAATCCAAGCTTTTTTCACATGCGACCAATCGTATTCGCGGTGGAGGCGCCCTGACTGGGGCTGTGCTCGTACTTTTCTAACCGAGCCTATCGAACGCCCCGGAACGGCCCCCCAAGTCGATGGGAATCCCGCCTGGATGAACATCTTTGGCGTGACCTGCATAACTCCTGCATCCTTGTCCTTCCTTTTTGGCTTATATCGATATACGGACAAGGACTGGGGCTCTTGGAATTTCATGTATGGGATAGCCATATTGAGAGCACCCCACACATTCAACGCATTCCACAGACTGAGTTGGGATATACATCATGGCCTTTGGCCGTTCGGGTCGTTCAAAGAGATCCTCATCTCCAAAACCACCGCCAAAGCCACCGCGTCCCAATCAGCGAGAGGGCGCAATAGGGGCACCACAGAAGCATGTCCATCATCCGTATGCGTCGCCAATGGGGACATACTCAGTCAACACATTTCACACACCTACAGTCCCCTATAATCCAAATATGACAATGTCTACGGTTTATCTACAACCTCAGCCACCATCACAGTCACTCCATCCTTCCCCAGGAACCGCTCAAAACAGTCCGCCATGGAACTCTCAACCACCGAAACTTCCAAAATGGACGTCATGTACGAGCCTGAACCAATCAATGACCAGCTTAGTATCGCATACAGTCGAAAAGACCAATGCCACGATTCACGATCTCGAGAACTTGGTCCATCAGAGTTTAGGTGGTGGTGCAAACGTCAAGGAGGCTACATCGCGGTTATTAGATCAAGTCATCACTTCGATCGACCTGGGGTCGTTTTGTGGGAGAGAAAAATGAACTGAGTAAGTGGTATAGTTCCGATCATATCATCGGATGATACTCATTAGCGACAATAGTTGCTGCATGTACAATTCCTTTCCAATCAGACGAGAAGAGAGATCGCCGATCACAGCGAAAAGAGCAGAAGAAGCCAACAGGGTCTGTGGATTACTTCTCCAAGGTGTATCTATATGCCAATTCACGATTACCACCTCATTTAACACCACTGAAATTGTAAGGGCCGTCAACACTCAGGTACTGTTTGAATCAACTTGCTGATCTCGCATTAAGCTATCCTCCTACATATCCCCTCCTCCAACTCGCAGCCAAGTACTCGCGCCGGGTCTACGACAAGCCCTCCGGCCATGAACGGCATTCATATGTGAATTCAGACTGGCTACATGGTACCAAAGCCATGGTGGTCAAGTCACTACCAATCGACGACATGAACACGATTGTCTTCGCCATACGTGGTACACAGAGTTTCCTGGACTGGGCCGTGAACGTTCATACAGCGCCAACTCCACCCACAGGCTTTCTAGACGACCCAACCAACTGCTGTCACTCGGGGTTCTTATCCGTGGCCCGAAAGATGGTTGCCCCCGTCGCAGCCCGACTACGTAATCTTCTCGAAGAAGATCCCTCACGCATGTCCTATTCGCTAGTCTTCACTGGCCACTCCGCAGGCGGTGCAGTCGCCAGCTTGCTATATCTACATCTCCTATCCGAATCACCGACCGTGCAATCCGAACTCACTCATCTCCACGGCTGCTTTAAGCACATTCACTGTGTTACATTTGGTGCTCCGCCCATATCTCTGCATCCGTTGCAGCCGTCTCCTGCTGCCCGGGCATCAAAGTCCATCTTCTTTGCTTTTATCAACGAGGGTGATCCGGTATCCCGTGCGGACAAGGGCTACTTTCTCTCGTTGCTAGATCTGTATGTTTCACCCGCACCGGGGTCACTACTAGCCTTGTATGATAGGAAAAAGAGATCTGCTCCTATCTATTGGAGGACCCCGTCTTCAGATCTGTCGCTCGCTGGTCGGCTTGTTCTTCTTCGTCCGCGAGACCAGTTGAGTGGCCGTCCTGTGTTTACAGCGCCGCCCGTCCCTGGTGGGCCCCCTGCACTGCCACCGCGGGAAAATGTAGATGCCTGCGGGATTACAGATCCTGAGCTCCGAGGAGTGGTCTTTGGGGACCCCGTTATGCACTTTATGGACTTGTATTCCCGTCGCATCGATGACTTGGCCAGAGGTGCCTTGAGCAAACGATCGTGATATGTCATAATATGTATCGCGGCTTAATGTGAGGACGTTTTGTGGTCGTTTAGCAAGCTATTAAAATACCCATTTGCTGTTTTGATATTCACAGTAGATTGGTTCTATTGCTACTATGTGGAATACTCCTGTCATTGGCAATTCGTCCAATTCGAGACAATGTTCTGTGACGCCTTTGTTGGCCTGGCGTCTCTAACAACAGGGATCAGCTCAAAGCGACACAATAAAGAAACAATGAATGGAACTGAAAGACCAAAATCTTCAAAGACGAATGAATGTTTTATAGTTTCCACCTTGGGATTTTATCTCCACCAATATATAACCTTCCACTTAGGTCCTCTAACTATGTCCCCAAGATCGCCAACCTCAAAACTGAAGTAACGGAAACCCCAAGTATACTATACAATATCTGTGTTCCTTGCATTGATTTAAGCTACAAAGAAAAAGCATCTCAAAATGTGCGTACAGACTTACAACATGTGGACGATGTGTAACTGCATCCATTTCGGGCGAGTTGCACGTTGTGAAGAGTTTGGTGTCCCATTCTTCAGACGAGAGCGATGTACAGGACGTGTTTTCCGAGCTCTCAATATTGGCATCATTGGAATTCCCGAAGAAAGGCTTCATCAAAAGGCGGGAATGTGCCCGGAGTGCTCGGAGAAGTTATATCGAGAGATGTGGGCGCTTCGTTGGGAATGGACGTCTCGTCAGAGTGAAGAATGGGCGGCGAGGCAGAAAAGCGAGAATGAATAGGTATACAAATACATTGAAAGTTAAGATGTTGTCTTGACCAAATCAAACTCCGATTGCTATGTTTCTAAACGATCTTACGAAATGCGTTGACTATCACTGCTCAACGTAGTTTTGAATGTAGTAGACCAGATGGTTTGTCACACAGGCTGTTTCTTTGCAAGAGATGGACTCTGTGGATTCCGAAACACATTGTTTGGATCAACTTGCTCTTTGATCTGCTGCAGTCGGGGGAGGTTGGTGCCCCAGTATGCCTCAGCGGCGTTGGACATAAGAGGATCAACGTAACCCGGGTAGGCAGCGATGGGGAGGTCGCCATTGGTGACAATCTTGTGAAGCCCATTGAGGAAGTTGATCTGGGCTTGAGAGACGTGCCCCAAGAGATTGATTGTGTAGGACTGTAGCCAGATGAGCACATCACGGTGGGCGTAAGCTGTAGCATTATTCGGGATGTCGTTGATGTAACCTCCCTGAAAATCGAACAACAGGAACCAGCTCAAAGTACCCTTGTCGACAGTACCAATGTAGTCAAACATTTTGTCGATAGTCTCCGGTTTCATCAGGGTCTGGGGCGTCCAAGAAGTGGACTTTGCATAGAAATTCGTTGGGATTCCAGCTGCCAACCTCAAAATAACATCTTCAGCCCAGTGGGCGACAAGTCCTAACCAATCATCAAAAACCAATGCATCGCCATTTGCACCGGGGAACTTGTTGCTAAGGTTCATGTTATCGTACTCTTCTTTGGTGCCGAAGAAAGTACCGCTGATTGCCATGCTATTCTCAAGCACAGTGAGGGTGGATGCCATTTTTCGAGTCAATGTTGGATCTGACACGAAGGCCTGCCAGCTCTTGAAAAGGGCCACCTGCTTCTTGGGGTTTCCGAACTCCATGCTGTATGTATATTGTACCGCGGTACCAGGCTCAGGCTCAGTTCGCACCTTAAACTCCGTGACGATACCGTAGCCCGAGGCAGCACCTTTGATAGCCCAAAAGAGGTCTTGGTTTTCCGTGTCAGAGGCTCTGACAATGCTCGAGTTGGCAAGAACCACCTCAACCTCGATGACATGGTCAATTGCGGCACCAAATTGGCGCGAAGTCGGACCAAGACCACCAATTGTGAAATGTCCCCCCGAACCGACTTGAGGACAAATTCCGTGAGACATAGCCCGTCCCCCAGCGTGGTAGAGCCGTTGTGCCACGTCACTCAACAAACTCCCCGCCCCAATTGTTGCTTGCCAAGTTGTATTGTCCATGGAGAAGTGCTTGAGATGCTTCAAGTCAATCGCAACGGCGCCGTCAGTTCCTCCAAGGCCTGTCACATATAGCATGTTAGCCTTCAGGCGAAGCCCATCTGTGGTAGTATAATGTAGTATAATCTTGGAATCCCACCGTAGTTGCCATAGCTGTGCCCTCCACTTCTAGCCTGGACTGGATACCCGTTCTCCGCGGCACACTTGACTATATCAGCCACCTGCTGAGAAGAACTGTGATCTATGAGCAAGGAACACAATAAACCGTTCTCTTCAAGAATACCTACGTAGGAAAGGCCAATGCTGCTGGGGTAACGGGAATATTCAGGTTGTAGCGATTCACAATGCAGCCGTAGAACAGGTCCCCGGCAAAGGCAAAACTCCCCGGGTCTGTGAGCACATTCTCGAAGCATGATCTCAGTGCCTCATTAGAGGCAGCAAGAGCCACCGATGGTGCCCCTACTGCCATAACAAGTAGCTTGAGAAGCATGGTTGATCTCGGCAAAGTGTGCCCTCAGACATACGATGTGGAAGGTAAATCGGGACAGAAGAGAGAGGAAGGAGCTGAGAGGCAGAGACAGAGAGAGAAAGATATCGAAATCAGGGGATCACGTCACGTAGTCCAAACAGAATGCTTCAGACGAGAAAGACCACATCAGATAGGACTGATTTAGTCCCAAGTGACAAGGCAATGGATCTTTTGAGGCTCGGTTCACCTACAAAAGGAAGCACACAATAATTCGTAAGTGGTCTAATTGAAACTCAACTGCTCCCAAGTCCAATCAGCACAACTACGCTGATGATACTACTATCTAGATAACCTTGCGACCTTCTAAGGATTTCTACTTAACACTAAGGTGGGAAGACAGCCTTCGTACTAAAGAAGACGACTGAAGGAGACACCAAAGAAACAGATAGCAAAGAAGATACCAGTAGGAGTGAGGTCGTACTCTTTAAAATAGGAAGGTAAGAAGATGAAGCTATTCCCACTATAAAAATCTTTATGTTTATCCAATTCCAGGCGTTGAAGTCATCCCCACCGTGTAAATCCATAAGTATTGGCAAGAGTAGCTTGAGCCACACAATGTGTTTGAGTTGAATATTTAAAATACACCGAAAGAAATACTATCTATGTATCGAGATCACCATGTCCGACGACTCTGGCTCCAAGCTCGCGAAAATTCCTGCTTCTCTTTCACCCCCAAGCCAACACGCTTAACCCGACCCAGACGGGCGAGTGACTCCCCCCACATTATCCAGCAGCGCCTTCTCGCTGCTCGAGACCTGTTGTTCTTGCCCGTTTTGGTCTAGTGTATCCAGGTAATTCGTGCTATATGTCGACTTCCCAGTCGAGAAAGAGGAAGATGTATCGATAGCGTTTTGGCTATTCGTAATGCACTCCGCGATGCGCACTCTGATGCAGTGGGTCGGCTTGCTAAGCAGCGTCCACAGCAAGCTCATATAACTCCCGGGGATGGGGGTCACGATATCCATAGGGGTATAGCGCAGACTGACGGGGAAGATCTTGGTGTTGGCCGGCACGCCGAGAAGGGAGTTGCTCAGGGTTAAGATGCCGCGACCGTTGGTGGTGGTACACTCCGGGAACAATACAATCGGTCTGCTGGGGTACTTCTCCACCAGGGTCGAGATATCCACCATCTGAGCACCGGGGGCGGGCTGCGTGGAGGGGGAAGCGAAGGCTCGCAGAATGGCCTGGAGCAGAGAGATGCGCTCGACCTGGCGAGTGTTGGGGTAGGACGCGGTGAAGATCGGGTCGAAGATAGCTGCCAGGTACACAGCATCGATGGGTGATGTGAAGGACGAGGCGATGACCGAGCCGGGCTGTGGCAGGCGCGCTTGCTGCTGCTTCAAAGACCTGTGTCGGAACTGTTAGTTATCGGCGGAGGGCTATAGTTCCAACGGCGCAGCACGAACCCTTTGCGCACTCCATCCACTTGGAGATCAATCCACCAGATGCTGGGAACACCAAGAATACACCATAGAGCAGCCTTTTTGCCTAGCGATCCGATAGGAAGCCATTGTAAGATCAAGAAATAGCTAAGAGTGACGAAGATGAAGAGCGGGAGGCGGAAGCAGAAGAGGAAAATACGAAGGGGGGGCTTGGAGTCCGAGTGATTCAACCGGGATTGGCAGGAATGGAGCAATGCCCGAGCCTGGGAGATGTCAGTATAGATGTACTTGCAGGGGTTAGTTATCACAGCCGAAACCCACCTCGATCCCGGAACTGAGAGTATCTCTCCATCTCGTGTTATGACAGCTTTATGCAGAATGAGCTATGCTGCGGGCTCAATCATCAACACGGCATGCGCTGAGCGAGTGTCTATTCGGGAATGCGCCGGCAACACAAGTTGCGACTCGAACTCGGGGCTAATTCTGACTCTGTGGAGTCGGGTCGACAAGCTGGTGATATTCACATGCGAGAAGAGCTGCCACGTGATATGATTCCTGAGGCATTCATACGCTTTCCCCGGAGTATAAGAGTTGCGGCGAGCGAAGAACACATCAATAAATCCGATCTTAGGTTTGTGATATTTGTTTCATTATTTTCATAGCTATATATGATATAATAAATACATGGGGGGAAAACGCTCCAAATGAAAAAAGAAACGCTCTAAATGTGCACGGAAGCTATGAGTAGTATACAAGATAGGACTATAAGATCACGCCCTGTCCTCCCCGTCATAATCCTCAGCCATAAGGTCCGGTGACGGGGGACTTGGGGGGCAGTTTAAAAGTCCAGATGGCGACGCCGACTAAACAGAAGAGCGTACTGGTCATCATCCACGCGAGACCAATCCAAACCCCACCGAGACGCAATCCGATTTGGAAGACGGTCGTGATGGCTAAACTCGCAACCACATTTCCCAACGACTGAATAATCTCAATCGCAGTAAACAAGCGAGCGGTTTCATCACGTTCAACCAAAGTGGTAATGATGGAGCGGGCAAGAAAAACGAAGCCCGATCCTGAGGTCTGGATGATCATGCTGGGGATCAGGGTTGCAATGGTAGGGGAGAGGCCGATTCCGAGGGTTCCAACAGTAAGACAGAATATACTGCGCCGTGCCAGCCAGAGGTCCTTTTCTGTCGAGGAAAGCCGGGGGTTCAAGACACGGCTTTTGAGGAAAGGCAGGCCAAAAAGGAACAGCGGGATTGCCACGGTCGGGCGAGCAGATACCAGGAAGTTGGACTCTGCCAGTGTCCATGAATAACGTGTAGATATATATTGGGTCAAAAACCAAGATGAGCCTCGGCTTAGGCGGTAGACCAGAAATGCAGTGAGAAGGAGGAGAACAGGTGTTCGGTTGAGGATGAACCGGTAGGGTCTAAGGTAAAAGCGGTAATTTGCGCGGAACTTTGCCAGAATAGATCGGTGGGAGTATGATTGGATACTCCAAGAGGGCGGTTCGTTCTCATGATCACCGTTCATGTCGGGTTCTTCGCGATATGGCTTTGGTTCGGGGGCGCCATCTGTCAGATCCGACAGCTCAACATGAGTTGGTTCAGCTTTCCGAGGTGGCAGTGCATGCTTCGTTTCCGGTAGCGCCAAAATGAGCATCATGCCGGCCATTACAATTGCAAATCCAATCACCAATGGTATCCAGGGATTCAAGGTCATGAGATAGGAACTAAAAGCACTTGAAGCGAAGTCGGCGCCCATCGATACGATTGCAAATTGAAAGAAGATGCCCGCTCTGTGCCACTCGATTAGCATCTATAAAATCCATGCCCAAATTGGAGGAGTACCATACCTTTCGGCCTCGCTGGTTACATCGGCCATCATAGTCCAGATAATTGCAAATGAGACGACTGGACCACCCCCAAACAACCACGTCAAGGCAGTAAGCCAAAGCGCACGCAGAGGAAATATGTCCGAGAACCACAGTATAACGAGTGTAAAGATGGCATTCAACCCAAACCCGGGAAGAGATAAAGCGAGGGTAGACTTGCGGCCACGACGGTCTGCCAGCAGACCATAGGGAATCGCCAAAAGAGCGCCTGCGAAACAGTCAGATAATGGTCTTGCCTTGGATATTCAAATGAACCTACTCAGTGACCCGTCAAAGAACATATGATAACCCTTCACAGCTGCCAGTTCAGCTTGCACCTCCCCGATCTTACACATGGCCTCCGGCACTTGTCCATCCGCGCCGATCTTAGTCGGGTCCACACCTGGGAAATACTGGCGGCAAGCAATTGACTCCATGATCCGGACCATGGGACCCTCCAGGAAAGCAAAGCCGATCTCAACTGCGAGGACCATGGCGAATAGGATCGCCTTGAGGCGAAAACTGATGGCGCTGGCGGAGGCATTGGCCTTCACTGGGCGGCTGCCTATACTAGGCTTGCTATGGACATGGCAATGGGCTGGGCCGGGGTGGTTCGGATTGGGGGAATCGAGGAATGGGGCATCCTCGCGGTCCTCGCGTTCGAGAGACTCATGACGTATCGAGGCCATCTTGGCCACTCATACCGTCAAGTGAGGGTATATATAAAAAGAAGGTAGTCCGGTCGGAAGTTATAAATGAGGGTCAGTATCAGATCATTGTCAAAATTCAATTAGAAAAGAGTGTGAGAAATTGTGTCTTACGTGTTGGAGGACAAGTTGCCAATCGTCGCAAGCCAATCCGGCACGATGTCTTGGCGGTTCATAGTTTCTCCTCCAGGGGTTAGTGGCCAAACTAGTGGGTGTCCACTGGTGCTATTCTTATTACTTTGCAGATCAATTTCTTAGGATGTTTTTGATAGATTGCTCAAGAAGAAAAAAAGTACAACATTATACTGATACCTAGGTATGGAGTACGGAGTAAGCTCTTAAATATTGGGCTAAATCTTTATATCCATGTATACCGCCCTCCAAATTCTGCCAGTCCTGCCAGTCTAAAACTCCTAATACTATAGCTAGCATGTAGGCACGTGATCCAGCACTAGGGGTCAGCAGGCAAAGGTATGTACTGAAGGAGACTGCTAAAAGAGATCACTGAAAAGACACATGAAAAGAATATTGGAGAGGACTACCTGAGAAGACCACTAAGAAGACTACGGTCGTATAAGCGGCCAACTATGTATTCTTGTGGCAGTATGTTTAAAAGGGAGGCAGTATTCATGAGGTATATAACTGGCAGGCGGTATACAGGGCGGTATTGTTGTATCTGGGTACAAAGGTTTAGCCCAATATTTCGGAGGTTCCACCGTATACCCCTTTATATAACAAAAAGAAAAAGAAAAGAGCAAAAGAAGAGACATTGTTTTCCTAATTACAATCATATCCTGCCTCTTCAAATAAGCTTCCCCGAACTTGTACTACCGCCGACAACTCTAGGAGGAATTCATAGAGAATCACCACATTCGTCAGTACGTGGCCAAGAGTTGCGACTGGGACATCCTTGGTATCGTCTGAACCCGCCTCTTCGGCTGATGGAGACTGTGGATCCGCGGGTGCAGGCGGAAACGGTGTGGCAAGGCGCTGGCGCAGAGCCTCAGCGGCCACCGCCCGGGCATTCGAGGACCCGCGCGAGTCAGCAGGAACAGAGGATCCATCCCGATCCCGATTAGAGAATATAGAGGGCGAATTGACCGGGTACGGAGACCGGCCACGGGCGGCTGGGGTAGAGGCGTCTGGTGAACCAGGGTATGACGGGCGCGAACGATTCGTCGAGGATGCCGGATGCTCTGAGGGGTCTCGCGATCGGTCCGGCGTCTGCGGGCGATCATCCTGGTGCAAGAGTTCTCGTCGAGCAGCGACCAGTACATTGAAGTCGGGCAGTTCTCGTTGCCATTGTCGGACCTGGTTCACGAGTTGTTGGAGCGCTAATGTCAATGTCGGAGCAGCTGTGGCAGGCCAAGTTGGGGCCTGGCAGGCCCGACGAAGGTGTTCAAATGCATCATCGGTTTCTTCATAGGATGGGGCCTCGTATTGGTTGGGATCAACCAACACCCACCCGTCCAAGGAGAACAGATGTGAAGACGCCAGGCTCATGAACACACCTGTTAATGCTAAATTGACGATGACGCTGTTGGTAAAGAATGATCCAAGGCACCCAAGAAGGGCCTGCACTATGGGATCATCTTGCTGGAGCTGTAATGGTAGGGGTAGCGTCTCCTCATCTTCCTCCATCGAGGAGACGGGCAGACACAAACGGGATTCAAGCACACATGTGGCATCTGCAACATAGTTGTCATACGACTCGTTCAGCGTGGGGTCATTGACGAGGGACGTTCCCATGACCAGAAGTTGCTCTAGCTCGGCATTCAAAGCGCCAACGGGGCGCTGATTTGCTGGCTGGGTAGGAATGGTATGGATCAGCGCCCGTGCAAATAGATGGTGCCTTTGGAGGACGGTATTTAAAAGGCGTAGTGTAGCTAACACCGTCTGGCAGTTCGATGACTGGAGTCCCAGTAGGGCCAAATCGCGAAGGTTGAATAGTGACGGCGATGGTTGGGCCGCTTCAGAGGCCAACGCAGCTAGCACATTGAGCGATTTCCGCCGGCTTGCGGACATGTCCATTTGCTCCTCAGGTTGAGGGGAAGACGCTAGTAAGAAATGTAAGATTCGATGGACCAATTCGCCTTGATCGATCGAGTCGAGGATGCGGCACATGTAAGTCAGCACTGCTGCTGTCGAGCCACCAGCTACATCTGATGATTCTAACAAGGATGGGTACCTGTAAGAGTCAGTGATAAGTCCATACCGGACGGCCGATTGTATACTCACAAAAGTTGCTCCAGAAACAGCACCTGAAAATGGTCTAATAAGGTATCGTTCACTTCGGCAGATTTGCAATGGTCGATTGTATCCTGCCAAAACAACAGATAAGACATAAAGGCATCCATCGCTTGGCCTAGAACCGGCGGCAAAGCGGTCTCTTGTTTCGCATGATCAGATAAAACAACAATGTGAGGGACATTAATGTCCTCGGTGGTAGGAGTAAACGACAAGCTTTGTTCGATTAGCAAACTGTCCCACGATTATCAAAGGACCGAACTTGCTGTCCCAGCTGGCTGTAGAGTGCGCCCAGTCCAGTGGCCATGAGCGTAGCTAGATCACTTTCGATCAGCCATTTCTCTAGATTCTTGGACCGCGATGCGGTTTCAATAAGGTAAAGCAACCCCGTCCGAGCAAAGTCACCAGCACGTCCTTCATGGTGAACATAGTCCACCAGCAGGTAAAACAAAGGGAACTCGTCCTTCCTCGTAGCTCCTGCAAACTCCGTTCCACTTGGAGCTTGGGAATCGCTATCCTGGGCGGCCGGTGTTACCCGAGGCACAAACCACGCGGGCAGGATACCAGGCTGCAGACGAATGTTGTTGGCAATACCAAATAGCAATTCAACAAGTCGGCCCTCGATCTCATCCGAGGTCTTCTCCGCGCGGCGGACCAGATCCACCAACGCGCGGGCAAACAATCGATTGTCCACAACCCCATCTACCTCCGCATCGATCAGTGTGTTGAAGAATACCGTGGCTGATCTGATGACGCCTTCATCGTGGAAGGAGAGAGCAAGCTTGGTCACTGTCACAAAGACCTGGGAAGATGCTGCATAGGCGACACAGGGGTGCGGTGCGGGCCCGCGGGCTTCCTCGCTCAGAATCGAGTTGAGTCGTTCAACGTACGTCCGCGCGTGCGCAACCGATTGTTCGCCTGAAGGAGTATTTGTTGAGCGCCATATTTGCTATCAATTGGGTTAGTTGGTGGCATTGTGGAAGCGGACATAGTCGGTACCTGGAGAGCATTGCAGGCGCGCTTAAACGCAGTTAGCCGTTCCGTGGGCGAGGTGGCCTTGGAGGATTTGTTGGACAGCGCGCGTGAGCCGCCGATAAGACGAGACCACTATGTTCTATTAGCATAGATTCATAGAGAAGTAAGGGTCACGTACAAAGTCCATTCTATGAGGACAGCATGATCTCACAGAGTGAAAGTGACGGGGGGTCGAGGATGAGTGGAGACGGTGTTTATCGGCTGATCGCCGCTTTACAACTAGGTGCAAACCATCAACCTCCGACCTTGAAGCATATGCTACATGCACGTTCGAGATTTATACAATTACAGCCATGCACATTCAAATTCCAACAAAGAAAGATGCCAATCCAGGTCCTGTTCGTTGAATAAAAAGACCGTGCGCGTATGGGGGCTCGAGTCATTCGAGCCCCAAAAACCAAAGATATTCACAGATGAATGCGCTCCCAGATCTGCCTCCCACTATTTGAACGCCTAAAAGAAAAAGAACCCCCAATGGATTTATGCGCCTAATACCCCATCCCATCTAACACGTCGTCAAATCATTTATGGGTCAACCTCAATCACTCTCATCCTTTGGTCGCCGCCCGCCACGCTTACGGCGACCCTCATTCTGATCACTTCCGTCGTCATCGTGTTTCCGGCCAGCGGGTTGATCGGGGACCTTGGCGATGATGTCGGCCAGGAAGTCGAGCACTTCATCCTTAGCGACGGCCTGTTTGAGATGGGACGCCGTGACGCGCTTTGAGTTGCGATCCTTTGCTTCTTGTGCCGCCTTAGTGACGAGAGAGATCATAAAGAGTTCGAGAGCCTTGGCTATATGAATTTGTCTGGTTAGTATATCTTGCAAAGCATAACTACACGCAAAGGGCAGCGCAAACGGAGTACGTACACACAGCAATCGGTGTCACTTGAGCAACCTTGCCGACATCCTCGTCGGCCTGCATGATGCGCTTGATGCGCGCCACAGGGAATTTGGTCTTTACTTCTATCCCCGCACTTGGAGGTGCCGGTGGCATCTCTTCCTCCATCTCCGGCGCGACAGTGGGGACTGGCGCCATTGCGATGGGCTCCGGGATTGGTTGGATTATTTCGGGCATGGGTTGAATTGCTTCAGGCATAGGTTCGGGGATGGGGGCGTGTTCAGACTGAGCAAGACGGCTTGAACGACGGGCCATGTCCGAGTCTGGTTGATATGGTGGAACGTATTGCTGCGATACGCGACTTGGATTTGGGCGTTGGTACGGTTGGTACGAGTTGAAGAAGGGTGATGTGTAAGAGGTAGTTGGACTCGCAAGCGCGTGTTGATGAGGAGGAAGAGAGAGATCAGGAGAGCGAGGCCGATAATTGTCCTCTGTCATGGTCAAAAAAAAAAAAAATTAATAAAAATAAAATTAAGTGGAATCGCGAAAAAAAAAAGTAGGTGGCCCAAGCTCCCTGGAGAGGAGAATCCAACGACCGACTCGGGCGCCGCTGTCCTTTTTAAATTCCGTCGTTGTTTTTTTGGTAATGTCTTTACCGAGTTTGACTGTTTTGGTCTGTTTTTTTAGACGAAAATCAACATTTTTGGCCCTTTCCCTTTCTTCTTCCCTTTGTTATATCTCACTCTTCACCTTTTTCATACCTTTTTTTATTATTTTTATTTTACATTTCGGTCTGACCGTTCTCTCCCTTGTTTAATTTGTACTTACTCTCTTCTCTTTGTCTTATACTCAACTTCTCAATACATTGAATTTGTACATCGTAGGTGGCAATCTCTCCTTGCCCCTCTAGGCACCCGTAGAACACCAAATACCCGATGACGATGAATCCAAAAACGTCGAGTTGAAACAGATGAAACCATCAGAGTATCGCTGTTCTTCTGTGAACGCCCAAAAATAACTTGATCTAATCTGAGGGTCTCATCACATTGACAATGCGCTTTGTTTGGGTGCTCCACGTCATCTATTAGTTCCAGATGTCTCTTACTTCTCTCTGACATGTAACTTCGGCGAAATAGTTTTTCCGACCAAATTCAACCTTGGGAAGCATCAACCTCTACATTACTTACCGGACATTGAAGCCATGTCAACGAAGGTCTTTGCCTAGTCAGGGTCATTTAATATCTCCAGCCATCTCCAGCCATGGCGGTGGCGGATGTCCCCGGTCTCATGGACATTGCCAGGTACGGAGTACTTGCCATACCGATCCAAAAAAAAAACTAAAAACTCGTGATCCTAATGATTCTGCAGTACCTTGGTCCAAGATGAGATCCCCTTCAAGCTACGATGTGCCATGTGCAATAAGCTGGCAGTGAATGCATTTCGTCTCCCTTGTTGTGATCAGTCCATCTGTGAGACCTGTATGTTGGAACCGATGTTTCGCACCTGTCGCAAATAGTAGCTAATCTGATCTCTCTTCTAGGCCAAGCTTCCCTGTCCGACACATGCCCCGTCTGCACACATACCCCGGTCTCTCCCGATCTCTGCAAACCCAACAAGGCTCTCCGAACCACTCTTAAGGCTTTTCTGCGCACCGAAGAGAAGAAGCGGGAAAAAGACCGTCAATCTGCGGCGCCTCCAACGCCATCCAACATCACCCTGCAGATACAAAAACACCTGTCCAGGAGGTAGCCCCTGATCAAAATGGGACTGAGTTAGTGACCGCTGTGGAGACCAAGGCACCTGTTACTCTGGATTCTACGGGGCCTATAGAACCAAAGCCTCAAGAGCCAGGATTAGACATAGCTGGCCCGGACACAATTGCAGAAAGCAATCCAGAGCCAAGTGTCCCAGATTCGGCAATTCAGCCAGCTCAGGTCAGTTCCTATTGCCATCATATACTCTTCTTTCCTAAACTGACTCTATGTACAGCCCGAGGCAGCTGGTGATCAACTCAACGGCACCAAACCGGCCCTTGAGTCCATGACTGAAGATGCCGCAGTCAACGAAACCCCTCTAAATGGAGAACTTGCTCCCCCGCTTGAGGATGTTCCTGGAGAATCCGGTACCAATTCGATGACCCCGAACATGGCCGGAAACTTCCCCGCGATGGGCTGGAACGGAACCGGCATGAATCCTTTCATGACCGGCATGTTCAATTACCCGAATACGATGGGTAAGTCCAATGTAACCAATCTTTACAATTTCAACCTCGCTAATCTCTGTCCACAGGTATGCCCATGGGGATGGACCCGATGGCAAATCAAGGGATGTACGGAATGAACATGACTGGCATGGGCATGAACACTGGGATGAACTACAACGGGGGCATGTATGGATCCTTAGGATGGGACGCATCGCAACAGAACAACAATATGTGGCAAGGCGGCCAGAATAAATTCAATCCAAATGCTTTCGCAAATGGCACGGGTCCTCCTTATGGAGGAGCATTTGGCGGGTCTAATATGTCTGCTTACCCTTCTCACTCAGACTATCAGTCCGGTTACTATGGCGGGTATGGTCGTGGTGGATACCGAGGTCGCGGCCGTGGCCAATTTCATGGCCCCGGTCGAGGTGGCTTCGGACCCATGCAAGGTCATTACCGTCAGGGTGCTAACTCAGGCTATCTCAACCAGAACCCAAGCATGGCTAATGGTCCCAACGGTACTCCAATGGATACTCAAGGTAATATCCAAGCAAATGAGACTGGTGCAGAATCAGGTGAAACTGGACCCAGTGTGCCGGGTAATGCAGATGATATCCCAACAGACACCACAGACCAACCCCAAGGAATTCCCACCATTGACAGTCTTGATAATGTACCAACTGGCCCTGGATATGGTCATATGAGTAATGGGTATGGCCAGTACAGATATGGCCGGTATGGGCAAGAACCGGGGCCAGGCGTCGAAGGCGCTCCTGCCGCTCCGCGTGCCATGCGGCAGGGGCTACCCAACACCAGTGTGCTACGACAGCGTGGCTTCCAGATTCAAGGCCGAGCCAGTATTTCTTGGTGAGACCTTCCTCTTGTATCTCTTCCTTTGGCTGGCATAAATTCTAACGACCAGCAGTGAACCCACTGAGGACAATCGCGCAAGGGCCACGTCCAACGCCCTATCCCAACGTCCGCAGTCTCGATCTCGATCTCCGTCACAGATTCCAGCTTCCCGCCCCCGTTCGCCATCTGTTCATGGTACTGAAGACGACCGTGACAGTCGGCGGGGTGCAGAAATGAAACACATAGATCGGGTTGATGAGCTACAATCTGACGCCCGTCACTCTCGCTCTCCATCCCGCGCATCCTCTCGTCGGTCCTCGCGGCGCCGGCATTACGACAGTGATCGGGAGCGAGACAGAAGAAACAACCACCGTTCACAACGCTCCCGTCGTCATCGCAGCCGTACCCGCAGCCCAAGTCGAAACGGCGATGCCCGTCCCTCTAGTCGCCTAGAAAGGATCCCCGAGAAAGATGGGTCAAACGACGGGACCAAAGCGTCCTCCGAAGCACCAGAGTCGCGCGATCTGGCAAGTCGAATCAGCAGCACCTACCGCTCCACGAAGGACAGAGGCAGCCGCCGTGAAGAGGACAGATCGCGGGAACAGGACCGAGATCTCCGACGCCGAGACCGTGAACGAGACCGTGAACGAGACCGCGACCGCGGCCGTCGTGGCAGAGACCGTGATTCCGATCGCGAACGTCGCCGTGATGGCGACCGCGATAAAGACAGGACTTCAGAGCGCGACCGAGATCGACCAAGAGAGCGTGACCGTGAACGTGATCGTAAGCGCTCTCGCCGCGATCGATCCCCGTCCGCCGCCGGCGGCGACCATCCTCAAGCCCGTCGTGTGAAACGTGGCGATGAGGACCGTAGCCGAGACACAAAAGAAGCCTCAGCTAAGAGGGCCGAGCCCGATAAAGACCCTTACACGCTTGAGCGCGAAGCACGCAATAAGGAACGCCTCGAGCGTGAGCAGCAGCACCGTGACAAGGCCAAGTCTGGCCGCCGCCGTGACAGCCGGCAGGACCGTGTGGTGGCGGGCCGTCGCATTAACTACAAGTACGAAGATGAACTCTGAGCTTGGAGTTTGATTTTACCTCCGGAAAAAATCATGGGACATGGCGTCAATGGTTGCTTTTTCACTTCTTGCATGTTGTTATTTTCCCTGAGCTCGTATGTGAGCCTACTCAGCAGTAGATATGGGATTTGTGTAGGCTATTTGAAATGGCTTCTTATGGATAGAGACAACATTGAATGGAATTCCAAATGAAAATGAATTTCAATTCTGATCTCTACCTTGCTACAATAGTTCCTCGTATGATCAAGATAAAAGAAAAACTAAAATTATCGTCTCTAAAATGGTCTAGTTGCCACTATATACCTAGCTATAACTATATATGTATAAGATTAAACGCAAGCTACCTGTATGATTGCCATATGATTTTTATAGCAATATATTGTTCTAGCCATGTTCTATTGAATTCATTTGCGTATTTTCTCGCCAAGGAGTCTTATTAGGAGCTTGCTGTCTTTTCTCTTCTCGGATGAACTATGTAGTTCTCGGCATACAACATCCATGTCCAGTTGGAGGGCTGGTCCCATTCATTACTGTGGAGTACCTGGAGACTATGTGCATATGTAGCTGCATGTACTCTGGCTATCGAATGAAAATAATATCCAAATTTTGATTTCAATGGGCAAATGTATTGACAATCCCGCTAAAAAGAAACAAAAAGACTTATCCACACACTGCACCGCCTCATATACGTTAAACACCGTATGATTCCACTCCGGAGCATAATATCAAAACAATGAATGTACCTAGATAATACTTGACCAACCTAGTCCCCAGAGACAGAAATTAGGACCAAATTATTTAGTTCAGCTTGCTCTTCAATGCCTCAATCTCGGCAGTCAGCGTTTGCATTTGCTGTGCCTGGGTTGCAATCGTCTTCGTCTGTTCGGCAATCAGATTCTTAATCTCTTCAATGTCGTTCTTGGGGATTGAAGTGGTGGGAGAAGGGGTCTCGCTAGCGGTTGATGGGACAGTAGAGGACTAGGATAGTTAGCAGATGGCACAACCTGACAAATCTGAATGGGGAGCGGGAACTAACCACCAGGGTGGGTTCAGGCTTTGCCTCGACCTTGTTTGTCTCGGCCTGCTTTGTCTCAGCCTGCTTTGTCTCGGCCTGCTTTGTCTCGGCCTCCTTCGGCCTCAACGGGCTGCTGACACGGGGCGAGGCATACTCGGCAGCGGCAGGGCGAGTGGGACGCTCGACTGGCTTAGGAACTTCCTCGAAGCTCGAGTCATCACCGTCTGACACGTTAGCTTCCTCTTCACCATCGGCAAACTTGTTCACCATGGCGGCCATTGAAGCACCCTGTTCCTTCATCGAGGGGGCAGGACGCGCAGCGGGAGTAGGTTCAGAGACAGGCTCGGGGGCAGCCTTTGGGGAAGCAGGCTCAGGGGCCTTGGGTGCCTCGGCGGGCTTGGGCGCAGGGGCATCCATGGAGCCGGTCGGCTTTTCCTCCACTCCAGACACCTCCTTGATGCCCTCGCCGTCGAATAGGCTGGCCATGGAAATTTTGGAGGGAATTGCCTCCTTGCCACCCAGCCATTCGGACGAAGACATGGCGGGGGTCACTCCGGTAGTGGGAGGGTAGATGTCGTCTTGGAAGTTCTCGGACCGGCGGGGCACGATGAACGAGACGGGCTCAATGTATTGATCGTTGACAGTCTTATAGGCACGAGCGACTTCGTTCTCATGCATGTTCACGCCACGCTTCGGCATGAAAGCAACTCCTCGCTGGGGGTCGGCAGACTTGTGCTCAGACAGGAACTCGAACTTATCGTTCTCAAGCTCAAAGTATCGGATATTGCCGTCACTACTGGTTATCAGTAATTGCGAAAACACAAGGGTTGAATCGTGGACACTCACCCTCGTCCAGCCAAGTATAGCATGTTAGTTCCATCATCCCAGAAAGGCATGCACACGCCAGAAATGGAATCCAAGGTCTTGAAACCGTTGATGGGTTCCCGCACGGCACGGATATCCCAGAGCGCCAGCTGGCGGTCACTCATCTTGGAGAAACCGGTAGTCGCAATGCGATCACGCTCTCCCAGCCACACAGCGCGGCTGTTCTTGGCACCGGTGTGGCCATTGGTCTCGTGAGCCGGACGTTCTTGTCGCACATCCCAGATGCGGAGTTTTTTGTCGCGCGAGGTAGTGACCAACAGGGAGCCGTTGGCACTCCACGACTGCGACTGCACAATATCGCCAATGTTCAGCGTGAGCTTCGGTGCGCCAGCTTCAATATCCCAGATCTTCACGGTATAGTCGCCCGAGGCCGTTGCCAGCACGTTTTCTGCCGCGGGGTTGAAGAGCACGTGGCCAATCTTCCTACAGGGAGGGGTAAGCAGGAGGGGATAACGGGGTTGATCAAGAATTCGTACTTAGGATGGCCACTCAATTTGCCAACAGGCGCGAGATCCTTGATGTCGTCGGCATCGGCCTCAGGTCGAACGGTGAAGTTCTCCGGAACCCGCCAGAGCAAAACCTGGAATCGGTCAGTCGCAATGCTAATAGCTGTTGTTTGGTCACACTATACCTTGCCGTCATCGGATCCCGAGGCAATCAGGTCGTCATTGAAAGGGTTCCTGCAGGGTTTCAGTGAGCTGCGACACGAGCGTTCTATATTCGAATTGCTTACCAGTCGGTGTCCAAAACGACAGCAGTGTGGCCTCGACACAATGGGATGCGCTCAGGGAGCTTGCCCCGTTCCTCAAGAGGAATAATCGCAAAAGCTCCGCCACCACCTGCTTCCCAATTGACCGCAATGTGTTTCGGGTTGACCTAGATGCACCGTAAGACCGGGTTCGCCAGTGAAACGTCAGGGGTGATGCGGAAGGCGAGACACACACCTTAAGAAGGTTGGTATCCCAGGCGTTTCGGGAGACTCGAAGGTTATCGTAACATTGATCCTGCAAAAGTCAGAATAGGAGACCGGGGGCTATAGGAGGTCACCTTTACCTTTCTCGTCGATCGCCCGAAGACGTGGCCTGTAAGGGTCAGCGGGGAGGCGCATGTTGGATTATAGACGTAACTCACGATATTTGGAGGAACGAACAAAACGCCCGGACATGATTACCAAGAGTTCAAACGAAGACAGAGAGCAAACAAAAAAAAAGTAGAGCAAAGGAAAAGGAGTAGGTGAAAGAGATGTTGGAGAAGCTCAAGCAACGGGGTTACTGGGGCCGCTGTTTCGGGAATCCGAGTGGAGGCAAAGGCCCCACGAAGTGCGAACTAATTTCGGAACAACTGCAAAAGGAGTCAACAAATAACAGGATAGAATATTTCATGGTCATTGTACAATCTGACTTTTTTTTTCTGTTCTTCTATGATTACGAACATTAAAGCCTTTCATCTTTTGGTCTTGGAATGATCACGTGCTGTTTTCAAATACTTGCTCGGTAATACGAATACGACTGGTTAATGACATTGCCGGATCTGGCCTAGCGTCAGGCATCTGGCTGAGTCATCAATTCTTTGTTTACTTTGCATTTCGTCCCTCCAGAAACCAGTTTGCGCTCATTTGATACTCATACTTCCCAAGGTTACTGCCCAGACCATCCATTGGTATGTCTTATCTCTACTCGTTTCCTCCCAACTCGCTGACTTTCAGTCCCAGTGGCCAACACAGACAGTGGCTGGACGTGAGCTCCTCCTTTTCGCCCGGATACTCTATTCGCCGGTAACTTGGCGGTCAACAAATCCCAATATGGAGGGTGAAAGCACTGTAAACACCCCCACTTTGAGTTTCAGTTGCATCGGAGTATATGGGAACATAACTAACCATCTTCAGACCCGAACCAGGTCGTCCACTCGGACGCGCCTGCCACAGGCCGGCCTACGTGAGGCCAGCTCTGCGACAACCAACTCGCGCTCTGGCATCATGGCGCCAGGCACAATCGCAAACAAGGCTATGAGCATGTCGCGTATGGAAGAACCTGAGTCTTTGGCGCAACATGAACTGACATCGCCGGAAGCAACCCGCCCGAAAACCGCAAACCCGGAAACGAAGAGACCTGGATCCGTCACCAGACAGCCTAGCACCACGACCAGGGTGCATACCCGAGGAAACTCGTACTCGTCTTCGACCATGTCGCGCCCGACCGCACCTACGACTCGCGCAGCCAACGGCTCCTTTTCCTCAACCGTCGGCCCCGGCACGCGCCCAGCAACGGCTATGTCCCGGCATCAATCGTCCTTCAACGGCCGCAGACAAGTCGGTGCCTCGATTCCGCGCGCAGCGAGCGCTTTGGATACCCATATGGAGGACGCCTCTCCCAGTGTGCTAGGAAAACGAAAGGGTATGCCACAATTTCCCTTATCTCCCAGTCGTATCCCTTCTTGCCCCGTTGGAACCGTGTCCCCCGGATTGGATGAAGGTTGGAATGGGGCCGGTGAATTGGCAGCGCTCTCTCTGTCTGAGAAACCTGTCTCTTTTCAAAATCCTTCCAACCTAGCAACTATCCCCGTGTTGCCCAGTACCCCATTTCGGAATGTTTCCACTGTTACCACCCCAAAGTCGGCCGGATATACGCAGTCCTCCTCCTCCTCTTCTTTTTTTACCGCCCCTACTGCACCCTCCAGAACCCCATCATATTCCCAGCGGCGCATTGTCAAGAAAACTTCCCACCCCGCGTTTTTGACCAAGGGTTCTTCGATCAGAAATTTTGACAAAGTCACAGGCCCGGAATGGGATCAAGCGTCTCGCGAAAAGAGCATAGAGGGATTGATGCAGACTTTTATGGCCCAGGTAAATCAACAAGGTCAAGCAAGCTCTGGTCTCAAGGAGACGGTTGATATGTACAAGTCAAGAAGTAAGCTAAGTTTGATGAAGGCTATGTTTGAAACGAAATCTAATCCTTTCGTCCAGTCAATGACCTCGAGACCTCTCGGGATGAGTTGAAGGAACTCAGTATTACCCAGCGCGTGGAATTAGACTCGCTGCGAAACCAGTTGCATGCGGCAGAGCAGGCGCGCAAAGAGGTGACGCGGGAGCATGAAATCGCCATGGATGATCTTTGCCAGCGCCATCGCATTGAATTGGATTCGCTTCAACAACAAAGCAGCAGAGAAATTGCCACAGTTACTGACCGACACCAAGAGGAGGTTCGCGACCTGAAACGACGATTTGATCGTGAGATTGAAGACGAGAAGGCAGCACGAGTAAGCGCGCTCGGCAAGTTGACTTCCCAATCTGCACTCGATATCCAGAAATCTCAAATCGAATTGGAAAGGAAGGGCCGCGAAATTACGACACTGCAGGATAGGTTACAGGCCCTCGAGGCGGACCGCGATCGCGAACGAAGAACTGTGCAAGAGCTCAAACTCAACCTGGACACCGCAAGCAGCAACAGCGTTACGCTAGAATCATCGATTCGTGCTCTTAAGGCACGCATTGAGTTCCTTGAAAGTGGACGGGAGGAGCAGTCTAAATCCTTTGAGCGATGCAATCAGCAGATGATGGATGCTTTTGCTGAGACAGAGGCGATAAAGGAGAAGCTGCGCAGGGAAGAGACACTCCGGCGCAAACTTCATAATCAGGTGCAAGAACTCAAAGGCAACATTCGCGTGTTCTGCCGAGTTCGCCCCTCGCTTAACAGCGAACCTGCCTCCGATCTCACTCTTATGCAGTATCCTGATGAAGCCGAGGATGGAAAGGAGATTAATATCCTTGGCCCTGAAGAGAAGAGCAGTCTTGGAACAGTTAACCGTAAGAACAACACTTTCTCGTTTGATCGTGTATTCAATCCATCCGCGCAGAACGCCGAGGTCTTCGATGAGATTAGCCAGCTTGTTCAGAGCGCGCTGGATGGCTACAATGTTTGCATTTTCTGCTATGGCCAAACTGGTAGTGGCAAGACACACACAATGTCATCGGCCGACGGCATGATCCCTCGTGCTGTCCATCAGATTTACGAGACCGCGCAAGGTCTGGAAGAGAAGGGTTGGCGGTACTCAATGGCCGGCAACTTTGTCGAAGTCTACAACGAAAACCTCAATGATCTTTTGGGCAACCCGGATGAACTGGACAAGAAGAAGCATGAGATTCGCCATGATATGCAGCGGGGAAAAACTACCATCACCGACATTACAACTGTGAATCTGGATTCCCCCCGAGATGGTTGAGTCTATTCTCAAGAATGCGGATGCCAACCGCTCAGTGGCAGCGACCAAGGCTAACGAGCGCTCATCGCGGTCCCACTCTGTGTTCATTCTCAAGCTCACCGGCCAGAATCACATCACTGGCGAACGCAGCGAAGGCACGTTAAATCTCGTTGACTTGGCAGGAAGCGAACGTCTGAGCCACAGTGGGGCGACTGGCGAGCGTTTGAAAGAGACCCAAAACATCAACCGCAGTCTCAGCTCTCTGGGCGATGTGATTTCAGCTCTTGGCCAAGGCAAAGAGGGAGGTCACATCCCATACCGGAACAGCAAGGTACGTTTCTTTTACAGTTACTTTTCTTCGCTAGATACTGACTCCCTCTCTAGCTCACCTACCTCCTTCAGTTCTCCTTGGGTGGAAACTCCAAGACTCTCATGTTCGTTATGGTCAGCCCGCTCCAGGCGCACATGTCGGAGACCTTGACCAGCTTGAAGTTCGCCACCAAAGTACACAACACCCACATTGGCACCGCAAAGCGACAGGCGCGTGTTCGTGACGCCTGATTATGATGATACCTCTTTTCCTTTCTTGAATATATTTTGTTTGTTTTCTATGCGGGTAGGGGTCTTTGATGATCCTGTCCTCTACCCTGGCGTCTTGGTCGGGCTCTTGATATTTTTCTTCTCCATTGCCGAAGCTTTTGGAGATATTCGGTTCCTGTCTTAGCGTGTGATTTACTGTATGGACAATGATACATTTGGTTTGATCAATGCACAGTAGCAAGCTCTCAACCTTTTATCCGTTTTGTTTTACATTGCGAGAGATATGCTATTCTTCCTTCTCGATGAATTTACGTATATCAAATATGGTCGCTTCCCTTTTCTCAATCCAGGGGAAATGCCCACATTCGCCGTAGGTAATGAGCTGGGATTTTTGAATATCCTTCGCTGTCCGTTCCGCGATTCCTATCCCACAGATCATATCTTCGCGGCCGAATATGATGAGTGTTTCTGCCTGAACGTCACCAAGCCTATCCACCATTTGCATTGGATCCAGCAATTCCTTGTCACATCGACCCTGGGCTTGGTAGCACCAAACTGACAACTTGCGATCGCCAATATCACGCAGCAGCTCCGGTACATACTGCTGTGGATCAAAGAAATACAAAGGCCACATGCCTCGAACCGACGTGGTAAATTCCTCGTCGGATCCGGTTTGCCGATCCGACACACTATCCCAAGCATCCTGGTAACGAGGATCAATGCGCGTAGCTTCGAGCTGCAACAATCTCTTATCCTGAAATCCGACTAGCTGGTGGTCAAGGAGAACGAGCTTGCCAACACGACCGGGATACATCTCTGCGTACCCTAGCGCAATCGCTCCGCCGTTCGAATGGCCCAGTAAAACCGGGTATTGTTCCAGATGTAGGTGCTGTCGGAGATCCTCCAAGTCGGAGGCAAGATCGGGCATACTGCTCATCTGGGATGCCGGTGGTCTGGATGATCCCCCCGTTCCACGAGGATGGAAGAAGACCACAGTATAGCCGTTGGTACTTGCGGTACTCGTGTGGATTCCTGGCCTCCATAAGTCTTGCATTCCACTTTCAAGATACTCAGATCCCAAGCCCCAGCCGGGGCATTGGACAACAATTATATTGTGTGGATCTTCCTTTTCGGTGGCTGGACGATACACGATATATTCAAATATCAACTCTTTTGCCGGAACACTGAATGTGTGGATTCCCGTGTACAATAATTCTGACATTTGGAAATGAGAGGTTGAGATGCAGATTAATCGATATGCGAATGCTATGCTAGGTCGAACATACAATCGAGGAATTTAGTCCATTCGGCATCAAACCATGACGTCATTCGGAATAGCACGACTACCTAGGTACACAATGTTGTAAAAGCATAAGCTGGAACCAAGAACGGGAACTCCAGCTAGAGTTGACCGAAGTATCTGTCGGCCTTCTGCTTTACCTGCTGGGCCTTCTCTTGAATAGCACTGGCGTCCAAAGTCCCCTCCTCACAGATGTAGGCATCTATGAGTTCAGCTGGAACCCATTCGAAGTATATATTCTTAACTTCGACCGCATAATTGGTGTTGTCCCAATCAGCGTCATTGTCCTCAGCAAGCATTTTAACCCCTTTAATGCCGCTCTGCAGCCAGCAACCCACCAGCTCTTTAGGATCATTCTCTTCGTGGCTATGACTGCTCTCGGCGCCAGGCTCGGCTACCTTCTCCAGCTCACTCAGAACCAAGACTTTGGCAGCAGGACAAACATGCCTGGCACTCAGAACAGCTGGCAAAGATCCTGTTTTATTGCTTACCGAGCCGGAATCCGAGATCCGGTCTGCCCCGAGTAGGACGAAATCCACTTCCTTGCTGGCAAGGGCGGCAGATGCATCGGTGTACACAGTTAGTTCCAGGTGTCGATTGGAAGACGAGGGAAATCTTGACTGAAAGGCAGAGAGAATGGAAGATGCCATATTGACTCCTTCACAAAGCGGACGAGATTCTAGTATCCTAAGGTCCAGGTTAGGAATTGGAAGGGACGCGAAGGCCTCTAGGATGCTATCTCGGATAGTAGAGCTAGCCGAGAGGGTGAGGATAACAAGAGAGGGCGTAGGCTGTGATTGTGCTGTAGGCAGGAAGTTGCATTCAAGGTAGGCCCCAAAGGAATGTTTAATACGCTTGGGCATGTCTTTGCGCTTGTCCAAATGGTGGTCCAGCAAAGCCAATAAGCGTTCCGATTTGACATTGCGGTCCAGAGTCTCGTGAACGATCTCTTCCATGTCGGCGAGCAACCCTAGGAATGCATTCAAGGTGGCTGCGCCCATGCTTTCTCGTCCATTTTTCCACAGATGCCATGCAGCCATGCGAGCAGTTTCCCACCACTTCTCATCAATATCCTTGTTCATCTGCGCAATGACATCGTGGAAGGCCCTCAGCGCAACCGAGGTCAGCTCGTGCGATCCACTCTGGTGGTCTGCCTTCAGTAGCCTCAGGCCTGATATGAGTGCCTTGCTGGCACCCTCGTTCATATCGCTTTCAAAACACACTCGTCGCAGGCTTTCCTTCAAACGTGGTACGCCGCCGAATTTCTCATCGTCTTGGATTGTATCGGGGCTATACCACTCCCAGCTTTCATGCTCCCAGTCGATTTGAATACCACTCTCCCCGCGACCACCTTCACCGCCATCTTTGAGTCGGAATAAGAACGGAAAGACGGTCCATTGCCGGCCGATGGAAGGATCACAGAAGGTGTATGGCTTTCCTTTCCGCCAAAGATCAACATCTCGTGGGGTGAGAGTAGTCTCCTCTTTCAATTCGCGCCATGCCGCTGCTGCCGGTGTTTCGTGGCTCTCTATACTGCCTGAGATGGGAGCGAGGTGGTGCCTTTAGAAATCAGTAAATCTGGACGCGAGCAGTTGATAGAAACAGGGCTTTGGACACATACTGATATGTGTTGACTTTCTCGCTTCGCCGAAATAGAGCAACTTTGGTTTCTCCTGCATCTGAGACGAAAGAGGATACCACTGATCTCTTCTGGAATTCGGGGTTGCTCTGGTTCATCTTGGAGGTATAAGATCTGGAGACAGGGAGGGAACGATAAAGATAAGCTCAAAGTTTCGGCCCCGGAGGATATCCGCACTACCGTCACCATCACATCATCCCCATCACATCATTGCATTGACAAACAGGTCCTGGACAAACTTATTTCTTGATGAATTAACCTTCGACAAATCTCCAAGAGACGAAAGTTGTCTTACTTTGTTTGACAAGCCAATTTAACGAGCCAATTCGCTTCTGAACACTAGTGACGTCATCGCTAGTATATTCCACCTGGGCAATATCAAATCCAAAGCTTCAACCTTCAACATGCGCACTCTCACTGGGTCATGTATTTGCCGGAATATCGAATACGAGTTGAAGCTCGCATCGATTAATGACGCGAGAACATCTATCTGCCATTGCCGTAACTGCAAGGTATACGCTTGATTAAACGGGACCGTCATTCCACTGAAGCTGAAATAATTGAACAGAAAGCTTTCGGAACTAATTACGGCCTGACAGCCAAAGTACCAAAAGACGCATTACATCTCACCAAAGGCATCCCAAAAGAGCATGTTGCAGATAACGGATCTGGAGCTCTGATTCATCGAGAATTTTGTGAAAACTGTGGTAGCTTCATCCTGGAATACGGGGTATGTTAACCTCATACGATAGCTACGCAGGTTTTCTGACAAAGAAATCAGGATGTTGCCAAAGATCATTTTCGCTATATCTGTGTCGGATCGCTAGACGACCCCGAAGCATTACCCCCCAAGGGGGAGTTCTTCTGCAAGGATCGATCGAGCTGGATGCCAGAGATTCCGAGTGAGTCTAGTATGCTGAAATCATGGTTCTTTTTAATTCTGACAGGTATAGACGTATTCCACAAGCAGACGATAACCGAGTGAGGGGCAACGAAATGGGGGAAGGTCTGATCTGTTTTTCAACTACCTCGCCTGTCTACACATATGCACACATAGTCTCAATATACGTATCATATGCCGTCATCCACTGTCACGCTTTTCACAATCATATCTGGCTCTAGCAGTTTATCTCGAATTGAAATCGCATTCAAGAAGTCGTTGCTGTCCACCCGGCGATATCCATCTTCCAGCGTCTTCTCAATACCTGCCCGTAGGTGGCGCTCAGCCAAGCGACTCCTTGCTTCCAGGGGATCAGAGTCGACAAAGATGCGATAGTCGACAAGCTTAGAAAGTTCACGCCAGCCGGGATCATCAAGAAGCAGATAATTTCCCTCGATGATAATGATCTCCGTATCCGGCGTGATGGAAATCCCATCCTCGACAGGGTCTTTCGCCTCGTGATCGAACGTCGGTGCGCAAATGACATCCGCTGACGACCAAGCTCCAGAACAAGGAGCTGCTAGCGGTGTCTCATCGGCCCAGATGCGGAGCCGAGAGACAAAGTCCACAAAGCGGCTCACGTCGAACGTCCATGGGGCTCCACGACGTATATGTGCCTCTTCGGGGTCGGGCAGTTGATCCAAAGCAGCCCGAGAAAGATGAAAGCCATCCATAGAAAGCAGGGCAGCACGGGAAGTCGAGATCTGATTCAACTGTTGCACTACTGCCTCGGCTGTGGTGGTCTTCCCTGAACCGGGGATGCCTGCAATGGCAACTAGGTAGCGTGATTTGGGATGAGCATCGGCCTGGTGGCGGATAGCATCTGCCAGTCGCCGGTACTCGGATTCCATCTGTTATCTGAGGTTAGATTTACTACTTTAAATGCCAAGATAGGATTTTACCTTGAATCAATCACACATGGATGTATCTTATAGTGACGCAAACTGAAGTAGATGCGTCAACCACGGCTGGTGACAATCAACGGATCATGCTGCACCAAAGAAAAAGAGGAAATTCAGAATGCAGGTATTCTTCAAACCGCCTGATGAAAGCGCAGGGCGAAGTTATGTATGTGGTGGTGGAGCGGGTATCGGGTCACAGTGTTCCGAACACAGTAACTCTCGGTGTTGTGCCGCTGTTGTGCCGATTCGGCATTCCTCCTGAATTAGGAGCTCTGCAAGTATTATTTGGGGTAAATCGAACAAATGTGGGAAGGTTGGAGGCGTCGTTCATTCCCGAGGGCAACCCATTTTGATGCCAAAATCTTTTCGGGGCACAATTCTCCGGTGTCACACCGGCTGGGGCTTCTATGAACTTCCAAAGAACCCCATTTGATTTTGGTAAAATGAGACTGTAATCCAAACTCGACTCTTGGAATGTGACTTTATCAAGAAGAATAAATGCAAACACACAAAATGCAACATGCGTGGGCAAAAACATGTGACTCTAATAGCCTCGAGACATTGGCCCTGTGACTACAATGAGGCCGAGGAAGTCTGCACCATCATCCATCTAAATTCCCAGGAAAAGGAATGAGAGTACAGAAAACAATCATCGTCACACCGTCGCGTCTTTGATCAACCTGGGGACCGTTTCCACTTCACTAACAGTTGCCTTGTGAAGATTCCGTTTCTTCTGTTTCGGCTCCACATAGAAGCACAAGAGCTGTTGTGACCAACAATGAGAACACTGAGGTCGAATACGATCACAAGCAGTACGGTGTTCACGACAGGCTTTGCAGTCCCCCGGATTCGGCTGGTAGGGCTTTTGCAAATCTGGGGAAGCGGATTCAAATGCCGTACCCCGCCATCCAGACCACAGCCACTGTGCGATGCGACCGCAAAGTCCACCCTTCATCTGCCCGTATATAGACGGATCCCGGGGAATATGTATTAAGGAACTCTGACTTGGTTCCTGATCGATATGTTCTCTGTAGATCTTGTCAGCCTGAATCAAAATCTTGGAATAACCTCAAACGGGCTCTAACCGGCGACCCTGACTCGCCATTGTGCGGTGTCCACGTTCTCCTTTAGTAAAAATGTTACCGCGAATATTTATCCATGCCAAAGTGAAGGTGATGAACCAGGATCAAGAAAACGGACGAGTACAAGATATGTACCCAAGGCAGTGCATACGCCGTTCAGGCCCTCGGGCCCCCTGCAGCAGCACATGAACGAGTAACGCACTTCGGGCACTGCATGTTATGTCAGGCAGCTGTAGCTGCAAGTGTCATGGGGTCAGGGGAAATTAACATGTTCGTAGCGGGGTTTTAAGACTTATTTTCGGATATGATCATGTTATCTCAACTAGAGTAACGTCAGGCGATATTCAATCGGAGTTGTACAGTTCGGAATCAGGTTCCACAAGACACTACCTGAGGTACCTAGGTATGAATGTCGCGGTTATGTACTCGAAACCGTTGAAACGTCATCGTGGCTTCAGTAAGAAAACATGTGGCAAATCAAGGAAATGTTGGAAATGTTGGAAATATTAAGATGAACTTTCAGGTTTTTCGCAATAACAAGCCAACATGGTTCGGATAAGCGAGGCGATCAAAGATGACCACCGGAAACTGGAATCTTGTTACAATATCATCGTCAACTCCGAAGATGAAGATGAACGAACACGATTTCAAAATCAGTTTACCTGGGAACTTGCACGACACTCTGTCGCCGAGGAGCTAGTAATTTTCCCTGCAATGGAAAAGCTTCGGTCTGACGGCAAGGAGAAGTTAGATGATGATCGGCGTGAACATTCAGCGGTAAGTGCTCACACCTAATATAGAGGGTGGTGCTAATATGCCATAGCTCAAAGAACAGCTCTACGTTTTCCAGGACCTCAACTCCTCCGATCCACGCTTCATCCCTACAATTACGATGATGATGGAAGGTCTGGCCCGTCATATGCAAGACGAAGAGACAAACGACCTGGTTATATTGGAGAAGGCCCTCACTTCTGATGAGAGCGAGAAGTTAGCTGAATCTCTTGCTCGCACTAAAATGTTTGTGCCCTCTCGCTCGCATTCATATGACCTGGGCAACCCGCACTATGAGACTGTAGCCGACCTGCTTACAGCTCCTCTGGATCATCTTCGGGATCTATTTCGAAAGTGGCCAGAGGAGGAGGAAGGCATTTTAACGTCGCCAATGTTGTAGATAAAGATGATGAAGTTACTGCAACATAGAGAGATTTCGTTTAATTTACACTACCAATGAGACCACTGCCAACCTACAGAATATTTGAATGTGTGAACCTAATTGAATTTCTATCCTGGATGATGATAATGACGATCATGGTGTCTCTCTAACGAGTCAATCTCGCTTTGAGTGGTGTGGTGAGACCTGTGTTCAGCTCTGGATAAACTATTGTTAGCAATTGACGCGATATTGCACACGAACATCTCTCACTTTTCCGCGCCAGCTAGACCACTCGGGGCTTTACTCTGGTCCGCAGTCTCATCAAGGTAATGCCGAGGTGTATCCCCGTCAATTTCATCATAGAGAAGGTCTAATGCATTATTCTTGGATTCTTTCGATACCTTGGAATTGTTTAGCGCACTGGAGAAAGTATTAGTAACGAGTATAAAGTGGAAATGAGAATGTCCAAGCTTACGCTGTATAGCCACGCTTCGCGCTCACTTCGTCTTCGACAGATAAATCGACATCTTTGGCTTCCCCTAGGCTTGACATCATGCATTTATCAATAAATTAAATTACCCCGCAAAGGTAGAAATTGGGGCTTCAGATTTCGTAGATCGTAATAGTTCAAGTTATTAAAATATACTCCGCACGAAGGCGAAGTAATAGCGGCTGAAGGGCCTGGGCTTACACGTCACATCGCCATCATCGGAAAATAGAACCTTAGAAGTTAAAAGCACCGGAAATACCCCGAGCGTGTAGTTCTAACTACCTAACTACCAATAATAGATCGAAAACACTCGATAATATTTATTGCCAACACAATTGCCATTGAGAAACAGCTGTCTATTGTACAAAAGGAAAACGTGATCCGATAAAAGCACACGTTACCTAGAGGTTGTTGTATCTGGTTTATCCTCTGTATCCGGTATGTCCACCATGATTCAACATTTCTAGATCCGGAAATTCCTGGGTTTTGTGATAGCCCGAGAGAATCTTGCTTGGATGGAAGAGGTTGAAAAGCAGACAGCAAATGAACATCAACACCGCATCGAATACATATATGAATACCTCTTTGCTTTGAAGAACCCCGTCGCTGCCCTGGACATATTCTGCCACTCGATAGATTGATCGGACCATGACCAAGATACTGGCGATATAAAGGACCTTCATATAGCGGGCCCAGGGAATTTGAGTGTCACCCACAGCATATGAAGGAGTAGCCAGCATGCGGCGATGGAAAACAACACAAACAACAATGAAGAATCCAAAGAATAGGATTTGGACAAAGAGTCCGCCAACAATCATGTTGTTTCCGAGTTTTACTTTTGATTGGTCCTTGGCGGTAGCAAGCATTCCACCTCCTTCAGGAAAGGAAGAATATTAGCGATGTTTCATGCTTCAAGAAATTCACATAACGTACCTCCACTCTGGATGAAAAATGACAACACGTCACCCGTCACAAATATCTTGGTCAACCATGACGGCCTGACTAGGGAACACGAGGCCCCGTTCACCAAACGAATGATACGGCCGAGAATCATATATATAGAAGCCGCAAATAATGCGGGTGCTAGCAAGAGCAACAAGCTCTGTGCAATATAGGGCTTGGTGGTCCAATTCGGGGATTCCTGTGCGCTGGCATACCTTGCCAAGTAACCGAATGCCTCAACTGAAAAAGTTCACAACGATTAGTATAGTTTCAAAGGGGCAAGGAAAATGCAGAAGAGCACACATAAACAACCGATGACAAAAGGTATGAAGTACCAGGTTCGGTTCCGACCTAATTGCCAGAGATGTATAATGGCCGTGAGTCCAAAGAGTGCTGCGAAGGTGACACCAGCAGCACCAGACGGGTTATAATGGTATAATTTGAAACCCTCAGCCATGATGAGCTAGCCTAAACCGCAGGATGGGATTGGAATGCAATAGATGGCTGGTTTTGGAAAGTCGTAGGATTCGAGAACAATAAGCAACGCTATGTGAAGATGGAAAAGAGTGAAAGGTCCGTCTATTGAAAGGATTCAGGGAAAGAGATCTAGCGCAGCTTATGAGAACAAACTTGCTATTTAAACATCTTAGTATACACACTATGCAGATATTTCGCCTTGCCCCATAACTAGTCGGTTTTTGTTGATGAGACTTGAAGATAAAAACTAGTCCATTTGTGGAGAAGAATACGAATCATCCGATTTCTACTCTGATCCACCTAAGAAGCTTGTGGTCTCTCGTCCAATCAGACGTGTTATGGATATCCCGAAAATGGGAAAAACCACGAGTACGAAATCCTACTAGCAGTTTGTAGTTTGTAGTTTGCGACTAGTACAACGTTATTTGCCAAGGTCTCTTACTTCTGGACCTCAATGGATATCATTTTCTCCACGGCGTTTCTAATAATAAAGGGAGGAATGAAATACGAAATAAGCAGCTCATCTGCAGGGGCATGCACATAACAAGGAACTGGGAAGAATACATTCGGCTGCGAGAAGAGTTCCCAAAACTTCCCTTATTGTATATGTGAGACCTTGATATGTGATCTGCACTGAGATATGGCTTTCATAACACTTTTACTGCGTTATCGTGGGGATCCGTAGTCCGAGTAAATCTTCGAGACACGCCCACCAGCACTGGAGATAAGTAGAGCAATGAATTGTAAAATTTACTTCTATTTTATTGCAATGAATACTTGTTACGATTTGCGGGATTGGATACATAGGTTCGTATTCTTCAAGCTTGAATCTCCCAACCCAGTAGTGTTGGTACCTACCTAGTTAGGCCCCAACGGATAGCAAATTGTAGGATTGTGTGTACCTTTTGTATAGGAACTCCATACAAAAGGTACATAAAACAATATGCATAACGTCAATTTTTCTCGGCTCTCAAACTGGCTCAAGTTTATAAAATTAAAGATCTGACACATATCTGTTTAATTCATCTATCACTAACCTTGATTCCTTCTACTACATGACGTAGGATGTACAGAACACCTTAAAAAGAATATATACATAATGCCTTGGGGTACCCCGCTATAACGCATCTGTCAAGACGAGACGTAAATTTTCAATGTTTCACTCATTGGTCGAAACGGTACACAGCATTGTCGATCAAGGTCATATGCAGCTCTGCCCCCTGATCTTCAGACTCAGCCTCATTCAATGTCAATTCAATGTCACCACCATGATGGGGCCATGATGGGGCCGATAAAACAGATAAATATGCCTAACCCCACGCGGAAAGTGGGCTCCAAGAATATTTCCGGCCGCGATGGCTTCAACAGAGCACCGCACAAATCCTGAAGGACAGAAATATTGTCTCGATGAGCCAGGAGACACTTTCGAGCAAGCCTCCGCCAGGGCTAATACGACAGAACACGGTCTTGACCCGCCACCACAGCCAACCATCTCCCTACGATACCGGAAGCGCGCTATTTATCTCCTCCTCTTCTATGTCCCCCCTACTGGTAATCCCGTGGATTCTCACCTGCGTGCTCGCGGGCCCACCGGCGCCAAATGGGGGAAGTGGGCAACGCTATTTCCCTCAGTCCGGGTTATCAGCTCATGGAGTATACTCGATGCTGAGCTGGGTGGCTGCAGTACGAACTCTCAATTCAATCGCTAGTGTGGTCACTGTCCCGGTAACATCGGCACTTCTCGCGCAGGCGGCGGTGGTGTACACGCAAAAGCGCAAGATCAACCAAAAGCTCAGTTTGCGTCAGACCTTCGTCCTGGCGGATCGCCGATGGTCCGATGCAACTGTCCTTGTTGAAGCAGCTATGAAAGCGGGAAAGGGAATTGGAAGTCGTTTCTTATGGCTGGCAATGGCCCTTATCGTTCTCAGTACTCGCACCCCAGTCATCCAGAGCAGTGGACCTACCTCGCTAACATGCTTGCAGGCGCTGCTCAACACCCAATCCAGCAACTCCTCGTATCCTGGCAGTCGGTTCCCGTCATGACCTGTCTTGACGACCCTGTTCCGTCATGCACATCGACGGCCCCAATCGTGCTTGGTTACGACCCCAAACCGGCGGACTTGGCCACAATCCGCCAGAACCGGGTCGTCCAAGAAGTCATGTCCAGCCTAGCAACATTTAACGAACTTGACTTCGAAACACACCTGTGGCCCGATCCTTCGTACATGACCAACGAACTAGACCTCGCAGTGGACCCAAAGTATAGACAGACGTTGTACTACTGGACAGAACCAAGATCAGATAACTTCGCCGATGCGACGGACAAACCAGCCAACTTCTTTGTCACTGCGCTCCAGAACGGGACCATGACGGGGGTCCTCCGGGAGCATGCCATTAGGCTCAATTCGTCTGCAGTGTGCGAAAAGATTCCACGGGCACGGTTCCCTTCGACCTGTCTCGGGAAACGTCCGTTTCAGACCTCGTTCTCCAGCAGTCGGCTAGACATACGGGTGTGCGCTCCGGGAGAGTACTGGGTATCTCCCTGGACGTTGAGTCGCAATCGGCAAGACATCAGCGAGGAGTTGTTCTTAGACGTGATTGACCGCAGAGAGATAGGGTCCTCCATTGCCAGTTTCACGCTTCACTGCACCACATCAACCACACGGGGCTATTTTGAGCTGGCAAACTACATGAACTCCCAAATATATGGGCCTCTGCTGGAGAAATGGCCAGATGCCGAGACAATGTCGCAGAATTTCAATGACGAATTAAGCCCATCCGCGGGCATCGGTGGTGGGCCCCCAACCGAACAGTTCGTCCTGCCTGTCACGAATCGGACATAGCCCCTACTGACCCATTCTTCAGGGACGAGACCAAAGGTTACCACTCCTACCACTTGAATCTGTGGACAAGAGAACCCGCCGACCCGTACGGCACAGGCATGTTAAACATGTCCGGTCCCCTCATGACATCAGCCATCGCCCTCTTCGGCAACCAGTCCTTTTTCGAGGTTGCCGCCAACTCGTCTAACCAGACATTCCCACCGGCAGTGCAGCAGATCTGCCAGCAGGGCCGGCTTCCCTTCTCCAACCTGGCCTTTACAATATTCGGGAACTTCCAGTCTGACTGTTCCAAAATCGCCACCGACCGCTCATTTTCGTCGGGATTCGCCGATCCCGAGGAAAAGCTGGCGGGCTTGATTGGGGACTGGTTTTCCTCGTTTAACAATACGAATTCAGCAGAGATGGCTCTGCTCGCCAGCATGTACGTCTCCAACCGAGTTATGCTCACCCGAACCGTGACAGCATCGTTTTCTTTCTCGGCGCGCAAAATCTGGTTCGGTGCTGGAATGCTAGTGCCTTTACCTCTGAAGACTCTTGCGGGTACGGTGGTGGTTAGCATCTTGATTTTTCTGCAGCTTCTGGGGCTTGCTGCCTTGACATACTATATCTACCGGCTGCCTACATGGACGCATGCCCTGGACGCCGTGGCAGTTGCTCAGCTCAGCATCGGACTGAAGGACTCTGTAGCGAGAGAATTGGGAAACGGATATGAAATAAATGAGAACAAATTAAATAAAGTTGACGGGTTGGTGGGCTTGGACGAAGATAGGGCCAAGGTGGCACTGGGTAGTCCTGGAGTGATTACTCGGGGACATGCAATGAAACCGAAGAAAGGGAATGGAGAGTAATTAGAGACCATTCAATACACATGGGAACAACGCATTGAGTTGGGGAACGTTATCAATTGTCTTACAATCGGGAAAGGCCTCTTGCTTCTATAAGATAAAGGGCTACCTACTTTATTATTAAGGGGAAGCCGTTATACAGCCTAACTTTGATACTAATCGAGCGGAAGTTTTAGCTCTCTATATAATAACCTAGTACAACATAGGTGTTGCTAGGATGGACTCTTCTAAATTCTTAAATACTGTATATTATGAACAAAGCAAAAACTACTTACCTGCCTAGTAGGTATTTAGCCCTGGACCTCTGGCCAGGGCGGTTACATAATTTTCCGGTCTTTATGTTGCTGTGTTGCCAACATTCCTTTCTGGAATGTGGCTTTTGAGGAGATACGTAATATTAATCTGGCTTATTCCAATTAGCACAAGGGTACTCGTACTTCCGTACTTAGAAACATATTCAGCCAAGTTGAACTAAGTCCGTCTCAGACCTGAGCGCCAGAGGGCCAAGAGGTGATGTTGATCTTAAAAGTGGAGAGGGCGGCAACTCCGACCATCACATTGTCACATTTTGAACCTCATTTTCACCTCATTTCCTGGAATGTGACAATTAACAGAGTCCAAGAAAGAAACAAGAGACCTTGAAGATGTGATTATCTTTTATACTTATCTTTTTATACTGTTTCTATCTTTCTGTTCACATGCAAATATTATCCTGTTACTGTTCTGGGTAGCCCCTCCGTGGTGGACTCTAGTAGTTTCAGGTTAACACGCCACCCCTACAAAGCAACCCTTAGCCGCTGTGATAGCGGCCAGTCGGTCCCTTTTATGCCTCTTAGCCTGTTGCTTTGAAGAATGGATCATCACAAGTGGACTTCAACTCCTGAACTAGAACGCGACGGGCGTCTTGGACTACGGAGATGCAGCCTATTGCAGACATGCGCTCACTAACCCCAGTCGCAGGTCCGAGGCACTGGAGCATTGTTACTGGACGGACAAATTGATCCCCTGTTTTTCTTCGCATAAAGCGAAATGGGCTTGTGCGGCTGGTGAAAGATACTTGGGTCAAATATTTCCCACTGTTACTTCGATACGTTGGACACGCTCACATTCCTTTCTCCTTGTTGGCAATCTGGGATTGCCAGTCTTTCATTTAGTCATTTTTTTCTCTTTTCTATCAATTGCACTTCCTCTCATTTCTCTTCTCTTTGCTTTCTGGATTATATCACAAGCATCTGGTCTTGTTATACGCCTGCAGACAATATGCTTTCTTCAACACGTTCATTGAGCGCTGGCTCGCTGATGCTCGCTTTGTTATCTTCCCCTGTGGCTGCTGCAAGTTACTCCCTGGTGGAGACATGGGAGGGGAAGAATTTCCTGGATTACTTCAATTTCCACGTTGGTCCTGACCCAACCAATGGCTTTGTCAACTATATCGACCAGGAGACTGCCGAAAGTACAGGCCTTGTCAAGCTCACCGATTCTGGCAGTGTATACCTGGGTGTCGACTATGCTACCAAGCTGGACCCCAACGGGAACAAGGGCGTGATTCCGTGCGTATTGGCAGCAAGAAGTACTACGACCAGTCTCTGGTTATCGCCGATATCGCCCACATGCCTGGCAGCACCTGCGGTACCTGGCCTGCCTTTTGGTCAGTTGGAAGGGAGTGGCCCCAAGATGGCGAGATTGATATCATCGAAGGTGTCAACATGCAGGAACACAACGAAATTGTCATGCACACTGCCGGCACTTGCAGCTTGACAGATACGGATATGACTGGCTCGGTCAACGCTACTGGGTGTGGCTTGGATCTGGGACCCGTGGGCTGCAAAATCGAAGGTCAGGAGGGTAGCTTTGGCACACCTTTCAACAAAAAGAAAGGTGGTGTGTATTCACTGCAGTGGACCGACGAATTCCTCAAGATTTGGTACTTCCCCCGAAACTCGATCCCGGCCTCGATTACGAACGGCAAGCCCGATGTAACACAATTTGGTACCCCGATGGCCGTGGTGAAGGAATCGTGCGACGTTGCCAACGCATTCAAGCCCCAGTCGTTTGTGTTTGATGTCACCTTCTGTGGAGACTGGGCAGGTGGTGTGTATGGTGATTCTGGTTGCCCCATGACCGACGGCGATCCTTTCCAGAGCTGCCAGAACTATGTCGCCAACCACCCGGCCGCGTTCAAGGAGACATACTGGGAAATCAACTCGATCAAGATCTACCAGACTGGCGTGAAGGGAATTGCCTCAGTTTCATCATCTGAACCCGAGCCAGCTACTGCCGCTGCTCCCGTGGTTTCCAAGACAACTGCTAAGACCCACGCTACTCAGAGTGCCACTGCTGTGCACTCTGCTGCTTCCAAGGAAGATCAAACCCAAACCGCTGGAGCAGTTCAGGAACTGGGTCCTGCGTCTGTTCCTACTGTCGCACCTACTGCCGAAAGTCCTGCCACTGAAGCAATCGAGCAACCTTCCACCAAGAAGACTCGGACTATCACCTCTGTAGTCACTGCCACTGAGACCATCTGCCCCGAGGCCGAAGACTCCTCCACTATTGCCGCCCACTCTGTCGCAACACCGGCCCCTGCTCCAGCTGTGCAATCCGTCCAAGTCCCAGCCAACGGCCAAGAAACGGAGACACGGGCCTCCGCGGATCCTGTGGCCCCTGCTCCCAGCGTCGCATCCGTCCCAGCTGGCCATGGCCACACCAACTCGAAGCCTGCATCTGTTCCCGTCGCTGCCACGCCCGCTGCACCTGAACACACTACCCACCACGCTGAGACCTTCGGTGGCTCGTGGGTGCATCCTTCTGCGATGCCCACTGCCGTTGTTTCCAACGTCCCATACGAGGCCTCCAAAGCACTGGTCCCTACCCCCACAGGTGTCTCTCCACAGCAAACTACATCAGCTACATCTGGATTCTATGTTCCTAGCGGCTCTCAATCTGGAGCCAGCCCTGTCTTCACCGGTGCTGCGGATCGGTTGTCCATGAGCATTACCGCTCTCTTGTCTGGACTCATTGTTGCCTTCTTGGCTTAAATACCTGTAATAGATCGCGTTTGAAAATGGTCCAAACTTGGTGGATTTTGCTTTGTTCACTGTACAGCAGGTCTTACAGATGGCCGTGGACTGCTTTGGTTTCGGATTCAGTCGGTGCTTTACAGCGTCGTCTTACCTTTTGTCGTGCACGGCACACAAAAGGAACCACAACTAGTTAATGAAGAATTGTTTCGAAATATTAACGATATTACCCCCCCAAAACTCCATATATACAAAAGCCATCTATGCCCGAACTCCACCCTTTTTTTTCGCCCAAATTCAAATGCTGCAGTTCCTAGGCCATCCACCTCGCCAACCAATCTTGAGCATAACATCTCAGGATTCCATCATCAATAATTCTCAATCGGCCATTTCGCAAAGTCACACTACTCCTCTCTGCTTTCTCCGTAATGAATCTTTTCGGGCCACTCCGCATCAAAGATGATTTCATCCCATGCATCATCTCGTAATGATGAATGAGCTTGACCGCCGGATTGACAAGTTCCTCACCCCTTGTCTCACTCCGACGAAGTCTCAGCAACCACTCCTCAAAAGACACGACATCAAATCGGAAACCACAATTCTTCAGCGTATGCAGCAAAGACGACCAGGTGAATTCGTGAGAATTACACAAATTGAAAACCGAGTCATCAACATACTCCACCACAGCCGAGCTGGACGCCCGAGCTTCCCCAAACACACTTGGCGTAGCACAAGTCCTAGCTACTTCAAGAATACTTGACGCAAGCTTATCCACCGGAAGCCAAGAGCATGTCTGCGATAGCTCAGGCAGTGCCCCCCAGTGTCAGCGCTGACCGGATCATCAACGGCAGAGCTTCGGTGTCATTCCAAAGGCCTTTCTTCGAGTGGCCTGAGACCTGCCCAATCCGAAGAGAATAAGCCCTTGCTCCGCTGCGTCGCGCATTGCTCACAATCCGCTCCCCGATCAACTTGGACTGCCCGTAGCCCATAAATGCGCTGTGTAAGTCGACTGGTTCTTCGAGGATCTCGGCTGATTGAGATCCGAGCGCGGTCGAGACTGATGAACAGAACATCAAGACCGCAGGCTCGCGTCTCTGCACTGAGAGGGAGAATTGGATCAGATTGTATAGTCCCTGGATATGCGGCTCGAATTCGGTCAGGGGGAGATTGAAGTTCACTGGCCATGCTGTGTGAATAATGAGCGAGACCGTGTCGAGCATGTGTGTAATTGTACTCTCATCCAGAGATAGACCGAAATCGGGCTCGTCGATACGGCCGTTGAAGGCGACTATCTTTGTTCTCTGTTCGGGAGATATGGGAAGGTCTTTATCCCTTAGAGTGCGGAATATCTCTTCCAGTGGTGATTCTCGCCGTGTGAGACAGTACACCGTGGAGATAGAGTCATCATTGAGCAGCTCGTACAAGACGTGGGCCCCAATTGACCCGGTGGCTCCTGTTAGAAGCTTGGTTTTGTTAGCTGCCGAATATAGACCCCGACAGGAAGATAGTCACTCACCACACTGTTCGGCCCTGAGAAAGCATGTGGTTGCGGTATGTGCCTCTCAAACATGGAGTACTTCTCGATCAATTCGGTCATCACAGATACATCACTGTCACCCTCTTCAAACATCTCGCCCTGTTGTAATGCACAGATATTCCGAGCCAACTGTGATATACAGCCCGATTCAAATATGACATTCGGACCAGGAGTCTGGCTCATCTCAAACTTGAAATGCTGAAGAATGAGACGTCGGAAGTGGATTGCCTTGAGACTATCAACACCCTCAGCGAAGAAATTGGCATCGACACCAGAGAGGGGTATTCCAAGTTCTTGCTGGGCTAGTTGAACAAGAATGCGCTCAGTCTCCACAACGTCAAGCTGAAGATTCCCACAAGTTTGCTCTTTCTCAGCATAAAGGCTTTCGATAAGTTCGTTGTGTTCTTGATAGACCTGTGCTCGGATCATGGACCCTTTGTCCGTTCGAGAAAACTTGGCGTCGTGTGGTAATATGGCGACCAGATTGCGGGAGATTTGAGAGAAGGCCTCTGCCTGAGCATTGGCCTCTTGGATTGTTGGCCAGATTGCATGGAGGTATTTGTCGTCTGAGAGACGGTTGGCTTCAGGTTCGTCCGCTCGCAAAATCAATAGCCCTGGAGCAGCTTTGCCTACCCCGACTACAATTGCGTCATGGATAAAAGGGTGCTGCTTGATGTGACCTTCGATCGGGAGTGGTAGAACCTTTTCTCCATTCACTAGATTGATTCGATCATCCAACCGTGAGATATATTTCCACCTTCCTGCAATTGTAGGATGAGGGGTGAAAACATCTTTCGAATGGAAGGATCCTGGCGGCTCGTTTGAATTTGAGGTTGTTAGTGCTGGATGGCCAGCAAGATAGACACACTCAAAGAGCGAGTCTGATGCAGAGATAGGCTTCATCCAGACATATGATCTGATATTGTCAAAGAATTGAAGATAATTCCAATAAGGGTCACCCTTTGGTCGTGAGATCGATTCTGCAACAAGACCGGCCTCGGTGCTGAAATTTGTTAGTCTTTGTGTGAATAAGGTATCTGCAGAATAGTACTTACAGGCCGAATGACCCTCCAAAGTGTACTCCTTCATTCACTAGACGATCGCCCAGCTCATCCGGACAGGGTGCACCTCCATAGGTAACCAACTTGCATTGCCTTAACAATGTGATACCGCGGGGATCGTCAATCAAAAGTTGGAGCATATATGGAACTGCCGCCACTGACTCTGGTCTGGCTTCTTCGAGGGCCCTAGCAACGAGTTCTGCAGTTAAAGGCAATGCAGCATTCCACATATAGGCTGTCTTCCTCATCCACATTGCCTGCAATGCGGTGGACAGCCCATGGAGATGATACCATGGCAGGGTATTAAAAGAGGTGAAGCCAGGACCTCTCAGCGGGTGAGTCATGATTGCTCTGTGTGTGAGGAAGAGCGGTTTCGGCGTGCCTGTTGATCCCGAGGAATGAAGAATCAAGGCAATTTTTTCAGGGTTTCGATTGCGATACAGAGCGAGCGATTGCGGTCGTAGTTTGTTGTATGAAGAGCATGATAGCATTGGGCGACAGGTCACCAGCTTCCGGCAAAGGATCTCGCCCAACGTTGAGCGGATATTGGGGGATTGGCCATATATGATTGACTCGCAGTTGACGGTTTCCAGCAATGAAACGCAGGCTTCACTCGAGAGTCGGGGTGATAGCATCATCACAGTATACCCCAGTCGACTTAGGGCAAAAAAAGTGATCACCATGTTAAGGTCTGATAAAGTAAGAAGTGCCACGATAGATGAACTTCGCGTTGCCTACCCATTGAGTTGTTAGAGAGTTGATGCCATCCAGCTTAATCCATAACCAACCTGTTTGAATCCATCATCCATGAGCCTGATGACAGCTTGGTTTATCATAGTATCCAAGTGTTTCCCAGTGTAATATTCATAAGAAGCTGCATCGTTTTCGAAACGTGGATAGGCGAGAATGGGATATTGAACGACATCGGCAGCTCGTAAGCGGATCAAGTCGTCAAGGACTTGAAGTGATCCAAACTCTTGCACCAACGGGTTGGTAGTGCTGGAGGGACCAGCCTGTGCTGCTTGGCTTCCACGTTGGATACCCATTATGAGTATGGAAGTATTCTAGAATGAGACGAAAGGTGCCACAGCAGCCTGATAAATTTCAGTGCAATATTGAGGGTCAAGCCGTATTATTTAAGAGATAGGTGCTGGTTTAGATCGCTTTACTGACCCATACTTCCCAGATTAGCCTGTACTGACTGCATTCGGGATGCCCGGCAAAAGAAAGTCTTTCTGCATCGGGAGAACGATATACATATCACACGGGATCAGTCCAGTAGCAAACAAACATCAGCTACTATGCTGTGATAGTTATGCAGATGCCAACAGGAATCATGGCGCATATTGAATAGTATTAGAGGGGATGATATCTCGGGAATAGTCATATGCGCATACTCCGTACAACAGCACAATTTCAATGCACAAGGACTGGCTTCACTTGTTTGTGTCACCAGCAAACAACCCAGCTTAAAAACAGATATCTCATTGGCCCAGATTCAACAGTGGCGTTCCGTTAACGTCGAGATTGGTCTACTCTATCTACTGTGGCTCGGACTATCAACTACCTACCTCGCTAGTGGCCAAATTCCAACGTTTGGGAATTATTCCCCTGTCTACCTTTACCTAGGTGCATGCATTCTGCATTCGTCTCCATCTTCGGAGTGGAATTTCAATCGTGACCAGCGGTAATCGTTACACAGCAGAGCTGCCCGAGACACATACGCCTCAGTTGTGATTACAATCCTGTTGGAAAAGGCCACAAAGATTCCTACCTGTCACCGGAAAGAAAACTAATTTTGTGATAGAGTATCGCCGTTATAATTAGTTGCAACATCACCTGAATACAAAATTAAAAGCACCAGATGCTGCGTTGGGACTCCGAAATCCCCCGTGCAAGTCAGTGTAACTGAATACAGCAGTGAACGTTGGCCTCCAGTCTGGAACGGCTTGGGTGTCATAAATAAAGGGTACACAAAGTGTTGTGTTTAGATATACCCCGATGAAGTGTTGGCTCTATCTTTATTGGCCAACAAATATATCCCAAGAAGGTTGAACTCATTTATCGTAACGTACAACTGTCTTACTCTTCTACCGGTGCTAAATTGGACCAAGACCATTCCAGAGAGCTGAGGGCAAAGGGCCAGGCTCAGAAATGTCTCACTTGAAAGCGTATGTTGTAGGAGAAGTCCCCTTGCACCCCTAGCTAAGGGGATGACAGGAGTTCCGCAACGGGGAGATAACACCTTGCAAGATAGGTCAACAGAACAATAATCTAAAACATCGAGGCCCATCTCAAACGGAAGGTGTCTAGGAAGACTGGAAGTCATCTGATATGGAGACTTCAAAGTTACCTAGGTACCAGGTACCTAGGTAGGTACGTTCCCGCTTCAAAACTTGGATCGGAAGACGGGCCGGGAGAAGCATCCGGGAAGCCGGGAATGACCTGTGGAGTTCTGATCTATATCTGGTATTAAGGGTACAGCTGAAGAATGTTGACCCGTCCGATCGGGTTTATGTGGATCATTCCAACTTTATTCTGAATTTTCTTGTGCCTTGGGAGGTCTCAGAAGACAGAGGCATAGCATTCCAGGTATCCGGAATGACCCTGTGGTGTTCCGGTAGAAGGAGATGCACCCGATTGTTTGGCATAGAAATCCCCACTAATTCTGGAACAGTTAGTGATTTCTCCATTTACATCGAGCATTCCTGAGATCTGAGCCGTTTGGATCATACGGACCCGGGGAGGGTATGTGTGTAGGCACCGAGCATGACAGCGGTTTATCAACATTAAGAACCAGTCTACAAGTCTAGACAGGGATTCGTGAAAACAGATTTGCAAGACACTTGCTCATTTTATCATTCCTCTGTATCGGTTGAATGCACCCGGAGTTCCATTCATGAACCAAAAAAATGCAGAATAGCACTGACTGAGACAAAATGCGCTGATCATCAAGCCTCCCAAGCCCTAGATGGATCCCTTCTCCAACTTCTCTTCCAACAATTCCAGGACCCGCAGCCAGGACCTACTAGCGCGGGCAGCATGCTCCATCGGCACGGCCGGGTTGTCTTCCCCGGTGGATCTTGAGAAGACTTCCATACTGACCCACCCGGTATAACCCAAACCGTTAATGCAGGCATCCGTCACCTCGCGAATCGGAAGGTATCCGCCCCGATCCTCTTCGCACGGAAACAGACGGGCATTCCGCGACCAGGCTAGGAGAGTGGGCAGGCCTGGCGCCTGAAGAAAGGGCGTTTGTGGGTCGACCCGCTCGCCGTCGGCAAGTTGTACCATCAGTACTCGGTCCGGATCAACCTCCTGTACAAGCCGGTCCATCGATTCCTGCAGATCTCTGTCTGCGCTTGGGCCAAGTCGCCCTGTTGCGGCAGTGGGATCGGCCCACACTCGCGCTGCTATGTTGAATGTATCAAGGCATATGCCGAGATTGGGTCGATTGGCCCGCTTGATCAGATCCCATGAGTCTTCCCAGGTGTTGATGTATGTTCCCCATGCCAGGGCCTCGTAGGCGATACGTACGGGGAATGCTACATCTGCGGCCTGGGCCAGGTCGGCTGCGAGATGCTCTCGGTCGGAGGTGATCTCAGAAGCGTCTAGAAAAGATGAAGGGATCAGGATGAAGAGTGAGTCTCCAAGAATCTTGCATAACTGCACCCAATGCTTGAGTTCGTCGATGCGTTCCGCATGCCGTTCTGGGTTAATGAGGCCTTCGTAGTGTCGGAAAGGTTGGAGAGCCACGATCTGCAGATCACGCTCAGCAGATAGATCTCGAATAGCGTGCGCTGCGTCGATCTCGTAGTCTCGATCAGTGCGGGGTGCACTGTCAGTTGCGTGGGCGCGAAGGGTCTTGGCAAGCTGCGCTACATCATCATGAAAAAGTTCAAGCCCCTGTTGGCCGTTCAGGGCGGCAGCATCAAGTTTGGCAATGATGGGGTGTAAATGCGCAGCTCCGAGACTGACTGTTGCAATAGCCGGCTTCCATCGCGAGTCAACTTCGGACTTCATGGTATTTGGAAGAGAATGCATCGCTAAAATGTTTTGGGGACCGACCTGGAACTAGCAGCCACTAGTGATCTCCGTCACACTCTTTATAGCGTGCATGACAATCTCACATCACCACACGATTTCTGTTTCCGTGCTGATCCTGTATTTTAGTGGTTCTTTTTTTAATTAAAAAAAGTAAATTGTAATGTGCGTAGTGAGTACAGAAAGTAGACCACTCACAGATAGCCCGGATTCAAATCGTACACCGTAGGGCAAGCATGTACACACATGGTCATCTCACTCGGGTCAACTACTCTCTCAAATGCGGCATATTCAGACGACATGCCGAGAATAATTAAATGGTGGAGTTTCTGGAAACGATATGCCCCGGGTTTCAGCTGTTTTCGGGGTCAGCTTACCCCATATCGCATTCGTATGTTGTAGAAACGAATTGAACACCGATGGAAACAAGGGTTCTTAAATTTATTTGCCTTGTCCAATGTTAATGTCACCGAGGGGGGCACCAGGGACTATAAGATGCAATCGAGATCCAGCCAAATAGTTCCCTCATCCTAGCCTGTGCAACTCGAAGCTGATAATTCCACACGGTATCGGTGCTTTCTTTTCTTCAGCAGCGAATATGACGATCACCACGCCATTCCATTGTCTGGTCAACCGTCTCGGCCAAATGGCCTTGAAAGAAGCATCGGAGCCGTCTCCAAAAGCCCACTTCGAGCTATTGCGAATGATCGACCAGCTCAGGTCTGCCGTGGAAACGCCGACAGAAACCGTGCTGCGTCTGATTTACCAGGTAAGGCGTTCCACAGACCAAAATCGAGTTTGTGTCCTGACTGGACTGTAGCCTCCTCAAAATGCTGCATTGCGCGTTGTCATCGATTTGGGCATCTTCGCCATGCTTGTGGAGAAGCGACACAAAAGAACGGGACTCTCAGCCGCTCAGCTGGCAGAATATACGGGCGCTGAGCAAGATTTAATTGGTACCTTTTCCTGCAATGACAGTAGTTCGTCACACATTGTGGATCGCCTAACTCAGTGAATAGTCCGACTGATGCGCGTTATGGCTTCTCTTGGGCTGTGCATCACACCGACCCCCGAGCTCTATATTGCCAATGAGAAGACGGTGGCACTGACTCAGCCGATTGGGAGAGATGGAATCCCGTGCATGTATGTTGATGAGACTTTGACCCTTGCATCTTTTGCCACCGTCACTAATTGAAACTTCGTTTAGATATGATCTTACCTTCCCAACTTTGAGCAAGCTTCCGGAGTACCTGCGCTCTCATGGCTATGCCAACCCCCAGGATTATACTCAGTCGCCTATGCAATGGGCCGTTGGACAGAGTCAGTTTGAGTGGCTTTCGAGTCACGAGGAGCAGCAGGAGCTCTTCAACTCGTACATGGCTAGCCGTCGCGAGGGTAGGCCTATGTGGTATGATATATACCCCGTCGAGCGACTGTTTGGCCATGCCGTACCATACAAAGATACGGTATTCCTGGTAGACATTGGTGGCAACCAGGGGCATGATCTGGGGAAATTCCGGCGAGAATATGGTCACCTGCCGGGCAGGGTGGTGCTGCAGGATTTACCGAAGGTGGTTGAGGGGGTCGAGGGGGAGAGCGCAGGAATCAAGGTGATGGGATACAGTTTCATGGATCCTCAGCCTGTCAAAGGTGCCCGTGTCTACTACTTCCGTTCCATCTTCCATGACTGGGATGACCAGATCAGCCGGAGGATCCTCCGAAATACGGTGTCGGCGATGGCGCCAGACTATTCTCGAATTCTCATTGTGGATTTTGTCCTGCCAGACACCGACACACCCTTGATGCAGGCTTCACTTGATATTCAGATGATGAGTATAGGAGCTGGCGTGGAACGGTCGGAGCGACAGTGGAGGGATCTCTTGAATAGTGCCGGGCTGGAAATCACGGGAATTTGGAACCAAAACCCGGCGATGGAGTCGGTGATTGAAGCAGTTCCGATGTCAAAATAGAACAGATAGTGAAGAAATTTGAGCAGGTTGGGTATTTGAATTTCAAAAAGATAAAACAAGCGGATGGAAGGCTAGATAGAAAGAGAGAACATTGAAGACAAAATACAGGCAGAAATATAAAAAGGCGAAAGAAATCTATTTTGGAAAGAGTTAACAAGACACAAGACTCAATGACTGTATGTGGCGCCTGAACGGGCTGCGTCTTCAACAACCACCGTTCCTCTGAAATACAATCTGTGAGAGTCCAGTTGCTTCTCAAATGTGGCCCTGTACCTCTCATTCTTCATCAATCCTCCTGCCAGTACCAACACAGAGGCCTCACTTGGCTGATAGCCAGTGGCTTGAGGTTTCACCAAGCGACCAAGAGTCTCGCCAACAAGCAAAGCCACCTGAGAACTCACGATAGCTGCTGCAGTTTCATTTTTGTCCACCAAGTCAAGAACAACCGGTGCGATACTAGCAATACGGGCCTTCAAACCCTGCGAATAGTTCTGAGCCAGAATAATGTTTAACATGTCGATACTGGCTCTCTCAGAGATCTGACATCCAAGTTTCTCCGCAACCGCCTTAGAAAGTTCATCGCCTCCAGTTTCGTCGAGTCCCAATGTAATATTCTCGAAGACTCCCAGGGTGTGTTGGATGGCTTTCATACCAATTGCGTAGCCACCTCCCTGATCACCGAGCATATGACCCCAGCCTCCAGAACGGGCAGAACGAGCGTACTTTTGTTGATCGTCAGACCATTTGTATCTCATGGCAACACTTCCCGTGCCTGCGATCACCACCAGGACGGAGGGTGTACCGAGGGATTTTGGAACACCTGCAGTCAACAGATCTACGTCGTTGGTTAACTGGAGTTCCTTTTCGTTGGTGATTCCGAACGCTTGTCTCAGCTTGGGTGCTAGCACCCCCTCCAGGTCAGCTCGGTCAATACCAGCCAGTCCGATCCAGACAGAGCTGAAGGATGTTTGCAGACGTTCCTTCCACGAAGACTCTGTTTGTTCCACATCACTTTGCAGCGCGTCTTTCAAAGCAGCCTTAGCAGCGTCTAGTAATGTGGCTATAACCCCGTCTATATTTCCAATGCTGTCGGTTCTGAAGAATGTTAGCATCGATAAGCAAAGCATAAACCTAGAACGAGAAAAGACCATACAGATTGCATGGGCCAGCAGAGCCCTGGCCCACAACGTTCGTACCGTCGGCCACAACAGCAGCACACTTGGTACCGCCGCCGTCAATGCATAAGGAAAACTTTTGAGTGGGGGCACTTGCGGGCTTCTGTTCGATGGGCCTAGAGATGGCAGCCAGCGCCTTGGCCAATACTCCGCCCGCAGCGTCGACATATCCCTGACAAGTCTCGACCGACTCCCCGGTTTCTGCAACCAAGATAGCGAGCTTGACACTGGCATTGCATCTTGCAAGAAGAGCGTCCAATTCCGCGTCGGACGAGGACTGACACTTTCCACTCAACCTCCGCAGAATATTACGGGATCTTTGCTCGAGTTTCAAATTCGACGCCACGAGATCAACCATCTTTAACTCCAGCATTAGCTGTTGTAGAACACGCTGGGAGGAATTACAACCATACCATGTTTCCGTAAGTCTTTCCGGTGCGAATCATAGTACCGGTACTCAGCATATTCAACACTAGCTTCGTGACAGTACCCGCCTTCAGACGGGTGCTACCAGTGACCACTTCAGGCCCCGATATGGGTGAAATGACAAAGTCCACATTCCCCGAAAGCCCAATCACCGAAGGAACTGTACAAACAACCGCGATGGTCACACATCCGAGACGTTTGGCAAAAGCAAGACAACCAAGCACATAAGGCGTGCGACCCGAGCTTGCAATTCCAATGACACTATCAAGCTCGGGATTCAGATTGAGAGATTCCATCTCATCCTCACCGGCTTTCTCATCATCCTCAGCTCCCTCCTGAGCCGATCGGATTGCGGCATCTCCACCAGCAATCAGACCGACGAACTGCCCGCGAGGGGCGGCGAAGGTTGGGGGAATTTCCGATGCGTCCAAGATTCCAAGCCTAGAATTTTCTGTTTAATTTTCTGTTTAATAACCAAGAGACCAGGATTTCACATGACTCACCTTCCACTGGTGCCAGCGCCGACATAAATTACCCGGCCGCCTTGTCGAACTCGCGGGGTCAATGCGTCAATGGCTCCTGCGATAACGGGCAAGCAAGGAACAACACTCTCGGGGACTTTTTGATCGTCGGCATTGATCACAGTGCACATGTCAAGTGTCGACATGCGATCAATATGCACAGTTCGGGGATTGACCCCCTCCGTTTGGAGTTGAGATAGACTCCCGAGATCCATTATGCAGGGTGTTTTGGGATGATCACTTGGAAGGTGACAAGCTTGACGCCGTTTCTTGTCAGGGGTTTTAATGTATTTTTCTTCGCGAATCACGGACCAGACTATGCGGGAAAGGGGGCTTTTTAGACGATTTGGGAGGCGAAGCTGGATCCATTTCGAGTTGGCGCTATGCAAGCCGAGTGCCTAATATCGCCCCATTTCCCGAGGCGGATTCCGATGCGGGAACTGACAGAATTCTGTACGTAAAGCGAAGAGGAGGTCCTTGTTCCACAGACATCCCGCGGTCTGATCAAATGGGGGGCCGTTACAAAGTAGAGTTACAACGAAGGGATCCTGACCCCGTGGGATTGGACCGTTTAGCAAGCGACATGAGTGGATCACTTCTCCAGACTTTTCCCAGAAAGGAATCGGAAGGAGCCGATATGGAAGATACAGTGGAGTTATCCCCTAACAGGATTCGTCGAGAAAGAAGGTCGTGTGATAAGGAACTACATCCCCAATCTAAAGATAATGGGGTCCACTTTGGCTGCTACTTCACAGGAGATACCTAAAGATACACCATAAGATACCCATATTATACCCACGACCCCTGTCCTCGCGTGCAACCCAAGCCCCGTATCGCGTGGGGCCCCGGACTCGAATAAGCTGACCCACAGTAGTCCGGCCTAGGGGGATATCGGCAATGCCGGGGTTCTGTCACATAAGACCCCAGTCCCCTCCCCGGACTTCTGGTTTCGTACGCACAATATGTCCAACGAAACGGTCGAAGAAGGGCATGTCGCCGCAGGCACTGGACACAATGAAAACCGCTCGACCTTGTACAAGATATGGACGAATTCTTGGTTTCAGATCATCTTAATCAGTTTCATATGCTTCTGCTGCCCAGGAGTGAGTTTGGCAAAGGCTATTATTCAAATCCAGTGAATTGACAATGGCATTAGATGTACAATGCCCTCAGCGGGCTGGGAGGTTCCGGTCAGGTTGACCAGACCGTCGCTGCGAATGCTAATGTTGCTCTCCTGGCTTGTACTGCGGGAACTGCTCTTTTCGTCGTCGGCCCTATATTCGATCGTGTTGGACCCAGAGTTTGTCTCTTGCTTGGAGGATGGACCTATGCATTGTATTCCGGCAGTCTCCTGTGTTTCAACGGTATCTCCAGCTGCAAAGCCACCGCGTGTTTTGCCCACATCTAATCTGTACTCCAACAGCAACCAATAACGGCGGATTCGTGATCGGCTCTGGTGCCATTCTCGGTGTAGGGGCATCTTTCTTGTGGGTTGCACAGGGTGCGATTATGACGACCTACGTTCCCGAGTCACAGAAGGGTCGCGCAATCGCAGCTTTCTGGATTATCTTCAATCTTGGCGGTGGCGTCGGGTCTCTCGCTAGCTTCGGCCTCAACTTTAAATCGACGACCGGAACTGTCAGCGACGCAACATATATTGCTTTGCTTACCATCATGGCCTTCGGATGGGCGCTGGGGACTCTCATCTGTCCACCATCGTATGTTAGAGTTGCCCAGATGGAGGTCACACCGGAGAGCGAGAAGAACTTCCGTCAGATTCTTCGCCATTCCCTCCAGACTATCTGTAACTGGCGGGTGTTGTGTATGCTGCCCCTCTTCTTCTCGGCCAACGTGTTCTACTCCTACCAGCAGAATGCTGTGAACGGTATGAACTTCAATATCCGGACTCGTTCGCTCAACGGTTCGCTTTACTGGATTGCGCAGATGCTGGGTGGTCTCGTCATGGGTCTCATTCTCGATATTCCAGGTGTCAGTCGACCCAACCGCGCTCGCATCGCTTGGGCGTTCTTGTTTGTCACTGGAATGGCCATCTGGGGTGGAGGTTATAAGTTCCAAGTGTGGTCTGATCTCCGTCTGGAGCAGGGCCTGAAGCAGGATATCGATTACACAGACGCTGATATCTCAGTGGGCCCGATGTTCCTCTACATCTTCTATGGCGCCTATGATGCGTTGTGGCAATCATTCTGCTACTGGCTTGTTGGTGCCCAGTCCAATTCCCCAGCCACAGCAGCCGTTCTGGTTGGAGCGTACAAGACCTTCCAGAGCACTGGTGGTGCAATGGCGTGGCGCATCAACGCCATGGAGAAACCCGCAATGACCCAATTCGCTATGAACTGGGGGCTTTGCATGGGCTCGTTGGTTGTCGCTATCCCGACCGTGCTGGCTATCACTCTCACCAGTGATAAAGAAGCAATAGCAGTTAATGAGAAGGACTTCCCAGGCGCGGAGGAGCCCCGGGGAGAGGTGGTGAAGACTTGATTTTTCCCCATGCCAATCTCATGTTAGGGAAAAGTGCGGAATCTTTGCCGTCGATGAAGGATATATGTATAGTAGAAGAATGAAAAAGAAAACTTCGGAAAAAATTGACAGCATTCAGATGCTCGCAGATTATGATCAGCGAGATATCGTGAGGGATATATACACGGCATGTCCTAACAGAAAACTTGGGGATCGTTGTATGCCAACAAATCCCGTCTCTCGGCGGCTAGAGGTCCTCCACTCTACCTTACCGGACGCACTTCTTCAGCACAGCGGTTTCCAGCAGCAACTTAGTATACTGGCGGTGTGCCCAAGCCACCTTTTCATCCATAGGTGCAGCTTCCGCCTTTCCGAGACCCTGATAGAAACAGCTCTTCAGACTGAATTCGGCCACGCCTTGGTCTCGCTTGACCACAGCAGCGATTTCGAAGAGGCCATCGGAGGGACGGACTTCACGGATGCGTGGGGAGTCACCGCAGCGAACAACAATACGGTCTTCGGTCTTCTCGACGACTTCAAAGTGGTCGGTAATGAGGGTTCCTACTTCGTATTTGTTTTCGAGGAGATCCGATCGGTCCCAGAGGTGGTCGGCAGTCTCGGGGCCACGGTACTTTCGTTCAAGAAAGGCTCGTTGAGGAATGTATCCTGGAGAAAGAATAAACATGTTAGAGTTCGTGGCATTGCGACGCGGCTGGTTCCCCCAGCGTAGAACTTACCCATGCCACCCCAGACGCCGGCACAGAACGCTTCCACAAGTTTGCCCTTCTCCTCGACCAGTGAGGGCTGGATCTTGTCTAGCGGGATCCGACGAACGCAGACATCGTGAAGAGTTGGGTTGCCACTCGGGTTGAACTTTTTGTAAAAGGCCGATTGGAAGATAGGATCGGAGCTGTCCATGACCTCGAAAATGTCATTGCGTGTGGCGCCCCAGAAGACGCCGACCGAGGCAATACTGCCGGCGACGGTCGTCTTGACCAATTTGCTGAAAATACCCATGGTTGAGGGGGGAGAGGGGGGTTGGAAGTAGGTGAGGAGTAACGAGAGGGGAGCGAGAGCTTGGAGCCAGAGCTCTCGGGGAAAGCTCCGACCGCCAAGACCAACCTTGGAAGGCCCTCGGGCCATCTCCACTGGATTTCCACGTCTACAATGGTTTCTGGCAACCACCACGACCACTGGCTTTTGCGCAGCAGAAAATAATGTACCCAGATATGAGTTTAACAATTCCTATGCCGATTGAACAAGATTGGTTGATGTCAATATAAGACTACCACCTAGTGCTGGCCGATCTCTAGCATATGGTAAGGTCGGATACGATGTGACAGGTAATTCTTCTTAACCTTCTACATATGTAGCTATAGCACTAATGAAGGGAAGAAAATATACAAGTACGTCTACGAATATACCTGAGAGTATCTAAGGAACCACTGAAAAGACCACTGAAAAGACCACTGAAAAGACCACTAGCAAGGCTGCTAAAACAAACATAAAACCATCCGATGTTATAATGACCTCAGCACCGTTGACATTTATGGAAAGCGTGATGAGCAACTCACATGACATGAGTCAAATCAACTTTGGAAGGTCAACCACCTACAGTACTCCGTACCAACACGAACATCCCATCTCAGAATGGACCTTCCATTACTACAGTCCAAGGATCGTCTGCTCGGCAAATATCAATGCCATTTGATCTTCGAGAACATCCTTCAAAATTCTCCGAACCTGCAACCAACAAACTCCTCTTCGAAATATTTCCAGAAGCCCGGGCAATTGGTTTTGACGATCGAGTGCTAGTTTATCGTTTTGATGGTGATCTGCCGCCCAAGCCATGGCCTCAGCAAATTGCACATGTACCTTGCTACTTGACGAATGATCCCTACGATAATGGCCCTATGATCCCTATTCGCCACCACAGTCCTTCTCGCATTCACGTCTCCCCAACAATTAATCTGAGAGACAACGAAGCAGCAGCAAATCTGATTTTCGACTTGGTACGGGATTTCTTCACCAAAGCAAACATTCCTATCACGGAAATCCAATTCCGGGGGCACCTCATTATCATCATCTTGGAAACTGAACCAGATAATCTCGAAGTTCTATGGGCACTTCCTAAGTCGATTGCAAATTGTAATTGCTTTTACCTCTTTGAGTCGGAAATAGAGAGACCCGTCAAGCTTTCGGCCCAGCCGCCGAAGCAAATTACCCCGGCTGCTACTGATAAAACGGCTATTGATGATACGCAGAACCCGACCCTCCGGCCAGGGCTAGTTTTAAGTTCCACAAAAACCACCCAGGGAGAAGAGTTCCGAACTTCTTCCGGCGTCCTTGTTCAGGACACAAGTGGTCATAGGTACATGACAGCTGCCTCACATGGATTCCCTGAAGGGGGGACGGTTTATCATCCTACTGCCTCTAGTCTGGAAATCGGACGATCTATTTTCAAACTCACACACACTAACATTGCGCTCGTCAAACTCAACGACGGGATACAGTTTCTGAATGAGCCTTTCAGGAATAGTATCGCCCCACGTGATCCGTTCAAACTCGATAACTTCATTCGGGCGGGCGAGACAAAGATAGGCGACGACATTTTCCTTGATAGTCCATTCTCTGGCGTTATCCAAGGGTCACGAATGGCCCACTCCTCTGTTCGGATCCCCTATCCTCATGGGCCTACCGTCTGGATTCGTTGTCATTTGGTCTACCTTGGTCAAGACTCTGCCAGCGATATAGTCGACGGAGTTTGCGGCTCGGCTATTTGGGACAAGGATCATAGAGTTCTTGGATTCTTTCGTCACGCCCGCATGTCAGGGGTGTTTAAGGACCATTGTTCCATTATCGCTGCTGACCATATGCTTGATAAAGGGTACACCGTGGTTTAGTTTCGTCCTCTTCTCCTCAAAGCTCACGATGATATACGTGGTTTGAGGTCTAGACCTTTGCTATCAGATCATCGTTCAAATAACTTTCCCGGTTTGTTTCTATGTTCATTGTTTTCCCCTCGTTTCTGGTTCCTTTTATGCTAATGGCACAGGTCTCGCTATACCCTATTGCTGTACGGTCTTGTTAGGCTAGCTCTTCGTTCTACTTCTTTGCTTCCACAATCAAGTCGATGATATAGTTTGTTCTTCCAGCACATGTAGGCGAGCAGGGGCCATAGTCTACTTGTAAAGGAGCCCCGAACAGAACTCAAACATTCTCTGCTTGCTCCTCTTGTTGCTGCGTCCCTGTCATACGTATATCTTGGGAGCTCTCCTTCTCCTTCCGATTTATTGCTCGCCAAATAACAAAGATAAAGAAAAATACGAGTATATAAAAAGTGATGGAGCGATAATAGCGACATGAATCTGGATCACAATATTGACGGCAGATAGGATACAACACCACGAGAGGAGATGCCAAAAGACAAACCGTGACGCTATTAAGCACAAAATTAGAATCACGAAACAGGTGTTTGTGGCTAGGAATGGAAACGCACAAGACCGGATGCTGGTAGTACCCCATCTTTTGTAATATGAGCTCCGGCAGACCAAGAGGGACAGGGCGGACGTCCATTGCATTAGATGCAGAAGAGGGAACGGAGATTTCACCCATAACGAAATTCAGCACAGAAGCGGAGTGGAACTAAAGTCAAGCAAGTTACTGCAAAAGAAAAAGGAAAAGGAACTAAAAATTAAAAACAGCCCTCATCCCGGATCCACCTTAATGGAGTCTTAAGGGGCACGTTAGACGCCCCGAGTCCAGTTTGCATGTACTCTTAGGCAGTGGTGACATAGATTCTCCTTCCGGCATCGGAAAAAGAACTCTTGTAACGATTGTGATAGCTCCCAGGGACACAGGGTAGAGTTCCGGGAGATCTGCGAGCCTTCAAGTACATATGAATGTTACCGGGAGTGATCTTCATCACCTTGATTTCACCATTCAACAATGCCCAATTATTGGTGTAATGGCAACCAGTGTTCTATAACTCTATACGGCTGGATTGAGCTTCAATGCCCAAATAAACGACGCAACCATGGCGCAGATATCCTGATCTACCTAGGTATCAACCATGTCTGACAAACGGTAGAAAACGGAAAAAGACTCACAGCACAGATATAATAAGGAGCCTCTCCAGCAAGTGAAGTATAACCAACACTCCACTGATAAATGGGATACAAAGTCCTATACCAACCAAATTCCCCACACTTTCAAGCGAAGCAATTAGTAGAATGATCCGACTAGCGACATCATTCGTGATCTGACTTGCTAAAAAGGCAAGTAAAGACAAGTCCGTAGCGACGCCTAAGGTGCCTGAAATTATATATTTATTGGATCCCGGACTCCCTCCCATAACCCCAACCAACCAAGTTCACCGTATGATACCCAAGCACCCCTCAAATGAAGTTATTTTATCAATCATAGCCAATTATAATATTTCTAGGTATAGCAGCGAGAAGAAAATGTAGTGAAATAGGAAGGAATCCAAAAAGACACTGCAGTATTATGTTCAGTACAAAGACTGCATATAAGGGTAAAGAATGGCCAATTAAACCAGGCGTTTATGATGGGCTGTTCGTAGAGTGCTCCAATATGTCTGTATTTCTATACATACTCAAGTCAAGTAGAGGCCTCGCCGGTAAATTAGGTATGCCGGGTTAGACCTCGGCAGGGCTTCCCCGATCGGAAAACTCAACCGGCAGGGCCGATATCAGAGTGGAGGTGGGCCAGACCATACAAATTCCGAACCAGATCTATCGAGACCACGGATATAAATCCTCATTCTCCAATTCCTCACATCTCCTTTACCCATATATTGTTTGTAAAACGGTGGGTCGTCGCCTCAATTTTCTCGCCCTGCGAACCGCTGGGTCTCCAATGTTCTCTCCACAAATTGTTCCCCATATTCACGGGGCTTATTCCAAATGCGTCTATCGGGGGCTCCATCCGTCCCACTATGAGTCCAACCTTGGGAACATCGGGAGTCGCACGTGTACGCCCAAACTTCGATACCCTGCTCTAATTGGCACATACCATGGATATGCGAGATATAACCTTGGAATGAACACAATCCCATGAACTGATGATCGGCAGGCTCGTACGCTTTACAATTTTGTGACTGTTTCGACCGTTGGTCATGCCCTATGTGTACCATTGGTATACCCCAGGGGCACTCCAACCGAAGCCCCAACCGAGTAGTTGATCGGCATGAAACTTTAAGCAAGTTTATCAGCCAGGGCTCGGATATCGCGAACCCTTCTAGAATCGATCTAACCGATGACGAGATCTGGCAATCGTCCGTTCTCGACCAGTCGAGGGCTATTCTCAAGATAGGGAACATAAGCATGGAGGAACAGACCCACGTGTACAAACACAAGCAATGGCTGTTTGTTTCGAAGAAGTGATGATGTGCTACGGCCTACGAAAGATATAAAATCCCTGGCATCCGTCCATTCGATTCTTTTCATCAAGTAGATCCGAAATCGTTTCTTTATACCATCATCTTCAGTTCATTGCGAACTTCCCTCGCTGTGCGAGCTTCGTTGACCGACAATCTTTCATTTCTCAATATTCCATTACTTCTTTTCAGTCTCTTCACAATGAGAACCTCATTTGCCGCACTTGCTCTCGCTCTTTCCGGCTCTGCCGTGGGTGCTCCGTTCTCTAGCGGCACTCACATTGCATCCAACTCTTCTGTCGCGTCGACTCCGGTTCATTTGTCAACCGATCGGCCTCTCCCCAGCATTTTTAATGCATTCAGCACTGAGGCACCATCGTCATCTGCCACTCCGTCTTCTGGATCTAGGCCTTTGACCTCGGCGCCTGTACCCAGTAGAAGTGGTGCGAAGCGCGGAGAGGCCATCTCCATCCCGACGGACCTCCCGTCCTTGGCTTCCGATGCTCAATCAGCGGCTGCAGCTCTCGCTTCTCTCGGTGCTGGCGCCCAGAAGCGTGGCGGATCTCTCTCGATTCCCACAGACCTTCCGTCTCTTCTAGCTGATGCCCAATCCATCGGCAGCGCTATCGCCTCTGCAGGTGCCCGGAAGCGCGGCGAGTCGCTCTCCATCCCTACCGATCTTCCCTCATTGCTTTCTGATGCTCAGTCGGCTGCGGCTGCGTTGGCCTCCGCTGGGGCTCAGAAGCGCGGCGAGTCTCTCTCAATTCCTACAGACCTGCCGTCTCTTCTAGCAGATGCCCAATCTATCGGCAGTGCTATTGCCTCTGCGGGTGCCCAGAAACGCGCCGACGAGAGTCTTCCTCTCTTGACCCCCACTGCCACCCCCACTCCGACCGCTCCATTTGGAACTGGCTTGCCTAAGCCTTTCGGCACTCATTTCGCTTCGTCATCTGTGGCTGCTTCCTCTTCTGGTGTTGCCTCTCCTCCCGGCTATGCTTCTTCATCCGGTATTACGTCGTCATCTGTCCGTCCTCTGGTCTGAAGGCTGGTCATTGCTTTTCACAATGGTTGCCAGCTCTGTGAACCGTGGCAGTTGACCATTGTTCAGTTTTGAGATTATGAGGTTCTTCCAGAGATTGTTCTAACCGTCGCTCGTTAATCATCGCTCGTTTGAATTGGGGTACCTTTATGATTGATGTTATTGTTAGTTCGGACCAGAATGTACTGTTAGAAGATCAATTGAAATCTCAGTATATTTTGAGCTCACATGGGAGAATTCCAGATTAATATCCTCAAGTCAATAGAAAGTTCGACTTTGTACGGAATGTCGAATATGTGCTCCCGTGCTCCACATCGTTTGAAGTCGATCGGGGTCTTGTTGAGGACTAATCCGCCCCACGTGTGGATACAGGCACAGACGGCACAGCCACAACAAAATCCGATTCTCCCCTTCTTCGTCATGTTCAAGCTCGTTTTTCTTGGCTTTGGGATTCTTTTCATCCGGTTTTGCGGGCTTTAGTAGTGGTTTCTTTTCCCTTCTCTTTGAACCTTTGCCTCTCACCCCCTTTGTGGAATCATGGCCTGTTGTGTTTGCAGCAGAGTCTTGTTGAGTGGTTGAAACTTGATTTGGAAATGCGCTTCGATTGTATCAAACACATTGTCCGCCTTCGGGACCTCATCCAGCATGTCCGGTAGCGACGGGGTAGGGCGCTGGGCACGACATATCGGTGAGTGGTTGTTGTCGGTTGACGCCCCTTTTCCTTTTGCATTCCGTTCAGCCTCACAGAGGTATACGAGTATACGCTAATAGAGATGTAAACTAGGTCGTTTCGTCCCGTTTCGTTTGCCCCTAGTCCGCCCTCAACCTCGAGGTTGGCGCCCAGTGGCTCTGCGCCCGCCATACCTGATCTCCCTAATATGTTTGATGTTAACGATGCTGCTGACCCTGGAAGGGTTGCGGCAGTATAGCGGTCGCGAAGGGGGTTTGGTCTTTTTTAGCTACACCGAAGATGTCAACGCCGCCCAATCTTTTGCCTACAATTACCTCCCTATCATCATCTCCCTCGTGCTCGTCTTAGTATGGACCGTGACCGATTTCGATGTCCTCCGCCTGGAACCATACTTTCAGTTGTCCCGACCCGAGGGAGCGCCGGCTACCGTCCTCTTCATCAACTACAACTTCGGTCAAACTATTATCACTCCGATCAATGCCGCAATCCGCCGCCACTGGGTCGTATTCTGGGTTTCCTTTGTCACGCTCTCGATCCGAATGATTCTCCCCGCTCTACAAAGTACGGTACTGGAGCTGCGCGAGGTGACGGTGGTGGACGACAGAACCATAAAAAGCTGGCCCGACCTGGTGGATTTGAGAACACAAGCGAGCTGGATCGCAACGCAAGCCGATGGCGACATTATCTTCTCAGATGATCTATTGGGCCGTTCCCGATCCTCCAGATACGCCTTGGCGCCCGTGGAGATACCCGATAGTCACCAAGACGAGAGTACAACCTGGACTGTTGATCAGACGTTGTATTGGGCTCAGCTTTCCTGCCAGAATGTTTCTGTTGGGGACAAGCTCAACGTTGCTATCCAGGACCCCCAGTCGGAATATCCAACAATTTCATGGAGCGCCAGTGGTATTGATTTCCATGATGCACACGGATCCGCCAAATGCGCCCTTGATTTTCAATACGAGAGTGTCTTCTTTCCTACCACTGATTTCCTGCAAGTACGTTATTGGGAGCCGATGATCGGGACTGCTGCCAAAGAATCATTTCCGGATCGAACCCAGGCCTTTATCGAATTTGGCTGCAGCCCTTATGATTTGTATGGTATGCTCATCGGAGTCAATATGACCAATCCAATCTCGACTTCGACGTCGACCGAGTACTCCGCGTCCGGTATGGCCTTTGCCTGTGATATCATATATAATAAAGCGGAGGCTCGTGTGGCTATGCACTCCAACAGCTCCATCATATCTATTGATGTCGATCGAGCAACCACCCGCGCGCTCACAGCAGCAGAGTTCAACATTGAACATTTCCAAGCTCTGCTTTCTCAACGGGCTCCGTTCACCAGTGACATGCTCTTCATTAGTGAAAATGCTACCACGGGGGCTCGCACAGTAACTGAACTCCCTATTATCAGCCAGGAAATAGGAGATCTCCAGCCTGTCCTGGTGCTCGACACATCCACAGTGATGACAGAGACCGACTTTGAATCCAAGATTGCCCGGGATGTCAAACAGACTTTCGTGCTCACATTCAGTCGCTTGTTTGATCCCGACAGTGCACCAAGTATTCTCGCCGCTGAGCGCCTGTCGAACCAAGTTGCTATTGCGGTTGTTGACTTCGCGGCCCTTTGGTCTGAGCTCATTCTTGCCCTGGCCACTTTGACTGCGGTGTACCTCCTTTACATGTATAGTTCGCGTGAACTGTTCCTCCAAAGTGACCCGGGATCCATCGGTGCCATGTGCAGTATTGCCGCTGATATATTTCACCCGTCCAACATCCTTGCAGCGCCAGTGGCGGAATTTCATCAATTCTCTACTCGGCAACTTCGTCGTATCTTCAAAAATGCTCGGTGTTACTGGCGTCCAGGCCCTTCCGGCAACAGGCTGGAAATTCTCGCTGAAGATGGTTTGTGCCGCCCCTGTTCTTCGAATCCTATTCATCGTCGAGAGCTATAACTGACAGTGTCATCAGGCTCCCCTGTCCAGCTTGCAGAGAACCTCCGAACCCGTGTTGATCCGATGCCTCACTTTCTCCTGATTCCTTTTTTCCTTATTGAATTCTTAGCGCTAGCGGGAGTGATCATCCTCATTGGACTAGTGGTCTCATCTTTGCTTCGAAACGGCCGCTTCAGCCACCTAACCCAGTCCGACTCGAGCTCGTTCCAGATTGTCCTTTCCTTCCTGCCCTCCCTCGTCGCATCGTCCGTCGGCGCTCTATGTACCTCCATTCACCGAAACCTCACCGTTTTGGAGCCTTGGGTCCACCTGCAACGCGGCAACGCCTCGGCAAGGACATCGCTGTTACTGAACTATTCGTCCCAAAGTCCACTCGCCATTTTCTTCAAGTCCGTACGCAACGGGCAACCATTGCTGGGCCTCGTCTCAGTTGCGTGCGTTGTTAACATGGCTTTAACTGTTGTTGCGGGTGCGCTTTTCACTCAGAAATTGACGACCTCAACATTGGATACCAGTGATTTATCAATGAACTATAGCCAGTCTATACTTTGGGGGAGTGACTTCGCCGAGGAATTCACCGAGTATGGTTTGATTCAGAGCAGCATCAGCAGCGGAGTCCCCATGCTGTCTTGGACTGGCCCATATCAGTCTTTCGTCCCAGTACACGTGACGGATCGCAACCCAGATGTGACTTATGGCGCCTCAACGCTTGGTGTTGGAACTGAGCTCAAATGCGAGCCTCTTTCATCCGACGCTCTTGTCCATGATACACGCGATGGTCATCAACATTGGCGATATGAACTATTTGGCAACTCTTCTATAGAATGCATGGCGCGCATGCCACTCTTGAAGAGCAAACAGGAAGGTATCTCGCTATCTATTCACTTTCTGTCCCCAGATGATGACGAGGAATCCGACATCTGCCAGACGTCGACCGTTCTAGTTGTCGGCCGTTGGGATTATTTGCCGGACACCCCAATCACGGATAACAACACGATTGCATTGCATTGTGAACCCCAGGCAACGTTGCAAAGCTACTCTATCTCTTTCGACCAGAAGGGACAGATCAGTCGGCATGACCCTGTTCCCAATACATCTATCACCCATGGAACCATGTACGACAATGCAACCGTGAGTCTCGGTCAGTTCAACAAAGTCTTTGCGGCCATTCCTAGCAGCTTTGTGGGCAATACTAGCATGCAAAACGGGACATACAACATTTCTTCCTATGATTGGGCAGGCTTCCTTGTTGCCCGGCTCTACGAACGCGAAGACCCTGAATTTGACGCCCTCGACGCCGATCTTCTGTCCGACATGACTCGCACCGTATATCAATGGGTCTATAGCACCTACTTCTCAATTTGGCGCGATATTTATCTCGAACCTCTTGATGACCCGGTCCCGGCCACAAATGCAACCATTACCCGCGTTACCTGGCGCATGGTTCCGTCCGGTCCATCACTTGCCATCGCTCTAGCCATCATTGCCTTCGACGCGATTGTTGTGCTTTTAGTGTTCGGAACGCGACGCGGCCGATTCCGGGGACCCCGCATGCCGCGCTCCATTGGAGCCGTCATCCCCTGGATTTCGCACAGCCAAATGCTTCATGATTTTACAAATACACACAGCTGGAGCAGTGCTGAACGGCATGCTCACCTTGTATCCCTGAACAAACGCTACGCTTTCCGCATGTTCATGGGCGCCGATAACCGTTGGAGGTTCGCCGTTGACCAGGAACCAGAGAATATCAAACCTCCTGATGCCCCGGACAGCGAGACAGCAGTTGAGGTGGATAAGACCACCTCAATTCAGCTACAGGAGATCCGAAGATCACCCTCTCCTACTCGACCCTGACGACCCTGCCTTTATGTGCTACGAATTTTCTTGTGATTTGGATACGCTATATTATGTTTCGCGGGTATATATTCATTTGGACATGGGCGTTTTTAACTTTGATAACCCTCCCCAGATAGACAGTTGGACAAGCAAGCTGGCCCTCGCTTTGTTCACTTGCATTTTGGACGTCATGAGAGGAGACGTCGCATTGGTGCATTGTAAAAGATATCCGGAACCGTGTGTATATCCTCTGGAGCGCCCTTTTCCCATAGTCTCGTATTTGGGCTTCGTTGAGGGTTGCCGATGTGGAGAGACGGTGTCGTATGACACCTGCATGGGAAAGATCTTTGGCAGGCAAGAAATTTACATTCATATATATCACCATATGTCGAACATGTTGCCCGAGTCCTACTTCCTCTATAATCGACGCCGAGAAAGGTTAAGCGAGACAAAAAGGGTATATATAGTATATGGCACTACGGATACGGATGATTCAAATAAGAGCCTCATTTTGGTGAGATTAAGTACAACCTTCATTGTCCCGAGGTCTAGCTTCTATAGTGAACCTTAAATCATAGAGCTGAAACCAAATCAAGTGTCGAATTTAGTATTCTACCGTGCGGCTCTGAGTCGACCATCAACCGCCCGAAGAAGAACGTAAAGTGTCTCCAAAAAGGGTGCTTGGATGCCGAGTTCTCGAGATTTCCGGACTGGGAAGCCCAAGATAACATCGATCTCCATTGGCCGTCCACTTTTACAATCCGTCTGCATGCTGCTTCCAATCCCAGGCATGGCATTGATCTTGTCCATAAGCTGGTCAATCAGATCATCTTTCAGCGGTACACCACAGCCACGAGCGATGTTGATGACCTCCTGCATCAATTGGCGTGTGAAAGGTGTCGCATCTTCTGAAGACTTCAACCACGACTGTGTATCCACCATCGTGAGGGTCGTCAACGAGTTCCATGCTACGTTCCAAACCACCTTCTCCCATCGCTGGATCTGCATATCTTCAAGGACCTGGAACCGAGTCTTGCCATTGCGGAGGAGATCGGCAAATGCATCAAGTCGCTGTTGCTCGACTTGGCTTTCGACCTTGGGGTTGGGGAATACGCCGATCTGCATATCCTCGGATTTGGTGTGCGCGACAATCCCAGGACTTGTCTGTGTGGCCCCTACCCACGTCTGTTGGAGTTAGGATGAGACTGTAATTGACGATATGAAGGGAACGTACCACACAGGTTATGATCGAGTTATCGGGGAACCGCTTTCGGAATGGTTCCTCGTTACCAACACCATTCTGGATGACTACAATGGTAGTCCTGCTGTCGATGGCTGGCTGTAGCTGAGCTGCTACCTCATCCTGATCGATTGCCTTGTGAGCGCACACGATGTAGTCGACTGGCGAAATTTCCGAGACAGATTTTACCACTAGTTGGGTTATCAGCAAGATTTTTTGGTTTGGATCGTGGATATCTGACATACCTCGGTGTGGATGAAAGGTATGCTGGCCATGATTTTGGCTATTGAGAGTAATTCCCTTTCGGAGCCCAGATATTAATACTGGAATAGCCTAATATAGCACATCAAAATACTCACATTTGCTCGAACAGCTTCATAGTTTGAACGTGCCACGACAGTCAGTCGCACACGATCGGAGCGACTCAGTATGAAGGCATAGAAGGAGCCAATCCTATAGAAAAAGTCAGTATAATACCATTTTTGTGAAAGAGGCCGAACTCACGCCCCCAAGCCATAGACGAGGACATCAGTCTGGTCTGCCATTTCGCGAGGATCAAATGCGTATGCAAGACACGAAGTGTATGGTGTATTCCTTTTGAGACTCGACTTAGGTTCCCCGCATCGGAGGATGGCCGCGTGGGGGTGGACTCTCCACGGACAATTAGGGGGAATTTGGGATGAGGTAGTATTCTTGGCGTTTGATATTCAAGCGAAAGGGCCTGGTAAGCGATTGATCTAATTTATAGCTTTACGCTAGCTATCAAGTGTTTCTCCAACCGACTGGTATTCACCATTTCGGGTCTCAACTCTTCCAGACTGCTCACTCCTAGAAAGACCATATTTGTTTCAATCTCCTGTCGCAGAATCTCAATCATCCGTCGCACTCCCTTCTCGCCATATCCGGACAGACTGAACAAAAATGGTCTGCCCAATCCCACAGCAGTTGCTCCTAGTGCAATGGCCTTGAGTACATCTGTTCCTCGGCGAATGCCACCATCAATAAAGATCTGCATCTTGCTCTCAATCAAGTGAGGCGCGAACTTTCGAATCTCCAGTAGTGTTAGAAGAGGTGATTGTGCCCTGTTTATACACGTTAGTATACCACTAGCCTGGGAAATGGGTGATAGTCGGGAGATATCATACGTGTCTTGCGAGCGTCCTCCATGATTCGAGAGCACGATGCCTTGCACACCATGCTGGTAGGCGAGCACTGCATCCTCCACACATTGGATTCCCTTGATGACAACAGGGAGATCTGTTAGTTGACGAAGCCATGTGAGAATCTCCCAGTCGATGAATGGAGATATCGAGCTGGCCATGATCTTCGCTACGCCCTGTCCTTCCGTGTTATTGTCGGTAGCCTGAAACACGTTAGTAAATACAATAACAGCCCAATGGTATCTACCGGGCAGAGTCCATACCGTCACTCTCAAATTCAGCCGTTCGTCCATCTCGCGTTTCCCCACCATGGGCGAGTCGACCGTAATCCAAATAGCACTAGCACCAGCTCTTTCAGCTCGCCGTACAGTCTCAACAGACTTTTTGATATCTTTGTTGACATATAATTGTTGGAAAATAGGCTGGTTCGGTGAGGTGCGACTCTTCATCACTTGTTCAATCGGCATGCTGGATCCGTTTGCGAGAACTTGGACCAGTCCGTCCTTACCAGCTGCAGCTGCCAGCGCACACTCACCCTGTGGATGGGCAAGTTTTGCAAGACCCACTGGAGAGATATAGACAGGTAGCGTGGTAGAGTACCCTAAGATTGCGGTGGTCGTATTGACAGCCGGGATCTTTCGCAGGATACGTGGACGCAGGGAAATCTTTTGATATGCCAGGGCATTATTCCGTTTGCTGATCTCATCGTCTGCACCGGATGAATAATAGGCCCATGTTGTAGCAGGCAGCCTCTGAGCAAGGTGTTCAAAATCATGTAGATTGATCAGACTTTGCAATGGTGGGAGACCACCGTCGGCTGGTTTTGATTGCTTCTCATTCATCGCATCTTGTTTTTCTTTTGCCGTGTCAAATTCAGCAGCATCAATATGGCCTTGGAGGGCAGTCTCAGGGAGTGCTTCACTCAACAGCTCCAGCGAATGAACCGAGTCGAAATCGTCAGTCGCGTCTTTACCCGCACATCGCAAAATAACAGCTGCACCACCTGGGTGGGAGTCCAAAAAGTCTTCAGAAGTTAGCCTGGGGTCGTAGGGCCTTCAGGGATTATGGTTTCCCTACCTGTGACATCGTACACAGCCCCATGGATGGCCACCCAACACGATTCCTGATTGTTATGTCGGTTGATTTCCTGGCGAGTGAGTTTCATTATGAATATTGCTATATTTGCCAACTGCAACTGGCAGATTCTCATCATAAAATGGCCGCACTGCTTATCCCGCGCTCAACCCCGTTGACGATCCCGGAATCCACCCGAGCGTGGGGGTTCACGGCCCCAAGCTCTGGAGATGGGCCAATTTCTCCGGCTTTTTACCCCCAGCCTTTAATGCGGGGAATTTGGGATGGTGGGGAGCCAACCCACGCTCCCGATGTATAGACAAAATCAATTTTATTCGACTTTTTCTGAGGAAGAAATGGCGTTTGTTTTTGACCCTTGAGGTGGCCCGCATCGGAGAATGGGTGTTAGGGGTTGGTATATGTAGCTTTGCATTTCGTACATACTGTATATAAATGCATCTACTCATTACCTGTACGAATAATTGGCACTGATAAAATTTCTTCATTTGAAATTATCATAAACCTCAGGACCGCCGTCCTAGATTTTGGTGGACCAGGTCACCTTGATAAATCCATGGACTTAGCCTCGCCCCTACGAGTCTTTCTTTGATGTCCCCGAGGAAGTAGAAATGCATTCATGTAAGAGAAAGTTATCAGTAGAGAATTCGAATTTATGATCAGCGAAAATACTTTGACAAACACGAGCGAAGTAGTGTGAGTACCCGATCATCCATCATGGATAAACTGGGACATGCCGGTGACACCAAAGATCGATGCTCAGGATTGAGCGATGTCACTTGCTCTCCACCGAAGTCTACAACCGTCTCAAAGTCACTTTCCCAGTCATTCCCACTCATGCGAGCTTGAAATTGGTGTAACACATATCAACCGCTTGGGCGTCAAAGACTGCCCCAAACAGATGCCCGATATGATGTTCGATTCTCCAATGAATGCCCGCCTCATCGGCGACGAATGACTTTGTGGCCGTCAGGTTACGGCATACCAGGTCGAATTGGATCGCCACTCTACCCCCGAAGGTCCAGTGCTGCGAATTATGCGTAGCTTCGGCTTGGCTCGCAAAGTTAAGCCATAGTCGAAAAGGGGCCCCTAAAGTTGATTACATGTCTTAGGCTCGAGGTTGTTCTCTTGGCGATAACTCGGAGATGAGGGAGAGGAGATTCGACGGTGGTACATGGAACCAGTGGGTTTAGCATATGTGTTCTGGTGCCTTCTCTACCAAATCTCTACCAGACAGTGATGAGCATACACAACTAATGTTAGTACCTCTAGGCCACAAGGTCTTACTCACAGGGTGTGTAGATAGTACGGTGGTTAAATCTTCATTGAAGGCGAGGACTGAAAAGGTTGGCTTTTAGAGGTCCCATGTCTGGCAATGCGTCTGAAGAAGGGTTTCGGGGATAGAGGATGTTGTGCCTTCCGGAATTTAACAGCCAAATGGAAATCGACCGGAGGGTCCAAATAACACTACTGCACTCACTGAACACATGGCCATTCTCAGCAAACGGCAGGCTGTTCCAGATACCAAATACCTGTTCTCATGTAACCTTCTCCAGAAGAAGGATCCCCCTTCGGGGAACTTTGCCGAGCAGATTATGTCACTGGAGAACACAAGGTCGGCAAAACACTCGAGGTCACTTGGTCGAAGTTCGTACAGTCGCTCGTAGACTGTGATTTCATTCGTAGAGTCACCCACGGCAGATTTGATGGTGAGCAACTAGAGCACACTTATCGGCGATCCGCCATAAGGTCAACGCAGCTTTGCTCTCGTCACTCTCGCCAGTCGGCGAGGACATCGTGGCAGATCGAAGTAAAACTGCTGTTCAGGTTGCAGGCAATGAATAATTTAGCCTTTTGCCTTGGGGTTTATGATCCAATATCATTAGCTTGCCTCAAGTGCACAGTGGATGAAATTAGGGAGCTTAGCTTCAAGGCTTTGCTCTGATTCCTGAATGTGAACGGTAGGAAAGAACTCAAAGATATGATATTGTACTCTCGATGACGGTCTTGTTCGCAGCTGAAGGGGAGGAGAAGGAGGATTCCGTTTATGGAGATTGCAAAACCCAGTCAACTTGTTGCTTGGGTAGACAGTAATCCACTTATACCTCCACCAGTTCCTTCTCGGGGCCATATCAAACTCCCCAGTTGACTTGTGCTAGTCGTGGGATGTAGCCATCCAGGAGTTACCCTCAAAGTATCGGGATGCACTGTGTAGAGGAACTCACGGCCCTTGAGCTGCATCAGTGCCAGAATGGTCATGGCATACAGCTGGCTAACAGGAAAGCAAACTTTAGACTGATAGGGGTCGGAAAGCCAGATGAAGATGGATTCGATTCGATAGTGTCCGAAAAGTTCGACGCCTGTCGAATGCGCCTAGCGGAAGAACTCGAGAACTCTGTGCTCGTTGTCCCAGATCGCTGAGCCACAAGCTCCATCAAGTGGCTCGGTCACAGTATCTTGACCGTGGGTACACTCAATGGCAGTGAATCTAAATCTGGGTAGGTTTGTGAGGACCGTCGGAGGGAATCCGAATAGAGGTGTGGGCTAGAGCATCCCCTAACCGGTGCAGTGCAGTGATCAAGAGGATGTCAAGCATCTATGAATGGGAAGTTGAGTGAGCCATTTTGGAACACCCTGGCATGTCACCTATCAGAGAAAGTGAAATGTTTCAGGGGGTGTTGACTTGAAGGGTGAGTTTCGAGTAACATCGGAGGTAAAATTATGGAAACTACACCAGGTGGCAGGAGCGACCTCGTGATGGGCCCGGGAGGAAATGTTGACATAAGTTGGTATTAACTCCAGGGCTGCCCTGGAGGTCCATGGATGCTATGATTAAGACTCTGTCATATTCTTTTTAACGTCTTTTCACTATTCCTTCATCATGTCTTTTTAATGTCCTTTCTTTATGATCTAAAAGATGTCTCTTTAGGACGATAGAAGGATGATAACCCATATGGTACCCATATGTCAAATGAAATGTTAGTGCCCCACCTCGCTACAGCAGTTTTCCCACCAATGAACACCTCAAAGCAGGGGACACTTACATTGTTACATTGTACTGAGTACCTCCCGACGTGGGGGAACTGATACACGGCAATCAGGTTAATCGGACTTCTCCCGAGATCCCCGCGTGGGATGCGTTTTATGGTGTGGGGTTGAGTCGCGAACCTCCAGCTACGAATATAATTTGGTCGCATTCCAGATTCTGCTGCTCCAGCTCCGGGATCAGTCAATACGCGAGAATTTCATTCCATAATCCACTATGGCTAAGATCAAATCCATTGAGCACTTCCGTGTAAAGCCCCGCTGGCTGTTTGTCAAAGTCACCGATGATGAAGGGCGCTTCGGTTGGGGAGAGGGAACATTGGAAGGGCATTCTCTTGCTGTTGAAGGGGCACTCGATGAAATTATCGCTCGAATTGTGGGATACGAAGCGGAGTATGCTTGAATCCATCGTCTTGAGTCACAGCCAAAATGCTAACCGTCCCTGACAAGTGATATTCAACACATTTGGCAGACAATATGGCGGCTTGGGTTCTACCGGGGTGGTCCGGTATTTATGTCAGCTCTATCGGGGATTGACATCGCCTTGTGGGATCTGAAGGGCCGGAAGCTGGGTGTCCCGGTCCACGAGCTCCTGGGTGGAAAGGTACGCCAGAAGGTGCAGGTTTATGCCTGGATTGGAGGTGACCGACCAAGTGATGTTGAGGCTGCAGCGTGAGTTCCCCGAAATCAAAGGACAATGAAAGAAAGCGAAGTTCTAACAACTTGAGTCAATAGGAAAGAGCGAATCGCCCAAGGCCTCAAGTGCATCAAGATGAATGCAACCGAAGATGTCAACTGGCTCGACTCGCCGGCCGTTCTACAGTCCTGCGTAGAGCGATTGAAGCAGGTGAAGGCTCTGGGTCTTGATGCCGGTCTGGACTTCCACGGTCGCTTGCACAGGCCTATGGCCAAACAGCTGGCCAAGGCACTGGAACCTTACCAGCCTCTGTTCATCGAAGAGCCTTTGCTGTGCGAGCACCCCGAAGCGATCAAGCAACTCTCCGAGCATACTACGATTCCTATTGCATTCGGCGAGCGCTTATACACTAGGTGGGACATTAAGCGGTTCTTGGAGGATTCGTCGGTAGATGTTCTACAGCCTGATATTGCCCACGCAGGAGGTATCTCCGAAACTATGCGTATCTCAAACATGGCTGAAGCATACGATGTCGCTATCGCGCCTCATTGTCCTCTGGGCCCGATCGCCTTGGCAGCATCCCTCCAAGTGGCCGTGTCGATACCCAATTTTGTCATCCAAGAGATGTCGCTAGGCATGCATTACAATGTTGAAGCTGGGGATATCGATCTGAATAGCTACTTGTTGGATAAGACCGTCTTTGATATCACAGAGGGATATGTTGCTGCACCCTCTAAGCCCGGCTTGGGAATTGATATTGACGAAGACATGGTACGGAAGATCAGCAAGGAGACAGAGCCTTGGCGGTGTAAGGAGTTCTATGGACCGGATGGCTCTATTCGTGAGTGGTAATAATGACGATATTATATCGATATTCCTGTTATAAATGTGTGTTGGAATTGTTCAGCATGCGGCGCATCCACCAGAGCGGAGATGAAGCAATATCATGATCAGAATCACTAAGATACATAGCATGACTTTTTCCTAGTTTTGTTTTCTTCTTCCTGGCTTTGAGCGCCTTGTAATCTTGACTGGTAAGATGAGGATAAGGATGGCCGGCCTTTGATCCGTATGACATGCAATTTTCATCATCTCGATATACGACAACAGACGCAAGAAGTTCCCGTTATATCACGACAGGTTTAGAAAATGATGATGATAATTTCTCCATCGGCAATATAATTTATTCTTCAGAATGAGGGCCCCTGGCCTTTCCAAATAATCCGGTGCCTGGCAAATATCTTCTATTGTTTTGTATTCAATTATCATATACGGGGAGACGCCAGCACATAATGATTTTGCAAGTTCTCCTGGCATTCGCAACGCTGGGGCTTGCTGTCGACTATCCAGTCGTCTCTTTGTTCATTCCAAACGCCGACCCTCAGCCGTTGTTGGGTGAAGTGTTGGCAGCGGTTCGTATCAATAGAATTGATCCACGGATATCCAACTAATTTTAAATAGCAATCAGCAACAACTACGTACAGCATCAATTGCCCACCCAGCAACACCAATAGCACACAATGTGGCATGGGCCCTGGACTCTTTTTGACCTCAGCCCCAACTAGTGTCGAATACTTGATAAGTGCTGAAGCTGACAACGTGTGCGTTTACTCAACTCCCAACCGTTACCTCAAGCTGTACAAGATTGCTCATTGATTCCACAGATATAATCACGTTGTCTGCGTTGTGACCGATCTCCCGACGGGGGCTTATACTTGTACAGACACTGTTACAGGGAACGGGCCGGACACGCCCGGCACCAGCACTTCAACAATCGGTTGGGACCAGATAACGCTATTGCCGGTTACCATAACTTCTACTGCTGATGCAGTCTTAGCAACAGCAAATGCCGAGTCAACTGCTAAAAATGCTAGTCAAGTTCTGCCAGGTAGCCAGGCGTCACCCGCTGCCGCTGCTACCACTGCTGCTGCTGCTGCTGCTGCTACCACCATCGACGCTTCGCCCACTGCTCCTGCCACCACGGTTTCAGCATCACCAACTGCTGCTGATACCGCCATGGCCACTACCCCCGCGGCGGGTGCGGCTGTAAGGTTGAGCCCTACTAGTCTCGTATTAGCTTGTGCTGCAGCCCAGGCTCTGGTAGTATTACTACTTTGACTGAGATTGATCCCCATTTACCTACCTGCCGTTCCTTGCCTTCTAATATTCTCGACACCACCAAGAGATTGCTGCAAAACCTAGTTTAATAAGTCTTAATAATCTAATTTGTACTTGAGGACCGTTTCTAACATTTCCTGATTTCTATATAAATGGATCCATGGCAGAGATGTCATAAAATTGCAACCTATACCGATCTACGACAACTACTTTCATGCCTTTATGTCCACAAATAGAATAGATGACATAACTGCATCTCAACCCTTTGTATAAGTCATCCTCAAGTTATTCTGCAGGCTGTAGGGGGACAATATCCATGATCACATGCAAAACTGCAAAGACCCAGATACGAGTCGTCTTCGCCGATAAGAGGCGCCCCACGAGCTCCAGTTGATGGTGGAAGCGGGACTGGGATTCCATACTGCGTACAAGTGCAGGGTCCAGGTGGACAATAACCATAGCTGCAACAAAACGAACACAACCCACTGTAGTTGTTGGCTCCTGTTCCTGCAATGCAGGCCCTACTCCCACCACCCCCTCCTCCTCCGCCCCCGCCGCCGCCACCTCCTCCTCCAGCGTTTCCATTGCCAGTTCCACCTCCGCCGTTACCACCTCCACCACCGCCCCCGCCGCAAGTTCGGCTTGGAGGTGAATTTGGCGGAGTCATAGCCTGGGTAACTGTCACAGTGACGACGACAGTCGACGGAATAGCAGAGCATGGCCCAGGGGCTTTTGTTGTGCTAGGAGGAGAACTTGGCAATACGGTGCTCTTACTTGGAGATGGAGCAGCCGGGGGTACTGTACCTAACGAGGGGGTAGGTTGACATGTCTGAACACGCAGGCCCTGTGTAAAGGCAGAGAGCCCTTCTGGCTGGAGGGCATCGTCGGATCCTGATGGAAGCGTTCCGACTGCACGTCAAAGTCAAAAGGGGACTATCAGCAGTGGCTATATCTTTACTTACCATAGGCGTTGAAGTTATACAAACCACACACGCACCCGTCGATAATCTCCTTCAAACTGGTCCCTGACAGGATAGTCTTGCCGTCGCGATTGACCTCAAAGCTTTGTGCACCAACTCCCATTGGCACCTCCTTTGCACTTGCCCCGGCTGGCGCTTCGTAATTATGGACAGTCCCGCCGCTGTTGACCTGCACTGTGGCTGGGGCTGTAAGCAATGATACAACAAAGACAGAGTCGGCCATGGATTCCCAGCCATCTGGACGACCCATGAAATAGTTTCCACTGCCATTGTTCGCTGGTACCATGCAGGTATCTGTAGAGTCGCAGTTCACCCCACGTGGTGCAGGTCGGTACCAGTAGACTAACTCATCAGATGATATATGACTGTCTGGAGACGACTGGCCTGCTTTGAACGCGGCGATGTATGGTTTTGAAATGTCCAGCCATCCTCCGTGGGGCCTGTAGTTATCCGTTAGTTTGGCTCCGATTGGAAGGGTTCCACGGGTGATTTTGAAGTCCTCACATGTCATTAACCCATTTCGAGGCCCCGTCGTCAGTGTGCGGTGATCTCAAAGGACCAATATAATGAGACTCTCCATAGTCATTCCATGTCACAATCTCGATAAATCGCGGTTTCAACTCAAGAATCTCATTCCATCTGTTAAACCACAGGAGATCAGACGGGAAGTTCCAGTTTTTGCTATAGGAAACTTCAGGTCCGAAATGCGTGAAAAACCACGGGGAAACAGCTGCGCCAGAGTCAGAAAAATTAGTTCAAATTTCGATGAAAATTAAACTGACGGGCAATATAAGCCTTCCCGCCAAGAGCATCGACATATTCCTTATCCCCGTCGGCGACAGAAATACTGTGCTCTGCAGTTGGGGCTTTGTTATTTCCGTTGTTTGGCCACGCCATCCAATTCAAGAGGCCGTCAACTGGCGAGATATCTGTCCCAGTTGATGGGTGGAAATTCGGTGCGAAAAATACCGATCTTCCTACTGCTGCTCGCATTGCTGAAACATCCATTCCATCACCAGCGAACGATGAAACGAATACCTTGTCATCGACGAGAAGTTGTGCAGGTTTGCTAGCATACTGGGCAACCTTCTGGCCAACTTCGGCGGCCTGTTCAATATGCCACCAGTTGAAATCAAATGATAGAAAGACCTTCATGTCATTGTTGGCAGCTGAGTCGTATGCAAGTTGGAGTTGTTGATCAGTATAGGGATCTGTGCCAATGTTCAGAGCAAATGCATCAATGCCCAGAGACTTAGCCCGTTTCATGTCGTCATCGTAGTCCGATGCGCTGTTTCTATTGCTGACGATTCCAATCTTTTAGATAATCAATATATGTCCAACACACACAAGGCACTTGAGGGCATATTTACCATAAAGTGTGCAAAGACCAGTCGGTCCGTCGACTGTCTTTTGGCACGACGTATGCCATGATTCCCCGTAGACAGTGCATGAACTATCGTGGATAGTAAAGTAATAACACCCAAAATGAACCGTATATTCATCATGATTTGTAAATTCTCTTAGTTCACCTTGGATCAATCTTCCGGATTCTGGTTTAGGTATCCATATGTGTGTTGTGCGCGTCTCACACCTTTAAATATTCCTTTCATTCTCCAGATGACTCGGAGCTTCTCGCAGCTGACCTACGAAGTTTAATCATCAGGATGATGAGTGTGATATTTGCTAGTTATCTCTCCGAGCCCAATCAAAGCCTTACATTCAAGTAACCATGTGGTTGTTACAGAGCTTTGGGCGACATCTTCGTTGAGTGGGTATGCTATTGCCCACAAGTTCTCGTTATTGCGCGGTTTTCCGCTTCAATTAGGTACAGGGCGGCCGCCGGATGATTCCTTGGGTAGTAGTGGTCGTTTAATTCTATATAGTTGTACATGCCGGTGACCGTACACAAATCAAAGTGTAGGAAGATCATCTTGAAGCGGGTTAGAATCACGATTACTACCAGTGACTTTTTCAATGTGTATCAAATGCGGTTCTTTTCTTGGACAAATACATAACCAGATACTCGGTTCTTCTTTACACTGTACTTGCCAAATCTCTACATTTCCATCATCCATAATGGTAGAAGTCGTAAAATATCTAAGCCCTTGTGATTCGACATGAGCGTAGTAAAATACCGGAAGACATGCTCAAGATCCCCCGGACCTTACCCCATCGGCATTATATCAGTAACCTCCCGAATGTAACCCAGGGACCAAACAATCATTTTTGAGAATGTTTGTATAGATCACAGAAAGTACCTCCGAGTTAAGCAAGCAACCTCTATGATTTTACGTGCAAGGACAATAACTCAAAGTCAAATGGCTAGACTATGAGCTACATGGCAAGGAATACTTATGGCCTTTTCCACAGCATACCTACGAATATGTCCTTTTTCGGAGAAAAATGTTAGCAATAAAACCTCATGCAGCAGCTGACTACCAAACTGTACGACCCAAGAGGGGCTTTCACATTAGGGTTTGATGACTCCATCAGAAAGCACATATGGGAAACTCAATGGATATTAAAGTAATACTACATCTATTTACATATGGAGAAATAATCAGCAGATTGTTGTAACATTTGCGGGGGTTACACCCCGTAGAAATTGTAATTTCAGAAGCCACATGGTCTTGTCACAATACTACCTACCTAATAGAATTCATCTCATAAAGAAAGCGTGTACAACGCTTATTTACGTCATTTCCGCTGACAGACATTGAAACAATGTTGAAACCCGGGGACTAATTCGATGATTTCAATTTAGTAGAAATGGGCACGTGCCTCTTCATCTCCCACTTCCTAAACCGGCATTAAACCCATCCAAAGTTGGATTACGCTCGGGAAGTATTCGGACAGGGGATTCATCTGCGTCGTTGTGCTCCAGGCATGTGTATGTAGTATGTACTCCGTAAGGAGCATGTAAATAACAACCTTGGAATGTCCTTCGGTCCTTTCCAAGTTTGGTCAAATGCTTGGCATTGATGTGATTGGCCAGATCGAATGTGGATCCTTTTTACCTTTTTTTACCTTTTGGTGCCTGATATTCCAGGCGACAATCACAAGTTCGTGAGGTAACGTAACCGGTAAGCGAGCTGCGCATGTAAGCCAGCTGCGCACCCCACCCAACCTACTAATTTCAAATGCATTTATCTCAACCAAAACGCCATTAAATTAAATTTAAAAAAATCATCATCTATCTGGGCATGCATCTCTCCTATGGCCCTGATTTTTATATAGCCCGTATGTTGGTAAAGCCCTAGTTCTTGGCTGCAAAGGTGGCGAAGGCCTTCTTTATGGCGGGGGTATAGGTGCTTCTATTGCTTCCACCGGCTGCATAATTAATATAGATACTTCTTAAACTAAGAGACCTTCTTCCGCCGGTATCTACCTTCTAGATCTAGTACGCTTTTACTTCTTCTTCTCGTTTTTAGCGCGTAAATCGCTTACCTCTTTCTCTAGTAGTGCGGCGGATTATATCGTGATCTAGTAGGCTTTTAAAACCTGGTTTATAGTAGAATTAAGCGGGCTCGGGGGGGCTTCTTAATCTTATACGAAGTAATGCTTTAATTAACGAAGCTTATTTTTACAATTATATATAGTTCGAGGGCGTTTTCGGATCCCAATCACTACCCTAGCTAGGAAGGGGGGTAGGAGTAGTAAGCCGGATATTAAGCTTCGAAATCACTCTCTCCGGTATAAAAGGGATTAAACTAGTAGATTAAAAGCTATTTTTAACAGTCTTAGATTTAAAGGCTTCTATTCGTATAGTAGGGTATACTTTAAGAAAATCTAGTTTATTAATATAATTCGATCCGCACTATATTCGAAATTCAACTAGCTAGCTATAGGTTCGTTTTAATACTATAAAATAGCCTATATCTAAAGGCTATAAAAGGTAAGAGGAATACGGAGGTATATAGATTAGTATAATCTTATTCTCTTTACAAATTTTATCGAATCTCGGGGTTAAATGACTTCTATAGCCGTCGAGTATTAAAAGCCGATACCCCCCTTTCGTACGCGAAGAAATAGTAGGAATAAAGAGCTTTTTAAGCTAGCGAAGTCTAATTTTATTAGAGGTCTATCTATTAAGACTAACCTCGAATCGCTAGTTCTCTAAAAGGCCGTTAAACTAAGATTTAATAAAGACTTTACCTTTAAAAATCATATATAGAGGAAGAACCTAACTAGTAGCATTCGTACACTTAATAACTATTACCTATTCTCGATTTCTAGGTTATAAAAGGGCTCGCCGACTATAGTATTCACTTCTCGAAATCACTCTTATAGTAGTAGTTAAACCTATCATAAAACTAGTCTTATTAAAGTTATAAACGTCGTCCGGGTCGATCCTAAATTAAAGAATAGTTTTTTAAATAAGATTAAACCACTCCTTAATAACCTTCGGGTCTTCGTATTTCGTACGCTTATAGTTATATTATTTCGAAAACCGAGAGGATAGGAGAGAGCGCCGTTTTATAAAATTATATACCTATTTCTCGCCGACCGAAAGAACCGGGGTAGTTCCGCGCTTTTTAAAAAGAACATTCGCTATTTCTCGTACTATAAAAGGCTATAGGGCAGATCCTCGAGAATCTATAGAGAGAATCTATTTTTTAAGAGATTCCTCTTCAATTTCTATTAGTTTATATAAATTAGCGCGAGAATTCGCGCGAGAAGTGGTCCTATAAAGACGTGTCCGGAGGGTTGATTCAGGCACTTTGAAACGGCGCGCTGCTTTACGAATAGCGCTGATTTCTTTATTCTTAAAAGCCTAGATAGCTAATAAGATCCTACCCTCTCTCTCTATTAAATCTTTAGAGGATTGAGAGCGAATTGGTGGCATAGTGGGTGGTTGAATTAACTAAGTGCTAATTTACGGACGCGTTTTGGGTGGGGTGCGCAGCTGGCTTACATGCGCAGCTCGCTTACCGGTTACGTTAACTATTTTTCATAACACATGCATGTTTGGATAAATCTGTAGACGTCTACATCTCGAATCTCTTCGAAAAATTACCCTGACCAGTGCATCGCTTTCCCCCAGCATCCCCTCTTCTCTTCGAATAATCGAAGTTTGTTTGTTTGAGTGGCGCGATTCTTAGTGCCTCCTGGCAGTACGGCGTTCATATTCCAAAAATAGTCGGCACTCTCCGTTATTTCGCCCACAGATGGAATGAAAATGGACACAGAAACGAGGGCACGGGTATGAATTTATGCGCAGTTCAGGCCAGCGCTGGTGTGATATGTGGATACTGTAATATTTTCGAGTCTTTCTCTAACTTCAAGGTATGTACCAGCCTACTAGGGATGATTCTATCTACGCTGATTATAATATATCTGTACATTCAAAAGCACGGAAATTTCAGTAGAACGTTATTAACCAGAAATTAGAATCTATTGAAGCATAAAATCAGCCTTGTGGGGTGCCGCGCGGCATATGCATGCGTGTGCAGTTCAACTAAGCCTCCTCCACCGGCTGTCCACCGGCTGATTCCACAATGATTAGCACAAAAATAAAGCAGTAAACCATAGTGGCGAGGATAATCAGCGACTATGGGTGTTGATAGGGAAATTGTCTTACACGTCAGTCTATTTATACCGCGTGGCTTTTTGATCTTTTTCTTTTTTTTTCTTATCAAATGTCAAAGCAAGTCTTAAATTATTCCGATCGTCTTTCTAGGATGCTCTTCCTTTTGTATTTTGTCCAAAATATTCCTCTCAAATTGCCTTGTTTGCAACACCATGCAACTTTCAATACTTGCACTTTGCACCTTGCTATGCCCTCGGGTGCTCGGTCACCCCTATGTCTCTGAAACCACATGCATTTCAGCCACAAAGACATCCGTTGAGAATTTATGGGTAGTCTCAGAGCCAACTGAGGTATCCCATATCCAGGGGAAACGCGGATATGGCGAGATCCTCCAGGCCAGAGACACTACTGCGACAACCGACTCTACTACATCCACAGATACCACAACCGATACAACTACGTCGGAGACATCTACTTCAATAACGACATCTACGAGCTCGACATCTGAAACCTCTACTTCGACCTCCTCCACCTCTACAACTTCCACCTCTACAACCTCCACCACCAGCTCCACTACCAGCACTTCCTCAACGACAACCAGCAGCGCCTCGACGACGACAAGTACCACAACTGCAACTGCAACGAGCAGTTCTACGGCGGAGCTGGATGGTGAGTCTTCCAATACCGTGAGGCCCAAAATCCCCATCGTGCTGATAACCCCCAGAATGGAACCGCAGGGGTAACATAACAGCAATTGTATTTGGCTGCTGTATGATCTCGCTGTTTGTCGGAATCAGTGTGATTTACTGCGTGCGTGATAGAGCAAGGGCACGACGAATTGCAGCTAGGAAAGAGTTGGAGTCCAGTTCATCGGACTCAAAGATACCTCTTGTGGCCGCCAAAGATAAGGCTATCGCTGATATTGAGGTTAACCGCTCCTCTATGATGTTCACCAACCAGCCACAGACGGAATACTTCCCAGCGCGAAGCATCCCATCAGTGTCGAACCATCACAGCCACACCACATCCGCGACGTCTCAGACCGCGACGTCTCAGACTACGACGTCTCAGACCACGACGTCTACTAGAGATCACGCATCACGAGCACACATCAATGAGCAGCATACACCTTTGGTTTGACGTGTCTTTGGCCGATCTGTTAATGTCAGCAAAATTGATTTACACAATTCTAGAAATTGGATGCATATTACAAATTTTGGCGACTAAGGCTTTTGCAGAGGTCAAGATTTTGTATATTTAAAGCGAGGATGTTAATGCATTGCTCTAGGGCAGTGCATGTCGTAGAGCATTGTCACCCCAAGCGAGAGCGGCAAGACCCCTTTCTCTTCACGGCCTCGCTATCTGATCTTGTTTATTCTTATATCCAACTTGAACATGGGTAACATCAAGTCGCATTGGGAAGCCAACTGGGTCAGTTATGGAGTTCAAATCTCAGAGGTTGAATAAATGCCACGCCAGTATTTGCGAAAGTTCGAAGGCGCAATTCTTTCAGCGTCATTTATATTTCTTGCCAGAATGACGGGCAATAACTCGGTAACCATCTTTTCTCCCCTCAAGTTTCCTTCACCTCCGTTTTCTCGCCACCACAGTCCATGGACTCCTTTGTCGCACTAGGATTATCCAAGGAGCTCTCGCGGAACACTCCGATGGATTGAATGTTAAGGCTGAAGTCACCTTGTTGTGCCCCAAAAGAAACTACATAATTACATAATTAGCACCCATCCATGGATACTCTGTCCTCTCTTGATAGAAGGCTTACCTTCGAATCATGATCCGAAACCTTTTTATACGCGACAAGTCCACCGACCTCGCATCTTCTACCGGCTTCCCCCGGTATGTCGGTTTCAGATCCTTCCATGACACACGCACCTCGCGCCCTGCCTCACTCGCGCAAAAATCGTATTCCCAGACAAGAGCACTTTGTTCACGAGCGTCTGGCCGCCGGTGTGGGATTTCGTCTGTTAGGGTGAAAGTGTATCGTTTTCTGTCCGATGAAACAATGTGTAGCTCAACACCGTCGTATCCGCTGAGGTCCCATATATGTTCGTCTTCGACCGTGCGTTGCGAGGCAAAGCCGGCACCCCCAAGTGTCTCGATGTCGAGGTTGCCGTGAAAAAGTACCCCTTCCGCGGTAAGCTCGAGATTTGACACTGATGATCCACCACGGACGCGATCATCGGAGGAGGTCCAGCGACTGAGGTCCCAATCTGGACCGAAAATGATTTTATTGGTAGGGGTTTCCATTGTGAACCTGAGAAAGTGTTGTCGAACTGCCAACCTTGGAAGGTGCGATCCGACGGATCCGTGGATCGGCTGATTGATTGACGGTGTGACGTCATCTCCCGAGCGATAAGCAAAGTCTTGCGGCCTGATAAACAAGGCCATGAATTTATGCTTTAATCAAAATGTATCCAGCCCTGCAGCTGTACTCGAATTCATCTTCAAAATAAAATTGGGGTATATTGAGCTTTTTTACATGAAATTCATATCTATTAAACATCATAAGGTTTCTTTTCGACATCATAAACCGGCGAGCACGCCAATTTACTTCTCTCTCGCAGCCATGGACCATATACCTTGAACAGAACAGGAATAGGAATCATGACAACCGCGATACATCCAAGCATCGTACCCGCCCATTGCACTCCTAGGTTCTCCATCATTTGCCGGGAGAAAAGTGGGAATGAGCAGCCAATAGCTGAGCGTAATATCGTGTTCGCGGCAATAGTAGATGCAGCCCTGCCGATTGGGTTAGTCACTCGTCTCCACAGGAGATACATTGTTACATACAACGAGGGATAGCAGTCAACGATGTAATTGAAACACTGCAAGAAGATCAAAAAGATCCCGCCTCCGGTGAGGAGCCCCGAAGCCACAGGAGCAATCCAGTGAATGGATGAAGTGTATCCGGTCCAGCCGAACCTGTTTGGTATTAGCACAGAACACCAAACATTGTTAAGAATTTCAAGAAGGGTACTCACCAAAACAATCCTCCGGCAAATAACACAGCTCCTATAATCGCTGGCGCAAGGCGCCATTCGGGGATAGGCTTATCACCGTTTTCCGCCAGCTTCTTCTTGTACGAACCCTGTATCAGGAGGATGTAAACGCCACCAAGGAGTTCACCGATGATGAGGCCCATGAACGCAAGTCCACCCACACCAGTACCCATTCCGTAGACGCCTTGGAAGACAACAGGGTATGCGCCTAACAGAGCATAGATTAGGCCATAGACGAAGGAGATATACAATGAGACCAAAAGCAGGATGGGTTCCGTGACCAACATCACAATGGGTCGGGCAAAGTTGTTGCGCAGAAGCTCCGCGAGATCCACTTCCACTTCATCTTGCTTTGCATGGATGCCCCAATTCCGAGTCTGTCGGCGTAGGGTAGCTGCCTTGCGGACAAGGATGACTGGAGCATAAGTCTCGTCAAGGAAGACAAAGACTAGGACAAACCCTAGGAACACCATGATTGCAGATATATACATCGTCCACCGCCAACCCAGGGAGCTCATTGCAATGAAGCCACCCACAAACGGTGCCGAAAAGGGCCCGATAAACACCGCCATGCAGAAAATCGACATCACCACGCCCCGTTGTGTGTTGTTGAACAAGTCTGCGAACACGGCGGGAACGACTGAAATGGGACTCGCCGAGAACAGACCACCAAAGAAACGACAGATCATGACAGTCTGTATGTCTTTGGCAACTGCACATGCTAGGGTGAAGATGGCACATCCGAAGAGTCCAAGAGACAGTGGCCAACGCCTGCCGATCAGCTCTGATCCTGGTGCCCAAATTGTTGGCCCGGCTGCGAACCCAAGAACATAGAGTGCCACTCCGAGTGAGCCAATTTCGGTGCTTGTGTTGAACTCCTCGCCAAAGCCAGAAATAGCAGCCGAGAATACAGCGCTGGTAAACGACCCGGCGAAGGTACCATAACATAGGATACAAACTAACATTATTCTGTTGAGATATTAGCAAGTGTATCTTGACATCGACAGGAAGGAGCAGTAGCGGACATACCGCCTAGGTGTAGACCAATTGTAAGGGTGTAAGGGATCGTTGGCTCCGTCAAACTCCACGACATAGTCCTCAGAATCCGGGAGTAGAGGTGGGTACTCTTTGTTGGCACCCATAGGAAGCCACCTTTCGCGGGGAGTAGGCCCTCGCGTAGAGCCTACGGTAGTTTTCTGTTGCAGTCGATAGGTGTTGATACGGGTAAGCTCGAGAGAGTTGATTTCCTCAATTGTGTCGTCGGATTCGTGGCTGCGAGTGTCATTGGGAAAGTCGATATCTGGCTCATATTTTCCTGTGTGTTGATTGAGACGATCCATTGTATGCTGTCATATCAAGGTTTGGGGAATAGACTGGAAGATTGTGTGCGAATATAAAAGGCTCTGGTTGAGGAAGGGCAACATAGTATATGTCCCTCTCGGTCGACCCATTTGATCACATTTTTTCTTCCTAGTATTCTGGGTCTTCGGCCCAATTCTTGATCCATCGTAAAATGGGCCCTGATTGTAGCAAGGTGACCTCAACTAGGGCAAAAAATCACATCCAGATGATCCATACTTTTCCGCTGTGGCTTGAAGCGCTTTAAATGTCCACTATCCAGTTAGCGTGCCCCTGTCAGTGGCAGTCAGTGGCCAGTCAGAAATCAATATCGGGCTCGGCTAGAATCGGAGATGTGGCTGACAGCCGTTGTGGACTGGACTGCCGAGGACAACCGACCATAGCCGTTATCAGTTTGGTGTTTTGTCTCAGGAAAACTCTTCAAGAAGTTTTTGTTTTCGCGCTGACAATATCATATAAGAGAGAGCGGAAAAGTCTCTAAGAATACATAGTGAAGAGATACAAGATGGTGGAAAGAAAAATAGGAGGAGCGAACACGCGATGATCTACTATAAATGAACTAGCTTTGGGAGACGTCACTTACTCCCCTAGACTGAGGTCCACAACCGCCTTGATATCAACTAATATTACCCTCCTACTTATGCGATCATCCCGAACAAGGATACATAGTCTGTGGTCTTCTCACGTGGTCTTCTCCGATAGTCTTTTTACATGTCTTTCCAGTAGTCCGTTTTGGTAGTCTCCTCAAGTAATGTTTTTATATGTCTGGTTAGACAGGTATTTCCTCGGTTGCGTACACACCAGGAAAGGAGAAAAGGTCTAAAAAACGATTAATTTGTGATATTGACATTTCTATATGCTTTCCCGCATCTATCAGCTGCATGTAGATCGACCGGGGCGTTGAAATGGCACTACTGCATTCACTGGAGATATGGGCCTTTCCCCATAAATGACAGGCTGTTCCAGATCCCAAATAGAGAAGGGATAAGGGGATACTACTTGATGTTTTTATACAGATCACTTAGCTTGCTGAATTATAATGATCCATTCCCAGGTAGATTCCTACTATGTAGATTCCAAGGTTGGCGCGTCAAGTGCTTCCTTCCAAACGTCACGGTCTCTCTTTCCTTCCATCCACCTCTCATCCTTCCATCTCTCATCCACATCTCTTCTGTCTCCTTTTAATACAATCTGTATTGCAGCTTCATTCTTATTGATCATGGAAAATCCACCGACCCTTCTCCCTAACTTTCACAGGCGACACCACCGTTACCAATTCACTTGAGGGTGACTTCTACTTTGCGGGTAGCCTTGGAGTGAGCTAGCTCTGACTTATCGGTGAGGCAGATCTCACCTCTCTGTCAGCTAGACCTCACTACTCGTTTTGCCCGGCATATATACGACCCAAAGAGCTGAGACACCCGAAACCCATATATCGGTATGTCATTCAAAGCCTGCTTGTGTAAATCGAGCTTTTCCAATAATACTATAGGCCAAGCTGTCCCTTACATGCGGAGATTCGCTCTGGCTTGGAAGCGAGACAAGTATGAAACCGACCTAGCGATGGTCGAGGCCAAGAAGCCTGAGATTCTATCTGGCGGCGTGTTCCATTGCCGAGCATACATGAGTAAGTGAACCTGAGTTACACTTCACATCCATGAATACATGCACTGACGTAAGTAGGGATGATCCACCATGCAAGGGAAGATGCAAAAATGGATAATACATCCATGTATGGCGTTGCCACCGATAGTTTCCACTGGGTTTTTATCCACATTCGAGCGAACGACCCACGAAGCGTACTAGAATGGGTTTGCATTACTCATTTCTCTCCACATATAAGTCAACCGTTTTCATCAAGAGAGAAGATGATTTTTGCTTCTTCCATTTGTCAATTCCCATAAGCGAAGATGCCACAAAGCCCTCTCTGAGAGATTGCTTCGCTGGGTTTGCAGCTATCACCACGCAAGACCCCGTGTACAGGGAAGAGGCAAGACTTCATACAAGACTCGTAGGTCTCCTGTTCTACCGAGTATGCAGATATTGATCAGAGAAAGCAGCTCCACTCGTCGCGACAGCCCGGCCTTGTCACTTTCTATCGATACCGCAGCAGGCTTGGAGACTCTACGGACTCGGCCATCCCTCGCATTACCACATAGTCGATCCTTATTTCCTCCGGCCGGGTCGCTAGCCACATTGTGAAGTGCGTTGGGCTCCTGTCATCCTCTCGGTTGGGATATGAGAAGGCAGTGTTTGAGGTGAAGTCTGGTAGTCTCCGCTATATCGCGAAATGCTGGTCCCACGATTGAGATGAAAGGTACATCTTGTCCATGACCAGCGACTCCCAGAATACTGAGAAGAATCATTGAAAATCTAGCTCTTCTAATGAAATCGCGTTGTACGAACGGAGCCACCATGTCTGTCTTGGGAGAGGCGAATGGGCCCGTTCCCGCATTGTGTGCGAGTTCTCGACTGCGAAAACGTGACGGCCTGCACGAATTGCCATTGGAATGACGAAGACGTCCGCTGCAAATACCATGCAAACCGGCAGGCTGGCCCCTCCCAACATGACATCGCTCCCAGGGAAATTCTGAGGGATGCAGCAGCCTCTCTTGCTTTGGCGGAGAAGTCTTTCCGCGAGAACTATGAGGTCTCTGTCCATGCACGACACAGTCGGGAGGCCGTACACGCAATGAACGCGGCAGCCGTGATGAGTGACACTCAACGCCTGGCTGACGAGTATGGGATTAGTAACGAGCATGCTACCTAGGTAAATCCGTCGCAACAAAAGTTGAAGAGTGGAATGTTGACCTGTACCAAGTCTTGGATCGGCTAAGGTCACCGCAGCAGTGGAAAAACTGGTAAAGGAGGAGGAAGCAGCAAACTCCAAGCCTGAGCGCCAGGCTCAACCACGTGAGCTACGAAAGGGAAGACGCTTTTGAGGACTGTTCCTTAGACCTGTTGGCGCCGACTCTTTTCTCAACATCGTACTTTTCATCGCTTCATATTCATCTCTTCGACAACATACCTTCTCAACATCTTTCACGTCGTGAGCAGCAAACATGCTCCACCTGTATGGCACTCATCCATTTTCTTAGAACTAGTTAAGGGACTAACCTGAGAATCGACGACCGTCCTCTTTACTCCAGCAAGCCCTCCTCTCGATCCGTCGAACCCAGCGATCCTGGAAGCGTCTCCAGACTCTGAGTCCTTCGATCTGCATGATGATAACAATGATAAGATGGCGGGTAGTTTAGGCAGGCAAGTGGAGGCACAACGGGAGGATACAGGTATGCACTTTGAACCAGGCACACAAGGGGCTCTCGCGGAGCCACAGTCTCCTTCCGGGGGGCTATTAATCAGGATTTATCCTAGGATTCTCACCAGGACTTTCATCAGAACTATTTCTACGTGGATCCAGTTTCAGATACTGTTGATACCAATTATGTACCTGTAATTCGGACTAAACCCCAACAATCAGATCTACGCCGCTCTACAAGAGTGAAAAAGCCAAGCCAGGCTTACCTTGCGTCTAAAGGCCCTGAGTATGCCCAGTCTAAACTGAAGCCAACCGACATAGGTCTCGAACCTAACTGCTGGAAAGAAGCGATGGCATGCATTGAGAAGGACAAATGGCTTGCTGCGGAACACAATGAGCTCGCGCACCATAATAAGAACAACACATGGAGCATTATTCCTCGGACCAAATCGAAAGGTCGTGAGCCACTTGCCTTGCGTTGAGTGTTTAAGATTAAGCACGATGGAGCGAACAAACCGCCTTGTTGCTATAGGCTTCGAACAGATCAAGGATCTGGATTTTTCGCGATCAACCACCAAGCATCATAAAACTCATGAGTCCAATCCAGCCAGCCACGAAAGCTGCGGTCACGATGCCAGCACCTGCCTTGTCAGCAGTTGTTGTTGTAGTCTGCATTTGATTGGAACCATCAGTGTCATCTTCCCCTGCTGTTGGGTTGCTGGTACTATTTCCGCCAGTGCTCGAGGTCACCGGAGCAGTCTTGTTAAAATTGATCAGGTTTGCGGTGAAGACCTTTGTCGCGCTGATCTGTTCCTCCATTCCCATCCAGCCGTCCCATGTAGACTTATACCACTGGACACCACAAGTACCATTGTTGTGGCCAGTGCAGGATGCAGCGGCTGCCTGGCCCGATGTTTGGAGCTTCGCGAGAATACTGTCGAATGTTGACGGAACAAGGAGAGCAGTCAATGCTAACCAGGACGAAGTCAATCCTTTGAAGAGGATCTCATTGTTATTGCAGGTTTCTGCAGGCTCGCAGTAATAGTCCTCAATGATCCCACCGGTGAGGAAAAAGTTGTTAAACGTCGCGTTCAAAAGGCCGTTTACTGCCGTCAACCATTGAGCTTGGGTAGTCCCGTTTGTCTGTAAATTGGATGGGTTAGTCCAAGCTTTGACACAATGAGTAAAATGTGAAACTGGAAATGGGTTATTTCTCACATAATTGTACATATACGCTGCCCCCATCAGGTAAGTGCCATAGTTATATGTCCATTGGGCATTCCCCTGGGTCGCACAATTGTCACCAACAACGGCCGAATCAGCAACATTCCATGTTGTGTTGCTAAGCAGAGGTGACGAGACAGACCAATCCCATATCTTGTTAGCCCACTGAAGATAGATCGCATCTCCGGTGTAGCGGGCTAGACGCGCAGACAGCTGAAATAACCCCCCATTGGAAATAGAATTCTTCATTGTGTATCCAGACTGGTAAGGCCAGATTTGCCACCGTAGACCACCGCCACAGGAGGATGTATCCCATCTTTTGATCTGAGTATTGAACACACCCTGGGCTAGAGAAAGCCAAGAGAATCCAGTCGAGCGATCTGGGAATCCGAACTCAGCGGCCGTCATAGCTGCTAGACCCCAGAACATTTGATCATCGTTTCCCTAACAGATAATTCGAATGTTAGATATTGTCGCTTTATAAGACTCTGACCGTGCTTACCAGATAAGAACTATAGTTGCTTGGCATATAGTCCCCATCCGTGCCACCTTGCCATTGTAATCCAACACTTAGTTCCTCGTTGTATGTCGTGTCGCCAGTAAAGTGCCAGTACTCTAACAGGGCCATAAATAATGGGGCTCCTTCCCACCATTTGTCTGGAAAGGCTCCAGGGATTTGACCGGTCTCGTTGCCGTAGTAGTACTTCATCATAGCGTAGGTCGAGGTACTCGCTGCATCTTTAATCGACTCTGTGACGAACTCAAACGTTACTTTCTCACTCTTCTTCGTAATTAACATAGAGGGGGAATGTAAAGTCCAAAACGTACGTTCATCACTAATATCCAAATCGATTGCGCGTGCTACGCTCGAAAGGAGTAGTGCAAATATAGCACCTCTGGAGGGCGAGCTCCGCCCGAGCAAGTGCATCTTACCGAGGTGGTGTATAGGAAACCATACAAATTTCACCAATGAGAGATATCGGACGATAGGCGTAGACTGGTGTGCTCGAGAGTAGTCACTGAGACATTAATGAATGAATGAAGATTTCTCGAATAATGGACACCACGAGGCAATCTCATTTCCGTGACATTTTTAAATATAGAAGGGCATGCGTAATCCTCGGCGCTAGCGTCGTCAACCATTTCATTGTGGAGTGTAAAGCTAGTTGTGGAGTCAAATGCCAAGCTTTTACAAGCTTTGTTGGATTTCATCACAATATCGTGCGATAGAGTAGATCGTGATCGTCCCGTCGCTTCCTATATTCAGTCTGATCGGCTTTATCTTGCGTGCAGTCGCTCATTTTCTTGCTGGATTCACTAATACTGAGGTACATTTTCGGCCTTTTGCTGATGCTTGTGAAAAAAGTCCCTTCTCCAGCGGTACCTCCGGTAGAAAACAACCTATAGAGCAGGACTGCCCAATACCCAAAGGCCAGCGATGAATGTCTCTGTCTATCCAGAGACGATGGATTTGGTTAGTCGCAACGCAATGGCCGTGGCTCCAGCCCCCATAAGACAGCGGAATAAATTATTTGCAGCCCCAGCAGTGGCGGGAGTGATTGATATCGACAACCAAAGTGATCAAGGAGTTGAATACACTTGTGGTTGTAATACCAGTGAAGGAAAACACCACAGGCTCCGCCAGCGGAGTGCGATACTACATCACCCAACCGTATGCTAACATGCAAAGGCTAGCCAAATATATCAGCGAGTGAGTGATCGTTAGTCGTGCTCATTCGATACTGAAGTTTTCAATTTCTTGCTGTCGGTTCTTGTGAATTGGTGAAGCTTACAGTATGTAGGATTCAAGAATGCAGAGAGGAGAGAGTTGTATTGGGAGAAGAGGGAGCAAACTCCCAACAACTATCTAAACTAGGCTGACGAGAGGTTGATGCCTTAGAAGCCAGGCATCTATGCACAACATGAATAATCGTGCCAAGCCCACTATCAGCCAGCCACATTCGATCCGAAATTCTCTCGATCCCAATTTCAAGTTAAGTAGCTTTTGTATGGCAACACCATACAAAATGTACTTAGGCAGAAATTAAGCACAAGTCAACTCTCAACCCAGCTAAAGGGAAAGTAAAGAGGCTAAATTATAATGCGAGCCCAGCTTGGTGATTTGATACTAGAATTAATTCTATATATATGATACAGAGGTGTAAAAAGCGCTTTTCGAAACACCACGTATAAATCTTATATGAAAAGAATAAAACCATTCTATCACTTTACACACCTGGGATTCCTTACTATAGTTGATAGTGTATAAATAGGACATGATTTTCACTATATATGTACTTTCTAATATCCCCTAGCCCTTTTACAAATTGATGAAATCGATATTATACGTTTGGTTGTGTTTATGTACCCTTTGTATAGAGCCACCATACAAAAGATACCTAGTTTTGCAAATTTGAGATCGAGTGTGGCCCACCAACATCGGTGGGGGGCTTGGCACGATTACAGGCTGTCATTGGTATAGATGCAATAATACACCCCGCTCGCAAGCATTAGTCTATTCTTGGCGGAGCCATATTGACAAAATCCTTACCGGGGGGTGATCTAAAGTGCGGTGAATGATGTGATATACCATTCAAGGGGAGCTGAACAACCTTAAAAGGGTCAAGGTTTCCTCGGCCCCGAGCCTTCACCCAAAAAGTCAACATTGAAGGATTGAGGCGCCTTGTGTAGCATCTTGGACTATACATATAATTGCACAATGACCAAGTTGCAAATAATTATCGTCGGCCTCTTTGGTGGTCTGCTGTTGGCCTCCCCTTGTCCAGCAATGTCGCTGTTGCCGACAGTCGACTTGGGATATTCTCAGTATCGGGGAACGTCGCTGTCCAATGGTGTTGACCAATATCTCGGGATAAGATACGCGAAGGCACCCTTAGGCGACTCGCGATTTCGGGGCCCGGAAGATCCAGAAGAGACTGTAGGGGTTTTGGATGCATCATCGGTAATACTGCTAGTCACCGTTGGTTTAGGCCATCAAACTGACTTCGATAGTTTGGACCCCTTTGTGTGGGAGTTGGAGAGTCAATCGGTGATTCATTATCAGAGGACTGTTTATTTGTCAATGTCTGGCGGCCAACGACAGCGAGCGCGGATTCCAACCTCCCTGTCTGGCTGTTCATTCAAGGGGTGGATACGCTAACAATGCGAATGGCAACTATAACGGCAGCGAGGTTGTTCGAGAGTCTGGCCACACCATTATCTTCGTCAACTTTAATTACCGCGTCGGTGTTCTTGGATTCCTGGCTAGTGAACACGTGCGGGAAAATGGGGATCTCAATGCTGGACTTCTCGATCAGCGTAAAGCACTCTATTGGGTTCAGAAGCACATTCGCAAATTTGGAGGCAACCCAGACCATGTAGTTATTCATGGTGACTCTGCCGGTGCAGGTTCAGTCGCCTATCATCTCACCGCATATGGTGAGCGTAATACAGACCTTTTTATTGGGGCAGTGGCAGAGTCGCCATTCTGGCCCACTCAAAGGACAGTCGCGCAGATGGAGTTCCAGTACGACCAGTTCGTGGAAGATACTAGCTGCCACAAGGAAGAGGACTCTTTGGCATGCTTGCGTTCTGTGGATATCAAAACGATTCAAAAATTCAACGTCGAGAAGTCGTTCCCAGGGGGCAGTTCCGTGCCAGTCCCCGAGTGGTATTTCCTTCCTGTTGTTGATGGAACTTTGATCCATGATCACCTCTACAATCTGTTCAGTGAAGGGAGGTTCGTTCACGTGCCCTTGTTAGTCGGGGATGAGACAAATGAGGGCACCGAGTTTGCATACAATGCGAGCAGCAAGTCTGAAGTGGCTCAGTTCATGAAGAACAATTATCCCGGACTCTCCCATGACCAACTTGAAGCCATCAACAAGGCATACGAAGATGCGAAGCCCCTTCCTAAGCACGCGGCTTATTTTGCATCAGCTGCGGGCGCTTACGGAGATGCGACATTCACTTGCCCAGGGAACTTCATGACCGCGGCGATGGCTGGATCGTTCTCGTCCGATCTTGCCTGGAATTATCGGTATAATGTCCGCGACCCCACAAATATTGCAAATGGGATGGGTGTTCCTCATGTGTTTGATTTGCCTGCAATTTTTGGGGTAGGGAAAACCAATGAGCCAGCCTTGTCATATGCCAGCTCTAACGCAAAGATCGTGCCCGTCACCATGCACTACTACTTGAGCTTCGTCAGATTCTTAAACCCCTAACATTTGCCGGTATAAGGATGCCCCTGAATGGCAACCATGGGGCTTAGGGGCCGGGCGGCGTCTCAAACTCCAAACGAATTCGACGGAGATGGAAAGTATTCCCCGCTTGGAAGTCGAGCGTTGCTCGTTGTGGAAGGACTTCGCAGCAGACATGCAGAATTGAATGATACGTATGACTAGAGGCTTCATGCCACTAATGCCAACCTTAGAACTCACCCGTCCTATGAAAACCATCGAAATGATTCAAAGCGATAGAAAGCAAGGTCATTACATGCATCCATTTTCTGGCTCAATGGTTCTGACGAACCGAACCCTCCGTCTACGAACCGCAAATCCACGAAGACAAATTGCGCACGACCTAGACATTCACATTGAAAGTAACATTTGACTCTGATTTAGAATCATGGTACATAGGTAGAAGTAGTGTTTTGATTTTCCGTGCTCACTTTCGACACTTGCAACCTTCGCGATGAGAAGGACCAGTATGTTTGCCGAGCGCGAGTCGGCTACTAGACCACAATCTCAGATGGATAATCCAAGGGGGTAACCTGGATTGCAATTACACTATGACCGAAAGAAATCAGTCTCAGTACTCACTTGCAACCCGTTTGTCGTTCTGGTCATGCGCACCGCGTTGAACTGGAGCTACAATATGATCTAGCAATCGATAAAGCCAGGGCTCTACTAGTAACTCTTTTTTCGGGGTGTCGCCTCCATGACTACGAGGTGCCAGCCGCATCCGGCGAACCTCGGGATTAGCCTCCCCATGCCTCGACCCTATACTGCTGCCTCTCATTGGCTCGAAGAAGTAATCGCCCCGAAATGAATGACATTGCTAATTCCCCCTCGTGTGGACAGCCGAGTATTCTCGGCACTGTGTAAGATTTCTCTTCATCGTGCAACCCTGCTCTTGCTTTCCATTCGGACTGATTCCGCGAATACTGCTATTCCCCCAAGGTTGTCCAAGTGAGGGGTAATAAAAAGCCACATGTCTGGGGGTTTTAGAAACCTGGGGAAGCTATTTCTCCACCTTCTCCACCTTTCGTCATCCTACACTCTTCCATCCGTCAATGACATGTAAATACTCACGCAATGAAACCAGGCTCATTAGCTTATCTCCCTTCCCTCCCTGTTGAGCTGGTCGAGTTCGTTGCAGGCTTCCTCGACGGAGATGGCTTATTAGCATTACGTTTAGTCTGTCGCGAGCTTCAGAGTAAAACCTTTCATCACTTTGCGCAGCGGTTCTTTTCATCTATCAAGACCGACCTCTCTGGAGACAGTCTGCGCCGTATCAACGCCCTCTCGCAAAATATTTCATTGCGCCCTTACGTCAACGGGTTGGCCTTTATGCTCCAGAATGGTGTCGGTCGCGGCTTAGTTTGGAACCGTCATCCATGGGGTCCTATCTCTGCTCCCCTAGAGGTCGAGGCGATTCGGTCTCTGCGTGATAATTTGATCCAGAACTTGACTAATTGTCGATCATTCTTTATTTTTTGTCGATATCCAGAAGGTCATCCAGATATGAGTCATGTTACTATCACAGACGCTGTCGCCGTATTCTTTGCCCTGGTCGTCGATGCTCGTCTGCCGGTTTCGTCGTTCCATCTCATCTATGCCAACAAATACTCGCGCACCTTGATCATGGACATGCGTCGTCTTCCTAAGCTCCTATATCGTCAACCAGAGTTCAAAATTGTGTGGGGCAATTTACAAAAGCTCTCTTTGGAACAATATCTCACGTTGGATAACTTCGGCTTCCTACTTGAGCTGGTTCTTAGCGCCCCGAATCTCCAAACCCTCCTGTTAAACCTCGGCTCGCACGACTTGGCATCCGAATTTATGCATGAACTGGCTGAAAGTGCCAGCTTTTCCCAACTGCGCGAACTCGCCTTGTTCCGAACATCCATGCGGGGCCCCGATCTCCACAAGTTACTCGCCAATATCCGCCCAAACTTGATTTCACTCACATTATATCATGTTTCCCTGGCACCAGGGAGCGATTGGACACCATTTCTGAAAGACCTCAGTCAGGGGTTCCTGGCTTTGCAGACTATCTCGCTATATTATCTGTGGGCTAGCACGCCTGCTAAGGGTCTCCTAACTTTTCCGGACATTCCAAAGACACCTTCATTGTGCACTTCAAAGGGTCAGCATCTCAATTTATTTTACTCTGAAGACCTCAAGACTCCCACTGTCCTGGGCATCGAGTATTCTGGGTCGAAGATGTCACAGGTGTTGAATCTATTACAGACAACGACTGAAAGATCTTTCCGATATTAGGGCAGGCTACTTCTATGTGGTTCTTGTACATTTCACGTTAGGCGTGTTTCTATTTTGGCTTTGTGCCTCTTTTTCTTTCGGACATATCTGGGAAGCTCTGGGAAATATCTGCTTTGTTCTGTTTTGTCGTATCCAATGTCCACTTTCTGTTTGCAATGCAATTGGACTGCAGAGTAAATTTTGTGGTGTAAGAGCAAGCCCAACTATGTGAACAAGGCGACATGAGAAAGCGAGAGAGATGATTCTTCAAACTGCAGTTACCATTGTATTTCATGAACAATTGTTTTCGTGTCAAAAGGCCTTTGTGTAGCAAGTAAGCTAAAATCCCCTTCATCTTCCATCACAAGCAAGGCATTGGCTCTTAATAAAATTCACATCTGTTACATGAAACCCTTCACGTTAGCAACTCACATCCTAAACCTTGAGTGTCACTTTCTCCACATTTCTTCCTGTAATTTCGATCACAGTATGTTGGATATCTCCTTCAAATGCAACAGTCAACTGCAGTTGTTCTTTCGGCCAAAGTGTCACATAATTATCAGACCAATAAAGCGGTGCAATTTCAGCGCCTTTGAGTTCATCGAAAGCATTCAGACGAATGAAAACAGCTGGTCCTGCAGACTTGTTTTCAAGCACGACCTCAGCATGAGTCAAACCATCGTCTGCTGATGATTCTAGGCTGTGTAATGATGCCTTCAAAGTAGCCGGTTTCAGTGTCTCCAGCTTGGTATATTTGGCAAATTTGGTAACTGGTGTGGTGTACCAATCCGACTCTGACCAGTCCAAGACATCCGTGGTAGGAGAGAGCCAGTAAACATTGCGACTAAGGACATCTTCAGATTCGGGATCACTGAGCGTGAGACGGAGGAAGCCAATATCTTTGACTTTTTTAATTCCGTCAAGCGAAGCCACCACCTTTGAAGAATGGGGGCTCGTGTTGCTCTCCACTGTGGCCCGGGATAGTTCTTTGCCATTTGAATCAATGAAGTCTACCTTGATTTGTCGATTTCCCTCCTTTTCAAGAGAGTGGTTAATCAACCAAATTTTATGGCTCTCATAATCATAAGCCACGTGTTCCATACGCGCTCCAACCTTGGTGCCAAAGTAGGCCGCCATAGGGCTGAGATAATAATCAAACAACTGCCAATGTAGATTTGGCCAGGCACTGTTCAACATCCAATATATAACGCCCGTGGCAGGTCGGGTAGCATTTTGCTGGGTTGCATATGCTTCAAACTGGGATCGGGTGGCCTCATAATCCGCCATCTGACTTTTCAGGATGTAGTCTTCCAGGCTTGATGGTTTTCCGTAGCGGGCAAAGAGAGCCTCGTTGTAGATCCTCCGATCGTAAAATTGCGAATCATAGCGCGACATATGATATTGGTCTGCATCTGGTTCTTTCCAAAGTGTTTCTAGCTCGTCATCAGACATGAACTTTTTCAGGCTGCGCATTTCGGGAGTTCCAACTCCGGCACCCAATTCAGATCCAAAGCCAGACGCCGCTCCTTCTTTGTCGTTGTACCAGTAATTTGGAGGTACCCAATCGTACGGGCCGTCCATCTTCATTCCGGATGGTCCAAGAGCTTCGGGGTATCCACGTTTGCTGGCTGATGCAATGATTGGGTTGGGCCAATCCATGGCTTTGAGGGCATCTAGGTAAATCCCGGTGGCCTGATCATCTGGCCAATAGTCTGAGCCCACCAAAAATCCAAGCATCGAAGCATGGCTTTGCATCATCTCTGCCTCGTGCAGCATTGCTGCTTCCGCAACTGGGTAGTCTGACTTGTCCCACTTGACGCCTTTGGCATCGTTATTGTACTAATATTCCTGTTTGTCAGTGGTCCGGCATCCCAAGTAAGGTGTTGAGAAGACTTACCTTCCACCCTTCCCATTTATCACAACATTCCCATCCCGCTAGGACCATCATGCCCATTTTATCTGCGAGATCATAAAGTTCCGGGTGCTCCTGATTTCCTTCCAGGCGCACAGTATTGAGTCCCATGTCCAGCATGTAGGCGAAAATCTTCTGTACCCTGTCAATATCGAATCGTAAAAAGATATCTGGTCCATATCCGGCTCCGATGACCTGGAAGGGCTCGCCATTGACAGCGAATTCGGTATCATTGGACTTGTTCAACTTCGATGATACATGGCGAATCCCAAATTGTTGGCGAATTGAACTATCGGAAACCAACTGCTGAGGTTTCTGGATGATGGCGCTGGCCTGTACTGTATATAAAGGCTGCTCGCCCCAAAGAGCAGGCCACCAAATATCAGGGTTCTCAATTGAAACGCTCATAGACACCGTTTTTTGTTCGTTTGACTTCAAGTCAAATGCCTCGCTAAATTCCATATCTGCGGAGCCATCTGGTCCTTTGACAGTGCCGTTGACCAGTACCTGGTGACCACTCAATTCATGGTTGGTCAAGTCAGTTCTAAAGGTGACCTTCACCGGCCCAGAGTTGGGTAGAGAAAAATCAGTGAGGATGCGGAATGGCGACATCGAGACGGCTCCAGTCTGAGAAACCTCTACATTTCGCCAAACACCGGTGCCATTGTCGGCTGGGTAGGGATTCCAGTCCACAAACCCCTGGGCAAAATCGCGAAGATAGTTGGTTGGGAACACACGAATGAGAAGACAATTGACTCCTTCCCTAACGTGCTCGGTCACGTTGTACTGGTGGCCGCCATAGGAGCCTTGCTGCTGGTCGCTTGATGCAATGAGCTCCCCGTTCAGGTAGATGTCTGCCTTGGAGGTGATTCCGTGTGTTTTTAGGGTGAAATATTGGCCGATGGATGGGTTCAACGTAAACTCTTCTCGATAAAGCCAGGGTGCATCGAACAGGGAGGGATCAGCGATAGATTCCATATTGTCCGAGTAGAACAAGTCTGTCTCGTTGTATACTCCGTTCTCAATAAGCCCAGCCATGACAGTGCCACGAGCACCAACTCGATACCATGACGACACATCTTCTCCCGGTGCAGAGAGTACATGTATCTCTTCTGATACTTTTGTCGTTGATTGGAGGTACCATCCCGGGATAGCAGCAATATCACCGGCAAAAGCGACAAGAGGTTCGGAGCCGGTTGACGCCTCTGCACAGACACTAGCACTAATAGCCAGTGCTATGCAAAGTTTAGTCATGTTCTTGAACATGATCATTTGGTTTGCTCTGGTTCTTCAGACGCCAACAATGATGTTGAGCTTGTATCGCAAGAATGCATGCGACGGCTTGTTCATCTAAAATATAAAAGTCCCGAAGCGAGGCGCAGAAAAAAGGTAACATTGTGTCACGCGATTGAAGGTCCATACGACCGTGGGATATAGGTTGTTTTGTTTGTATGATGTTCTCCGACGACTTTCTCGGCTAGGACTAGTTCATACGGGGATTCCGGCGAACCTGCAAGGTTTCCCGGAAACATTTCTGCGTTCGGATCACCAGGGAAATTCCCCAACGAAGTCGCTGAGACTTTGGTGCCCGGCCTGCCCGAGCTGTGAAAATGATCGGAGCTCATCTCTGTTCGGATGAGAGATGAGGCAATGACCATATTCCTATTCGGGCCTTCACAGGATCTCCTGTTGTTAGTCTTCCTGAGGTGCAGATCCTTTGTGAATAACAAATTGAGTCTGAAACAAATGCAAATTTTGTTACTAAAAATCTGTACGGAGTAATCTGGGGCAATAATAATGGATGTCCACGATTATCATCACATGGATTCTGTGGTTGTTCGTGCCTGAAAGGTGAGGCAGAAGCCCCCCCGGCCTCGAAATAATTCAGGCACCAAGGCATTAAGGCACTAAGGCCATCGTCTGTTCTCGTCTCACTTGGCAAATAGTCACTTTTCGTTCACTGTAGGAGACTCGCATAATTCTACTCTATACTCTTTTAAAAGAATGACTACCTGGGTCTGGCTCAGAAAAATCATTCTTGCAATGAGCATAGCCTCCCTCAGGGGTCCCCCTGTGGTATGCCGAGAACTCGTAGCCTCTAACCCCTACGAACTCCTTCAACACGGGTGGGGTTTGTTTTACAAGGCCATGGTACTCTTCCAGGTAAGAGGTTATTGACAATCTGATTGTACTCCTCTACTTCACGCGTGCAAGGACAAGCGATAGGACGTGGGCCCCTACCGGACAGGGGTACAGGTTACAACACCGGAATGCGTCGATTGTTGCATCGCGTTCGTTTGCGGCCCTACACTGCCCTGTCTCCGCCCTTTATCCACTGACTCCTCTCATCAATCATGCGCCTTGGTGATTCGCCAATTCCCTCGGCTGATCAAATTGACCTGTTTGACAGCCGCTCTGGAATGTCAACGCGATCCCTTATCGTGGAGCGCCAACAAGGAAACCATGGAAATGAAAGGTTCCGCGTTGCACTCCCCTAATCTTCTCATCCAATCTTGGATAGAGCTACAATGAAATTGTGGGTTTCATGCTTGATGCAGTCGAATGTTGAAGGTACGCTGATGCAATTCCCCCTACAGGAGGTGCAAATGGTCTGGGGAACCACGCCTTGTTACCATGCCAGCGCTCCTAGACGGTTGGAATGTGGCCGTACGATCCACACACACGTATATCCCCCTCTCACTTTCATTTCGGAGCGTTTGACATTGGCCGGGCGGCTTTTCTTCATCTCTCTATATCCTCATCTCGCCAACGATCTGGGCAAGCGTACTAACCATCCTTACGACATCTTGAGCCACATGGTTGTGTCAATAAGCAATTGACTCCTCTAAAGTCGACAGCACCACTGGTACTGGGGGGGGGCGTGTTGCTACCACCCTGCGATAGCATCCTTGATAAATTCAAGCTTAACTATTCTTCTACGAACCAAGCTCGAAGGCAGTTACTGTTCCACTTTCTATCGGGCCAGTCGGTATATCAGTCGCCATGCGTGTGTTTAACTACGCATCACAACCTTCATGGATGGGCCTGCTGGCTGCAGCTCTACTGGGCACTTCAACTGTGCAAGCGGTAGAGCTAGATGTTGAGGATGGGGGTAAGTTTAATACTCTGCTGCCTGCCCATGCACAACGTCTAATTCAATATCAAAGATTCTATCAGGAAGGCAGCCAAAAATGTCGCCACCAACATGATGAGTTACTACACTGGTATGAATCCTGGTGACACCCCAGGTAATTTGCCGGATCCTTACTACTGGTGGGAGGCCGGTGCAATGTTCAACTCTCTTATCGATTACTGGTTCTACACGGGTGATGATACTTGGAATGACATCACAATACAAGCTATGCTCTGGCAGGCTGGAGAGAACAAAGCATTCATGCCGGCCAACCAGAGTAAAACCGAAGGAAATGACGACCAAGTCTTTTGGGCCTTCGCTGCTATGACCGCAGCGGAGCGAAATTTCCCAAATCCACCAGAAGATAAACCCCAGTGGCTTGAAATGGCTCAGGCTGTCTTCAACACTCAGGTTCCCCGGTGGGACACTTCTTCGTGCGGTGGTGGCTTGCGTTGGCAGATCTTTACGTGGAACAATGGCTACAACTATAAGAACACCATCTCCAGTGGCGGATTCTTTAATCTTGCTTCTCGCCTGGCAAAATACACCAACAATCAAACGTACCAGGATTGGGCTGAAAAGGCCTGGGACTGGACTGTCGATGTTGGATTCATGACCCCGGAGTATCACTTCTTGGATGGAGCTAGCTGCCTCACTGAGTGCAAGCCAATCAACCAAATTGAATGGACTTACAACGCTGGAGTATATTTGCTTGGGCAGCTAATATGTATAATTTGGTGAGTGAACCCTACAGTTTAATGCTTTCCAGTGCTTCGAACTATTATCTAATCTAATCCTTTGAACAGACCGAAGATCCCAAATGGAAGGACGCACCCAGAAGATCATTGATGCTTCTGGTGTTTTTCTTCTCTCACGACCCACCTAACGTGATGTACGAGCGAGCCTGCGAGAGCGTTAATACTTGCATGGTAGACCAGCGGTCTTTCAAGGGTTATTTTTCCCGCTGGATGGCTCAAACTGCCCAGATGGCCCCTTTCACATACGACACAGTCATGAAACGGCTGAAGGCCTCTGCTAAGGCAGCCGCCAAGACCTGTACCGGTGGTGTCAATAAGAACGTATGCGGCCTCAAGTGGACAGAGCAAAAGTGGGATAAGACGAAAGACTTCGGTCAGCAGATGGCTGCACTTGAAGTCATTCAAGCCAATCTGATCACGCGTGTGGCTGCCCCGGTCACTAAGGATGACGGTGGGACGAGTAAAGGGGACCCCAATGCAGGTGGTGAGCCCCAAAAAGAAATTCCGCCCGCTCTCGCCTACGACATAACTACGGGCGACAGGGCTGGTGCAGGTATCTTGACCGTGCTGTTTTTGATTGGCATTGGCGGTTCGACGGGATGGCTGATTTGGGATTGAACTTGGTCTAATTCTTCTAATGTTTCTTTTACCCTTTTTTTTTTGGTCCTCTGGCGCTTACTTCGGTGACGGCGCATACCTACTTTGCGACTCTGTGATTTTCTTATATTAATTTCTGGACGTGGCTATTGACGTTTTGTGAATAATTTTTGGAATCTAACATATCGCTTTAAGATGCCCTGTTCTTTCTCCGCAGTTTCCCCGATTTCCATTTGGTTAAAGCGGATAGACCGGTAGAGGTGCATATACATCCCTGCATACATTCGTACCTACTCCTCAGTCTAGCCAAGCCATTTACAATAAGACCAACGAAAAAAAAAAGAGGGGTTACAATCAAGTCGTACTTCGTATTTCCCCGGCCTCTTGCCTTGGCCGGACTTGGGCTTTCTCAATTGAATTCTTCTATATATTGTCCACGAATAGCTACCTGGCCGAAACTGCAATCTTGAAGTTTCGCAATACAGCTCGTCAAAATATGGGTTCGGTTATGGAATATTCTCAAGTCGAGATTCCCACGCACTGTAAAGCGGGAGTGGTGGTCAACGAAGGTCCAGATTTCCATGTCGAAGTACAGATGGTGCCTGTGCCACAACCAGGTAGGATCCAGATCTTGATTGGAGTGACAGACATTCCAGTGTACTCCAGTTGACAACACTAATGCTCCTGTGAAGGCCCCGACGATGTTTTGATCAAGCTGAACTACACTGGACTTTGCTCATCCGACATCCATATGATGCAAGGAGACCTGGGTCTCCCGTTCATGTCGGCGTTCGGTGTGCGCTCTCCGGGACATGAAGGTGCGGGTGTAGTGGTCAAAGTCGGAGCCAATGTGAAGACTTTCAAGTTAGGCGATAGAGCCGGAATCAAACCCATGATGGATACATGTGGATCCTGTGCGCTTTGCTGGGATGACAAGGAGACATACTGCAAGGGCGCAATTCTCACTGGTCTGATGACGGCAGGTAAGAAGGATTTGGATCATTTCTGACGGTCTGGGTGGCGGCTCATTATGTCAGGTACTTACCAGCAATACTTGGTATCACCGGCACGATATGCATCGCCAATCCCGGATGGGGTCCCCGATGAAATCGCCGGCCCAATTATGTGTAGTGCGAGCACTATCTACAGATCTCTGAGTGAATCTAACCTTCGGTCGGGGGCTTGGGTTGTTTTCCCTGGCGGCGGGGGTGGTGTGGGGATTCAAGGTGTGCAGCTGGCCAAAGCAATGGGAATGCGTCCGATCGTGGTGGACACGGGAGAATCCAAACAGAAGTTGGCACTCGATATGGGAGCGGAGGCCTTTGTGGATTTCAAAGAAGCCGACCCCACCAAAGCTGTGATTGAAATTGCCGATGGGGTCGGGGCTCATGGGGTTTTTGTGACAGCCCCTGCTGCTTATAAAACAGCAGTTTCATTTATCGGAGACCGTATCGGAGGCATTGTGATGTGCATTGGTCTTCCTGTTGCAGGGTCGATGATGATAGGAGCCGATCCCTGTCTGTACATCTTCAAAAATCTTACCATCAAGGGCACCCTTGTCGGTAGCCGGAGTGATACTGCCATGGCGTTGGATTTCGCACGACGAGGAGCACTACGGCAAATTAGTCAGGTTTATCCATTGAATCGCATGCCCGAGGCTGTGGAGAAACTTCGGAAGGGGGAGGTTGCCGGAAGAATTGTGGTCAATTTCAACTGGGAGGAGTAGAGTGGTGGAATATATATCCGGTTATATTCTGGACTTGGCTTCAATTCAAACTGCCCTACAAAATATGCTTCCTTTGATTCACCATTAACTAGAACCCGATGAAATCATATACCATGACATGAGATAAAAAGAGTAAAATAAAATAATCCGAGGACTTCTACCTCAATGAGGGCCCGCGCGGGTAAGGAAAACGAGAGCAAAACAAAAACTTGGACTCGCGGGGAATCGAACCCCGGACCACTCCCATGCTAAGGGAGTATTATACCACTAAACCACAAGCCCAATTGCTTGGAAGATGTAGCCCATTAGTGCTACATAAGCCTAAACCAAGACACCGCGCTGTTATTTTTCAACTTGCTGTGCTCTTTACCAGCATATCCGAGGTCAATACCCCAGTAGCTTTTCCACAGGACCATATCACACACAACGATAAGCTGTTAACTGTGATTGTGCCCGAGTGACCTACATACGGCACGCCTCTCCGGTTATCCTCAAGAGGGGACACGACTACAGAGTACTACAATGTCGACGGGTTGATATGACGTGACACCCAAATGTAAAGCGTTGTCAATCTCTTCCCGAGGTCGGAACGAGGTTTCCACTCACCTGGATAAGTGTCCGGATCAACCTTATTTCTCCAAATTAACCGCATGGGGATATGCAGGCGCACAATGCGGGGAAGCCGGGATTGCCCTAAGTAGATGCAATCACCTGGGCAGACATTGCACCTCCTCACCCAGCTGCCGTAGCTGTCTCCCGGGCTGTCGATCAGCACTCTTAAGAGCTAGTTAAGTGACGCGGTGGCACTGCACGCATTGCAATAGAAGCCTTAATTTGAGTTTGAAGCCATACATCTAGTACTGTTCCCATGGTTGCACCGACAATTAGCCGGCACACTGACATCTGAGGGGGAATATTTATTTGAAGGGACCGCCTCCTAATGTAAGACTGTTTGATACGGGGAAATCCTCTTATAGTATCCTCAGAAATGCGAGCACCATTCATTTCCCTTGCAGCTTTGGCTGTGGTTATACATGCACAGGGAGTATACCTGACAACAACCGGCTACTCCGCTCGACCACAATGTACACAATCGAATGTGGTCCCGGAGTACCATTTTCAGCCCTTTTCTTATACATTGAACGAGACAGTTCGGTAAGAAATACGTAGGTCTAGTTTACACCTTCGCTTGCTAATTAAAGTATGAGATATGCAACCTCGGTTCCTTCCCCGACGACAACACGGAAATTTGCCCCGCCTTATACAGACGTAGTCAAGCATTTGACCACTAGTTGGTCGACCTCAACGTGGGGTAGTTGGGTCCCAGAGCACACTGCAATCATCGCAACTGACACAGAAGACCCATATGGACAAGCTGCATGGTCTTCGATGTGGCTACAGGCGGATCTTCATAACTATGTATGTTGTGTGCTCCGGAATTTCCTCTTTTTATAAATGGAGGTAAAGCTCACTTTGAATCAGACCACCACTGGGTTATTCTCGGCAACTGTCAGTCCCACGCCTGTGCCCAGCAGTGAGTTGGTCTTGCCACCACGCGACTATTTTGGTCCTACAGACTGTTATACCTTCCCCGAAGATTTTATATTTGGTGTTGCAGGGAGTGCGGCCCAGATTGAAGGTGCAATTGGGTTGGAGGGTCGAGCACCTTCGTTGTTAGAGAAATTGGTACCCGACAGCAAGCCGAAGGACTATGTCACAAACGAAAACTATTTCTTGTATAAGCAAGATATACAGCGACTGGCCGCAATGGGCGTAGAGTACTACAGCTTTACAATTCCCTGGTCACGGATTTTGCCTTTTGTTCTGCCCGGAACACCTGTTAATCAACAAGCCATTGATCATTACAATGACTTGATTGACACAGTCCTCGATGCAGGAATGACGGTAAAGAGATCCCAGATATCGACATACATGTCCATTAAGTTGTATTCTAACCGTCGTTTTAGCCGGTGGTCACTATGCTTCATTTCGACAGCCCATTAATGTTTGTCGCCAGCGACAATATCACGAAACGTCCAGATATTGGTTACAACAATGCCGGCTATCAAAATGAAACCTTCGTCGACGCCTTTGTTAACTATGGAAAGGTGTGATTTCTAGTCCACGACTCATCAATCCTCATGCAAGTCTGACGTGGCTCCACAGGTTCTACTTTCTCATTATGCAGACCGAGTCCCAATATGGGTGACCATCAATGAGCCCCTGCTCTACGCATTCAATTTCAAAGGAGTGGACCACGTTATCAAAGCACATGCTCAGATCTATCACTTCTATCATGATACGTTGAAGGCTACAGGAAAAATTGGTATAAAGTTCAACGACAACTTTGGAGTGCCTAAAGATCCGAAAAACTCTAGCCATGTGCTGGCAGCTGATCGGTTCCAAGAAATGCAACTGGGAATCTTCGCAAATCCAATCTTCTTGGGTAAGCAGTACCCAAAGTCCGTGTTAGAAACACTCCCTGGAGCCAAGCCCTTGAGCAAATCCGAACTGGAACACATACACAACACATCCGACTTCTTTGGGATCGATCCGTATACCGCTACGGTAGTATCTCCGGCTGATGAAGGCATCAAGGCTTGCGCTGCCAACCTATCAAGCTCAAACGAACTTTTCCCATATTGCGTCAAGCAAGAAACAAAGAATGTTTATGGATGGAACATTGGGTATCGTTCTGAATCCTACGTCTACATCACACCGACATATTTCCGAGAGTATCTTTTCTATCTGTGGAACACTTTCCGGAGCCCGATTCTGGTGTCAGAGTTTGGGTTTCCGGTACATGCAGAGGCGGAGCGGGAGGAGCTCTCTGATCAGCTTTTTGACTCTCCACGCAGCGTCTATTATCTTTCCTTCATGTCTGAAATTCTCAAGTCAATATATGAAGACGGTGTGCATGTTATGGGAGCTCTTGCTTGGAGCTTCGTCGACAATTGGGAATTTGGAGACTACACGCAGCAATTTGGCATTCAAACCGTCAATCGCACAACTCAGCAGCGACACTACAAGAAGAGCTTCTTTGACCTGGTTGATTTTGTGAAAACTCGGCAGCCGAGCAAAGACTGAGGTGGGCCCAGAATGTCAAGCAGCTAGAGTGAGAACCTAGGATAGGCTTGATAAACGAGCAGATTGAATCACGTATCTTACAATAATAGTTCATAGTAGACGACTCCCTCTATGAAGTACGAAGTATGAAGTAATCCGTTCTTTTCATTCAGGTTCTTAATTGTGGCCCTCTTTATTGGTGCAGTATTTCAAGTAAAGTGGCGAAAGATGCCCTGTTTGATCACCAAGGGATCTCTTTCCCATCATATTGATTCGGACCCTCTCGTGTCTCCCATCCAGGGACATGTATGTTCACGAGCTTTCCATTCTGCTCCGGCGTTACCTCTTGTATAATATCAAGTACCTTCTCTGCACCTACTTCGACCGGAAGATCTGCTCGACGGCTACCGAGGTCAGTGCGAAGCCACTTTTCATGTCAGTAAAGTTGAGAAATTTGCGATCAATAAATGGCGAAAAGGGCTTCACTTACACCAGGACTGATCCCAAGGAAGGTGAATCCATCATCCGCATATTGCTGGGCATATTGCACAGTGAGCATGTTTAATGCGGCCTTCGTGATCTTATATGCCGGTGTCGGCAAGGCCCGAAACGCATCAGCCATAGCTATGGAGCCTAAAGTCGTCGATCTGGTATTTGAGTCAGACATTTAGAGTGGTATAAAAAGGCCTTATACATATTTTCGTTCCAATGTACTCACATGTTGATCACCGTTTTCTTCTCGCCTTTGCGCAGAAGTGGCAGGAAAGCGCGCGATACAAGATGTGGTGCAGTAACATTGACATTGAACGTCTCGTTCAGATTGTCCCTATGACATCAGTACTATAGCAAGTCTTCTAGTAAGGTATCCAACATACATTCCTTCCAGTCCTGTCGGGGACCAGTCACTCACGCCTGCATTGTTCACCAAATAGTCAAGCCCTTTCCCTTGCAGTTGGTGCTCTGCTGCCAGGGCAGCCTCTTTCACACTGGATTCATTGGTGACATCTAACTTAATCACCTGCACTCGTCCTGATGAGGCACTTGCGATTTCTTTCAATCGAATGGAATTGTCCTGGCGCGCGGTGGCGATGATTGTGCCCACCTCAGTTTTGGGCAATGTCGTTAGACGGGTGATCAGCGCCAACCCGAGGCCTCGAGAACAGCCAGTCACTAGGTAGGATGCCATAGTCTAATGTTCATAGAAAGTTGACTGTCAATCGATAATTGATAAGGTACGATGGGAGGTTCAAATGCGTGAAGTGTGATGATTGCGTAGGAAATAGAATGAGGGAAGTTTGGAGAATAGTCAGTGACTCGCAGATAACTAAAGAAAACATTGTGGTTGCCTCCAGGTCTACCACATCAATGTTCATGTATCTGAATAGATATACATTTATATCGTCTCCATTTATTTCCGGTCGGACATTATTCCTGGGAAATCTAATATGTACGTAAGTTAGTAGGTATCTACTGGTATCTATGCAGACCGAGATTACTTCATACTTGTAGCGCCTAGAAAGCTATTAGGATAAATAATAGTGTCCATATTTGATATATGAAGAAGGAGATTTCCCTATTGGTATTTTCAACGGTATTTTATTTGAATTGACATTGTTTATCAGTTGCACAATACACGAGGGTGGTGGACGGTTACAGGTATATATATATTACACTTTGTGATATTAAGCTCAATATTCTCCACGCTCACTACATATGGACTTTTACAGCCCCGTAAAGCTTAGTGCACCGTCATATAATCACTAGTGTTATTCCCTCCCCGCTAAAAGTACAAGGTTAGCAATGGGGGAAAAGAAGTGAATTGTAAATGGCATCCTATCCCAATGTGACGATCACGTGAGACTTACGTCACCGAATTTGAGGTCCCGACCAGGTCATCCACCTGTTCCTCTTTCCTTCTCCTCTCAAGCCGTTGGTTTCGCTAAGCTTTGCAGAGGTTTGGATCTCTAGGTGCGTTTACGCCATGGCCGAATCCTTCACCCTGCCTTTGCGCCCCATCCCTGAGAAGCGTGATCGTCCAGATACCTTGCCTGTGGAGATCGCGCAAATCAACAATCAGTGGGGCTCATTTCGTGAAGTGAATGAAGATGTCCTTCGAAACAAGATTGCCGAGGAGGAAGAAAAAGATGGCATGGGGGAGGTAGAGGAGAGTGACCAAGATGCGACCGATCTTGACTCGACGGAGCGCTTGGAGCAACTGTACAAGCGGCGTGCCGAGATCACTCAGTTTGCCATGTGAGTCTAATGATATTGAAGTCATGCCTTAGCGCGCGAGAACTGACAATTTCTCAGGCAAGCCCACATGGAAACCATGTTCGCCCTCGACTTCGTCTCCCTTTTGCTCTCCAAGCAGGCCCCACGTCAGGCCGAAACCTCCATGTCGGCCTTCCTCAAGCAAGTCGCACCCCTTGGTTCGCTCAATGCTGAGGTTGTGCACCCTCCCGCAAAGCCGGACTCGACAACCAAAGATGTATCAGCAGTATCGAGAGGATGGCGGATCCAAAATTTCAACGCGGCGGCAAACAAGCTTCTACAGGCCGCCTCTAGACTTGAAACTGAAGTTGCGTCGGAGACTCGATATTGGAATGAGGTGCTCGCTGTTAAGGACAAGGATGGAAAGTTTCTCGTCTCCCACTCGAAAGGCAATCGCTAGGCGTACAATATGGGTTCCTTGAAGGTGAGCGCATACCGACGTGACTGATACTGCAGGAAGCATCTGCTGACCGCAACCAAACACAGCGACACCTGTTTTCCGCGACCGCGGCCTTGCCTCCTTACGCCGAGCTGAGGATGGGGCTCTGTCGTTAGATGAAGGGTTGATCCCTCCCAAAGCCCGTTTTGTCCGGGTACGGGTGATACAGGATGGTCAGCTTTCGGGAAGTTCTAAACCGATGCGTTCCTCCTTCAACGGTGACGGGACGATTGAGGATCGCATTCTACAAGCTCGCGATACTGTTTATGAAGATGAGCTATTCCACGAGCTAGTCCGAGAAGCCCGAGCGATCGCGAGCTTTGGCGTGACGACACGTCAGAATCTCATTCAAATTCCCGCTTCCGATAACCTTGAAATTTTACTGGACTTGGTTGATACTGATGAAGATACCTCCGAACCCGAACATGGTATCTCACAGCAAGGAACTTCTATTGCAGAGGGGTTGGCACATACGATCCGGATATTATTGGCGTATGCCCACCGTCAAAACTTGCGTCGCCGGACTCAACTTCCATTACCACTGACCCCGAAAACGCGACCTGTTCCTGAGCACCAACTTATTCGGCCAGCTTTAGCTTACATCAAGCACATGTCTCAAGTACGCTGGCTTCAGTCATTACTGGAAAATCTCTTCGGTGTTTTGCAATCGGCAGGTTTGAAACCTCCAGCGTACACCGCAAGAATCTTTTCGAGCAGGGATGCAGAGCCACAGCTCTCCTACTCCAGCCGTGGAGAATCTTGTTGGACAGTTCCTTACCCCCTTTGTGTCTATGTTCAATGGGAAAATTTTGACCCCTCGGGGTTCTTTCTCAATCGCGATTCACACCAACCTCTCCTCACCACCCTTCGGCACCACCTTCGAGGTGTCATTCAATATGCCCAAGTACCCGGACCTTGAGTCTCCTGGTAAAATTTCTCACAGGGAAGAAGTGGAAGCCGCCATCACCCATCTCTTATTGCTTGATGTTGTTTTCACTATCTCATCCAACAGTTCACTAAAGCCCGAGTGTGACAAGGACCCGGCGAAACGCACCTGGGAAGCGATTTACCCTCAACATGGCGAACTTCTGATCCCTACTCCCAAACCCAACTCAGAAAAGCGAAAGAAGATGAAGATTGTTCTTTCCCGTCATGAACTGTCTCTCGAGATCTACACCGTGCGCTGTATCGACGGAACAGGGCGCGGGAATTGGGAAATGCCCTCTTACCATGCAATGCCGCATACTTGGAAACCATCTCCTACTGCTGGACCACCCAAACCGCCCTCTTTGATGGACTTCGTGTCCAAGGTGTCACGTTCGTGACCCACAGAGAGCGCCGACTGGTATCGGGCCGAACCACTCCACCCCAGCCCGCCTTAAGCCGATGCTCGCTCCCCGTCCATCAATAACAGGGCTTGTGGTTTAGTGGTATAATACTCCCTTAGCATGGGAGTGGTCCGGGGTTCGATTCCCCGCGAGTCCATGTCTTTTTGTTTCCGAGTATCTTCTTTGCCTGAAGCAAAAAGTCGTGATGGCTCGCTCGTGAGGTAAAGTAGTGGGGTCTATGCAAAAAATTTTCTCCCCCATCTATTTTCGCAAACATCAATGACAGACAAAAATACTTGAATACCCTGTACAAATAATGGCTAATAAAGGCTGAATTGAAATGCGCTCCCATTTGAATCATGGACATACCGAGGACTAGCTTATATCATAGCTTCGAGCTTAGTGCATTGACAGTTCCTGGGACTGTGAGCGTCTCTCGGAGTCTTTTTTCGCCTAGTCCATATGAAACTGGGAGCCAATCACTGACATCCTCATCTAGAATCATCAAAGCCAACGCCTCACCACTCATCAGGCTGTTCGCCATGCCATATCCATTGAATGCAGCAGCAATCCATTCGCCGTCACCTTCCCGGCCTGTCAGCGTCGTTGATAACCGTCCGACCATCGGCAGACCATCAGAGGAATAACCCATAATTCCGCTCCATGAACTGACCAGACGCCAATCGGATCTGTCATTTTTGCCAAAGAATCGCGGGAGCACGGCTTCCAAGTGTGTAACGGAGTGGTCGGCCACGAAGCTGTCATCTGCAGATATTGACTCGTCAAGACGCGCATGCTCGCCGCCGAAGTAGAAATAGCCAGTCTTTGCGCTCTGTCCAAGGTAGTACAGTCCGTACCCAAGACGTTGGGTTTCGTGATCATAGGATGGAGGGTAATGGAAGCCCCATGATACAGCATTGCCTTGATTTGACACAGCATTATGGGGATCTTGAACTGTCATTGTGCCTTTGAAAGGATGGACAAGCCCTCGTAGGCGAGGAAGGAGATGTCCGCTGTACCCATTGGTGCAATGAACTACAGTCCGTGCTCGTAGTGGACCGCGAGAAGTGCGCAGTGTATACGGATAAATACTCGTGATTCGCGAGGCAAGTATCAAACTGTGCTCAATGGACTCAACCGGTGTATGTGTCTCGATTGTCAGGCGACCTGGATATCTTTCCAAGAGTGCTGCGAATACTTTAGTGACAAGACGATATGGCCAGACTGTTCCAGCAGGAAGCAGGGCTCCTCCAGATGCTCCATGAATTCCATACTCCTAAAAAGGAAAAGATCAGAATGACACCCTATGACCACATGGGTGACAAGACTCACCTTGAGCACAGCATCCGCATCCAAAACTGTATACAACCCCTTCTTAGAAGGATGATCCATTTCCAAGCGCGCGATACTTTTCTTGAAATCGTCAAACTTGCCCTGGGTCAAGAAGACTCGCAGCTTCCGCAGACGTTGCATCTCACTCAACTCGACGGCATCATACTCTTCAATTAATTCCTGCATCTTCTCCAAGTTGCGGAATGTGAAATCCACAATCTTGCCGGCCGTTTCAACCCCATGAGTCTCTGCAAGATGCATATACTGCTCTCCGGCATTCGCAGCCATCTGTCCACCATTGCGCCCAGTCGCACCGGAACAGAGCGCCCGGGCTTCCAAAACGGTTACTGTGGCAGTTGGGTGGCGTTCCAAGAGGGTTCTAGCTACCGATAGACCCGTGATACCCGACCCAATGATCGCAAAATCTCGGTCAGTTGGCAACTGAGAGGATTGCACGTCGGCGAGAGCATGTGGAATATCCTGCCAGTAGGACTCGGTGGGATTGGGTCGCGGCAGGCCTGGGTCAGCCGTGACGAGGCTCAAGACTAGACCGTGTTAACCTTCCATTCATATGCAGACTCAATTCAAGGAACGGGGGTCGATCGTGTTACCTGAATCATTCGGAGCCATGGCGAAGGATGTAAAAAGGCCAAGAGTACGATAGTCCGGGGTAATTGTGAATTTATAACCAGCAGTTGATATTTAATCAGAAATAAACAGTCCACTTTGGTTTCAGAAAATGGAAGCTGGTACCCACGGACATATATGGATGTAGGCATCGTGCGGGGTTTATCTTATCCTAAAGGATCGAATTGCCCGAGTGGGAATACAGGGAATTCCAAAGCCCTGGAGGTGTCCTCTGGTATCTCAATATTGAGGTATTGCAACGATAGCCTCTACACGTAAACACTACATTAATATACTATATGAATTGTGGTCAAACCCCATTTAATATTTTCTGGGACTCTATATGACGTGCACGTGCAAGGTTGGCAGTGACCGTAATGGTCTCATAACTAGCGACCAGTGTCTTTAAGATAAGTTAGTAACATAATCCACTATTTCCCTTCTGGATTCACCATGATATTGAAGGCGTCAAGCGGCCGTTGTAAGTGACTGGAGAAGAAATCTGTTTTGGACTGAGTGGATTCCGTGAAGACATAGATAGGAGCGGTCACAATGGAGAACGACATGGTAGGAGACTCAGAGACCTCAGAAGAGGTGCCGGGTACGTCTATTACCGAGGGGCGTTAGTGCATGGCATTCTCGACGTCAAGATTTGTGATTTTCAGCTTTACCAGTCTTTCCTTTTTGATACCCTCTTTGCCACCTATATAGATGAGGACGAACAAAAGCTACAACCCCTCCAGGGCTTCCATATAATATAGTAATAATACCACAATGTCTGGGGCACCACTGGAAAACTTCCATACGATAAATACAAGGATCTTGTCGGACTCCATGTTTGAGGCATGTAAATGGCGTAACTGCATTCCCGATAACATTCCATACCAACTACGTACCTAAGAACTTGGGCCTAGGAATGTGAAAGGCTTGTTTCATGGATCTTCGATCTCTAGGATGACCTTGCTATAATAGTTCAATCATTTCCAATTTTTTCTTTGCGCCTTCATCGTTTCAGTATATCTTGAATATTTCATTTTCCTCACAATGAAGCTCTCTTCTATCTTCCTTACAGTTTCTGCATTGGCCACAACTGGTCTCGCCGAGAAGACGTGCACTCCTAGCTTTGATTATTGCTCCGATGTCCTGATCAAAGACAAAGGTAAATTGTCCACTGTCAAGTATCGCTGTGTCAAACTAATCGAAGAGATGTTAGGCTTCACCGAGGCCGATCTGAAAGATGTTTTGAAGGGTTCGGATCTAGAAAATGAGGATATTAAGAATGTTCTATTCCATTGCAAGAACCCGGGCGACGTTGGACACCCCAAGCTCTGCTCGAGCGGATGCAAAGATCCAGAGTCAGAGGGTAGCCATTCATGCTCAAGGTAAGCCAATCTTATTATCAAGTTCCAATTCGCAGCTGATGACGCAACAGCTAAATAATGCTGGTCACGAGAGGACACCAGCTGAGCAATCTATACACTTTGGTAGTAAAGATCTGAGGGCATTCCCAATCACAGAAATATCTTCACTTAGAAGACTATGCATATTCACTCATAGCAACCACAACAGACATAAGATAACGACAGTTTCTTAGTTCTGCTGTTGCCCATGTATCTGATGATGGTAAGATCATTTGTACCGTCACTGTGGTGCTTAGACCTTTCACTGAAGTTTGTACCTCGTACGCGGTTTCGAACAAGGGCTAGACAAGGAGCTGCAGGCACGTGTCGGAATCGAAAACGTGGCCACAGGCCGTATGTTGTGTGGACACATGCAAGTGACAATGCAAAAGTCCTGCAACCGGTGAAGCACTCTTCTACCGGTCAGAGGGTTCCCAGAAAGCTATCCAGTACCACAAGAGTAACATTAGTATGAGAGAGCATGTGACAATATGCGTGGCATCGCTCCTTTGCTGCTATTCTCATGCACCGAGGCCGTGGGAATGAGCCCGTCAGGCCATGTTTGCCAAGGGTCCATGGGTGGTCAGTTGTACACCAATGATAATTGGCTGCAGAATTAAGGTATAGTGAACCAGTATAATAACTGATATGATGCTGATGACTATAAAGATGAGAAATAACATCAACTCTCAAGGAGGAGAAGATGTCATGGCCAGACCAAACAAAGCAAACAAATCAAATACCGTATGAGTGACATCACACAGACCCCTCACCGCCTGCACTAAACCCAAATAGACCAAGCGGTGACATACGTCGTGCAGCCAAATTGGAAGGGAACGCAGGTACTAAAAAGGTATTGGAAAAAGTCATACCACTTGAATTTTAGGGTAAATTATATACATATATGTATACAAATAGTTTAGACATATCCAGATCAATTGACCAATTCCTCAACAATTCCTTATGTTTCTTAAATCCAACCTGATACTTTAGCTTCAACTTGTTTCGTCTGTGACGCAAAGCACCCACCCTTCTGCCCAATTTCTCTCACCGGATTGGGTTTGACCCCTCCACACCCCACCAACTCATAACTGGAGCTTTACAACGCTTATCGGCTGCTTTTTTTTTGACTTATTTTCTTCTCCCTAATCACTTCACGTTTCATTCTTCGATTATCGACCTGTACTTCAGGTCGAAGCCCTTAATTCGATATGGAGCCCGCCAAAATCGCCGCTCAGCCGGCTAAGAGACGCCGCATTGGTGTCCTCACCTCTGGTGGAGATGCTCCCGGTATGAACGGTGCCGTGCGGGCTGTTGTCCGTATGGCAATTCACTGCGACTGCGAAGCCTACGCCATTTTCGAAGGATACGAAGGACTGGTCAATGGCGGCAACATGATCCGCCAGCTGCACTGGGAGGATGTACGCGGCTGGTTGTCCCGCGGTGGCACCCTGATCGGTTCTGCCCGCAGCTTGGCATTCCGTGAGCGTGTTGGGCGTATGAAGGCAGCGAAGAACATGGTTCTGAGAGGTATCGATGCACTAGTCGTCTGTGGTGGTGACGGCAGTTTGACTGGTGCCGATGTCTTCCGTGCCGAGTGGCCCGGCTTGTTGGCAGACCTCATTGCCTCGGGGGAGTTGTCTCCTGAGCAGGTGGAACCCTACAAGGTGTTGAACATTGTAGGCCTGGTTGGTTCGATTGACAATGATATGTCTGGGACAGATGCCACTATCGGTTGTTACTCGTCCTTGACCCGTATCTGTGATGCCGTCGACGATGTCTTTGATACTGCTTTCTCCCATCAGCGTGGTTTCGTCATTGAGGTCATGGGCCGACACTGTGGTTGGCTTGCCTTAATGTCCGCCATCAGTACTGGTGCAGACTGGATGTTCCTTCCTGAAATGCCCCCTAAGGACGGTTGGGAGGATGATATGTGCTCCGTAATCACCAAGGTGGGAATCACTCCAGCATTGTTCAATGTCCTCTTTTTGCTGACTTTTGGTGTTTGACAGAACCGAACCGAACGCGGAAAGCGCCGTACGATCGTTATTGTCGCCGAGGGAGCCCAGGATCGCCAATTGAACAAGGTCTCGAGCTCGAAAATCAAGGATATTCTCACAGATCGTCTGGGCTTGGACACCCGAGTCACCATTCTAGGCCACACCCAACGAGGTGGTGCGGCATGCGCTTACGACCGCTGGCTGTCGACTCTCCAGGGCGTGGAGGCCGTTCGTGCTGTGCTAGAAATGTCACCTGAGTCTCCTTCACCAGTTATCACCATCCGCGAGAACAAGATCATGCGCACCCCTCTGATGGAAGCAGTTCAAGCAACAAAAGATGTGGCGGCGAAGATCGACAAAAAGGAGTTCGATGAGGCCATGACGCTCCGGGATCCTGAATTCAGGGAGTACTACAACGCATATTTGACCACCGCGACCCAGGATGACCCGAAGGTGGTTCTTCCGGAAGGCAAGGTATGCACCTAATTCCACAGCCCATCCGGGTTGATCAGAGTCCTTAGACCTTCCAGATGCTTACTATTTTACAGAGAATGCGAATCGCCATTATTCACGTCGGTGCCCCAGCTGGTGGTATGAACCAAGCAACTCGGGCCGCCGTTGCATACTGCCTAACCCGTGGCCACACCCCGCTGGCTATTCATAACGGTTTCCCCGGATTGTGCCGTCACCACGACGATAAGCCAGTCAGCTCAGTCCGCGAGGTCACTTGGCTGGAAGCTGACAGCTGGGTCAACGAGGGTGGTTCAGACATTGGAACTAACCGTAGCCTGCCGTCTGCTGATATGGCGGAAACCGCCAAGTGCTTTGAGTTGTACAAGTTTGATGCCCTGTTTGTTGTTGGTGGTTTCGAGGCTTTCACAGCCGTCAGCCAGCTGCGCCAGGCTCGTGCGCAGTATGATGCGTTCAAGATTCCGCTCATCGTGCTCCCAGCTACTATTTCCAACAACGTCCCGGGCACTGAATATTCCTTGGGCAGTGACACCTGCCTGAACACCCTGATTGACTTCTGTGATGCTATTCGTCAATCTGCCTCCTCTTCTCGCCGCAGAGTGTTCGTGATTGAGACCCAAGGTGGCAAATCTGGATACATTGCGACCACAGCTGGCCTCGCCGTGGGTGCCGTGGCTGTATACATTCCCGAAGAGGGTGTTGATATCAAGATGCTCTCGCGCGATATCGACTTCCTGCGTGAGAACTTCCTCCGCGACAAAGGAGCTAACCGTGCAGGCAAGATCATTCTGCGTAACGAATGTGCGTCCGGCACATACACTACCCAGGTGATCGCCGACATGATCAAGGAAGAGGCAAAGGGCCGCTTCGAGTCTCGCGCCGCTGTTCCCGGTCACTTCCAGCAAGGTGGGAAGCCTTCGCCAATGGATCGTGTTCGTGCTTTGCGTATGGCCATCAGGTGCATGCAGCACATCGAAGGATATGCCGGCAAGAGTGGTGATGAAATTGCCGCGGATCCTACCTCCAGTGCCGTGATTGGCGTCAAAGGCTCACGTGTTCTATTCTCCCCCATGGGTGGTGAGACTGGTCTGGAAGCTACCGAGACTGATTGGGCGCGCCGTCGCCCCAAGTCCGAGTTCTGGCTTGAACTGCAGGACGTCGTGAATGTCCTGTCTGGACGCAGCCACGCTAACAACTCGAGCTGGTCCTATGAGAGTACGTAAACCGAACTGTGACCCTGCTTGTTTGCTCTCCCCTATCCAACTCGTTTCATCGCTGCTCGTTTTGCTCCTTTGGCCTTTGGAGGATTGGATTCTCCATACAGTGGTCACTTATGGCGCTCTGCTCAATACGAATGTTAACGATTGCCCCTGTTTCTTATTTTTCAGATCCTTCAACAGTCCGATCCGTCCCGTCGGTTCCCAGCTCCCCATGAAAAGGATTCCTACCCAAGGACTTCAACAACTTCTTTCCAACCCACGATGGAATCCATGCCAATGACCCGGGATATTCTTGAATGTTTCTTCCAAATACTGGCCGGCGAGCCATCCACTAACTTCTGATGTTGAGGGCGATCGTACTGAACGTCCGTTATGCTTTGTACGATGCTATGCAACAAGTCCTCCAGACCCAGGGATGGTTTACGTGACATTTATGCCTGGGAGTTTGGGCGATTGTGTTTTCTTGTTTGATGGGTCTCTACTTCTCTGGAAGACTCTGATCTACGCCATAGAGTGCGTTGTAGATAGAACCATCAATTTCAACCTCCAAATCATTTGAAATGAACCAAGAACGCTACAGGTGACTGCTATTGTGAGTATGAAAGTAGTCCAAAGACAGCATTATAGAATCGCTGAAGGTGTACCAGTAACACTGATACTGAAATACGAGCCCCGGACATATGCATTATTCCATGCGGAGTTCAATGACTACGGGTTTACCGTCTTCTCCAGCTCATCGAGGAGGTCCACTGTCTCAGCGGGGCTTGCAATCCAGGCGGTTGTGGATGCAAGGCGGGCCTAAGTCAGAAAAAGAAAAGAAAAAGTGTTAGTCTAACCGGTAGCCAAAGGATAGTTTTATAATTTTCCCACCTTGAAGTCATTGGCCCCAGCCGACAAGAACTGGTCGCCAACATGCAGTGTTTTGGCTGGATCGATGCCACCAAAGTAGCGCTGACAGGCGCGCACACCCATGATTTGTCGCCGATATCCACAAAGACATCATTCCCGCCGTTGAAAGCACAGAATGGCAATCTTGCCCCAACAGCCGAACGTTGGACGGTATTCTGCACCACCAACACAGTTTCTTCCAACTGCTCCCGACTGATTCGCACACCGTTTACCGGGTAGACACCAACCGCACGATCCTTGCGCAGAATAGCCGCAGGCAGATTGAGATTATCAGCGCACGCACGCAGAGCCGACTCGGCAATATCAAGAAGCTGGGTGATATCATCCTCACTCCAGCACTGCATCTCATCTAGCAACCATTCGCTCCGCGGTACATAGGCGAGTCGGGCGTCCGAGGTCGGGTCAAAGCGGAACAAGAAATTGCTCTCGCCGCCCATGACAATCAGCCCTTGTTTCTGATTGGCGGTGAGAGTAGTTGAACTGTGCATCGCATCGAGCAGACCATGGAGGCGCTCGTAATACTTTGGCGCGTCGGTGTACCCGGCCGCTGTCACAATGCCGACCTTGCGGTTCTGTTCGAGGAGTCGCAGAATCCGCGGGATGACGGGGTTGTCGGATGTGAGACAGGCGCCGTCGTCATAGAGTGTTACATCTCCGTCGAATGTGACTAGTTTCACATCGCTGGAGCGGACAAGACCCATCACCTGGGCGGAGTTCAAGATGAGTCGGATATCGTTGAATGAAGGGGCGACGAAGCGTCGTCGGCTGATGAATCGCTGCTGGTCTTGATATTTGAATGCATCTTCCAAATATAGCCTGGTGAAAAAAGTGCCGACGGACGGCACGAGCAGGTTCAATTTCGATTTGCCGGGAGCATTGCGTTCGTGGTGTTGGACTTCAATGAGTTAGGAGTCTTCCCCTATTTCTTGATCTCTACTAATCCCACTTACTGTGATCAAGCACCAGATTCTCTACATCGCGCATAATCTCTGCATAGCGAACGTGCGTGTCGGCCGCGACTGTCTTCAGCACCTCGCCATTTTCCTTGTAGATTGCGGTGGGCTGGGAATGCAGGACAAAGGGGACGGCCAGTAGACCCTAGAGGGATTAGAATCGGCCAATACGACATACGACATCGACTGAGTGACGTACTTTTATCCACTCAATCTATAGATTGTTAGGCATATTCTTTTTGTCTTTAGCTGTAGTAACGACTTACAAGTTGATCCCGGCGATGGGTCTATACGGCTGTGGGGTCAGTGAGGGGTACACATTTCTTGCGGAGATAGCCGTACCTTGAGGGCATCTAAGAGATGTTAGCGGAGATAAAATGAAAATAAAGTGTATATGACGTACATTCTACTCTATAACGCGTCGTCATGATTTGATGAAATTGGGAGAAAGATGATGCCTGGGGATGATCCCGAGGTCAGAGTGTTAGCTTAGCTGGTGCACGTCCCTTTTTTCCGGGTGACTCACGCGGAGCTCGGAGTATACAACATACGAGAGTCACAACAATTTCGGAGCTGACGGTTACTCTATTGGTCAAATTGGCCCGATTCGTCATTGCTGATAGCCTAGCTCGGCTTGATCTTCGTACTCAATGACTGGATCTGGGTCGCTGCTCGTAACGCCTCCGAGTACTATTGGTCTTTCAAAAGTGCCTCAAACACAAAATATTGTGGCCTATACAACGCATCTTTAATTTGAAAGACCTTTGGGATGACTCCGAGCCCCGAAAAAAAGGGTCTCGACACTGCCACGATGCCTGGCCAAATCATATCTAGACAGCAAAAAGCTTGATTGGACAAGAGATGCCTGAGGACGTAGATCAAGCAGAAGTATAAGTATTTGCGACGGAGACCTTTTTTGTTTCGTATTCACAATTCGCAAAATCATTGAACATCAAAAGATCCTTCCCGTGAAAAAAGCAACGGCGATTTCTAAACTCCATCGAAAGCCATGCTAGCTGTATCTATACAGTCCACTCCACCAACCATGAACACGCCCGGGCATCACGATGCCCACCAAAATATTCCCCATCCGAGGAATTAAATTCCTTTCTCGATGAAAAGTCCGACAATCCCATGATTCTCCCACCGGAGCAAGACGAGCCCGGGTTTGCTGTTGCATCTGCTCTCAGCCGAGGCCTGCAAGTACCATCCAGATCTGGCGCCTGTACATCAGGATTCGAGTATCCCGATGAACTATCTCATTATGGCATTTCGGAAAGCCACTGGGCAGAGTTCACACAAGTAGTCTGCGACGAAGCCAAGCTTTCTCGTCAGCAGTGGACCACCGTGCTTGGCAGAGGCTTGGGTACAATGGCAGTCGGCGGGCTGATGGTTGGGATTCTGGGCGCTATCCCCGCGATCTTCGTTGCCCGTCTCACAAGAAATCGACAAGAACAACGGAATCTAATTTCGGCAATGGCTGGAGCTCGCGGTGAACGTCTTGCTCAACATATCTCGCAATGGAACGAGTCTGTCTTTCGGCCTAGGGGTATTTTGATTCGGGTCGATTTGCCAGACGAATACTTGAATGATATGGAAGATATGGATATTCGAACAAGTGGTGGATCGACACGGTCTATTAGGAAGTCTCGGGATAAGGCTGCGCTCAAGGCGAGAATTGTCATCATCCCTCTGGATGGGATGTCAACTGGTCATTCCTCATGTTGGGAAAATCGTGGGTAACGGAACACAAGAAAGATGGCGGCGGCAAAAAAGGACATGCACTTGTTTATTGATGTATTTCAGCGACAGTAAAAGGCCAAGAACGGGAGGTTATAATTCAAAAGTGGTTCCCGAGGTCATTCATCATGATCGTTTCATTAATCAAAAAGGATAACCCTTCTCTCATGACCAGCAAATGGACATTCTAGATATCCAATTGATTTAAAAGGAAAAAAAGAAAAGAATAACAGCCCGGGCGACAATCAAACGCGGCCCTCTCTATCCTGCCTCTCAATATGTTGAGCCGCTCCGTGCGTCTGCACCGCCATCTCCATTTTGTCGTCCACAACCTGGTCACGCTCATCGGCATCCCGGTTACCATACAGACCAACCTTGTACCAAGGCAAAGCAAAGAGACGATCCATACTCTCCAGCGAGCGACCGGCCGTCTCCGGAATACTGAACCAAACCCAGACACCACCGATAATGGTGATGGCAGCAAAGCACCAGAAAGTACCCTTGGGATCAATTCCACCTGTTGCGACAGGCAGAAGCATATTGGGAACTGCCCGGGCATTACCATATTGGTTGGCAAAGTGGAGAGTCATGGCCATAGAAGTGCAAAGAGCACGGATGCGCAGAGGGAAGAGCTCTGCAGTCAGAAGATACTGCATTGAGTTCCAGCCCAGAGCCCATCCAAATCCAGAGACGTAGATCATTGCAATGGCTCCCTCGCTAGCGCCCTTCTTGTCAGCTGGTAGCGTGTAGTTCTCGTCGACGCCCATTGCGGGAACGGATGTCAAGAAGCCGGCGATGTAGACCATAGAAATTGCTTGTAGGGTAATTCCAATAAGGAGGGCTCGCTTGCGTCCAATGACATCGACCAAGAAAAGAGCGCAGAGAATTGCGGCGATCAGCTTGATGATTCCGAACACAGCAGTTACCAGCAGAGACTCGTTCTCGCCTGTGACCCCTAGCAACTTGAACAAGTCAGGGGCGTAGACAGTGATACTACCAGCACCGGACCATTGCGAAAGGATCTGGGCCATGAATGTGAGGTAGACTCGGTAGAGGTTCGCTGGGACCAGGAAGGTCTCCTTGATCACGCCGATTGGCCCGGACCCCATTGTAGCTTCCATCTCGGCTGCATGTGATGTTTGAATAGTGGATATCTCGCGTACCACGTATTCATCGTCGGTTGGTAGGCCGCGGATTTTGGAGAGAGTCGAGATGGCCTTTTCGAGCTGGCCGCGTTTGACCAGATATCGGGGTGATTCGTGCTGGAGGAAGGAGAGGACGAAGATGAGACCGGCAAAGATAATATGCAGACTTGTGGGAACGAGCTATGTTCGAGTCAGTACTGGTAATATAAGTGGTTTGGGCGGATGACACATACCCATCGGTTATGAGTTTTGTCGCCAAGATTGAGCTCACAGCCATAGTTGGCAAAATATGCGAGTACGATACCCAAATAGACAAAGCCCGTGAAGACACAGGTACAGAGACCACGGATAGAGGCGGGAGCCTTTGGTGTTTGTTAGTTGATGCAAGACGTGACTTGGATAACGAGGAACTCACAATTTCAGCAAGATACACAGGACCAACGACAACTGTTTGGCCCACGCCGAGTCCAGCAATAAAGCGACCAGCATAGACAGCACCCAAGCTGCCACTGTTACCCATGAAGATTGCGATTCCCAAAATCCATAAAATACAAAGTTGGCGAGTTGCCCAGATACGACCGATGCGATCACAAACTAAAAAGGCACTGTATAAGAACAAACGGGATTAGCGACAGGGGATCCGATATAAATAGGAAACAAGGAGGAACTCACAAAAGAGCGCCTCCAACAGATCCAATCTGGACCATTGCAGTGACATTTCCCTTGATGTTGGTCTGTTCCACCTCGCTGTACGAGTCGTAGTTGATGTAATGTTGAAAGTCTTTAGAATTGAAGGCGCCTGAGATCAAACCCTCATCGACACCTCGGGCAGCGCCCATCAGGCCAAATGAGATGACCGCAAACCATAATCGCCAGTTGAAGACCTCTTTAGGCTCGCCCAGGTCTTTGAGGCGGAAGATATTGACTGGTTTCTTCGCTCCGCCGGCCATGGTGGGCAACACTCAAGTACGTAGTTGAATGCGGGGATAATATCAAAGGCAAAGCCGGGGGTAGTACGAGAAGAGTCAAAATACAAACATGAGCCAGAGCAGGCCTTTATAGCTATGGAATCCCGGTTTTCACTACGGAGTACATGCGGGGAAATCTGGGGGTGAGGGGGGAACGGAAATTTCAGCCGAAGAAATCCCATTGAGACCGATCAAGGAAATCCCTGAAATCCCTATAAGCCAAAATGAGCCGCGGTGAGACATAGAACATACACATGATACAACATGCATCGGGATAGGCTAAGGCTAAGGCTCCGGGAACCGCGCCAAGAGAGCTTGCGTCTCGAGCCCAAGGCCCGCTTGACTCTCATTTGACGAAGCTGCCGGTCTTTCTACGGGGCATGGCCGAGTTTCCCAGACCACGTGGTCGCAATTTGGAATCAAATACGCTTCACTTGAGGACTGCAGGGTTGTAGCTCACTTTTCTTTTGTTCTCATTGCATCTTCATTCTCAGATTGTGACTTTCCACTCAGTAGTATTGGAGTACCTGAACTGCCAAGAGTATCATTTCCTCCACCAAACCTTGAAAGTGAGTTTCGGACAACGTCCGAATTGAAAATGTGTGTGTGTGCCGTACGTGGCTTGTAGGGAATCAAGAGGTCCACCAGGGGAGATGTTAGCCTCTTCTATCGCGGGGGCGAAAAACTGGAGAAAAACCCCATCCATGACAGATGTGAGACCATTGATTGGTTGACAACCCACAAACTCTCCGGTCTGGGAAGGGAAGACGCACCGCTACTTGGCGTGGGGTGCGCTTTGATGAGCCGATCCAAAACTCCATTTCGCGTTTTCACGGAGAAGACCGTTTGCCGAGATTCTCGTCATTTCAGGCATATATTCGGGTTCTACAGTTTCCTGACGGCATGCTTGAATATTAAACTTTGCTAACCCCCGATCTTAGGAAGGATGGATGGTTCAGCTCGAGAAGATTTGGTCCGTTCTTCGGCGTTTGTTATTATCGCAATATCGTCTTGCTCCTTGCAGGGCGCATCACTTGGAATCAGGAGCACATCGCAAAGTCCCTTCCTTTTTAAGGGACTATGTAGTGTGGTAATTGAGAAAAACCATACTGGGTACGAAATGACATCAAAAGAGCGGTTTATCTCAGACTTCTATGCGCGTTACTCCGTAAAGCAAATGAAGTTCTAAGATGACCTATGCCTTTGCCCGAGAATCGGAGTTTTCTAAGGTAATATTAATCAATTGAATGTTCGAGACCAAGGCTAGCGTGCGGAGTTGTCAATCTATGACATCGGAAAATAAGATACAGGACGAAAGTGATTGGTGGAGCTATATAGCACGACTATGGTCGCCAGCGGAACCCAGGGTTGCGCCAGTCCATGTCCTGAATCTGTTGCTGGGAAAGTCCCGCCAAGGCGCTGTGGACATCGATGCGCGCACGGCGCCGGTTATCCCATGTAATATAGGCCCATAGACCAGCCCCAAGAAGGAGAGTGGTGCTTGAAGTTGCCAAGTTCAGCCCATTACCAATAGGGGTAGTTGGGCCCATCAAAAGGTAAGAATGACCAGGTGCTGATGAGCCCACCAACATTGCCGAACATCACCGTAGTTCCAATAGCCGAAGATCTCGCGGTGTCGGAGATCACATTTGCCGATGCGTGGGCAGTACAGAGGGAGCCAAAGGCAAAGGCCCCACAGGCAATAATAAAGGTGGCCCCATATCGTACCATACTGTCTTCGCTAGCCAGGAACATGATATAACCTATATAAATCCCCATAAATGATTAGCCTGAGATCAGTTGCACGCTCCCATCCTTATATTATAGGAGGTTTCCCCAGGAGTTGAGACTTACCAGTCACCATTAGCGGCGGGCTGAGCACGAAGAATATGAGGCGATGATTGAATCGCCAGCTGAGGTAGGGAAATAGCAAAGTGAAAAATGCGCCGACAACATAAGGAGGTACTGTGTGCAGCTGCTGAGACACGACAGAGGCATTGGGGTAGATGGTTTTGACAATGGTTGGCGCAAAGAATCCAAGACCCTGAACAGTAATATTGTTCAACATGAAGATGACACCGGTTACTAGTGTTACTGGGCTGAAGATACCACGTAGTGTCTTGGCTACATCAAGCTTGTCGAGGACCTCTGTCGCGCCAACACGTTCGGATTTGACCCGGGCAACGGCTAGATCCTTCTCTTCCTGGGAGAGCCACTTGGCTGTGGCAGGTCGGTCGGTCAACGTGAAGAATCCGAGGACACCAATTCCGATCGTGACAATGCCTTCAATAGCGAAGATCATACGCCAGGTGCGAAGAGAACCAAAATGATCGAGCATAAGGATACCCGAGGCTAGAAGGCCACCGAACGCTCCAGCGAGAGGAGCCATGACGACATACAATGACAGGCGGAAGACAAGTTCATTTTGTCGATACCAACGTGAAAGGTAGTACGCAATTCCAGGCAGCACTCCTGCCTCGAACACGCTAGACAGTTGTCAGCACTGTCGAGTTTCCAGAATCCAGGACACATACCCCAAAAGGAAGCGGACACCAGATGCGCTATGTATATCATTAACAAAAGCCGTGGCGACTGAACAGATACCAAATCCCAATGTGATGCCCGGAAGCCACCATCCAGGCCCGACCCATTTGCACATGAGATTGCTGGGGATTTCGAAGACAATGTATGCGATAAAGAAGATCGAGAGCACGGCGTTGTAATCGTAGCCTTCGAGTCCAAGGTCCTTGTCGAAGCCAGCCAGTTTAGCGTTGCCTATTCCAGGAAAGAAAAGAAATTCGTTAGCATTTGAATTGAAGGGGAAAAAAAAGATAAGAGGGGCTAGTCACACACCAACATTGGCTCGATCGATGAAACAAAAGAGATACATCAATGCAACAGGTGGGATAATACACAAATCAATCTTGAGTCGCAATCGTGACTCGGCGGCCTTGTCAAATTCTACCAGGGGCTGGCCATGTTCATCTGTCGCAAGTTGGCCTCTTTCTGCTGCGCCATGGGCGACTTCCCCCATCATATGCTCTTTATGGTCTGCCATGACCTTTTCATCACCGATGGGCGTGCTGCCTCTCTCGGTGTCTGTCATGTTAGAGTATCGGACAGCGGATTTATCTTGGAAGAGATAAGGGGGCGGTCAGCAGGTTTCGGATAACAGGGATCAAGGGAGACCTCGGGAGCATAGGGGGTGACCGGGTATTTTATAGCTCAATCAGAAGCCCGATCAAAAGAAAAACGGTTGAATCTGGGGTTGTGGGGGATCGAATTCAGTCCCATAGTGACGTTCGGCTTTTTCAGCAGCTGCAAGCTCAATTTGCCGTTGCCAAGGCAAGGGTACTCAGTCTGACACGGCAAATAGTCAGGAATGCTGCCTGAGTAGCCGGAACTGACAGTGGGAGAAGCAAGTATTATTATGGAGGTCCAATCATAATAGTTTCTAACAGGCCGAGGTGTCAGACCTCTAAGTCTAGAGGCAATGGCACTTGAGACTCCAAGGATTTAGAGATTTCCCCAGACTTGTGGATCAATCCACCCCGGACTATATCATTGGTTTTGTGGGGATCTCCGAATGAATTACAAGGTAGCTAGCCTAGGTACAGTCTACAGGAAATGCCGACTGCCTCATCCGACTATCTCTCAGGCGTCATGGTGACCAACCATAACCCCGGAATGTGTGAGGAGTTGTGATTCTCCAAGATGCCAAGTCTTCCAAGAAACATGGCTTGGAGCATCGCGCTGATAGGTCGTCGGATCGGAAATTATCCCGAAGCTGGTCCGAAGCTGCTCTAGTCGGATGATTTGATGTTTTTCTCAAGAGTAAGAGTGTACATACAGAGTACGGGATTCTTGCACGTTTTGAAGACGTGGAATATATAAGATATTGTTAAGGAAATAAAGATGGGTCCGCAGACCAAGAATATTGATTTGTTAGATATGTATGTACGTAAGGATAGGTGATTAACCTTTTGTCTTTAGGAAGAGTATTACCTCCATGTAGGTAGGTACCTAGGTAGGTGTCTTTTATAGTCAACCCGACCGCCTTTCAGTTCCGTTATGTGATTCTCGATACCATTTCGAAATTTGACCAGATTTATCTTAGGTCGGGTTATCCTAGCTCGGGTTATCCTAGCTCGGGTTATCCTGGCTCGGGTTGTCCTGGCTCGGATTATCCTAGATTTAGGCTCTATCCTAGGTCTTATTCGGGCATCCCTATCCTAACTCGGAAGTTGCAGGGTATGTAAGAATTCGATATGTGAACCTATATCGAAATAGTTCTTTACTGGGTGAAAGTAGAAAAATGAAGAGGCTTAACATGTATTGTCGGTTCGAGCGAAATCGTCGACCTAATTCCCTACGGGAGAGCTAGGTGTGAAGCGTAAGACTTAGTGCACCGAGTACCTCGATTCCCCACGTCAGCCACTATTATTGCCAAAGAAAATAAGTACGAGCCCGTAGACTACGCCGGCAACCTTCAAGAATCTTGACTAAGAATAGGTGGTTGTGTTCTGGAAGAATATTGGCTATGTCTTCCAAGGTTGTTTCGACAACCTCGATACCGCCTTCCAGATCAGACAACGCCCGTGGGGACTTTCTGATCTGGCAAAGGCCAGAGGGAAAAGGGAGAGAAGAATGTTGGATTCTCTATCTGTGAGAGACTGGCTAATGTACTCGCTAACAAACCTGTGGACATGTGAAGCCTGACAAACTAGGCAATGCCTGTCATAACACTTTCCGAGGTTGGCCCGAGCCCTCCTGAGTCCAGGGCTGTGATGACAAACCACCACGTGACTCGGATATAGACGGATGATCTTTTCGGATTAAACGGATGAACTGCACTGACAGGAGTTCTGTGAGACTTGCATACATATTATCCATGTCTGAGGCGTCGGATAAAGCCCAACCCGGTTGGCGAATCCCTCGCGCATGCCAGGAATGCCGCAAACGTAAAATCAAATGCAATGGCCTGACCCCGTGAGATCTTTCAATCTATGTTCGAATAGTGAATACATCAGGCTAATATAATAGCAGGTGCAAAACTTGCCAATTGCGCAATACACCCTGTATATACAGAGACTATATTCGCCATCGGCGGAAGAAATATGAGTATGAAGAAGCCGGCGAGAGGAATTCACCTCGTCAAGCCTCCTCAACTGGAGTCCCGCCATCGGGGCAGCACACAGCCTCCGTTATGAATGACTTCCCAAATAGTGTATCTGCAACACATATGGCATCGCCATCATGTCAGATGCAGCTATACTATGGCCCCACCTCTCATTTCTCGCTCATGCAGCATATCTACCGAGATCTCATCTCCAATCCTACATCTCACCCTGAACCATCTGGCGGGGTCGAGGAAGCTGGGGCTGGCTTGGACTTGTTTAGCTTTCGTCGCATTTTTTTTGGAACCCCAGACATTCATGAGAGTATCAAGTCCCTCGGAACAGGGGAGTTGTCTTCGATGTTCCTGCCGTACGACCTGGCTAAGCTCTTTCTATCGCGATTTCTCTCTAGCTTTTACCATTTGATGCCATATCGCCCCAAGATGCATTATGAGCAATGTCTGAATCGACTGTATAGTTCCTCGCCCACAGAACATTTAGATGCTCTCACCAGAGCGATCGTTCTTCTTGCCATGGCTACCGCGGCACTTGGCACGGAACATTTCGCCTGGGGTGATGTGCTGTTCGAGCGCGTCAAGGCTTCGTTGACAGCATTTGATGACGTGGTGAACCTTCAGACTATTCAAATCTCAGTTCTCATGATAAGTCCCTACCTTGTCCTTCTATCTTGCTACCAGACTAACATAGGCTTTACGCCAATTACCAGAACGAACAAGCTCGGCCCAACTCAGTGTTCTTGCATCTGGGTTCTGCTTGTCGCAAAGCCTTATCAGCAGGTCTGCATAAGGATGTGCCCAATAATGTTGATCAAACCCCGGAAAACATCGAAGAACGACGGGTAACCTTCTGGTCTCTTTACATATTCGAAACGTACATCACCCCTTTCGGTCCGATATATGGTGAACTCACTAACTTCATATAGCTGGTTCTGCTTCCATGTGGGACGTCCTAGCTCCCTTTCCCTTAAAGATGTCGCAATCGAGTACGCGCAGGATCCATTTATTCGATTGTTGGTTCAGCTTTGCAAAAGCATGAGTCGGTCTGTTAATGAGATATATGGCCAGCGGCATGAGTCTCTTCTGCACATGTGGAGAGTCGCTCGATCCATTGCGGATGATATCCGTGGCTATGAGCCACATCTACAACAAGCTTTAGGTCTTGGGCTTGATGATCACATCCAGGCGGGATCCCTTGGCGTTCGGCAAATAATCTTCATTACCCGTAAGTCAACAGTTGAAATATTGTCTACTCCACTGACCAAAGCTAGTATACTATCATACCCTACTTCTTACATTTCGCCCGTTCGTGATATTTCGCGGTCATTGGCAGCGCGAGAGGAATATCGCACCCAACCAGTCCAGCGCCAATGTCACCAATCGCCCTAGAGAAACGCCTTCTTGGCTCAACGAAGCCTGCAATCATGCCATCACTGCCGCCCAAAAAAACACTGCATCACTTATGTGAAGCTTCAAGAGTCAACAATCTTGTTCTGGTAAATGGACCAAATGTTTCTACAGAAACTTCCACTAACAGCGTTGTAGGAATTGCGATACCATGGTTTCTTTTTCGGCAATTCTGTTTTTACTCTCATTTACGAGTTCATTCACAACCCGGATGTCGCGCCTGTTTATCTGCCATGGGTTTATGCATCATTGCAAACCTTGTCAACCATGCGAGCAGGGGACCCGATCGCAAGCTCAATCTCAGCCATACAGACTGTGCTTCACAATATTAATCCATCGTACGAATGGGTACCTGGATTAGCAACAACTGGGGGTAGCATTGTGCCCCCAGAAGGGACAGCCATACAACAAGGCCTTACCCCCGACCGCAGGCATCGATCGCTGCTCAACAACCCTGCAATTTCTCAGAACCCGTCACTAGGAATGCCACCTGGTATACTGACGTCTCCTTGGAATCTCCCACAGTTAGAAAAGCCTGGAAACTCGGAGACCGGAGGCTCTGTTGGCTCCGGGGAAGACCTGCTTGATTTCACCCAGTCTGACATGGGCTGGGATTTCGATTTCTCTACCATGGACCTGGACGCCTTCTTTTCGGTTTATCAGTCGAATGATGCTGCCGCGCTTTGATGGGAGCCTTGCACCAGGAAATACCATAACCTAGAATAAAATTTCTTCATACTGTATCCATTTGGTCTCCATCAGGCCCCGGTCATCTACGGACTTGCTTAATCGGTGCAGATCTTCAAGGCTATATCCGAAGGGTGGATCTAATCGAAGCTCTGGAAGGTGCAGAAATAGAAACCCAACGAATAAACGGCCGTTCCGGGCCGAGTGGGTCACTTATATATCCGTACATATATTTCCGAGCAACTCACACCAGTGATATCCTCGCTAACACGATGGTTTTTGCAGTTATTTCATGTGCCTGAAGGCATATCCCCTGTTTATAAATTCCGCCACACCGATAAATACGTGATATGATCTGATAACCACGACCCACTCCCGGCAATATGGATTTAAAACATAGATGCGATAATGAAATCCACAATATAAGAGTTCTTCCACGCCTCAACATCATGTTATTTTTCTCTAATCTCACTTTAATTGGTACCATTGCCAGCAGCCGTTCTTTTCATTTCAGGAACATACACCTCCGTCATGGAGACTCCATCGTCCGGCACAACAACCCCGGTCGATTTGGAACACGGCGACGACCAGATCCGTAAACGACTGACAGTCACCTTCCGCGATCTAAATGTCCGAGTCACGGCACCAGATGCTGCTTTGGGAAGCACTTTATGGTCAGAGGTGGACCCGCGACAGATCGGAGCACTGCTGAAGCGTGGCAACCGCCCAAAAAGGGTGGGCATATTCAACCATTAACACGCAGTTCGAAGGTTATCATATGCTGACTTAATTTCTAGACGATCCTCAAGGATGTTGCTGGTCAAGTCAAGCCCGGGGAAATGGTATGCTTTCAGAACCTGAGAACAGTAAAGTGGTAACTAACCTATATAGCTTCTTGTGCTAGGACGCCCAGGATCGGGATGCACTTCCCTTCTTCGAGTCCTCTCCAATGATCGGGATAGTTTCGATGAAGTCACTGGCAAAACCAACTACGGAAGCATGGATCACAAGGCTGCCAAAAAGTTCCGTCAGCAGATCATGTTCAACAACGAAGGCATGCAATCCTAACTTGGGATCTATTGACCTTAATACTAACTGCACTAATATCAGACGACGTTCACTTCCCAACACTTACCGTCAACCGTACGATGAAATTTGCCCTTCGAAACAAGGTTCCCAACGAGCGCCCAGAGCATCTGAGAAACCGCAACGACTTCGTGCAGAACCATCGCGATGAGATTCTGGGGTCACTTGGAATCGGACACACGAAGAAGAATTTGGTAGGAAACGAGTACATCCGAGGCGTGTCCGGAGGTGAACGTAAGCGCGTTTCCCTTGCTGAGGTCCTGGCTGGGCAAAGTCCAGTCCAAATGTGGGACAATCCCACTCGGGGACTGGACTCGAAATCAGCGGTAGAATTTGCTCGAATGCTCAGACGGGAAGCGGATCGAAACGACAAGACAATCATTACCACTACATACCAAGCCGGCAACGGTATTTATGACCAGTTCGACAAGGTCCTTGTTCTGGCTGAAGGTCGTGTCACTTACTACGGCCCTCGTCGAATCGCAAGGAAATACTTCGAAGATCTTGGATTCATCTGCCCCAAGGGTGCCAATATTGCAGACTTCCTTACTTCAGTCACTGTCGTTACCGAACGCACAATCAGACCCGGCTGGGAAGAGAAGGTGCCCAATACACCCGAGGACTTTGAAATCTGCTATCAAAACAGCTCAATCTGCAAAGATCAACTGAGCTCTATCGTGGACCCTGAGAAGCTGAGCTACGAAGCTGAAGACCTCGAGCTGGCAGTAACCAGCGAGAAGCGCAAACAGCATATTCCTCGGAAAAGCAGTGTTTATACAGCGAATCTCTGGGACCAGATTGCCGCTTGTGCTCTCCGTCAGTTTCAAGTTATCTGGGGTGATAAGCTCTCGCTATTTGTGAAGGTTGGGTCAGCCTTAATCCAGGCCCTCGTCTGTGGAAGTTTGTTCTATAACTTGCGAGAGGTAATTAAAAGGCCCTTGACCCGAGACCATTGGAAACCAAGCTGACCAGTTAAACTACAAGGATTCAAGCTCCATATTCTTACGCCCTGGTGTTTGCTTTTTCCCGGTGTTATATTTCCTCCTTGAGAGTCTGTCCGAGACAACTGCATCCTTCATGGGCCGGCCAATTCTTTCTCGTCAGAAGCGATTCGGGTTCTACCGTCCTACTGCTTTTGCCATTGCTAACGCTATAACTGATGTCCCAGTTGTGATGTTTCAGGTGACATGCTTCTCGCTCATCCTTTACTTCATGGCTGCTCTTCAAATGGACGCAGGAAAGTTCTTCACCTTTTGGATCATCATTATTGCGCAGACATTGTGTTTCGCACAACTATTCCGCTCTGTTGGAGCTGTATGCAAACAGTTTGGAAATGCATCCAAAATATCCGGCTTGCTGTCCACCGTATTCTTTGTCTATGGAGGTGAGTATTGACTATAGCGTTGATACGCAGAATTCCAAATTGACAAGTTGTAGGATATCTTATCCCATTTAAAAAGATGCATGTGTGGTTCCGTTGGATCTTCTACCTCAATCCGGGATCGTATGCATTCGAGGCACTGATGGCCAATGAGTTTGTTGGACGCAAATTAACCTGCATAGAACCCGACTATCTGCCATATGGCGCCGGATACTCCAGCTCAGCGTCTGTCCACCGTGGGTGTTCAGTCCTTGGAAGTGACGATGATGGTATTATTGATGGGGCAAAATACATTCAGGAGCAATACAGCTATTCACCCCATCACATCTGGAGGAGCTTTGGTATTCTCATTGGACTTTGGGTTTTCTTCATCTTTCTGACTTCCCTCGGCCTTGAACTCCGGAACAGTCAAAGTGGATCATCTGTTCTGCTTTACAAGCGAGGGAGCGAGAAAACCCGTAGAAAGGACGAAGGCGAGAAGATACAGTCCCCGAAGCAGGCAGACGTTGGCCCACTTTTGGGCTCGGTCAAGCAATCGACCTTTACATGGAAAGACCTTGACTACCATGTACCTTTCCACGGTGAGAAGAAACAGCTTCTGAACAAGGTATTTGGATTTGTCCAACCGGGAAACCTGGTTGCCCTTATGGGAGCTTCTGGGGCCGGAAAAACAACATTGCTGGATGTGCTTGCTCAGCGCAAGGATAGCGGGGAGATCTATGGATCGGTTATGATTGATGGCCGCCCAGTTGGAATCAGCTTCCAGCGAACTACTGGTTACTGTGAACAGATGGATGTACACCTCGAGACAGCCACCGTCAAGGAGGCATTGGAATTTTCGGCAGTTCTTCGCCAGCCATCGACGGTTCCACACGAAGAAAAGATCGCCTATGTCGAACATATAATCGACCTTTTGGAGTTGCGTGATATCAGCGAAGCACTTATTGGAGGTATGCTTGATGTTTTGATGACAGTGGACAGCTATACTAATAACTCACAGTGCCTGGAGCTGGGCTCAGCATCGAACAGCGCAAACGCGTGACCCTGGGCGTTGAGCTTGTTGCGAAGCCCACATTGCTGTTTTTGGATGAACCTACCTCCGGCCTTGATGGGCAAAGTGCATTTAACATTGTGCGTTTCCTTCGCAAACTGGTCGATGGCGGCCAAGCCGTGTTGGTAAGTTCTCAATATATCACAATATATTTGCGTCGTACTAATGTGTTAGTGTACAATTCATCAACCATCTGCGGTCCTATTTGACGCATTTGACGGTCTTCTCTTGCTAGCCAAGGGCGGAAAAATGACATATTTCGGAGAAAGTGAGTTTTTAATCTTGAGGCAGGCAACAACAAACACCTAATAACTGATTTGTGATCACAGCTGGCAAGGACTCAACTAAGATCTTGGACTACTTCAATCGGAACGGAGCACCGTGCCCTCCGGATGCCAACCCAGCAGAGCATATCATTGATGTCGTTCAAGGAGGTGGTACTACAGAGCAAAAGGATTGGGTCGAAATCTGGAACCAGTCAGAAGAGCGCAAGCAAGCACTCTCCCAACTTGATGCACTGAACGAATCCAGCAAAGATAACTCCAACTATGTTGAAGACACTGCTGACTTTGCGACCTCGCACTGGTTCCAATTCAAGACGGTTTCTAAGCGCCTCAGTATTCATATCTGGCGCTCACCAGTACGTCGCTACGATAATACACGAAATAAATTTGCAAAAGCTAATGTTCGCCTAGGATTACATGTGGAACAAAATCTTTCTCCATATTTTCGCCGCCCTTTTCAGTGGATTCACCTTCTGGAAGATCGGAAACGGCACTTTTTCACTTCAATTGAGACTTTTCGCGATTTTCAACTTCATCTTCGTCGCCCCCGGCTGTATCAACCAAATGCAGCCGTTCTTCCTACATAGCCGTGATATCTTTGAGACCAGAGAGAAAAAGGTCAGTACCCTAGTGGGACCCTACTGGTATACAAGTATCGCTAAGCCTAGTTTCCATATAGTCCAAAACCTATCACTGGAGCGCATTTATTGGAGCGCAGACTCTGACGGAGATTCCATACCTCATTATTTGCGCCACACTATACTTTGCATGTTGGTACTTCACAGCAGGACTTCCGGTGGAGGCCAGTGTTTCCGGACATGTCTATCTTCAGATGATTTGTAAGTCACACCAAGTGTCCAGGAATGATTGATTCGAGTATCTAACACCAGGACAGTCTATGAGCTCCTGTACACGTCAATTGGCCAGGCAATTGCAGCATATGCACCGAATGAGTATTTTGCGGCTGTGATGAACCCCGTCTTGATCGGTGCCGGCTTGGTCAGTTTTTGCGGTGTGGTAGTTCCATATTCCCAAATGCAGCCATTTTGGCGATACTGGATTTACTACCTGGACCCCTTCAACTACTTGGTTGGTGGGCTGTTTGGCGAGATAATCTGGGATGTCAAGGTCAAGTGTGAACCATCGGAATTTGTGCAGTTCACCGCACCGTCTGGTCAGACCTGCGGCCAATACATGGCCGATTTCCTCGCCACGCAGAGTGGCTACCTAGCTGATGGGAACTCGACTGGGACATGTTCATTCTGTCCGTATTCTCAAGGTTCTGATTACGCGAAAACGTTTAATCTTCAAGAGAAATACTATTCGTGGAGAGATGTGAGTATATCTCTGGTTTGATATGGAGATTTCGATGCTAACTGATTGTTTTTAGACGGGTATCACTGCCCTGTTCTGTATCTCATCGTACTCCTTGGTGTTCCTCATGATGAAGCTCAGGAGCAAGAAGACGAAGAGCGCCCGTTCCGAATGAACGATTGCCACCGAGCTGAGTTTAGGGCCTTAGTGAAGCTGACACCGGCATCATTCATATATTGCTTTCAACTTCTGCAATAGGCCCTATTTCATCGCTTCTTTTCCTGGATCGTTTCCCTCCGCATTTACTACATCTTTATTAACAGCCATGGGTCACTGTGTTCGTCCAGGGCCTCATTAGATAGATCTATTTTTTTTTTTTTTGACTTTCTCGCTTCCATAGCCTCCTATCCAGTCTGTTAACCACATGATGGTTTCTATACTCATATCTGGATGGTACTTAATCTATATTAAACCATCGCATCTCTTGGAAATGTGCAGAAGTAATACAATAATCTATAAAATCCCCGATGCCTAGGAGCTAAAAGTGACACCGGAGATGATCTACCACTTCGATTTCTGTTCGTGGGGTTTGAGCCGAGCCGTTAACATTGCGGATCCCGCGGTACGTCCGAGTTCACCAACAGCCAGGGAGATCGACACCCACGTGCTGTACAGAAAGACCAAGGGCAGAAATATAAAAAGGTTCCCAAGCAGCCTCTGATTCTACACTGTATCAACCCCTCTAGACGTCTTCAATATGCGGTTTGACATTGTTGCGCTCTTCCCTCTGGCCGCTAGTGCGGTCAACATCATCTCATCCAATGATGATGGCTGGGCGGAAGCGAACATCCGTGCTTTCTTCGAGTCTCTACAAGCGGCAGACCACTCAGTTGTGGTATCTGCACCCGCCGAAAACCAGAGTGGCAAGGGTATGTGTTATGCCTTCCTCTACATTCCGCTCTTTTATTGACGCCGCACTACAGGCTCAAAGGACGAAGAGCCGACGGTCTTGACTGAGCCATGCCAGTTCAACAGCTGCCCATCTGGCAGTCCGGCTGTGGGATTTAATTCTTCGGAGGTCAGTATTTTTCCCGCTACCACCGGAACGACAGCCTGATCGTGTAAATAGCCCCGACTTGGTTATGTCAATAGCTACCCAGTGACCGCAATCAAATACGGCATTGAGACGAGCGGCCCGAAATTCTTCAACGGTGCTCCAGACTTGGCCGTCACAGGTCCAAATGTTGGCAGCAATATTGACATCGTCAATTACTTCTCCGGAACCGTGGGCGCCGCCACCTATGCTGCACAGAATGGAATTCCCGCTCTTGCCTTCTCCAGTGCTAGTGGCTCCCCGACCTCATGGGATAGCCCGCGCCCTGCCTACAGCGAGGTCTATGCCGATTTGGCTACCAACCTGACAAACCAGGTTATTGCTTCTGGCAAGCCATACCTACCGGATGACATTTTCCTGAACGTCAATTTCGGAAAGGTTACGGACGAATGCGCAAGTCCGGCCGATTTCTCTTTCGTCCTCTCCCGCATCCACGTGGCAGTTCCATTGATTACTGATGATGATGTGACTACCTGCGGTGATTCGAGATTGCCAAGCGAATTGGAAGTCTCGCTAGCGTCTGGTTGCTATGCAAGTGTCTCGGTTGGGATTGCATCCGAGAAGAAGGATGCCGACGCTGAGATGCAGGGGGTTGTTTTGAAGAAGCTGGGTAATTTGTTGACTTGTCTTCCATGATTGGTATGATTGGTGTAGAAAAGCGCCGGTGTGAAGAACCACGCAGATCCCGTTCCTGATGATCCACCACGTGTTATATTTAGCCATGGCGTGTTGTGCGAGAGAGTATTAGATCCCTGCAAGGGGTGCATATAAAATCTGCTACGGTATATCGTATAACGTTTTTCATATATGAGCTGGCCACCCTAAAACACCGTGCTAAATGCGCTATATTCTATATCTTAACACGTTTTTATTTTATTTCATTGCTTGTCGATAGCCACTGATAAGAGCCAGAAATATTTATGTCTTAATGAGTAAATTGTTTAAGCTCCCTAAAGAGGCTTTTAGCTGAAGAGAATTAATTAATTGCAAGGAAGAGATTTCTTTTTTCTTTCTTTTTTTTTCCTGACGGAGAAGCCAAAGGTATTGCGATATCCTAAGTTTTTACGGAGTAGCCGGATCGCATGTGAAATATATTAAAATCCACACTAGCTTCAATTGAGGATAGACAGCAGGCTTGAGCGGAGAAATGCCTCAACTGGTGGACTAAGACATATTATCATCGGAGAAACCGATTAGATTGCTTTTGACCCGTGGGATCGACAGGCCCCAGTGATTCGCTTTTCTGCGCAAATTTAAAGTTCCACGATGGACTCTGCTATCATCCACTATACTTCATCGGGACTGAAGACCGTTAGTATCGGACCAAACTCCCCGAAGGAAGACGGCCTAGCGACAAGGCGACAATGTAGCCATGCCGATCAAATGGAATGCATACGATGTTGTCCTTGTACGAAGTACTCCGTACAATATAAATATTCCGAAGAAAGACCGTTTGTCCATAGCTCACTATGCCTGCTTTCCATTTCAATATGATTCCTCGACTTATTGCTGCACTGACTGCTCTTACTGCGCTGCCTGTGGCGGCTAGCCCGGTTAATCTAGTACGTCGAGGAACAGTTGGCAACGACGAAATTGTCGGACTGCCCCAAACAGTTCCGTCCGGTGCCGTCGGCGACCTCTATTTGGCCTACCAGCCAAAGCTAAAGGTCGTCAATGGATGCGTGCCTTTCCCGGGCGTGGATGCAGCCGGAAACACCAAGTGAGTGGGAAAATTACTTCTTTTAAGGATTTCTAGACCTTCGAATCTGATATCTGTGATATAGCGAGGGTCTCAACCCAACAGGGAGCTCGAGTGGTGAATGCAGTAAGAGCACAGGACAAATATATGGTGAGTTTCTTCAGAAGTATCCCTTAAATAGCCCGGGATATATTGACTAACGGGTTTCCGTTTTGCGATTCACAGTGAGATCCGCTACTTCGGGTGGCCACTATGCCCTGATGTATTCCTGGTATTTCCCCAAGGATTCCCCTTCGACTGAACTCGGTCATCGCCACGATTGGGAAGGGGTTATTATCTGGCTCTCCGACAGCACAAGTACCTCTGCCTCGAACATCCTGGCCGTTTGTCCATCGGCACACGGTGAATGGAATTGCAGCACAAACGGCTATACCCTTGATGGCACTTCAGCTCTGATCAAGTACGAATCTGTTTGGCCGGTTAACCATTCTCTCGGCCTGACTACTGCCGTGGGCGGCACACAGCCGTTGGTTGCCTGGGAGTCAATGTCCAGTAAGTTACCTAGATCTACCCCTAATGTCTGGAAGCGCAATCTGACCTGGAACGTTCAGCTGTCGTGCAAAATGCTTTGGACACAACGGACTTTGGATCAGGGAATGTGCCCTTCAAAGATGCCGATTTTGCTGCCAACCTGGCAAAGGCGACATTCTGAGCTCGAGGTCAGGAAAGACCCACTGGAGGCATGAGTTCAAGAAGTAGTCGTTACGAAGTCGCGTACTTAGTATATATTTAGTTAACTTATGGAATAGATTACGTATGCACTAAATTTCTAGTTGTGTTTGCAATGGTGACAACAATCAATTGCCGTAGAATTGGATGAAGACCATATACGTGACTAGAACTAGCGACCAACTTATATATATAGTCCGCTCCTCCGCTCCGAACTCTATATACATGTATCACTCCACCGAGGCCTCGGCGCAATGAAATGGCACGTTGGATAGATTCATTCAAGCGGCAGTTGGAACACACTGAGAATACCATGGGTTCAACGAAGAACAGGCTGCTGGCGACGCACATGCAGTTGCTCCTGTCCAACCGCTTCCTCCACACTGTCCGTATGGAGTCTGGGTTGCTCCCTCCACCGGGGGCGGTGGTTGTGGTGGCCTTACTGGTAGTGGTGGCAGCGTTGGTGGTAGTCACTAGTGTCGTGGTGGAGGCCTTGGAGGTTGTGGTTGTAGTGCTGTCGCCGGTAGCACCACCTGTCCCTGTCACTGGCGTGCCAGAAGCAGTAATTGCCGAAGTGGTTTGAGTGATTGAGACAGCACCACTGTAAAGAGTTGGTCCCGGGACAATCTGAAGTGATATTAGCAATCGAGTGGACAGGAACATGGGCGACCCCCAGCATCGACTAATCACTTACATATGTTGACAGAGATGTGTAAATGTTCACAAGGATGCCAGGATCAGTTGGACGGTATAGATCAGTGCCCAAGACACCTGACGGTTTGTCTGACCCTGAGCCGGTGATTTGTAGGTTGAAGCACTGGGGATAGTTCTGGGTTCCACCCTCAGTGCCTGCACCATGGAGTGCAATCCTTCACAGCAAGGTTAGCGCAATTCTGCCGAGGAATCAGAAACATCTGCGTACATTTCATGTCTCAAGACATAATGCCCGGGTGCGATACTAGAAGGAATCTCGACCATCCATCCCGAGTCCTGGGCTATGAGCTGATCATCGGCCCAAAAGCCAGGGACAGTTGTTCCATCCACCAGTCCGACACCGTCGATCTTGAAGAACTCAAGGGTGGTTTTATCCACAGTTTCACAGCCGCTCGCGCCACAACTAGCGAGGTAATCAACGATCGGGCCATGATGCGATACTGGCCAATCCGGGGTCCACTGAAGGAAGACTCGGTCACCGGCAGCTACGACCGCGTGCCCCCTGGCATTAGTAGCATCGAGGTGGCAGATAATATCCGAAGTTTCGTAGGCATCTTGTTTTACAAAGTTAGAAAGAGAATTGGTTTTGGTTAATCAGGACAACAATGACATAACATACCCGGAGCAATGAAGCCATTGGCAGTGTTTGGTGTACCCCAAGCCACCACGACTGGAGGGGTTTCCGCATAAGGGTCACTGTTTATGTCCCATCCGTCAAAGGAGACACCGTTAATAACGATGTTGGTGACGTGACCATGGGCCGCAACGAGAGACCCAAACAGAGCAGGACCGAGAAGGCTATACATTGCGGTTGTATTCGCAGAAGCAGGTTAGGCAGGCTTAATCCGAAAGAAATAGATATGTTGGGTGAGAAGTGGGTAGTAAAAGTCGGACTTTAGCTGTTTCTTGTCCTCTGCAGTGGAACTTCGCAACGGCCATATTTATAGTTGATCGAGAGGAGTATAACACAGTTCCAAGTGTCTCGCTTGCTGGCCGACACTCCTCAACCGCCTCAGATTGTGAATTGTGATTACGAGGAATGAAACCAATCGGATACATTATACGCAAGTTTAGGAGAAGTAAGTGCATCATTCTGCACGGAGAACGACAAGCCACGGGGTAGTTTCACGGGAAATCACAACGCCACCAGCGGAGGTCGCGCTGACTCCGTGTCGAGATAGCTCAGGATCTAAATCCATCAAGAAGAAGGAAATTATAAAACACAATGAGGGGTCAGGCGCATGGAGTTGTGACCCTTTTGAAGAGAACCTGACACACTGGCCCATCTCATGTGTCGGTAGGCGCCCTTGGCACCATTCGTGAAAATGCGCTGTTGAAACATGATCGGGTATTGGTGTTGAAGACCAGTTATTAATTATGCATTTGAGCTTTTTATTTTTGATATAATGTTCTCTTTGGTTGAACTTCGCGATTGAGTAAAATGAAAGGGTAAAAGACCATCGATGCCAGACAGCTTCACGAGCAAGATAGTAATATCTGAACAGTCATGAATCAAGCGCCAAGACGGATGCGACCACCGACAGTGAGGGGAATCACTCCGTGAGAGTCTTACTAGGTACCGCATAAATCTTTGCTGAGAGTAAAAAGTAGTGTTGCTATGAGCTTCACATTCCTGCTGCGTGGTTCCAATCGACAAACTCGAGCGAAGCGATTCTCACATGGGCAAGTTCGACAGGTATTCGTGATAATTATAAGCTTTTAATTAAGCTATATAATAATGTGGGGGGTCTGGATGGTAGGTACAGGTACAGGTAGCTGGCTTTATATTTAATGGGACATGAGATATCGTAGCTGTAAGTTACGTTGAGCAACATATTTAACTAAATTAAATTCTGGGGAAAAAAGACAATTTGAGATCTTTCATAGTTACATGTGCGGTACTAGGCAATCCATATATGAAAAGTGCAATTTTTGAGAAGAACAAATATTTGTGGATATAATTGAAGACAGATAAGCATAACAAGTGAACGTCAAGCAGATCGCATACCGACGCAACTGACTTGGCTATCTAGTAAACGTAGCGGAAGTTCAAGTTCTCCCGGTCCGTTTTATCCTCGAACGCATGAATGAGGGTTGGATCTGCGGCACTGAGACCTTCCGCCAATAGCTTGTCCTTCTTGGAGTTCTCGCGCTTGAGGTGGAAGCGGAGGTAGACAACAGCAGAAACCATACAGGCATAGCAAGCCAGATGAACACTCCAGGCGATGTGGTACCGCGGTGCATCTGTGTCAAGGAACACTTGAGGACCTGTTATTGTTAGCTGGGAACTGAGCTTCTCCACAGGGAACCTTGAATACTTACCAATTGCGTTACCAGCAGCCCATGACACGAATGTTGCAGCTACCACGGTGGACTTCTTGGTTTGACCAGCAATATTGCGTGACACCATAGATAACGTGAGAGTTTGGGCCGACCAGAATGACAAGGTGATGTAGTAACTAATAAGAAGTCCCACCTTCGTGGGCAAGGTAGTGTTCTCGACCGTCATAAGGACAATAGTTCCGATGAAAGACCTGCGAAGTGTCAGTCTGGGCTCACTGCAAACCGACACAAGAGAAATACGCACGGGATGATGAAGCACAACATCACGATAGTGTTCTGTTTGAACTTGTTCACCAGCCATGCGGATGACAACAGAACAATAATGATATAAGCACCCAGCACCATAGCAAGCAGCTGAGTTTGCAATACGGTAAAGTTGAAGCCGGAGACAACGATACCGAAGAATGCACCTAGACCACTGGTGGGGAGAGTGGTGAATATCTGAACAGCACAGTAGCAATACATCTGGGGATCCCGGAAAGCCTCCCACATCTGGTATGCATGAAACGTCCTGTTTTGAATACCTGTCTGATTGGAACGAAGACGTTCGACCATAAGACGTTTGTCATCCTCACTGAAACATTTCGCACGCATAGGGGAGTCAGGCATCCACCAAATGACGAAGACTCCCCAGAGGACAGAGAGACATCCGTATGCCAGGAAAAGTGCTTGCCAAGACTTGAGAACCTTGTCTCCTCCAATAAGGGTAAAACAATATGCCAATAGGCCGCCGACAATTTGCTGTGCACCATTCATCATGTACCTATTTCACCATCAGATTAACATGATCTCTCTGGTAGGCGAGGGTCCACATACCAGTAGGTTACCGTGGCCGCTTGTTCCTCACGTTTATACCACATCGAGGAAAGAGTCACAAAAATGGGCTGACAGCAAGCCTCAAAGATACCCAGGAGGGTACGAACAATGACCAACCCAGTAAAATTCTTGCAGGCTGCATGGAGTGCCAGAATCATACCCCAGAGGATGATGTTGATGCCCAAGTATTTGCCGAGTGGGACTCTTTGGATGATCCAATTTGTGGGGTATTCGACGATGAGGACAGCGATGTAAATACATGTAGTCAACCAGGAGTACTATCAATAGGAATAGATTTAGTATGTTGATGGAGGAGAAAGCTCAACAAGTGCTGCATACCTTTTGCCCATCATTCAGATTCGCGTCTTCCTTGATCCCCATGATAGCCGAAAACGACATAGTTCCCTTGTCCAGAGCCTGTAGGAAATATGTGCAAATCATGATAACAAGGACACGGCGGTCAATCAATTGTTTGAGGCGCTTGTTGGTCTCTTCGTCGATATCCACCTGACTGTGGGCGGCATATGCTTGAATTTCCTTATCCACACGGGTGATATCCATGTTATCCTTTACGAGGTCATCGGATTCTGAGAGAACCTTTTTCGACATGAGAGATGTCTTGCTTGTTCTCGTACTCTCCCATGTCAACTTTCCGGTGCTGGTTATGCACCACCTCGATGCCCTCAGCGGGGGCTGTCTCAATCCCCTGCTGGGGGTCGTCTTTGCCGTCAACCATGGCAAAGTGAAAAAAAAAGTCAGGTGAAAAAGGGTAGTTCACCAGGGGACAAAAGTGACAGAAAGTCGGGATTTCCACTCAGACTTATAAAAGACCACGCTTTTGTCAGGATGCAGGGTCTCAAGTAGGCCCTAAGCACATGTAAGGTGAATTTCCGGTTGAACAAGTCATGCGGGCTTCCAATAATCAGGTCTATATTGACCCGAAGCCAAATCGAGTTAAACCAAGTCAAGCAGTCAGCTCCGTCTCCTTTCTTTCCCCGGTTTTCTTGGCAAAGGAGGAGGTAGCACGCTAATCTTTTCCCCAGGCTGGGGAATCCGGGGATTTACTACCCCGATGGCCGAAAAGTCCCTCGCTCACTGCTGTGGGTCTGGAGAAATACACTTTCGGTGTATCTTTGTGATTTGCGACTCGGCCTTCTCTCACCCGAGGTGCGCTTGGCCCCCACGGGGATGCATCGTGGCGTCTGACTGATGAGCTCATTAGTGGAAGAACTCCCACCAAGTCTCGTCATGAAAGGAGCTTCCGGTTCAACATATTATTTTGATTCCCGGACAAAAAAGTCGTAGAAAATCTTATTCGTCGAAAAACACAGAGAACAGTCTCCCAATATCACACAATGTCGTCCCCTAAGCCTACGGGCCCCGAAATTCACAATGCCGTCAACCTGCTAATTGACAATCTGGTCAACATCAAAGATGAGACAGGAAAATTCCTGCTGCCACTTGCTGATGGGCGCATTATTGATACCAAGTCATGGCAGGGTTGGGAGTGGACACACGGAATTGGACTGTACGGCGTGTGGAAATACTACGAGCTGACGGGCGATGAGAAATTATTGCGCATCATCGAGGACTGGTTTGCTGCACGTTTTGCGGAAGGTGGCACCACCAAGAATATCAACACAATGGCCGTTTTCTTGACTCTCGCCTACGTTTATGAGAAGACCGGCAATGTCACCTACCTGCCGTGGCTCGATGCATGGGCCGAGTGGGCGATGCACGAACTCCCCCGCACCCGCTACGGTGGCATGCAACATATGACTTATCTCACAGAGAACTACCAGCAGCTCTGGGATGATACTTTGATGATGACTGTTATGCCACTCGCGAAGATCGGAAAACTTCTGAACCGACCCGAATATATTGAAGAGGCGAAAAAGCAATTCCTTACTCACATCAAATATCTTTTCGACACAAAGACTGGTCTCTGGTTCCACGGCTGGACCTTTGAGGATGGCGGACACAACTTTGCAGATGCGCGCTGGGCTCGTGGCAACAGCTGGGTCACAATCGTCATTCCCGAGATCATTGAGTTGCTCGACCTCCAGCCAAATGATCCGATTCGCCTTCACCTGATAGATACCCTCGAGGCTCAGTGCGAGGCCCTTCAGCGTCTCCAGTCGTCATCCGGCGCGTGGCACACCCTCCTTGACGACCCCGACTCGTACTTGGAAGCCTCTGCGACCGCTGGATTTGCCTACGGTATCCTCAAGGCCGTTCGGAAACGTTACATCGGTGCCCAGTACCGCCCCGTTGCTGAAAAGGCCGTCGCTGCGGTGATGGGATACGTGGATGAGAAAGGAGAATTGCAGAATACCAGCTTTGGCACCGGAATGGGTGACTGTCTTGACTTTTACAAGAAGATTCCATTGACCTCGATGCCTTATGGCCAGGCTATGGCTATTATGGCTTTGGGCGAAGCCTTACGGGGTCTGTTGTGAGGAGTGCATGTCTTAATGACTGAAATGGCAATGGAATGTGGGCAACCGAATCATAGAGCTGTACATACAGTAGAATAATAAAACGAGAATAAAAATCCCACGATACCTCAATCTCCGTTTGATCACTCCACTGGCCAGCGGGCCTGAACTTTCTTGCCCAGTCCGGCTCTTTCCACCACCTCTTTGCTTCTTCTTTGTGCTTCCTGTACAATTTCTACTTCATCCATCGTCATGAGCGCTCCATGCCTGACCACAACTTTCCCATTCACCACAACAACATCGACATCTCGCCCAGTTGCGGTATAAACAACAGCACTGACTGGGTTAAACCAAGGCTGGGTATGGATTCCTCGAACATCGATAGCCACAAAGTCAGCCTTCTTACCAATTTCCAGACTGCCGATCTGCTTATCCAAACCCAGTGCCTTCGCCCCATTTATTGTAGCCATCTCCAGCACGTTTTCGGCTGGAACTGCCGTGGGGTCCTGCGAGATCCCCTTGTGAATAATAGCGGCGAGTTTCATCTCCTGCAAGAGATCACATGTATTGTTACACGGGGCGCCATCGGTACCTAGGCCAATATTGACTCCAGCATTTTGGAGATCTGGCACCCTGCAGATTCCGGACGCAAGCTAGACTTTGTCAGATTATCAAGTCCCTCATGCGTATGAACCAACCTGGAAACGAAACTTACCTTTGCATTAGATGTTGGGCAGTGTGCGACATGCGTTCCCGAAGAAGAAAGAAGTCTTACTATCATCAGCCTCCGTTGCATCAGTCCACATGTATTCGATGTCTCACTCAATGTCCGAGTCGTCCAGATGGACCATATGAACGAGTACCGTGGAGTCACTCAGCAAGCCAACTGATTTACAATATGACATCGGGGTGTGCGAGACCGAAGCGAAAAAAATCTCGATCGGCCTTGACCTCAGCGCAATGCATGGTAATGGGTATGCCCTTGTCTTTGGAAATGGCCGTCATCTCCTTATAAAGCGCGTCCGATACACTGATTTATTATTAGCAAGTGACACACAATGGCAGTCTCGTCTCATACCCTCCCGGAGTCCTAGCACCGAACCACACTCTGATTCTATCATCGGCCGCACCATTCCACTTCTCCCACATCTTCAAGGTCCCAAGTAATGAGGTCTTCACGGTCCTCAACGAGGCCAGGGTGCATGGCCCATGCGTCGTCTTTCGCGTATTTTGCAATGTCCATGACAATCTTACCTAGACAGCCACGGATGCCACTCTCCTCAACAGCGCGACATAGCCCGTCAAAGCCATATCGATCCGCAAACTGCATTTTACGTCAGTCTCTTGGTAGGCACAAACATCCACGGATACGGTACCATGCTCTCCAAAAAGCAGGTTGTTCCCGATTTAAGCATCTCTCCGATACTCAGTCGTGCCGCAGCGTACCCATCCTCCGCTGTAAAGTTACCCTGGAGAACCCAGATTCTCTCGCATAACCATGACACCAACTCAAGGTCGTCAGCCGTACCTCGCAGTAAGGTCTGGGCCGTGTGCATGTGGGTCGAGATCAACCCTGGAATGATAATCCGACCTGAGAGATCGTACTCTTCATCGGCTGCATACTTTCCCTTGAGTATATCTGTCTTGCCAATATCATCAATAACATCGCCGACTACGCGGATTGCTCCGTCGATAATTATACGGCGTGAAGTATCCACGGTCACAACAGTGGCATGAGTGTACAGCATGGTGGATCGTCCGAGTGCTAGCGGCTATCAAAGAATTTTGTGGTCAAGTTACTAAAGTTAATGCAGCTTAGCCCAGAAGGACCCTCGGGCCATTTATATTGTCAAATTCAATACCCCCGCCCGTGAGACGAAAACAGTGGAGACGGAGTCTGCCGATGAACGCAAAGACCCGCGTTGAGGGGCGTGATAAGATAACCAATGAATCTCGCAATTGACACATGTCATGGGGAGATCTCCGATATTGTGGAATATAGTGAGGAAATATGGTATATCCATACATCATACATGCTCAGTCTTTGAGGGGAAGTCTCCCAATTTTGCTGTTGTCGACATTCACAGAGCTCATCCAAAACTAAACATTAAACTAGAAACTCTTCTTCAGCCACTGAGTCTGCGAATTGCAGTACCCAAGCAGACCATCAAGACCCCATTCCACACCCATGCCGCTCTGCTTGTGACCACCAAAGGGTGCATTGGGCGCCACATCAAAGTGGCTGTTTACCCACACGGAACCAGACTGAAGTTGATCTGCCATCCGAGTTGCGCGTTCGAAATCTTTACTCCACACAGAAGAACCCAATCCGGTCTCCAGAGCATTCGCACGCTCAAGGACATCGTCCTCATCAGACCATTTCAAGACGGGCAGGATGGGAGCAAACGGCTCTTCCTGTACAACGCGCGATGTCTCCGGGGGATTGTCGATAATGGTCGGGTGGATGAAGTATCCAGAAGAGTTCTCGATCGAGCCTCCAAGTGCAGCTTTCAGGTTTTCAGTACCAATGCTGCTGAATAGGTTTTTGGCTTTCTCATATTGCATCTGATTTTGAACAGGCCCGAAGAAAGTATCCGCCTCGGTGCCTTCGCCGACTTTCAGGGTCTTGACAAATGTGACTAACTTGTTCAGGAACTCATCGTAGATCTTCTCGTGGACATAAAGGCGTTTGATCATCATGCAGATCTGCGAGCTACAGAGATAAGAGAGGATTCCAATCTTGGGGATAATGGCATCGATATCAACATCGTCGCAGATAATCGCCGGGTCATTGCCACCCAGTTCGAGTGTAAATCGCTTGAGGGTTGAAGCACATGCAGCCATAACTCGCTTTCCAGTGGCAATCGACCCGGTAAAGCTGATCTTCCCAATTCGAGGATGAGCAGTGAACAACGGGCCGAGGGACTCATCGCCGCTCAGGCATTGGATCACGCCAGGAGGAAGGAAGTTGGTGGCAAGCTCTGCCAGCTTCAAGCCGCAATAAGGTGTGAATGGAGACGGCTTCACAATAACAGTGTTTCCGGTGTATACAGCAGCGGCTATTTTGCCGACGGCCAAAAGGACAGGGAAGTTCCAGGGGACAATGGCGCCCACCACGCCGATGGGTGTATGACGTTGAACGACCTTCCTATCTTCGGTTTCCTCGATTACATTGTCGGTAATCTCAATAGCGGTGAGACCGCGAATCCATACACCTGCCATACCCACCTCCGCGGATGACTGAGTCAAGGGTTTTCCTTGTTCCATTGTGAGGGTTTGTCCGAATCCGTCGGCATTAGCCTCAATGGCATCGGCCCAGGCAAGTAGGGCTTTACGTCGCTCTTCAAAAGTGGTCTTGGCCCAACCCTTGAAGGCATCTTCAGCCGCCTTTACGGCCTTGTCAAGATCATCCTGGGTCGAAACTGGTACGGGTGGATTAGGCTGAGTGTTGGCAGGGTTGATTCCATGTCGGGTTTCCGATGTGGTGGTCAATTGATTATTGATCACATTGCGAAATGTCTAATCCAGCAAGGATAAGTGTGGGATCGATAGCGCAATGCGTTCAGAGATACTCACCGAAAAATCCAATGGTTTGGCGTCCGCGGTCATCTTGAGCAGCTTCTACTTTCAACACAGGGGATTAAGATCAAAATGGTGAAGACTCGAATTAAAATAGAGCGTCTCGCACAATCTAAGCCTAAGCGATTGGTGCCACGTATTTATAAGATGCCATGGACGCATCAAAAACCCGCAATTGCTTGCCTAAAGTGCGCCTGAAATAGCCTCCTAAGACCGACCCTATACTTCTGTATGCAGACCTCAGTGCATTAGCGCTATTTTCCTCTCCGAATGGCATTATTTTGACGATCTCTGCGTTGCATTTCCCTTTCTGGTCGTGATATTGTGATCTTGTCTCAAACGTTGCGTCTTGGCAGAGTGCGGGGTACTGCTCTCCCCCCTCAGTTTCCTCACAAGACACCAATAAATGGATAACCTCGAGGAGCTGCCGGGGTGAGCTTTCGGCATCACACGCGCCACGGGACTCGAGCGCGGTACTTGACCACTTCACGACTTAGGGGCCCATACCACAAGTCCACGGTGAGATCAGCTGACTAGGCCATGCCCGGCCCTAGAAGTTGGCCTTCGGACTTTCCTAATGTGGAAAACATAGAACAATGATAAAAAGTCGCCGTGTGCTCGTTAGCGGAAGACCGCTGATCCTTAGTAGGGAGCACCTCATCACATTATGGCCTGGTGTACGTATATAGGAGAGCATATGCATATGCCAGCTTTGGATTTTGGATGGTCTCACCCTACCAATATCAATGAGATTGATTGCAACGACTCCCATAGCTCAAACTGGGTAGGTAATGAAGATTCTGGCGGAGTATGAAATCCAGCTCGTACCTTGTTGTAAAGTCACCCCGCTATATTTCCCCTGACGGGTGGGTCTTTCCTATTTTAGCCGCTTTCCAATATAAAAGCGCTTAACGGGGCTCATTGGGCAGAACCATCCAATTCCAAGTCCAATGCCACTTAACACATCTCCAAAGCATCTCTTCATCCACGTGGATCTCGGCGCACACGATGTTCTAATTGACGTGAATAGACTTCTGGGACATTGATCAGGTACTTGCTGAAAAAAGGGATAATCAAGATTATTGAGAAAATCGCGGGCAAAATCATAGTATTTCTTTTTGCAAACTGTCTTAACAGTTATACAAATATGTACATCCTTAGCACATGGGCACTTAGCATACCTACATGTAATGTACTGTCTACCTAGGTATGTTTATCGGTGGGTCGCCGTCACATGGTTCCATCAATGACGACGTTCTCCATATATAATTTCTCCTTACATGTAAATTTCTGAAATAGGGCCGATGCCCTAGCCCTGCCCCAGCGACAGGTATTTAAGACCACTCAGGGGAATTTCGATTTAACCTTCAAACCATCTTGAGGTCATAGGAATTAACCACAATCTTTTCTGATCATTTTTGGCCTATTCTCACGCACCTAAGACGGGTGTGGAGAAAGACATTCATTCCTCTCCCACTACTTATGTGACTAATAGACAGCGATCGCGAGCACTCTCGAAAAAAGAAACAAATTGTTATCTTTACAGATCATAACTCGCTGCCGCTTTAGCAACAATATTTCCAGGCACGAGTGGCTAATACAAACCCTTGGTCGTTCCCGCCGCCACCAATCGCCCCCCCACTAGGGGGCACTGCTCCGACTGGTCCAGGTAACTATCCCCCCTTGTCTCTCCTGCTCCCCACAAGCCACAATATACATCGTCTCTATGATGATTGACCTTCCCTTTCTGCAAAGAATTTGTTGAATCTGTGTCTATCTACATTGTTTCATATTGGTCTCTGAGTTACTTAAAATTGTGATTTTAATTTTGTCATACCACTCCATGATTTATGGCTAATTGTTCTGTTTTGCACAGGTGTGGCTTATGTGATTCTATCCACAGATCGGAAAGGCTGGGATATATGAGGACAGTTGTCGGTATATTTAGGTCCTAGCGATTAATTATTATTATAATATACCATTTACCATTGAAAGTCCAGACATTTTACTTTGACTAGCTGCTTTTCCTCTGACACAGCATGAATAGGGGAATATGTATCTTCTTAACATAAGTAATTACGGCCAGCTAGCGACGCGTAATGTCATATGAGTGCGAGTGCTTTCGACATATTAAAGGTCTTTAGGAGAATCAGGTACTGCCGGTACCGATAAATGAGCTACAATTAATTTGGTAGGCTATAAGCAGGATGGAATCAGATTATATCGTACGCTTTGAAGGTTGAGACGTTGAAAAAGTGTGGTGGCGACCTCGAAGTAAATATTAATATCCAGCATCCTAGCTCGTGTAAGCTCTAGATGAGCTCAACACGGCAATATTATAAACAGATGGTTGAAGATTTTAATGTTGTCGATACGAATTTGTATCTTCTTCCATGATAGCGCACAGACCAACATTAAAGTGACATCATCCCGAGTCTCACCATTCGACAACACAAGGAACACCTGGGCAGAACAGTTAACTTACAACTTACGTCTCGTCATTGTCGAAATCTTGTTCATCCTACCATCATTGAGACGTAGTTTCAATATATATCCCGGTCCAAATGTCTGATCTGCAAGGACGATCTACCAATAACATATGTTGTTATTTTAGGTAGCATTTTGTCTTCTGGCCGGTACAAGCTGACTGGCGACACCTAGGGAAGATCGTCCTTTAGGTGACGCGCCGGCTGAACGCCTCTTTGTCAACCTCTCCTATGTGTTATCATCGAAGGCGACATGATACTTGGCATACGTTCTGCTCGAAATCAAAGTGACTATAGGAAGCATCTTCCGTGGCTACCTCTGCAGTTTATTTAAAGACCCTGATGTCCACCTAGCTGTTCAAATAACAATCCACCCACTACAGTTATATATACAATATACATTCCATATCAAACTCCATACCAAGTCCACTCATTCATCACAATGTTTCATCGACGTCGCCCCGCTACCACAACCACCCGCACCACCAAGCCTACGCTGATGACCAAACTCAAGGGACCAAACGCGAAATCGCGCACTGTCAAAACCACAACGACAACACGCCAGAATCCCATCCAAGGTCATCGCCATACTGGTCATACTGGCCGTACTGGTCCTACTGGTCGCGCTGGACATCGTTTTGGTCACAAGAACGCCTATGGAACACCTACCCATACTCGCCATCAACGCAAAGCCACCCTCGGCGACAAGGTCTCCGGCGCTATGTTGAAGTTGAAAGGAAGTTTGACGCATCGCCCTGCAATCAAGGTAAGGACTGAACCACTCTGGTTGAACTTGGATTCGAGTTAACATTTCAATTTAGGCTGCTGGAACCCGCCGCATGCATGGTACTGATGGACGTGGAAGCCATGCACACCGTGTCTACTGATTGATACTGCATATTATCACGAATTACGAATGATGGTTTAAGTTTTTGGATTTGTCAATTTTTTGAGATACTATGTATGATTTAACTGTAGCATAAGCCTCGGGAGCCAGAGTCTTCAATTCTACTGTTGACAGGCTACCAGCGGATCATGTTGCGGGGTGTATTCGATTTAAATGTTGCCATGGCCATCCGTACATGTAGGGAGTGGATGTAAGGGAGGCGCTTAGTTACGGCCAAGAGCAATGGCCACTGCAGAATATCCAATCAATAGAAGTGAGGAAGGGGAAGGTGCATCCACAAGATCATTTGTTTTGCGAGTCACGAGATCAACGAGAAAATAGGGAAGTATGGAACTTCATTCTAGGAAGGTGCGTCTGTTGGGATTATAAACCCCACCTGAATCCCCAAAACCTCTCTTCCTCTCGAGCTCTTCCAAGGTTGTTCCTTTCCGGATAACTCGCGTACTTTAAACTGGAATATGTGTATCATATCATCTCATTGGAAGTCTACTTTACTAGTTCCTGGTAGTTCTTCAATTGAAGATATACATTTGCAATCTCAGATCTAGAATTTAGATTAGATATTGCTTTGTTCCCAATGCCGCACTGACCGCAACAAGATTTATCCTCCGAGTTCTTAAGAGTGATATAGGTACGAACACCCTAAGATTAATTAAGTCTGAGTAATAACAATGAAATTGAACGATAGACATCTTTTCTCCAACCTCGGAATACCGGGCCGGTGCGATAACGCGGGTGACCTGCCCGGGTGCCCCGCCAAATTTTACATAAGTGCGGGACTCCCCAATTACTCACTTGAACAGTACAACCTTGGAACATCCGTGGATCCTTTCAGTTTCAGCTGTATCAATACAATGCCGTCCATCCAAGAGAGCAAATTGGCCTTCATTGGCGGCGGAAACATGGCTGCCGCCATCATTGGTGGCCTGCTGAGCAAAGGCGTCAACAAGCAGAACATCTGCGTCTCCGAGCCGTGGGATGTCAACCGCGAGAAGATGGCCGCACTCGGAGTGCGCACCACCACTTCCAATGTCGAGGCTGGAGGTGATGCCGATTTGGTCATCATTGCGGTCAAGCCTCAAGTTACCAAGGGAGTGTGCCAGGAGCTCGGTGGTGCCTGGTCGCCGCGCGCGACTTTGCCCGTTGTTGTCAGCATTGCTGCGGGTATTACCCTTGATAGCCTGAAGGAATGGTTGACAACGAGCGATAGCCGTACGGCCCACACTGTTCGCGTGATGCCGAACACCCCCGCCCTAGTTGGCGAGGGCGCTTCAGGTGCTTTCGCTAGCGCGGATATCACATCGGATGAAAAGGAGCTTGTCAATGCTATGCTTGGAAGTGTTAGCAAGGCCACCGAATGGGTGGACCGCGAAGAACTTCTCGATGTCGTCACTGGATTGTCTGGTAAGTCTCCTGCGTCCAAAGCCATACGGCATGCCATCAACACGTATCAATCTGACCCAATTAGGATCTGGACCTGCCTACTTCTTTGCCATGGTTGAGCACCTGGTCGCAAGTGCAACTGCTCTAGGCCTCCCTGAAGAACAAGCCACTCGGTTGGCTACACAGACATGTCTGGGTGCTGGCAAGATGTTGGTTGAGAGCTCCGACAGCCCTACTCAGCTCCGTAAGAATGTGACCAGCCCGAACGGCACCACACATGCTGCCCTCCAGACATTTGAGTCTCTCAACTTTAAAGAGATCGTCGACAAGTCTGTCCAGGCTGCTACTGCTCGGGCTGCCGAGCTCGGAAACACTCTCGCCAAGGCGTAGAAAGGGCAACTCAACAAATATGAATAGCTGGATTCTGTGTAATGATATCCGAGATACTCATGCGAAATGAAGCAAAATAAACAAATACATTGACCCCCTTATTTACGTGGACAATAGTAGACTCCCAGTTGTCGGGGCCGTAACTCCGACTTGATGTGGCCCGTGCGTATCGCCTTCCTAAACTTGGAACAGCTCAACAGTCGAGCTCCATCTTCTCAGTTCATAGGCATACTATGCATGTACAATAATGGTTTCTTTTTGGCCCTGGAAGGTGATATACATTGTTTTTGCTTATTTCGCTTTACTGCCGCTGACTTTATCCAGGGCGATGACAATTCCGCAGCTTCTTTTGAGAAGACCTTGTCCACGCTGTCGACAAAGATCGCCGAGGCCACCACACGACTCGACCAGCAACGTCAGTCTTCTCGGCGAGTCAAAGCTCTCTGGACCCTCTACTCGACATTTGCCTATTTGTTTTACTCCATCATCCTCGCCCTGGTACTAGGATGGGAGAGCTGGGGAATCAAAGAATATGCAGCCATCGCAGGCGGGCCGGTCCTGTGCGTCTGTCCTTAATCTGCACGTTCCCACATCGCTAACTCCAGCTCTTAGGATTTACGGTGTGCGCACTCTCAGCTCCAGAGTCTTCGACTACCGAATTTCTCGCCTCCAACGCCGCCTTGACGACTTCCATAAACAGCGCGAGGAGACCATCGAAAAGCTCAAGGTCGCAACCAAGTACAACTCCACCCAGCAACTGCTAGAGAAGTACGGCGGTGAGTCCCCCAAACCCTCTCCGGGCCCAAAGGGACAAGCCGAGAAAGGAAAGCCTGCCCAGCAGCCACAGCATGTGGCCCGCACTGGTCTCCCGCCGCCGCCCACCGCCAACATTCGCCGTCCTCCCTCTGCATCACAAACACAGAACGACCCGCCATCCCCCGGTTATCCCTCTCCCCCCATCGAGTTAGCCCAGGGCGGCCCGCAGACCCCACAGCAGTCCTCTCCCCAGCCTCCTTTCCCTCCCCAAACGCCCACCGACCAAGCCAGCTTTGCACCGAACGCATTCCCCCCTCAGAGCGCCGAACAACCACACTGGTACGACCGTCTCTTGGATGTTCTGCTGGGCGAAGATGAAACCCAACCCCGCAACCGGATGGTCATGATGTGCAGCGCGTGTCGGCTCGTGAACGGCCAGGCTCCCCCTGGGATCAAAACACCGGAAGAGCTGGGCCGCTGGCGGTGTGGCAGCTGTAAAGCTTGGAATGGCGTGGAAAGCGAGACAACAAAGATTCTTAGCAGTTTGCGTCAAGATGGGCCATCCGAGGGAACCTGGGAGCCCGTGTCAAAGGCTGAGGCGGATACCCAGTCCTCTGAGGGCATGGAAGAGGGTGTTATGGTGGCTTCAAGTGAGGAGGAACAAGTGGACTCCATTGGCTCTGATGCAGAGGACCACAAGGAGGAATCTAAGCCCGCCCCTGTGCGTCGGTCCAAGCGCGGTGCAAAGGGGAACAAGGCGTAGGAGTAGACTGTCTTTCACTACTTTATTTATTTGTAAATGTCGATTAGCTACGTTGCTTCCGATGTCACTGAAAGCAGTCCGAATTCAAGACTTCACAAATGGTATCTAACTAAGCAAAATCGAAAATCTCAAGCCAAAATCATAAACATCATTCAGAGCACGGCAATCTCCCAAGCTGCTAAGTCCGAGCTCATGTGGAAACCACCGGGTGCAACGTCAAGTGCTCAATAGCGACGTTGGCAACCTTGACCTCAGCCTCTTCGGCAGAAGCACAACCCTCCACCAGCGCGATTTCAGTCTTGTTAACAATAGCCGAGCACCGGTACGTAGCCACGCCTCCAGACTCGACCCTCTTCCTCTTAAAGACCAAGGTACCTGCTCCCTTCACCATGTTCTGCGCAATGTTGCGCGGATGAACAACATTAACTCCGTCGGCAATAACACGCTGGATGTACCATACCAATCCGATACGTTCGACGAATGCATAGCATACGTCCAGGTTGCCCCCGCAGTCGATGAATATCGCCCCAAGCACACTCTCGATGATGTCTGACAGGAACTTATCGGCACGCAGGCGGGCGAACAACTCCCACGGATACTGGGTCCCGTTTTCCAGAGCATCACAGATTTCAGTACGGAGACCTCGGTGCCGCTCGAGGCAAGCTTCCTGGGCAGATTTGATGTTAGGGCCATGGGAGCGGAGGAAGCGCCATAGGTGGATCTGGTCATAGCGTGGCACGAGGTTGATTTCGCCATTAGCGAATTGGGTGTTGTGGGAAGGTTCCTCTGGTGCGCATAGCTCCATGCAGAAGAAGGCAAGGAGGTTGGCGTTCACGACGGAATGTTTGAGTAATGTCATTGGTCCCTGGTCCATTTCCACGGGGTGGGCTGCTATCACTGCCATGACGACCATGTCGAGGACGGCATCGCCGAGGAACTCGAGTCGTTGGTAAGATTGCGTTGATGTGTCGTACTCGCAGGATGCGTGGGTGAGGGCCTCTGTTAGAAGGGCGGGATCCTTGAAAGTGTATCCAATCAGACCAGCCAATCGATGGTGATTGATTAAATTGCTCACGCCTTTACCTGGTGGCAGGATGAGAGGTGAAATGTCGTTCGTGAAGAGATTGATCTCCGGCAAAAAGCGATGGAGACAAGCCTGCGCTTCGCGGATTCCACCGTCTACATACGCTGCTCCAATGAGAGATTCCACAACATCTGCCAGGACCTTGGTCGATATGTTTCTCTTGGCTGTCGAGGGTTCTAACTTGTTCCTGATCAACGGTGCAGTCCATTTCCGGGGGTGAACCGGCTCGTTAGAACGAAGCTGTCAATACCAAGGTCGAGAGCTGCACGAGCAAGGCGACTGTTTTGGATGAGCTTGTCACGACTCTCCGAGAGGTACCCCTCGTGCCAGTTGCCGTTCCGGAAAAAGAGCTGGCAACTGACGGTGAATTTGAGAACAGAGTCGCCAAAGAACTCATATCGCTGATAGTTGGTGCTGGCCTGTGCAATGGGTGCGCTGATAGCCGTAATAACATGGGCGATATTTTTGATCCCCACTCCTTTCAAAATGGTATCGTTCAACCGATGTGCGACCAAAGATGCTTCCAGCCGGTCCAGAATGGCCGAGATGAAAAGTCCAAACACAGCCTGTTTTGCTGGGAGCTTGTCAATGACGCAAGCTGCTGCAGGCAGAATGTAGGACTTCTTTGGTGCGTCTGCCTCTCCATCTTCGGCGGTATTCATAGCTGGCATCTGCAGGAGATTTCGTCGACGGGGAAGCGATGAACACTCCACTTCAATAGGCGACGACTTCGATACATCGGCTGGAACGTTCCATCTGTTGAATAGCCGTGGCTCGCTGAATTTGGACTGGTCACGGACGATACCCAGAGGTGGAGCAGTCGGGTCCCTCATGTAAACTTCCAGCGCAGGCTCTTTCCCTTCGTGGAATGCAAGCCATTCTCCTAGGTGTTCATGTGAAATGTCGGGGATGAAGAGAGCCACAAAGTCGCGGTCGTCTCCCCGCTGTCGCGAGCTAGGAGCTTGTAGATAGAGGGCTGTGCTTCTTCTCATTTGATCCAGTGTCTCCACTGTCGTCTCAAAACTCGAAATTTGCGGATCAAAGTGGAGTTCCATGTAGGTTTCGGGGTCCCAATAGAGAGGAATGGGTTGCGGCGTCGGGGTCAATCTTGGTAAAATTAAGCAGATGGCGAGATCTTCATTGACGGAACCATTGCTGCATATTCTCAAGCGTGTCTGGCAAAGCTGACCCAAACCCCAGCCTTGTGCAAGGTCTACATAAGGGTCATACTGCTCCGCAGCTTGCACAATGGATGGGAGAACCGTCTCCTCTGAGCACCTCAGCTCTGGTTTTCGTGTCAATGGCAAGAGATTATCATTGACCAGCCCATACGCGTGCAAAGCTTTGTAGGCTCGAAACGCAGTCTCCTTCCTGGCTGCCCGCTCTGTCCGCCACCAGGTTTTCCCTGTTGTCCGTCAAACCGTGGGGTGAACAGAATTTGGCAGTGTCACCGTACCTAAAAGCAGTCCTACACTATCTTCCTCAAAGGAGAATATTGGCAGGTTGTTAGAATACTCATCAACTGGTAAAACTGCGCAAAAGTGATACAAATGCTGTAATGCGTCGTCTGCCGTTAATAGAGCACTACGGAAAATAATGTTAGCAAATGTCTTGGAAGGGATGAATTGCGCTTACCTCGTCTTCTCCACCCAAAGTCTCTCTTTCACATGCTCTTCAGTGGCTTCGAGGTCATAGGCTTCCCGACGCCGTCGCTCGTCATCCTGATACGCTTTGATCATAGCTTGCTCTAGTTCCTGCCACTTGTGCAGGTTCAACAACTCGTCCTCATTTGAGATCATGAGAGCATATATAGATTCTCTATGACGAGCACGCCCACGCCGCTGCACAAAGGACTTGAGGTTCGCAGGCTTGTCGTAACAGATGACCAAACTGCATGCACTGACGTCAATCCCTTCTTCGAGAACATCAGTGGCCACAATGAGGTTTTTGCGGCCAACTTTGAATTCATCAAGAGTATCTCGTTGCATATCCCGATGAAGTAGGTCACCGAGGCAGCCCTTGCGGTTTTTATCACTCGCCCAACCAACATAAGCGGCACACTGAAAGCGATCTCTGGTTTTGGGATGAATGGATAGAATGCGAGCTAACACACTGACAGTTGCTCTCTGCTTGGCAAATAGCAGCCCGGAAAACCCAGGCCTATCCATTTTCTCAAGGAAGTTGAGAAGCATTTCAAGCTTGATGGATACGTGATTACTCTCCTCAGCTGAAACTGGCGCCGGCATTGCAAGCAGGAGTTCCAACAAGTAAATTCTCTCCATTTGGTCCAAATGTGACATCTCACTAGCATCTTGGATTGAACGCTGAAGTTGGTCAATTGAAGCGCTGATGAAAAAGTCAGCAGCCCAACCTCCCAGCTCCTCATAAATGTGACGGCTGCGCGCCTGGAAATTCCTCAGTTGCTCGCTACAGAAGGTTTTACCTGTAGTGAGAGCCTTGGTCAGCTCCACAGTGTGATCCTTTGACCGCAACGATTCGATCCAAGGATCATCTTCTATGTTATAGGCCCTGCAACATTCTATGAGAGGTAAAAGTAGTCGACTCCCAGAACCATAATGTGCTTCGTCAAAAGTTGTGTAATTGATACGCTCTAGGTGAGGGCGATGGGTGTTTTCCAAAAGCTCAGTGCGATGGACGCGTGGAGTCCTGCATACTGCGTTCAAGTTGGATTCGATTATTCTGGGTAAAGATGGTCAGTTATTGGAGAGACTTATCCGAGTGTAGTAGATAGCCTCACTCAAGCTCATTCTGGCTCGACCGAACCACAGGACTAGCAGTGAGTCCCAAAATGCGAGGTACAGCATTTGGGCCTGACCTCAGCAGGGTAGGATGGTAGTGTTTTTGCATAATCTTGTTCGCCGGATGGCGTTTTGTGCAATGATGAGCTGTATTAAGTATTATTAGTATGAATTCTTGGGATGCATTTTAGTGTCACATACCCTCATCAAAGACAAGGAGAGCAAGTCGGGACATGCGAACAAAACCATGGCCCAAGGCATCAGCAAGGACGGCATATGTTGAGACAACCACACGGACATCTTTGAGCACCTTGTCCCAGATACCTTGTTCAGTCCATCGATCAACATTGTCCTGACCAGTTAAAATTTTAGTTTCCACAGAGAGGATATGGCTAGTGATAACTTCATGCTGCTGAAGGCTCAATGCCACAGTCGGAGCCAGAAACCAAATAAGCTGTGCCACATGTGAGCTGAGGAACATATAGAAGAGCCAACGAGTTTATTCACTTTGTCTGGAGAATCGGAGTTCTCAAGCTCATCTATGATCCGAAGAATGGCACTAAAGCAAACAGTCAGGAAAATGTGCCGATAAAGGTGAACCTCCAAACATGCATATGAGTTTTTCCACTCCCCGTGTCCATCTATAAAATAGTTAGCATCTTCCGAAGTCGCAATCTCGAGAAAGGAGAACATACCGCGACAATGATATTGTCCTTGCGGCTAGCCTCTAACATTTCGAGTTGGTACCCACGAGACCGGTAGGCAGCACCATTACTACTCAGGCCCGTGGAATCCATGATAAGCAACAAGTCTCAAGCGAGACCGTTAATAAAGAGAGCAATAGAAGAAAAGAAAAAGAAAAGAAAAGGAAGTTGAGATGAGAGGAAAGCCCGAGACAGTTTGTTGGTGGGGGGGAGGGTACGGCTTCCCGCAGCGGCCAACGCGCAGCTTTGGTCCAATGACTGTCGAGACCCGTCCGTTTCCCTTTTGGGTGTTTTGTATACTTCCAAGGCCAAGGGTTCTGTTTGATTTGACCTCAACTCCTCAACTCCCCAACTGGATCTTCCATCTTCTCTCTTTACTTCATCCGTTCTCACCTCATATTTCCAGATACAGTCTTCTTCTTCAACCTGTGGCTTTCTGCCATCTACCTACCACTTTTCCTTTGTTGCCTATCAAAAACCTTCTTCCATCTCTCTCCTAATGCGCAGCAGCCCTTTGCCTGTTGTGACCCCTCTATTTCGGAAGACAATCCATCGCCTCATATTTTCAAAGACAGTCATAATCTTCTTCAACATCTCAATTCCTGCCATTCTCCTACCTTTCTTTCGTTGTCTATCAAAACTAACCTTTCTTTTCTCTCTTTCCCAATTCGCAGCAGCGCTTTACCTGTTGTGACCTCTCCATTTCGGAAGAAAAGCCATCATCTCATATTTTCCAAGTCCAAATTACCGTCAACCAACACCCATCTCGGTGCCATCTACATCTATCTCCCTCCGGGCGTGTGAGATGGCCTGCCCTTCCACGAGAAATTTTGAGGATTGGATGAGGAACTTGTCGCAATGGCGTGAGAGATGCCAGCGGTGGATTCAACAGGAGTGGGAGAACAAATGCAACGACCCAGTTGAATGGAAAGAGGGCGATGTCCCTGGATTCACACCAGGCATCCTGTCCAGCCAGGAAGACATGGCCTCCCTCTGTACCTGAAAAATTATGAATCCACCTGACCACATCTCTATTGAAGCAGAATTGGATGCAAACATCAACCAGCGGAAGTGGAACCCCAAGAATGTCCGCCTGTCGGATGCAGGTGTCATCTACGCCCTTCTGACCTTGCCTGCGGATTATCGCATCCGATACCTGGCCTACGACTTTGATAGCCGAGGGGACGTACGAAAAGAACGAGTTCCCAAAGCACCCACTGTTGCCTTTTACTGGAATAACCAGCGGACGCTTGTCGCCTGGAAAGGTGTTTATGTCTTCACAGGGGGGGTACAATGATGCTGGATGGTTGCTGGCCGACAATTACCCACAGGGACAACAGTTTTTCGAAGCTGGTCTGGTGGTCGCATCCTCTCATGTAAAGACGTTTGATACCCTCAATGTCCAGTTGACCGAGTATGAAGTATGAGCCAAAGAAGATCTTACTCCGCGATTCGAATCTTACGGAGGATATATGGAAACGTGCCTGTCGGTGGTACGGGATCTCACTCAGGGGATGCAGCGACGTTTCGGGATATTGCCTTGTACTGGCAGGGCAGAGTGTATCCGGGTATCAGAAGATGGGACTTCTTTTTGGGTTCAATACCTTGATTGGTCCCGGCGCTGACGCTGCCGACACGAACGAAGCAATTCAACAAGACCAGTGGCCTTGCACGGCGTGGAAAAACAAGTTGTCTCCGGATGCGGAGTTCAAGCGGCGGACCAGCGACTTCATCAACTTCATCAGAATCCAGTGGGGGGCATTTGCCGATCCGACAAAAGAGAACTGGAGGTAATACAACCTGCCGCAAACGCAAGAAACCAGACAGCGGTAATGAAGCTCAAGGTTCCCTCCCGTTATCATCGCACTCATCATCGGCCGGGAGTAAAACGGTAAACGAGAGGAGCCCAAACCAAACAGTTTACGATTCCGATAACTCGGCTACGTTCGACACTTTGGGCCGAGCTAGCAGGCGTCGAATCGCCTCCCAAATACTGGGAGCTATTCACGGCCGTCGGTACAATGGAGACCATGCATCAGAGGTGGCGTCACAACCATATGGCTGTTAAACTGGTCCAACACAATATTTCGCCATCTGAAGCCACTGTTATCCGCGACCTTATGCAGACCTTGAGCCCAAAGCTTAGGTTCTTGCTTCTAGGCATTGGCGTCGACGAAGATCGTCTTGCTCTTGAAAATGCTTTTAGCTACAACTCAGCCATGGTTCTGTTTTAGCAACGGGTCGATGCCCTTGAGGAGGGCCCCGTTAAACAGGCCTACATGAACTTTTACACCTACTTTCGGACCCTCGCCCTCCCCAAAGCTGAGACCCCACAGCCGTCCATTAAGTTGGAACAGCAAGAGGAAAGTGACAGTGGTCCTCGACAGTACGCCGAGATCCAAGAGATGAACTTTTGGGCATAACAAACAAGCTTCTCACAGTTCATGCAGCAAGCTCCGGTTGTGAGCAGATCCTAGCGCAAGGTCGCACACCTGAACGAGCAGCAGGTACAACATCGGATATTATCCGTTGGAACCGGGTTTAACATTGAAGAATAACATTTTCCAACGCAGACGGAGTCAAGAAAAAGGGAGCGAACGTTTTAGAAATTCTTGATGCCTTCCAAGGTTGACATCCATGTTTAATAATTGGTATGTTGTTCTGTTCTGTTTGGTATCATTGAATTTAAACCCGTTTCATTAGTCCAATAACTATGGCTTCTAGTCTCCCAATCATATTTGTCCCAGTATCTCATATATCGATGTTATCGATGGGACATCAGAGAGGAGTATTGTGAGTTTCCTATCTCGACTTGAGAACGGGAAGGTGATCCACTATGGTTTTCCATTCTTATTGGAAGAAGCGTTGTTGCGGTAGTCTTGGCATGCGTATTGCCTTTTTTGGAACGCCTTTTAGCGACTTCGGCTTCGTGAAAGACGAAGATAGAATGGAATCTTGGAAGGTAATCCATAGTTTACATATCTGTGTGGTTATACATCCAATATTACCTTCCAAGTGAAGTTATTACCTGCGACCTTCAATTGTAGGCCCTCATCCATGATCGAATATATATAGTCCAACATAGGATGGCTTTCTGTTTTTAAGGTCTTCATCACTCATATCTCAAAAACTAAGCAAATCCCTGTATCGGACGATATCTCCAAACAGATTGCCCAAAACAACGTGCAGAATCATGTCGCAAGCTCTTGATCTGTCCCTGTTGAAGGGTTCTCCTGAGGAAAGAGATGCAATTTCGGCAGCCCTCCTAGACACACTCAAAACGCGTGGAGTGGCCAAGCTAAAGAACCACGGGCTCCCGGAAGATCTGATCGCTGAGATGTTTGACTACGTAAGGTTTCTCGAAGGAGGGATTGTATGTCCACTGACTGTCTTTGCCAGACCCGTCGATTTTTCTCTCTTTCACTAGAGGATAAGATGACCGCCAAACATCCGCCTGAGGCAAACCCCAACCGTGGATATAGCTACGTTGGCCAGGAATCTGTCTCTTCTATTAGTGGATATGAGAAAGGCCTTCCTCAAGGGAAGTCTATTCGGGATATCAAGGTGAGTGCTCCCTATATGACCCGCCGTGAACGTCCATTCTAACAAGCACAGGAAACTCTCGATATGGGCTCCCCACACGACAGCCTTGTTGACAACATCTGGGTAGCTGAGGATAAACTTCCCGGCTTCCGCAAATTCATGGAGGATTTCTATGAAAGCTGCTTCAAGGTCGAGTTAGAGATTCTCGACGCACTGGCTCAGGCCCTTGAGATCTCGGCACCAGATCTGAGACTACTACACAACAAGGCCGAGAATGAGTTCCGCCTGCTTCATTACCCAGCCGTGCCAGCATCCGCTCTAGAAGATGGAACTGCCACGCGCATTGCGGAGCACACAGACTTCAGGCACAATTACCATGCTGTTCCAAGATTCCACAGGTGGTCTGCAGGTCGAAGACCAGAAAAATCTGGGGACCTTCCATGATGTCGTCTCAGGTGGCAAGTCGGAGATCATTCTGAATATCGGCGACTCGCTTCAGCGCCTGACCAATGACACATTCATGGCTGCATGTCACCGGGTGACCTATCCGCCCACCGTCAAAGTGGGTTCTGACGTGGTCATCCCCAAGCGCTATTCTGTCGCCTATTTTGCGAAGCCAAACCGTGTCGCTTCCTTGTGCCCATTGAAGAAGTTCATCACCCCTGCTACTCCATGCAAATATGAGGATATTACGGCCTGGGACTACAACAATCTGCGGATCGCCAAGTTGTTCTCCTAAACAAGAGTCCGATCAAGATATGGCGTCTAGTTATACATGTATTTATGTGCTCATGTTGCTCTTCGGATTGAAATGTTATCATCGGACCTCAGCTATGTTTATAAGAGATTTTGCAGAATAATTCATTTCTTTCTTTTCTTTTCGAGTGAACAGGCTAGTGTGCCTTGGATGTGTCGATTAGAGCTCGACGCGATGAACATCATTTAAAACGTACAATGTTTATTTTACTTCCCCACAACGTTGGAAGATGACCATCAAGACTCAACGTTGGGTCCCGAGAAGAGGGGCCAGAGTCCAACAGGCAAGAAGTTCCCGGAACGAGCAATATTCGCTCCCTTAAAAAAGTGAGTTAACCAGAATTTTCTTGCACCCAGAACATTTTTACCAGAATATTGATGGGCTAAGAATTTAATGAGTGTATACAAATTAATACCAAATCATTCGGCCCGGCCAGGTTGTTGATGTCTGCGCAGGTGCGATATTGATATCGGGAATGACATTCCCATTTGGGGTTCGTCCTCGGAGACTCAGAGCCTTGTATCAGAACCACAACTTCACCGAGGTACAGCAATCCTCAAAATGCAAGAAATCGTTCAGTTAACGTTTATCCATGACAAGGAGGATATTCGATGGTTGAATGCGGGAAATGCGGCCAGGCACCGCCACTCCATCTTCACAGGTTCGTTTTTGATCGCAACTTCCATCGGGCTAGTTCTGACAATGCTTGGTAGATGTCGAACGTCGAGACATGACTCTTGAGCTTGTCTCTTCTGTACCAGACCAGAATCCCGACCAGGCAATTGTTGATCTGGAAAGGTTCGACTCGGATACCAATTGCTCGGAACCATTCTCGCTTTTTCGGGGCCCTTTTGGTGCTTTCAGATGTCCAGAACCACTCCCGCTTGATCTACCACCTACCAGTAGAAATAAGCCGCCGCCTTCCCCAATGACTGGTTTGAGCAGCTGGAGGAGCTGCCAGTAGAGGAGGATTTTAGCCAGAATCCGTTCAGTCTAGATGCCTTCGATGCTCTAAATGCAGATTACAGTGACGATTTGCTGCTAGATTGGCCGAATCCAGAGCCGCTTCTGAGTATTGGAACAAATTTCCATGAGCCGAGTCCACAAGCAGGGCTCAATCCATACATTTACGTGGGCAATATCGAAGGCTGGAGTCTCCTATCTCATTACAAAGAGCGAATTGTCCCATTGATCTCCTCCTTTACGCCGAGGAAAGGAGACACCTTGGATGAGCCTGGTATTGCCATGCGCGATGGCAACTTTGGCAGACCTGATGCTGAATGGGTCTTCCAACCATGCACGGCTTGCCCTATTAAACGCCGTATGGAGCACAAGTGCCTTTCACTTGGGGAACAATTCAGTAGATTGCCTTCAGGAATGGACAGTCTCGGGAGGGACCTACTTGGCACGGGCTCAATACCACTTCCAACGATGCATGGAGGAAAGCTGTATCTCGGCTACGAAGACGAGCAAATATAAGGAGATTCTCATGGCAATGCTGAGTCTCTCAAATGTCTTCGTATGACACCAACACGAATCCACTGTCCACCGCTAACATTCTGATGCAGATGATAAAAGGAGACCCGGAAATGCGACGTGCCTATCTCGTCCAAACAGAAAAGCTCATCTGTGTCAAGGGACTCAGCCAACCGGCGCTGTCAGCCAACAAAAGAGCATTGCACCACTGTTATGCTTATATGCGCATTATGGCCGAGACAACATGCATTGCTGATAGAATGAAGCGTCAATTTAACGGACAAGCGGTGCTTTGAACGACAACACAACATATGGTGGAGACTTCCGTGTCTACCCGAATCTAAAATTTTTTCGACGACCACAATGAGCATGGAAAAGGACCCGAGCATGGCCCAACGTGACCTCCACCTTGCGATACCCGGCCGATGGAGCTCAACGTTATTTCCCACATTATACGGAATCGACGAAATATTTCTCATGTTACTGTCCCAAGTGATCCGCCTTGCCAATGAGCGAGATTTGTCCATGATGTCTGATGCAACAGGGAGTCGGCTCAGTCTGAAGGAATTCTGGACTCGAGCAAAGGGCCTTGAAAGGGCCATTGATCATTTGCTATCGACTACAAATCCAGGTGGTGTTGAACTTTACGACGGAGCCCTCCCAGTGGTCAAGACTGCGACAGCACAAGCAATGTATACGGCACTATCAATTTTCTTCCATCGCCGAATATACGAAATTGATCCCACAATGCTGCAGGGCAATGTGAATGCAATTCGGGGCTACCTAACCCAAATTCAACAAGAGGAAAGAGATCAGAAAGGCAGTAATAATGCTGCGCTGATATGGCCAGCTTTTATCACTGCTTGTGAGGCTGTTAGCCCCGAGTTACAGTCGTTCTTTTCCTCTTGGTTTGATAATTGCGCTCGGACGACAGCATTGGTTTATGCATCGACCGCCAAGCAGATATTCGAGACAATATGGACCAAAAGGTGCAATGGTAGCATTTCTGGAGAAACATATAGCTGGCCAGATATTTTGCGGGATAGGGATATCAAGTTTATGTGCATATAACTACATGTACATATGTAGTCACGAATACGAAGACACAACAGGACAATCCATGGATGACCGTTGCTTGAGCCATTATTGGGAGTCCAGACTAAAACAAAGAGCCAATAGTCCACATCCGGCTAGCGTTTGTGAGCACCGGCTTTCGGACTATAGTTTATCCTTTCTGGACCGTTCCAGCAGAATCTCAAAAACCGTTGACCCCGTTGACCCCAGATCATGTATATATATGGTCTACTTACCCTGGTACATAGGTAAAGTGTTGAACCAAAGGGGGAAATGGCCCTTACGGTATGGATAACATAAAATAGTACATATGTCGTGCTACAGTTCAGTTTACTTAGTGCACCATTATCCCTATCTGGCTCTTGGCTACATCGAAGGGGGTAGGGGGTTATCTTTCCATAATGTACTACTATTAGCTATGTAGAGAGTTGAGGGAAAGCATATCTTATGAATTTTGTGTCTTTTGTGGTTTTTATGGACATGCCACACAAAAGATGTCTAAATCTGATTTATTGTTGGGGCGCAACATCAGACCAGATATCTCCAACATACCCGGAAAGTACCATCTACCTAGGTACCATCTCTACGATTACAAAGTACACCAAGGCCTGGCCTTCTCGGGCTGGCTAATTATTATTAGTCAAATCCTCGGGCCAGACACCTGCGAGTGTATAATTCAACATTTCTCCGAATAATCTTCTCCATCTAGAAATGGCCATTTTGTCAGCGCAGTTATAATGGTGAACACCGGAATCCAGCGCGCCTCGGCGTATTCCGCCAATGAATTACATGTTGATCTCTTCGTGAGGGGCTCCCCGTTATGACTTTCCCCGCACGCCCCGGATTTTTTGCTGGATGGCCAATGAAAAAGTGAAGAAATATAAATTCGCGTCATCTTTTCTATACTTTTTTTTCGTCTTCAAAGCATATGGAAAGAATAGCCCAAAACGTAACTAGGTACCTAGGTACCTAGAAGCTGCTTAATACGCGACCCGTTATTGGGCCCACAGGTTGTACCATTTAAACTGCGGGGGCATCCTCTTCCCGATATTTTTCTTTCCCTCCATATTCCTCGTTTTTCTTTACCAAACTTACATCATGAGCGAATGTCCTGTTGCGCACAAGAGAAGCAATGTTGCTGGAGGTGGCACCCGGTATGATCCCTAGTTCTCCTATGATTCTACCTCGGCACATTTTAATTACCTCTTCGCATCACTATGGCTCGAAATACTGATTCTATGCTCCAGCAACACTGACTGGTGGCCCAATTCCTTGAAGTTGGGTATTCTCCGCCAGCATACCGATGCCACCAACCCTCAAAGCAAGGACTTTGATTATGCCGCTGCTTTCAAGACCCTCGATTACTGGGGCCTCAAGAAGGATCTTCACGCCCTTATGACCGACTCTCAAGAGTTTTGGCCCGCTGATTTTGGTCACTATGGTGGCCTTTTCATCCGAATGGCCTGGCACAGCGCTGGAACATACAGAGTCTTCGATGGACGCGGTGGTGGCGGGCAGGGCCAGCAACGTTTCGCACCATTGAACTCTTGGCCCGATAATGTCTCCCTCGGTAAGTTTTTATTAGTAGTTAACGTGGATTTATATAATACTGATATGGATCTCCTATTTCCAGATAAGGCGCGCCGACTACTTTGGCCCATCAAGCAGAAGGTGAGTACTATACATGGACTTGTGTACTTCCAGATCTTTCCATACTAATTATGGTACTTAGTACGGCAACAAAATTTCCTGGGCAGATCTTCTGCTTCTGACTGGCAACGTTGCCTTGGAGTCTATGGGCTTCAAGACATTCGGATTTGCTGGAGGTCGCCCCGATGTCTGGGAAGCCGATGAGTCGGTGTACTGGGGAAGCGAGAACGTCTGGTTTACTAATAAGGCTCGTTATGAGGCCGAGACCGCAGAGGAGGAGGCTAAGCAGGGCGATATCAAGACTCGCGATCTCGAGGACCCACTGGCCGCGGTCGTCATGGGGTTGATTTATGTCAACCCTGAAGGTCCCGATGCAAACGGGGACCCTGTCTCTGCTGCCAGAGATATCCGTATTACATTCGGCCGTATGGCTATGAATGACGAAGAGACCGTCGCCTTGATTGCTGGAGGCCACACCTTCGGAAAAACGCACGGTGCTGCCCCTGCTGATAATGTCGGAGACGAGCCCGAAGCTGCTGGCATTGAGTCGCAGGGTTTAGGATGGCACAACAAGCACGGCTCCGGTGTAGGCCCTCATGCTATCACCAGCGGGTTGGAGGTGACCTGGACAAGTACTCCTACCAAGTGGAGCAACTCCTTCTTGGAATATCTGTTCAAGTTCGAGTGGGAGCAGACCAAGAGTCCCGCTGGCGCTACGCAGTGGGTGGCCAAGAATGCGGGCGATATCATTCCTGATGCCTTTGACCCAAGCAAGAAGCACAGGCCTCATATGCTGACTACCGATCTTTCTCTGCGTTACGATCCCGCTTACGAGAAGATCTCCCGTCGCTTCCTTGAGAACCCTGATGAGTTTGCCGACGCGTTCGCGCGTGCGTGGTTCAAGCTGCTGCACCGTGACATGGGTCCTCGCGCTCGCTGGCTGGGCCCTGAGATCCCAAAGGAGGTCTCTCTCTGGGAAGATCCTATTCCTGCTCCCACATACGCTCTGATTGACAACGGCGACATCATTGCCCTGAAGAACGAGATTCTCTCCACCGGTATTGAGCCCACCAAGTTGATTGCCACCGCCTGGGCATCGGCGTCTACCTTCCGCGGGGGTGACAAGCGTGGAGGCGCCAACGGCGCCCACATCCGTCTCGCTCCCCAGAAGGACTGGGATGTCAACAACCCAGCCCAGTTGCAAGAAGTCCTCGGTCTGTTGGAGAACATCCAAAGCCGCTTCAACAAGGCCCAGAACGGCGAAAAGCGCGTCTCCATCGCTGATCTGATTGTGCTTGCTGGATCTGCTGCCCTCGAAAGAGCCGCGGGTATCCCCGTTCCTTTCACCCCTGGCCGCAACGATGCCACCCAGGAGCAAACAGATGTCGAGTCATTCGGCTGGCTCCGGCCCTTCGCTGATGGTTTCCGCAACTACGGCAACTCGACTCGCCGTATCCGCACCGAGCAGTTCCTCATCGACAAGGCGCAGCAGCTGACCCTCTCTGCTCCTGAACTGACCGTCCTGCTTGGTGGTCTGCGTTCTCTGAACGCTAACTGGGATGGATCAAGCCACGGTGTCTTCACCTCCCGCCCTGGCCAGCTGAGCAACGACTTCTTCGTCAACTTGCTCGACATGGGCACTGTCTGGAAGGCAACCGACGCTGACAGTGAGACTTTCGAAGGCTTCGACCGCAAGACTGGCGCCAAGAAGTGGTCTGCTACTCGTGTTGACCTGATCTTCGGTCACCACGCTGAGCTCCGTGCTCTTTCTGAGCTGTACGCTAGCTCCGATGCCCAAGATAAGTTCAAGAAGGACTTTGTTACTGCCTGGGACAAGGTTATGAATTTGGACCGTTATGATATCCCCTGTTTCCCTGCGACCGGTCGTCCTCGCCTGTGAATAATTTGACTACCATATCTTCTGTACTGTTACTTAGCTGAGTCATCATCAAACGAGTTTTAGTTTTATTGTGACTGCATCGTTCACATACTCAATGTATTGGCAAAGTCCCTGCTCCTCAAAAGGTTGTGCTGTTCTGCTGCCGGAACAAGCGCTGAGTCCTTTCCCCCAAGGGCCTAGAGAGTAAGTCCGAAATAATTTGGCTAATATGATATCTCAGATTCAAAAGTAGCGGCCTGCATGGACAAACCGGCATATTCCGCGAGAAGCAGGAATTGCCTGTTATGTCCGAATTGTGCGAGTGTGAATGCGACTGGACCGGCTTGTTACACCTAATATTTAATTCCGGACTACTGATGGGCGCACAGGGAATTTGCTTTCCCTCCCAACTCTCCCTTGGATTATCTCTAGATACAGAATGGCTCTCAAAGTTCTCATTTGTGGCGGAGGTGTCGCAGGTCCGGCCTTGGCCTACTGGCTCGCCCGAATTGGTCACCAAGTTGTTATCGTCGAACGTTTCCCAAACCTGAGAGCTACAGGTGCCCAGATCGACCTCCGTGGACAAGGTATTGAGGCCGTCAAACGCACGGGTCTCATCGACGCTGTTCGCAGAAAGCTTGTTGACGAAGCAGGCGTCTCCTTCATTGATGCTAAGGGCAATGTCAAGGCGACAATTCTCGCCAACAAGTCTGGAAAGGGTGGACAATCCTTTACATCCGAGTATGAGATCATGCGAGGAGACCTTGTACGCATATTCTACGAAGCAACAAAAGACAAAGTGGAATATATCTTCGGTAAAACGGTGGATGGCTTCACGGAAAATGACCGAGAGGTAGTCGCCTACTTTTCCGACGGCTCTTCTGACACATTTGATCTACTTGTTGGCGCAGATGGACAGGGCTCGCACATTCGACGAAAGATTCTACCCTCTGGTGCTCCAGATGAATATCGCCAACTCGGAGTACACATGGCCTACTGGTTTGTCCCACGGATTGAAACCGACAGTAATATGTGCCAGTCATACCTCAGCCCGGGCGGCCGAATGATCATGTCCAGAAGCCATAATAAAACGGAAACACAGGTCTACTTCATGCTTAGATCTGACTCCGAGGAACTACGGAATATCCCAAGGGGTTCAGTTGGGCAGCAGAAGCATTTCTGGGGCCAAAAGTTTCGCGACGCAGGGTGGCAGGCCGATCGCTTTATCAAAGGGATGGACACTACAGAGAACTGGTTCTGTCAGAATGTCGCCCAGATCAGGACGGATACCTGGCACTCTGGCCGCGTCGTCCTTCTCGGTGATGCGGCACACTGCCCTTCTCCTTTAAGTGGTATGGGGACAAGTAACAGTTTAGCCGGGGCATATGTCCTGGCTGGAGAACTCGCTCGGAGTGAAGATCTGTCCCAAGCGTTCCAAAACTACTCCCAGACAATGCGACCATTTATCGACCGGGTTCAGCGGTTCAACATTGGATGGATCCGATGGGCGGTCCCCAACTCGCAGTGGCAAATTTCGCTTCTTCATCTCATTGTAAGACTGTAAGACTGGCTTGTTATCTTCGCATATCACAGCTCATATCACGGTTTTCAGATCATGGCGACGGAGACTGGAAACCCCCTGAGTACCCGGAACTCAAGCTTTTGAGTTAAAAGTAGAGCCTGCGTATGCAGTTACTCAGAGCCAAATCCTGGAGGCGCAAGAACATTCTGAACGAGAAAATGCATTCTACTTTACCTACATCAATAATCGTAGATCTCAATCCATCGACATTTCCCTGTATTGTAGTTTCTTACCGAGGATGTCACGGAATCTCCATGCGTCTGTCCAGTTGCCTATTCGGGCCAACAGTGGGCGGGGTTTCATGATGTAGGAGGCCCGAATAACACGATCTAGCCGAGATTTTCGAAATAAGCTCGCGTTGCCTACACACTATTGCAGTGTGTAGTTATTGTTCCTCGTGGTGAGGCTCATGGCCTGCCGCGTGGCCTCCTTGTTATTTTGATAACTTCATAGTTATCCTTCTCCGGTCAGTTGTTGACCTTTGTTCTTTATTTTTCTACTTTTCGAATACAATTGTGACGCCGCCTCAGGGTTACTCCTTTGAGCTATTGTCACGAAATTTTGGACCTAAAGTTGTACCTGAAACGGCCCCCGCTCTCATTAAGGAAAGATTTACATACAATGGGCATTCGACTTCAGATCTTCGCCAGGAAACAATGCGGGCATAGACGGGGGAGTGTTCGGGATATTCCAGGTTAGCAAAGAGAGTAGGTGATCTTTTCACGATACCCGAGTACCTGAAAATGAGGTGATCCTTTCCTCTTTCCACACGGTTGTGAAGAAGCACCCCGATTACCCCCAGTTTCATCATTGCTTACGCGATATAGAATACTTGAATATAAAAAGACCCTGTTGGCCTGCAGTTTCTTCCTCCATCAAAAGCCTTTCTGCATTATCAGGAACAGTTAATCCACAAAGCCTTCTCATCTCTTTTATATCGCAAGATGCAGCTCCTTTCTATTGTCGGTGTCATGGCACTCGTGCCTGCAGTGCTCTCATCCCCGGTGACAGACTTCAAGAAAATTGCGGTCCGGGCTAATAGTCGAGGCAACCAAACTGTTGCTGGCCTCGGAGCGCGCAAGCAGGAAGTGGTTGCTGCTGGCGGCAACACCCGTGACTTGGCGATTGCGATGCTGGAAACGTTAGTCCCCCTGTCATCTGGTCCCCATATATAGCAGACGACTGATAAGAAACAGGGACACAATGACGACGGATTACACATATGGTATGTGCTAATGCTAACCCGCTTGTGGAGCCAGTAGGATGTTAACTGTCGTGCTTACAGGTGACGGAAAGACTGGCGACGGCACAAACTTCGGTATCTTCAAGCAGAATTGGTTTATCTTGCGACACTCCGCATCCGAATTCCTGGGACAGACTGTTGACGACGTCGACAACGGAGCCATTCTCAAGTAAGTCCTTCAGTGGCGTATGGACTGCCCCGATTATGTTGGCTGATGCTCCGGTGCTAGCTCCGATCTGGGCAAAGACATCCAAGCCCGCCACGAGGGTGAGGAACACTACGGATTTGAAACCTGGTTCAGTGGCCACCGCAATGGAGAAAGTGGTATCAAGAACCCCGGCACGGAGGATATCAATGGTGAGTTTTCCTATTCCCCGAATCGGTTGACCTATCTAACATGGTGGATAGGATACATTGATGCTATTGCATGGATTCAACAGCAGATTGAGAGCGATGAGAAGTATCAGTCCGATGATACTCGCTTCTGGGTTGATGTCCAGGCAATTTAGAGCGTGACTGGAGAAGGCACGAGGATACCTCAAGTCCCCTGGTTAGGGACCCTCAGGGTTGGGACACATTTGGTTTAGCTGTACCCTCTGGCGATTTCACTTCTTACACTCCTTTTCAGAACCTTTTTTGCAATTTTATTACACAAATACAATCATTTATCAAAGAACTGTTGGTCCAACAGGAGTAGAGAGGCCAGGAGTCGCAATAGCTAGTAGAGGAATATTGTAAATAGTATTTTCTATACACGTTCAACGGGATATTGTCAATGGGAATAAATGGCCAAGTTCGCATATAGTTGGGAAGTGGTAGTGCCTCTTTAATGTCCATAAGAAGGTTGTTACTAGACTCTCTATAATAAAACAACAATATATGCCAGTAAGAATTTGTTAGCCTCTTTACTGGAGGTAGCAAAAACTGCCCAACACGCTTCTAATCCACGAAATGTAGTCCCAGAGTATGCACACATGCATGTCATGGAGGACCACTGCAGCTAATTTAATCATATGAATTGACTTTGCTATGATCTTTTGGTCTAATGGGTAACTCGGTTGAGCAGCAGCGTCCGTATCTCGCTATTCTTAGGTCCAAGGGAATATACGGTACCCTAACACGGAATATAGCATAGCCCTTAAAATACGGTAATATTATCGCTATTAGAGACGTGGTGAGGGTTATAGCGATCATCAGATCCGCCCGTTTACATGTCCAATAAGGGGTACATGGCTTGGCAGTGTCCAATCTTCTATTAATGTATGTTCATCCCATCTATTCCCTACCTACCATAGCATGTAGCGCTTCAGCTTTCGGATAAGCTGTACGTGTCACCTTCACCGATCTGGATACATAACGTTATCCGAGCGGTGAATATATATACATGTCTTCTTTTTTAAAATTTCCGTATGAAGACTCTGTGGACGCTCTGGCCATTCCTTGTTCCAACCGGATGCCAAGCCTCAACGTCAACCCATTCCCATTCCCATTCTTCTCTTTCTCTCTACTCTGTACTCCATATATCTTCAGCTCAGCCATCTTACCAACGCCGGAATTCATCCAGGCTAGGTCTGGACTCCTATTGCGGAGCGCCACTAGCGAAAAGAAAATGTGACCAGTGCTCAAATTCTGACTGGGTTTCTTTGTTTGAGATCCCGAGAATCCCTGTTTGGCGCGTCGATAGCCTCTCGACATTTGACACTTCGTTTGTCCTGTCCAATAAGCTCTCCAACCAACATGATTAAGGGGGAGGGGCAACGAGGATTCTTCTGGGATACTCATATTCCCAGAGATTATTGCCACCAATAGCTGATTCGGAAGCCCACTGCGATCATTAATTGTCGAATGAACCGGAATATCTGTCCCAGATCCCCGTGTGCTAGCATCATACACCGTGTTTGCCGCTTTTTCCTCATTTATGCGACGGGGGCATGACTCGTCAGTGGCAGTCCACCTCGGGACCAACAGTCAACCTTATTCCATTCTACCCCGTGGCCTAAGATGAGGGGCTCAAGGCATGTCTCCATTATCATAGGATCTGTCAGCCAGGTGGGACCTGCATCCGAGCTGTGATCAATATACCCTTTTTCCTTTCCCAACGGTTGATCCATCCACTTGGCCTAACCCATTCACACGCCATGGATACCTCAATGACGAACCTCCCTCCGGAGGTGAGCGCCATTTTGAATAGCAACTTCACGATCATCCAGGTTGTGGCTATGTTCGCGATCGGAGCATGGAACTCATTGGAGGTTGTGATTGGCATCTTCGAGAGGTTCAAAAGGTATCGTGGGTTATACTTCTGGAGCATGCAAATTGCCGCCTGGGGAATCTTGTTACATGCCATACCAGCTCAAATTCGCTTTACCAGCCAAGCCACTTCCATTTCTATGTCAGTCCCGTTTCTCGTGGGCTGGATCTGCATGGTGACCGGACAAGCGGTAGTGCTGTATTCAAGATTGCACCTCGTCGTGTCCGACATCCGTCATGTACGATGGGTACTATGGATGATTATAGCCAACTTCCTCATTCTCCACATTCCTACGGCAGTTCTCTTTTTTCTCAACGTTGGCAATATATCGTCCGGTCGCGTATCAGCAATCTACGACCATTTCCAGGCAACAGGATTCGCCATCCAAGACACCGTAATGTGTGCCATCTACGTCCGCGAAGCGCTCCGGGCGCTCAAGCCCGTCTTCGAATTCAAAGGCGCCCAAGGGCGAAAAATCATCTACCGAATCCTCTTTGTCAATCTCGTCGGCATCCTGCTCAACGTATGCATCCTGATAGCCAATTACAAAGTCCACTACATCGTCATCAGCTTCAAGACAGTCGCCTACAGCATCAAGCTGAAGCTTGAATTCCACGCCCTCACGCAGCTCCGCGAGCTGACCCGCACATACTCATGCACATTGTGCCAAGGGGCTAATGGTAATCCTCGTGGGTCAAGCGACGTCAATCTCTTCGACATGCTCGCGAATAATCCCCCGTCGCAGGATACCGAGGCGCAAGCTAGCTCCAGTGGTGCGGGGACCTTGAGCCCGGAGCCGCGTTCAGCGGGCAGCGGAACATACGATTTCCATGAGGCACTGCGCCAGACGATGCCGACTGTGGACTCTATTGAGTCGCAGGCAATTTCTCGGCCTCGGATGCACTCGTCCGATACGCAATCTACGATGGAAATGGCATTGCTCGAGCGCCCGAAGTAGGAGCAGGTCTTGATAACTTTGAGGGACATAATTTCGCATGCAGGATTGTACATACTACAAGATGAACGACTATGTACAGTCGAATCATCATTGGGCGGCCACCTTTTTTTCGCTTTATACCCTTGTCGCTACAAACATGCTTGTTGTTATTTTTATGTGTGTTAATTTGTATTAATTTCTGTGGCTTGGAAAAGTTTGTACGCATTCTTATAATACATTGATTGAACTATTAAATAGCGTCTATCTCTTAGAATAACATCGGAATGTATGGCAAAGAAATGGTTACAGTGCAACAAAAGATAAGACTGAACGTGAATATGAAATTTCAAGAATACATGTATTGTGACATATCTGCATATTTTCCTGAATGAAAATACGGGGAAGGCCGAGATGAAAGATAGCCAACAGAGCCAACACGTGTTCCGGTGTCTACTTCTGCAAATGGGAAATGGTTCGTGTACATATAACAAAGAGACTCATATCCATCGAAGCTATGGCCACCTGATGAATGTCCGATAGGGAGGATTGTTCGAAAGAAGGGGGAAATGATATCAGCGGAGGTCCAGAACGTGAGCAGAGGAAGTGAATAATGAACAGGAATGGACTGACAGCAGTGGCTGAATGTCTAAACGGACACGAGTGACTGACTTTCTTTGTTTTGAAGCCATCGAACTGTTTACTTAAAAGGCAAATCAGCCGCTGTTCTCCTATTCGCCAGTACACATTTTCAGCTCGAGCAACTACTTGTCAGTCCAGAGAGCAGCCATGGAGGTTGCACACTCTCTGCAAAAGTCCTAGTATCTGCTGGATATTGCAGGTATGCTACATATGAACGTTAGAATTAACAGAAATAACTCTCCTAGTCCTTGGATTTAACTTTGAAATTTTTACTAGCGGCTAAAGCTTGCTAGCTGAACAAAATTATACCGACATGGCTCCCTTTCCGATCTAAAGAAGATACCGGAAACTCTCAATCTCGCGATCGGTCTTGTTCGATATCTCATCCTGTAGCTCAGCTCCCACGGTCATCTGCTCAGGTGAACCATACAACCTGTCTCGTCGGCGGTTCTCCCATGTGTAATACGTATATAAGCATATGAGCAGGAACAGGCTCGAGACCAAGCCAGACATAGAAGCTTTAATTCCAGTCTATAGTAAAAAGGCATGGCGTTAGTTTCGTATTTTGCAATAGAAATTTTACCAGGAAAAAAAGGGTGACTTACTGGGTACGAAGGCTCCTCCGAGGCAAGGAAAAATTGAGGGCCCACGATATTTCCAACGCAGTATGCGATAAAAAGCAGCGAACTGACGACACTCTTCTTCGAAAACCCGGCCACATTAGATGTAACAATACTCAACGAGATGGGAAGGTTGATCGCGTAGACCACGGCTAACGTCAACCCAACCATTCGCCCAACTTGATCGTCGGGGTCAAGCTTCCAGATGAGTATCAAGCCCACAATAGAAACTACTGTGTTAAGACACATTCCTAATATACGGGAAGACGGGATAAAGGTCGCGGTGATTGAGGTAATCAGCAAGAACACGATCTGCGCGGCTCCCTGAGGCATTTGCATAATAAGGGCCTTGAGATCAGTGAACCCGAACCCGGCGGTGATGATCGACGTAAACTAAAGCAGCATAAGCTTTGAACTTGAGGGGCAGGAAAGTAAATACTCACGCTAGTGAGACCACCGTTGGCCAGGTTCGAGGCGAAAGAGTTCATAACCAGAAACCACGTCTGGGGGTCTTTTATGGCTTGAAGAGCCTGCGACCACCTGAACACGCCAGTATCCATGACTCCGGTTTTGTTTTTCAGCGTTCGCTGCACAGCAATAGCACGCTCATTAGGCTTCAAAAAGATGGCCTTGGAAGGCGAGTCTGGCAGCAGGACAAACAATATAAGACCATAAGTTGAAGTGATGGCGCCGAGAATAAGGAACAAGAGTTTCCAGTGAGAAATGACTGACGTGTTAATGGTTCCAATACCGTAGGCGATGACTCCACCAATGAGTACAGCGACACAGTTTCCGAAGAACCAAGCAGATTGTCTGGAGTTGGTTAGCAAGTCCTAGATCCACCCTGATTTCGAAGACATACCGTAGAGGCTGTTCCTCCCGTTTATAAAACATTCCCGTCAGCAAGGTGAATCCCGGTGCGATTGACGCCTCCCCTGCTCCGAAGAAGAAACGGACGGTCATAAGTCCACCCCAATTAGAGCAAGCAGCATGACACAATAAGAACCCGCCCCAAATGAAGCTTGTATAGTTAGTCTCAACGTTGGTGCTATGAGTCCTTAGAGAGGAACTTACACCGAGACTCCGATATATTTCCCAATAGGAAGCCGGACGATAATATATGAACTAGGCCTGTTGTGGGATCAGTATTCGTAATAAGAAGTAGAGGTAGAGGGAGACTTCAAATACACACCAACTCCAGGCAAAGTAACCAAAATAGAAAATCGCAGATGCCCATGAATATTGTGCTCCGCGCAGGTGCTATAACCTTCTGTCAACACATATTCATCGGTCGACATATGTAGCAATAAATACCAAATCTTCTCGTAAATTGAAGAGCGTCGCCTGACTCAGAGCGAGCTTGTCGAGGAATTGGAGGAAATATGCGACTCCCATCAACGGGACCAGACTTCCTTGGATCAGATACGCGCACACACATTGGAATAATCCCGGAATACTCACATAAGATCGAGCTTCCACAATACTTTCCGTTCCTCCTCAATCGTTGGTTGGATAGCGAGCACTTGACCAAGATCGAGGTCCCGGCTAAGTGACTCACCTCCCTTCATATCCTTCTCATCTAGGTTGGTCTCGTGAGATTGCATCGCGAATATGAAACAAAAGTAATTCTACTAGATGAGGTACATTCAGGGCCTTCTTATTCAAACACACAAGCCGGTAGTATCGCTTTCGCCTTCCACCAAGTATGCCGAGCAAAGTCTGCTTGAACCTACCATGGCCGGTGTCTTTCCGCGGTGGACCCAAGTCCATCATTGAAGGGGAAGCTCTAATACCTCGACCAATTGCGATGCATGGCTGAGTCTTTGAGTTCATTAGAATTTCCCCGCGATGCTAGTCCCATGGTACAAACCAGCCGGCTAATCGCTCGGCACCCCACTTCCCCATTGTCCGGTATCAGTCAATTAAAATCCGGGGATTTGCTGTCAGGACGGAGCCGATCTGGGGGAGCATCCACATCCCCCTCAACGGATGCTAAGCACGGCAATTGAGTTCGCCGTCGATCGTCCACATCTGAAATAGGGGACCATCCGATGTGGTTATGGGTGAACGCGAGGCGTTCGAGATACGCTAAGACCGCTCTTTTCCGCGACAATTGCCAATAGTGTTTGTACTAATAGGGGCAGTGTTCAATGACTATGTGTCATACACTTGCACTGTAATTTCGGAAGGTCCTTAAGCACGGGACTACACTAAATCCAGCCTAGTATTCACAATTCTAAGCCTTCTCAAAGTCCGACTTGATGGCAGTGGCGAAACTTCCATCGACTAAAGCTCTACACGCCACCACAGCCATCCCCGCCGCACAGTGCAAACTACGCTTGAACCCATCGTCGGATCCAGCCCCGGCAGTAAATTGTGGTGTGTGGTTGACACCATCGGCGTGAATATAGAATCCACCGTGGAAGCCAGGTACTTCATATGAGACGTTGCCTATATTGGAGTGAATAGTCAGCCTCTGGCTATACCGTAATGGACTTCAACAACTCACCCATATCAGTGGACCCTCCGCTAAGACCTCCCACCTGGCCTGCGGCGTCGAAGATAGTACTATGGCCCATAGCGTTCATAGCGGAGACATAGCTGTCACAGATAGGCTTATTGATCTTCATATCCTTATACGCGGCCTCCCTAGGAAATGGATTAGCGAACCGTATTAGAATGCCCAGGTGGAACATCCCCAACTATCATACCATTCGTATTCCACCGTGCAGCCAGTAGCAGTCGCAGCAGCCTCGAAGCATTTGACTACTTTCTCTGTCAACGGCTTCAGCGTCTTCGCAGTCTCGGATCGAATATAGTATTCAACCGTCGTAGAGGCAGGAATAACATTCGGTCTGTCTCCACCTCGTGAAATAACCCCATGAATTTTTTGCGTAGGTAAGATCTGCTGTCGCAGCATCGAAATATTCACATAGGCAGACACCACAGCATCTAGAGCATTAATGCCCTCCCACGGGGCAGCTGAAGCATGCGCCGGTTTGCCAGTGAACGTCACCTGGACCTTGTCGTTCGCAAGATACATCCCGGTACAGGAACTCGAGCTAATAAGATCAGGGGCACCTGACAGTACCGGGAATGGATGTACCATGAAGCATGCATCCACACCTTTGTATGCTCCCGCGTTGATCAGCAGGAGCTTTCCACCACCACCCTCCTCGGCAGGAGTCCCCAGCAGCCGAACCGAATACCCCATTCCATCGGAGTATAGAGTATCCATTGCCTCGCAGGTAGCCAGGAAGGCCGCGATCGAACTTGTCGCGATCAGATTGTGTCCACATGCATGTCCCATGCCTGGAAGCGCATCGTATTCTGCGTTGAAAGCAATCGTACGTCCGCCCTTGCCGCGGCTATAGATCACCTCAAGCGCCGTCTCAATGCCATAGGCCTTTCTATGGACCTGGTATCCTGCCCCGAGCGACTCAAAGAACTCGCAGACATTGTCGTGGGCGTTGTATTCCTTGAATGCCAGCTCGGGTTTGGACCAGATCTATCGAATGTTATTAAAATGTCATGATGTGCTTGCCCAATATGATACACACCTTCTGATTGATCTCACTGAGCTTGGATTCATACTTGTCCAACGCCCCACAGACCTTGTGGATGATCTCTGCTTGTCCTTGTACTGGCAACATCTTGTTGAATTGCGAAAAGAGAGAAAATAAAAATAAAAATTCCGAACTGTGCACAAATGCTGGTGCTGGGAAATGTAACGTTAAAGGAAAAGAAGCAAAGAAAAACAGCCAAGAAAGGAACTCCGTGCCGAACATTACCTCGCAAAGATAAGACATGGAACACACATCCCAAGTGGGGGGCGCGGGGGATGGTTAGAGCATTCCGCAGTGGAGAAGCAATGCACGTCCATCAGTCTCATTCCAGCGACTAAGATCCAGAATACCCCGACCCCGTAAACAGGCTTGCCGAATGGGCCTGAACAGGTCTCTGATCCAAAAAGATCCGCATTTCAACGATTTGCAGATCCGACTCATCGCGGCCTTCCAGATCGAGGACGTTGAACTCACGGACTCGAACTGCGAACTGGTCGGGGTCCTCCTTGAATGTTGTTTCGGATGTCGCCTCGAACATAACTGTGCGCTTCATTCGGATGTTCCCCGCTAGCGGGGCATAGAGCTGTCCTTTTTCGGCGGCCTCTTGGTCTGGAGCGGTCCTGCTGTACGACGTATGGACAGGGCCTGTGTCACTCCCAAGGTCGATATCCCAGGCGAGATAAACATGGTGGTGGAATTTGCAGATGTGACGGCTGCGCACTTCGAGGAGAGGAACTGCCTGGCTTGCGGATGTTGGTGGATCGCTGCCGATAAGGATGGGAGCGCTCGGTGTGAAGAAAGGGCTGATGGGAGTTTCGGCGGGAGTCAGGGAGTCTAGTGCTGGTAGGAATCGTCGGAGAAATTTAAGACCTGGTGAAGCTGTGGCAGGGATAGACTCGTAGGGACCATGGTGGATCGAGACGGTGCTTTCCATGCTGCATCGACTACGTGAAACATTTTAAAAATTGTCTTAGATCTCAACATTTTTCCAGTTGATTTTGATCTCTGATTGTATGTCATGGCGACGTAAGATTGTCATTGAAGTAGTTACATCATGAGGCCGAAAATCAACAGATCGTGGGTCGATAGACCGCATTAAACTATTATTGCCAATAATCTGGCACATATGAACAGCGCGGTCCTATGGTGGACCTGGCGGGATTTTGTAGTGGTTTGGTTGAACCACATGGTATATTTTACAGTCAGCTGGAATTGACAAGGCTGTTCGAATCTCGCGCTGGGATGCAGGGATCGATGAGCATCAAATTATTGATGTGCCGGAAGAGCTGCGCAAATGTTTCGCTGCGCAAGATGAAACCACGTGCTTCGGATTCCAATTAGCGGGATCGTGGGGCGTCGAAGACTTGTTGACGCGATTTCCCTGCGACGAGCAGACGAAGCATGAACTGCATCCATTACTCCTGAAAATCTTCACCAAATGTGATGAGCAGAAAGCTAGTTGGGAGAGTAAACAATCAAGTCCACTTGGTTGTGTCCGTGAAGGATTCGTTAGACCTTTGATCTGTGGTAGAAAATTCATGATCACCAGTCAAACCTCAAGATGGATGCAGGCTGTCATCAGTCGACCGGGTAGATGGACGAATTCTGCGCTCGGAGCTGGGCAAGCTCTCCATAGACAATGTATTCCAGCCTCTCCGTCCCGCCGGTCGCGATTCCCTTGGGGCCGCATGAGTGATATCCGATGTAATCTGGGAAGGATCCACGAAGCCTGGGTATTCTTCGTGTTCTAACGAAGTGGGCTGCGATCGATGACTTTGCACAAGATCGACCAGCTTTCCGAGCACACCGAACTCGAGCTTCAACTTGACGCTGTAGACCATGGCCTTCAATGTGGTCTGCAGCGAGTAAAACCCAATGTATTCCACAAGGAGTAAACAAATATCGAGCAATATGATGACAAAATTGATGGTAAGCAACTCATACATGATTCTGGACCGCCGTCGGTCCTTGTCTGGCATCATTCTGAGCAGCTTCACGGTCTCGACAATGTAAATTCCCGAGATGACAATCTCTTGGGCACAGAACCAGGCGAGTTGCATCCGCTCCATGACATTGTATCCACGAATCATTGGCTTAGTTCCAATGTATGCGGTAAGGAAGGTAAGAACGGTCGTTGGGATCAAGAGAATAATCGCGTCAATGATGATCAGCCAAAGAACAAACCGAAGCACTTTGTTGCTATTGACCACCAAATGAAGGCGAGAGTATAGGACCAGCGATTGACCTGGGACCATGACGTAAAAGCCAATGGTGGACATAGTCAAAGAGAGCCATGCTGGGGCTAGAGAAAAGAACATAAGCAGATGGCCAATGGCATGAGGGATCACTCCGAGCACGACCGAGAGCAGAAGCGTCCAAAAGTAAAGTCCGCGGTACCGAGAAAAGGTCAAAAATAACAATATGAACAATTCGATGGAGTTGTATAATGCGATGGAGGTGAAGACAATCATCAACGTCCGCACAGCTGGAGAATCGTCACGGTGCCCATTCACCACGATGGGAGAATGTGACAGGTCTGTCATGGTTGCCGACTAAACCAGCCTGGCTAGAGAGATATATATCCAATGCTGGTATTGGGAAGCCCGTAGGAAGGATATTTCATGCCCCGCTTGGTGAGAACCCCGGTACACTTTGCTTGAACTGTACCAGCTCCGCAGCCATGATAGTTGTTCTAGTCCAAGCAAATCATTTGCGCCAATGGCGTCTATAATGATCCAAAAAGGTGTCAAGGGTTTGGGATCGCTAATCGGACAAAAATGGGGGGGATTTCGGGAGGAGATTGGGATCGGTGAGAGGATCTGATCGCCGCAAGTTCGTTTGCCGAAGAATGCGGATGTAACTCTGGAGGCTCTGAGGACGATGATGAGGTCAAGGACTCAATGCAGGAAACGAAGCCAAATGAACGTCTAACAATGCAGTTATATTGTAATAGTTTGAAAATAGTACAACATAGTTGAAAAGAGGAAAAGAAGAAAAGGGCTTTCCCCAGCCTATTTGCCCCCATGCCAAGCTAAGCCGAGAAAGGGAACCCTTGGGACCGCCACACGTGAACTTTGCACTTTTTTGTCTTTTCCAAATTTAGTGGGAATTAAATGGCGATCGACATAATTACAACCGGATGATCTTTTCCTATTTCAAATTTCAAGTTAGTCTATTGTCTATTCTCGTGTAATTTGAAATCAATTGTTGACCTCGGGACCTTTCAAGGGAGTGGCAATGGGTAGAGTGGCTAATGTGGCTAAAATGGTTTACAGTACTTAGATCCAGCCATCTGTATTTCTTCATGTACAGAGGGACTTAAGAGATGTTTCATTAAATTACCGAATCTTCAAGGCTTTTTGCGCTAACCTCTGACCTCGGAATCGGGTCTCTCTTGCGATTGGTCAATTTCTCTGGAGAAATCCAAAACTTCCCACCTTGGAAGGTTCGCTTCCAAGTTTCCTGGTCTCGTGACCTTGCTTCCCAATCCCAATATATACCCATGTACGCATACTCGGTACGGAGTATGCGTATGCGCGTCTCCGGCCCGTGCCCATGATCTCCCCATTGCAGATCTAGCCGCACAGGCCATGAAGAAGTGGTCACTCCGGGGGAATATCATGATAGTCGAAGTGAAGAATAAGGTGAATGCCAATGACGCTGAGCATGACCCCTGAACAATAGTGTTGTTACTCCGTACAACCTTGAAACATCTTTCCATATGTTGTATTTTCGACCTGTCATATTTCCCTGCACTCAGCTCTGAAAAACCTCCTAGCTTCAAAGATCGATATCCTGCGCTAGTCTCCCCTGATCGCAGTGTGGGTCCCCATCGGCTTCCAAGTTGAATCTTATTGTTTACCATTCTCAGGTTTCTTGTGACAATTTCGACTAAGTTTTAGCGAAACGGAATCTGCAATTAGTGCAATCGGGCGTGCGCAGGTACTTCAAGGGTACGTGTTAAGAAGGTACAGAGTACTAGACTCTATAAGAATCAACATGGATTCCCCGTGATTTCCATTTTGAGCATGTGACAAAGAGCGACTTTAAATTCCCATTGTTATCTTTGTTATACGAAGTACCATGTTGCACCTTTGCTGTTAGCGTGACACTAATGAATTAGGCTTTGTGTTAGCCTTTGCGTGTATCCTTCACCATACCTGGGTAGGCTCTGCACGCAACCCTCCAACTTTGACCTGGTTGACGAACCTTGCTGGCTTCGAAGATCCATTTAGCCTGTATGGATAAACAGATCTAATATTCTGTGAATATTTCTGTCAAATCAAAATCCCTCCACTTCCATCCCTCCACTTCTAGTGGTGGCGGTGTATATTTCCTGCCCCCGCCTATTATTGGGCCCTGACAGGTGGACTCCATCTAACCCGTCATTTTAAGTGTGTTGGCTTACTCCGAATGCAGGCAAAGAGGGGTATTCAGCTGGCGCGGGACATGCGAAAAAGAAAATCTGACATATACCTAACCCGTTGCCTCGGATCTCAACCAACTTCTTTGCTTGCATTTGACGCTAGAAGACTTTCTTCATCATGGGATCTACAGAAAACAATTATGACTTTGTCATCGTAGGAGGTAATCTTGGAATCATGCACCCGACACACATGCAGTCTCCCATGCTCATCACTTAAATAGGTGGCCCAGCTGGTTGCGCCCTGGCTGCGGGGCTTGCCAAATCAGCCCAAAGACCTCAGGTTCTGCTTCTTGAGGCAGGTGGTCGCAATGATGATAAAGCTTTGCGAGTTGACGGAAAGCGCTGGACGACATTCATGGAAGGAAAACTGAACTGGGGATACAAGACCGTCCCTCAGGAACATTGCAACGGGCGCGAGCTAGACTATTCCCGTGGAAAGGGTCTGGGGGGTAGCTCGGCAATCAACTTCGGCGTCTATACTGTAGGCGCGCGAGACGACTACAATGAATGGGCATCTGCGGTGGGCAATGACACCTTCGGATGGAAGGAGATGCAGACCCGCTTCAAGAATTTGGAGACCTTCAATGGCGGTGTCACACTTCCGGAGAACAAGAAATATGCCAGTTCAGTTGCTTCCGACCACGGCAACTCGGGTGACCTGCGTGTCGGGTATGCAGAGGACTGGGAAAGGGACTTGTCGCTCTCACTGGATGCTTTCGAAGCAGCTGGGCACAAGCTCAACTTGGATCACAACTCTGGCAATCCCCTTGGCATGGCCGCCACTATCAACTCCGCTCACAAGGGAAAGCGTACCACGGCTGTCGACTTGCTTTCGGGTGCTCCTGATAATCTTGTGGTCGTCACCGACAGCCCAGTACAGAGGATCTTAGTGCAGGGCAAGAAGGCCGTTGGAGTAGAGACCCAGGGCAAGCAGTGTATGGCTCATTCTGGCCTTCTATTGTTCACTTCATCTGACGTGGATTACAGACTTCGCTTCTCGGGACGTGATTCTCTCCGCAGGCTCACTCGACACCCCGAAGATCTTAATGCATTCTGGAATCGGACCAGCCGCAGACCTTGAGAAATTCAACATTCCAGTGGTCAACGATATCCCCGCTATTGGCCAGGGTCTCCGAGACCACTACTTTGTTCCTCTGATTCTCGCCCGGAAACCTGAGACGAACGATCGCAATTCGTTCTTCCAAGACTCCGCCGCTATGGAGGCTGCAATGAAAGAGTGGGAAAATGACAACACCGGCCTGTGGACCCGATACGGCTGCCAGGTCGGCAGTGGCTGGTTCAAATCAGACCGCATCACCTCCTCGCCCGAATTCAAAGCACTTCCAGCATCCGTGCAAGAATTTATGAACCGCGAAACCATCCCCCACTACGAGATGGTCACCCACCTGCCTATCCATTACATGTTGCCCGATATGTTCAAAGATTACAGCTATGTTGGTCTTGCGGCATTCCTGATGAACGAACAATCCTGCGGCGAAGTGCGCCTGCAGTCCTCCGACCCAGAAGTCCCGCTGCTGTTCAACCCGCGGTTCCTTGAGGATCCCTTCGATCGTCGTGCCTGTATCGAGATATACCGACACCTGCTGGAAGTTAGTAGACAGGAGTGCTTCGCGAAGGACACTATCGCCACGCTCATCGGGCCCGCGTCTGATTCCGACGAGGACATCCTCGAGTTCTGGAAGAACTTCCTCTCTTCTAGCTGGCACATGACCGGCACAGTGAAGATGGGCAAGGTCGATGCTAGTGACGCTGCTGTTGACTCGCATTTCCGCGTGCGGGACATGGAGAATCTCCGCGTTGCTGATATGAGTGTTGTTCCTGTTCTCACTAACAATCACACGCAGGCTACTGCCTACGTGACTGGTGTTACTTGTGCTGAGGTTCTTATTAAGGAATATGGCCTTAATGAACAGTAAATGATAAATATTATATCATGGTGTTGGCAGGTCAAGATTGTTCAATAGGCTTCATTGGCCACGATACAGAGCGATCTACAATAGATGAGAACGACGGTCAATGACTTATTGCTACCGGATCTCTACTAAACTAAACGAGTTTCAAGAAATAAGGATACAGGGACTATATAGCCTTCGGCCAATGCAATAGTATTAGTATTGCATTTTCACTCTCTATCGCATCGAAATTTTGTCTCTCAACCTATGGTTCTGCATGAAAATTCACGAACGCCCAGTCTTTCCGTTGCATCGCATAGATCCTCAGGGCTGTGCGTAAGTGATCAACTTCACTCGAAGTGACCCGACTTTGCCTGTGAGAACGGGCATGTTGCCACGCCTCTCGCTTTGATTACCTCGATATCGGATCTCATCTCGTCCGCTCCATGCTCCTTCTGTGGATCCGGTCCGATCGTCATCAAGTCATATCCTCCTGGTTGATACCGGTCTCCTCGCGACCCGGGCACTTTCCCTCCCAGTGCTCTAACCAGCAACGCGCCGAGTCCCCATCTTGACCAGAAGGTCGGTCGGACGTACCAGGGCTGCAGGGTTTTCCTTTGGAAATTATAAAGATGCGTTTCTGGGTTTGGCATGTCGTGCACTAGCTTAATAGCACTGGACGAGGACCGTGGAAGTGCAAGATATCGAAGGTATATTTTTCGTGTCTCTTTGATGAGGGCCAGTAGGAACCAAAGGACTGGGCCGGGAGACTCAAGACTGTAGACGTTAGTTAAAAAGATCACGTCCGTAGTTAAATGAGAGGTAAAACTTACCAAAGACTCGTTCTCATCACATCGTCCAAGTCGTTACCTAGCATCTTTCGCACACTTGTTCTTACGAACCCAGGAAGTGATGACAATGCCGAATCAACGTAGACGCGAACGTATTGGTCGTTCGTTGCCGTGGGCTTTGCCACTTCTTCTTCATACTGGATTGTCCAGTCTCTCAACTCAATCGCAAAGTGCAGGCCATTTTTCCATCCGTCGATCTTTGAAGGAAGCGGGTCAAAGGGGATTCCCATGTCTTCTCCCAAAGTTCTTATGAAAGATACCGAGAGCACATTTTTCAACATCAGTAAGCTTGCGCCATTCTTCTCTTTCAACAACATTCAAGATCTCGGCAAGACCGTCACCCAGAGTATGGAGAAGATCATTATCCGTTATTTTGTTGGCACGACGGTAACGAGCATGGCTAATCATGGGTCAGCGAACGGAACAAGAGATTCTAGCCTTGCCTTTGAATAAAGGAAATTCGAGTTCAAGGGGTGCATGTAACATACAGATAATTCATTCTGGCCACAGCTGATGTATAGCGATCAGAATCCCTAGGTTTGGACTGCACCTCTCGCAAGAGGATTTCCGTATCAACAGCGCGCTTCCCTGAGTTGCGCTTGTTGTTTTGGCCTGTAACTGCGAAGAGTTTGGACATAGTCGGAATACCTCCAGCCTAAAACAATACTTGGACTTAGTGGTATTCTCTATGGTGCTGATCTGAACCGACCACGAGTTTCTATCGTACCTTCAACAGAGCCATTTTGCGAGCTTTGGCAAAGGCGTGTGGAAACTCGAGCTCTTGCAACTGGTTCAGGATAGCATGTGCTTCTTTTACCGTCATTTCTGACAAGTCTTTCTTGCCAGGTGCGAATGGGGCCTCAATTTCGCCATGCGGCGGTATCGGAGAAGGCCAACCAATGCTATATAGCTGGTGAAGACAATGGCAATCGTCAGCCAGTGTTTGCTCCATAACTTACAGAGCAAGCCAGTGACGTCCATTATTCCGTCAACACACTTGAAGCGTTCTGTGTCACAACATGGTAAGCATTTGGCGCAAAAGCAGGGGTTCCGATTTGCCAAACTTGCCCTCTAAAGCTTGTATCCCTGAGAGAACAAGGTTTGTAAATTCCTTTGCCTTTTCGATTCTAGATGAAGAAATCTCTTAAGATGGTAGAGGATATCTAATATATCTTATGTGTGGCAAGGAAGAACTCCCCTGGGTGCCGAGGCTCCTGGTTACAGTGGATCACTAACCCAACAAAACTCATGGTGAAATGCAGGAATGCGAGATATTAATGGACTTCATATTGTTGGGCTCGCAATCCTCAAGCCAACCATGTTTACAATATTGGAAAACTTCTGGTGGGACCTCGGAGGTTCCAACCTGGATGGAAGGTTGATGATAATGTAATCAATTAGGGGGCAGACGAAGGTTCTAAGCTTAGGGCAACGCAGCAAAATTAGATGAACTAAATATCTCCATTTGCTATGCACCCATTGCCAATCTAAACCATACAATAGATGCGACTCCAAAGGGGTCAGAGGTAGAAGCGAAGATCCGAGTACATTAGACGTCTTTTCTCCCATTTTAAGCTCAACGCCGATCTCCGGTTAATCACTTCACCCTGCATATTTCATATGCACATTTCATCCGATATTTGTGTGTGATGGATTCATTATTATTTCAAGATAAATTTCGCATCAAGGCTGAGCGAAAGGCAACTTCAACATCAGATCGCCGGAAACCAGGTGCCCGTCCTAAGATAGCCACCCCACGAAGAAGTCCTATCATTATTTTTTAGAAACGAGATTAACATGATGTCAATGCGAAATCTCACCTATCAAGAAAGATTCAAGGTCGAGTACGCAACATGATGGTTGTTGAGGTAATGCCGAAGCTATGGCATGTGAGTCTTGAGTCCAAGTGTTTTTGGTAAATAAGATAGACTTACCAGTTTGGGTTTCAGAAAATGGTATGCATTGAGTGTCCAATAAACCAGATTCAAAATCGGATTGACTGGGGCCCAGTGCCAGATTATGCACGGTGGGAAACGAACCAGGTCCGTCCAAGTCCACACCCTTCTCCCTAAGATATCCTTCCACATCGCGGCAATCAAACCACTGACCGCCAAACCCACAAAGCTCAAGATTACTCTGGGTCTGATAGACAGAATTCGGGTCACCGGGAATCCCGGACATGGGTAGAGTACCGAGGATTCTTCGAGGGTGTCTCATTTTCGAGGGGTATATGGGATTCCCTTTTTCATCTTTCGTCGCATAATGTGTTCCAGCTCCCCCAATACAATAAAATGGCAGCGTGGAAATCTCCAGTGAACTGCCTCGTTCAGAAGTGACCAGGTCCCTAAAGTAAGGGTACATCTTTGCCCTATCTCTGAAACAGGGGACGAGTCTGAATATTCGGAAGACTTCAAGCGGATCAGAGCGGGTATCACTGAATATTCGAAAAGCGTGCTCCAGACTGGATCGTTTGAGTCTTCGGGTGAAGGAACTTTCCAAGAATGAATATGAATCGGGAACATTGGCTCCACCGAATCGATCGATGGTTTGCACAATGGGTTGGTCATAGTCTAATTCTCTTTGTTCCTGCACGACAGGCGGGGATCGACAAAGGGCCCTCTTCCCAGTTTCGTGATACGAGTTGACCTCGGTTTCTGGGGACGTATCAATGCATGTGGAGCTTCGCTCGGCAAAAGCTTGGTGACCAGAATTAGTATCATTGGCGGAAAGATCATCATGCTGGATATTCTTGGGTGATAGCGCAGTATATTTCTTGGAAGTCTCTCTCGATGAAATATCGTCAACGCTGGTTCCTTGAACAAAGTCCTCGGACGGCGAAGTCAGAAGAGTCAGGATGCTGTCAAACCCAGTGAGAAGTTCGCAATGGGTGCCTTGCAGGTTAGACTGAAGAGTAACCCTGTATTCCGCAAGCGAGTTTGAGATTTCTTTCATCTTATGTTCAAGGAAGGCCACTCGTTTCTGGGTTTGTTGAAGACTTGCTTCTTTCTTCAGTCTATAGGTTCTCTGAGCCCGGCGGATTTGGCTTCGCCGATCCTGGGCGGGGAATTAGAATGCGTCCTCTCCACTGTTTCTTATTAGTTCCATGGAGTCTAAATACCTCAGACAGTATAGCTTCCCCGGGTGCATCGAGCCTGCGCCTACCCGCGCTCCTTGGCGGTCGCTTTTGACCCATAGCGGGTTTGGTTGCTGAGTCTGACATCTTGATTCATCCGATGTAGGTACGCGCTAGATCAAGCCGAGGGAGGAATTGTCCCTAGTCCCGGAAAAAAAGTGTCTTGTGAGAAGGCGTTGGGCAATGAAATGAGCATATTCTCGATTCCTATACGTGAAAGCCCTTTCCAGATGGAGGCGAAGTGCTGATAATGTAATCCGCCTCGGTCCCCTGGCCCCCACAATATAAAGGTATGGTTGAGTACACAGTTGGGTCAGAATGTTGGGGCCAAGTTCAACTAAATAGCCAATCTCCACCTGATTGTTGAATCCTTTTTTGAAGTAAAAGTGTCATGGCCACGATGGACGTAGGAGATTCGCAGGCTGTTTTCCCCTCCCTTTCCCCGAGGTATTTCCGGTAATTTTGAATATGAACATTCAAGTCACTGAAGATTTTAGTTTATATGCATAGAACTATTCACACCATTTCAGACATACCGAGTAACGCCAATGGAAAATGTCTAAATTGCCCGTAGCAATTGAATCATGCGCGCAAAAGAAGTTCAGCCCATCTCAATGGACGTATGAAGACTCGGTAGGTAAATGTAGGTATATCTGAAAGTCTGGCCTCAAAGGACCCTCCAAGTAGCTTCATTTGAATGGATTGATTTAGGCAAGGACTCAGAAAACAAAAGAAAAGGGAAAAGGGAACTAATATACTACGGAGTACAGTCAACTCAAGCCCCCAATAGCAAGAGCAGCGCAAAGGTCTCGGTTTTGGACTCTTTAAAGTTACACATCAAGCTTAAGTCTAGCGACATTACGAAGTCCTCATAAAAGCAGTGGCATAGGAAATCCCCGGCAGGCAGCGAAAGTCCGCTAGGTAAGTATGGATATGCGGAGCTTGTGGTTAATCCGATTGCAGCAGATACATCAAATTGAAGTATGAAACAAATGCAGGATAATAATTAAACTCCCCCATTAATCTGCCACAATGGAGGTAAGAATGCCAAAACACCATTGGATCGCGAAACCGAAATCAAGAGGATGGAATCACTTACTGCGCCACACAGCATTACCAAAGGGAGAGCGCATGGCAGTAAGGCAAAAGTCAGAGAGATCCAGCCGAACACGCGAGAAAAAATATGGCGCGTATCGTCAGGCATAACGTAACACCGAAGCTGAATAACGCACGAGCAAAGAAAAGACAGACGCGGGTATCGAAAAGTGATCGCAAAACGTAGGCAATCAAGACGGCGATGAAAGTGGCATGGCAATTAGTTTACCATAGGAAGACCATGTGAGACCTCCTGCTTGTTCACGCCGTCGTTTCCGTCCTGGTTTTCATCCGTGCGCACCCGCTTGTTTTGCTGGAAGTTGTTGTTGTTCAGGAAGGTAGCGTCATCAGGGTGCTTACGCATGCCAAGCGTTGCCGCAGCGATGCGGTTCAGAGAGTTCATATCATCCGAGACTGAACTGGGGTGCTGGCCCTGGGGTCCTGGGGTGGGCACCGAGCCCGGGGGGCTGGAGTTCTGAACTCCGGCATTGGCAAGAGCCATCTCAGTGGTGCGGGGCTGGCTCAAATCGATGTTGGCGGGAAGCTCGGGGACTTCACCCTGGGCTTCTAGAAGACGCGATTGCAAATTGATGATGTATTCGCGCAGCTGGTAATTCTCACCCACCAGGGACTTGACCTGATCCTTGAGGGGGTCGATGTTCTTAACCTCTTCCTCGAGTTTGCGGATGTAGGTTTCCTTGCGCTGGCGGAATGCGCGCTATTACAATGATCAGCCAAGTACTCTGTGCACTGTATCAAAAGGACATACCTGAGCAGCACGGTTCTGGGCAGCACGCTTAGAAGTGGACAGCTCACGCTTCCCGTAGCTCTTGGAGCCGCCGTCAGAAGGGGGAGAACCCTGGGGTTGGGTCGGCGTTTGGGGGGCGCCGAGCATGGCACCCGAGATAGCAGGGTCGATATTTGGCTGGTCTCGCGGGCTAGCATTGCTGGGCTGCAAATGCTGTTGCTGTCCAGGAGCACCCTGGGGACGACCGCCCAAGTGGTGCTGAGCAGCTAAAAGCTGGTCATGGAGGACTATAGAATCATCCATGAATGTTAGCAATGGGGAACAATCACGTGCGACGCGCATCCCTAATTTTCCCAGGGGAGATGAGGTAGGAGATCGGTGCGTGGAAGTTTTGGGCTCCAAAAACCACGCATCGTGGCAATCAAACATCAAGAACGCTCTAAACTACAATCACGTACCCTGATCCGCGGGATCCTGCAGTCAAAATGTTAGTATGAACCATAGCAAATAAGAGAATGAAGTATATAGGTGATGCGGCAAGACTGGATGGAGACTCGACGCGTCGAAAGGTCGGACCCCGTTCCCGACACGTTGGTGACGCGACATGACTGCCTTATGTCCAAAGTATCAAGGAAGTACACAACGGGGGACCTCATATAGATCTGATGACAAAGGCGTTCAAGATAGTCTGCTTACCTGAGCAGAAGTCTGCATGCTTGGATGCGGCGCTGGCGCGAGTGCAGGTTGCATTGATTAAGAAGAAAAAGTATTGGTGATGAAATTGGGCGGTGACTTTGCAAGGAACTCTTAGTTTCCGCAAGAATTGAGAGCAAAGACAGCTGCTTTGCTGATCACAGAATACAGCTAAAATGAGGTAAGCAGTTATAGATCCGATGCTGTAAGCAAGTTGATGGCGGGCCCTGGAGGAGGAGAAGGATTACTTAAGGATTCTGAGTCAGAGGGTTTGGGGCGATCGTCGATTTATGTAAGGGGTTGGTAAGCGAAGGGCCCGCATTTAGAAGGCGGTGAGGGAGGCGGTGGCCCATACCCCGGAGTTTATCTCAACTCGCTTTGCCGCTAAACTGGCTTTGATACCCCATATACTGGCTGTGATTGGGTTTAACCACAATCTCATGATGACTCGTCATCTCCCTCCAATCGCATGTTGTCGTCGTACCCGTGAACATGCCCACGAGTTGGTTATTGCTGACTGCATCCCGCCCGCATCCGGCCACGGAACCGGGTTTACTTGTTCCCGACCGAGTCAGCATGACATCAGAATCACCACTTATCCCGACATTTCCGCCTGAGGTGTCAGGAACTGGACCATCGTTCCATTGAATTGGGGACAAACTATGGGATAAATCGGACTACTATCGGTGCTTATGTACCTGCAAATCTCGTACTAAGTGAATTTCTACAGTCTCGTGATCTCATATCCACCCCAAAACACAGTCAGCCCCCTCATGCCCCTACCCATATATCGTAACTCTGCACAACTCTGAAGCACTACTGTTGCTTCTTCACGCCATCTTTGGTAGGCTGTGCCTGTATAATCCCAGCTCCAATCTTGGCTGACTCAGTCCAGCCCCGCTGGTGCATCCAGAAACGGGTTGCCGGGTCGGCACCATGCAAGGATGCACGCCGAGCATCCTCTTCAAGAGACTTACGTGAGATATCAGTGGACTGGGCCACAGATGTGATATCGTCCTCATCCTTGTCCTCATCTATCTCCGCGTTGGTTGTGGACTCAAGATAGCGTTTGCGCATGAGGTAACGCTCAGCGCGCTCCTTGCGGGAATTGGGAGGCTCAATTCTGGCCATACCAGCTCGCACGGCATACCGCACAATAAGATACAAGTGTTCCGAGAAAAATATTGTCAAAAGCAGAGCCCAGCCTTTAATATCTGTCGGCTCACCATTGGGCCCGTGCTGTTTGTTGCCACTGAACATGTACAGCAGCGCAGCGCTGGTGATACTTCCGACCCAGGACAGGAATCCCAGGCTATCGAGCCAGGGTCCAATCGTGTCAGTTCGCAATGGCACAGGTCTGCGGAACTCCATGCAGATCTTGAAGAAGTCTGAGCGCAACTCGACCCAGTTGTTCACAAAGAACGAGAGGGGAACAAGCGGCCATGTGGGTGAGAAAAGGGCCAAGTATCCGAATTGAATACACATCTCACGTAGATCAGCGGTCACATCGTACTCGGAAAGCTCGACCTCGTTACGAACACGCGTGAGGAACTGCACTTCCTCGGCCGGATCATCGAAGGACACGACAGGTCTTTCGGGTGATTCTTTGTCGCCGTTTCGGCCCATCTTACCATTGCGCTCCTTGTTGTATTTTTTATATTTGCGGAGCGCATGCTGCTTGATAAATGGCACGATAGTCTCCATGGCGAAGCCAACAATCTGGGCAGTGACAGTGAAGTAAACAACCTGGTTTCGCAGGCGAGCTGGGTCAATCTGGAAATGTGATCGCTTTGTGGTGGCATGTTCTTTTGATACGAAAGGCCGAACGGTCAAGTGGAAGACATCGAGGTAGGGGACAATGCGGCTAGCGAATGGCACGTAGACAAAGGCCGTCAGGAAAATTGGCATATAAGACGTGATGAAGTTGATAACAAAGACCTTCTGGGTCAATGCAACATCATAGGCATCACTTGTCTCATGGTTCTCGTGGTCGTTAAGCTTCGTTGCGATAGACGTCAAAATAGCGCTCATGGTTGGCACAAGCGCTGATACAAGGATGGTTGGAATGAAAATCTGAAGGATAAGCTTTAGTACCAGTAAATGGGGAAGGATGACTGTACCAAGTATGTTTTCAAGGGACCATTGTAGAGCTCCGAGATGAAGATCTCAATGGCAAAGCATGTCGCAATGATAGCACCCAAAGCAATTGCCGCAAGCAATGCGAACGGGATTTGAAGTAGCTGCCGTTGCATACGCTTAGTCGCTGGGAAGACACCGCGCATCTCACCGGTACCTTCATCGCGGACCTCCTTTTCTGCCTTGAACTCTCGTCGTTTGGTCCGAACAGCCGAGACGTTCTTGGTCTGCCACCTGCAGCTCAGATCAACCTCCTGGCGCTTCCAGTATTCCACAAAGATGATACACCACAGACAATTGACGACAGTATAAATAATCGAATATCCGCCGAGCAGGAACCAACAGGAGAATCCAAAGACAGCCGGGAAAATCAAGAATCGGAAGTACGACTGCAGGAATGCGAAATAAAATCCAACCTGCCGTCTATGTTAGCTATGTCCAAGACCAACAAGCTCTTTCTGCACATACACTTTCTCCAAACTTATTCCGGATCTGGTCCAAGTCGTCATCAGAGAGGAAAGTCTTTGAGCTCCAGGCTCGTATCCACTTTTTATTTGTATCAACATCGTGGAGGGGGAATATAGCAGTGACGTTCTTCCATTCGCCGTGGTTGGGGGTGATAGCGGCGCCGCCCTCTTCCTTGGGAAGTGTAATCATCTGGTTGATCACCCGCAGGCGCTCAGCCTCAGTTTGCGGCTCGCTCGAGTTAGAAGGTGTGGGCTCAGCATTGCGAATTCCGTATAGCCAGTCGCGTACTCTATGGAAATCCAAAGTCGAGATTAGCACATTGGCATAGAACGACATGGATCATCACTCACCGCGACCGATAGACCGCTCGTTTCAGCCGCTTTTCTGAAGCTTTCGCAAAAACGAGCAAAGACGACTCATCGCCCTGTCGTACCTCCACCTGTAGACCAACTTGAGCCAGTGCTTGCAGCAATTTCTCTAGTTGCTCAATTGCTTGGGATCGGTCTGCAATTGTTAGAATGTGTCCCCCCGCCACATCCTACAGCTCTCCAGATGTCTTTTACTCACCTACATCTCCGAAGCTGTAACGGATAACATAGTCCACATGGAGATTATGCTCCTGGACATTCTCTGGAATTGTCGCCATTACTGGGGGTGTTGAAAGAAGAAAGAAAGTGGAACGGGCAGATCGAGAAATCGAGGTGATCGGCGGGTCAATGCCGTCACCTGGCGCTAAAGTAGGGGCGAAGCCATCCGCATTACGACGCAACTTGTACTCCGTGTGTTTTCCATATTCAATTGCATTTATGATGTGGGATTGGGATTCTCGTATAGAGATCGATTGATTTTCATTTTGAAATATAAGATTGAGCCATATATAGCTGTGATCATAGATATTTGCTAAACGCACATGTATAGCCCATTTTTCGCCCTCAATCTGCAACGCTCGAACAATATAGATGAATCACTCTGAAACGATCGGCCCCAGGCCCTTTTGTAGTACTCCGTACTATACAGAAACACTCTCCACCCTATCCCACCTATACATCCCTCTACACACCCTCCGCCAAACGAGTCAACGCATCCCCCTCAACCATCATCTTCATCCATTCGTCCATACCGCGCGCACCAACCTGCTCATAGAACTTAATACTAGGTTCGTTCCATGTGAGCACACTCCACTCCAACCGCCGACCCGACACCTCAAGCACCTGCTTGGCAAGGTACTTGAGCAACTTGAAGCCGTACCCGTTACCGCGCGCGCTGGGCTGCACATACAGGTCCTCGAGGTAGATACCAGGGGCAGATCGCCAGGTTGAGTAGTTGTAGAAGTACAGAGCCATGCCAACGGGGATCGGATTCGGGGTATCGGCGGTAGGCGGCGGGGTAATGAGAGCTGTGTAGACCGCGCCGCGCTTGGGCGGGGTATCGGGGAAGGACAGGGTTGCTAGGAGGGATTCTTCGGTCGCTTCGACTTCATGGAGGGCTTTTTCGTAGTCGGCTAGTTCACAGATGAATTGGAGGATGAGGGGGACATCTAACTGGTGTTAGTTGGTGTCTGTGCAACGCGCTCAGAAGCTTGGTCAATGCACTTGCCCTTGGGGGTCGCGAGACGAATAGTAGGTTGGTCGGCCATAGTGTTGGAGAGAGGACGCAGATAATCCATAAGTCCAGAAATCAGAGGACTTTTTTTTATCTCTGACTTTTGTAGTTGCTAGTATATACACGCCTTATTTTTTGGCTAAGCTTCGTGACAACCCCAGGATTTTACTATCCCGCATTAGGCAATCTTACCGATAGTTTAGGGATAAAGTGCTATATCTTAATGCTTTCTTGACGGGCAAAAGGACATCAGTGGGTTAGACAGTAACATTTTTTTTTAATTTGATAAAGGAACATTTGAAGATATTATTATCTTTACAGAATGGTATTGTACAGAGCAAGGGACTCAGATAACTATTCCACGCCTATGGGTATAAACGCCAATTATTTGGACATGATGGCCGACATCCACTTTTGCTCATCGGTTCTATATTCGTTAGTGACCATTGTTAAAGAGAAATTCCAGTAGAAAACTCACCGATCGAAATGGAGCAGCATTCCCAGAACAGGGATCAGCTGCTTCTGATAGTTCTTGTCTTTCTGCTCCAAGAATTGGAGAAGGACATTCTTCAAGTACATGTAGTCAATGGATGCATTGCTGGGTGGGCCGAGAGGAGTCTCATTCCTACCAGGAGATACAACTGCCCGGCGAGAGCCTGAATCCATAGATGACCGCGAGGATTGTCGACCGGATGGGGAGCCACGCAGGCGCACGTCTTCTCCAAGTGTTTTGTGGGATCTTCGAAGCTTCTCCAGTCGGCTGTTTGTCTCTTCCACTGAGCGACGAAGCTCTGCCTTGTCCTTTTCGAGGTCACGAACTTGCTTCTCACTTTCATCAAGGGCGTCGCGTA